TAAAATTAAAATAATTTATATAACTTTAGAGCTTTAAGACTTTAATTAATTAAAAAAAGGGATTTTATTTTTTAATTTTATATACTAGCTGCTTAATTAAGTAAAAAGGTAAGGCTATATAATAAAACTATAGCTTATAATTAACTTTTATTATACTTTTTATATTTTATAAAAGCTTTAATATATTTATAATAATTATTAAAATTATAATATATACTTTTTATAAAAAGGTATAAGTTTTAAAAAAAAGTTTAATATAAAGTTAAATTAAATATATATAAAATTATAATAACCTTAATATAAAATACTTATAATTTTATAATATTATTATAATTATAAAAAAGAAAAATAATTTTTTAATTAAAAAAAAAGCTTTAAAAATAAATATAATTATTTATAAATAATTACTTTTTAAAAAGAATTATATATTTAGTTTATAAATTACTTTATAATAATTAATAACTATATATTAACTTTTTATAAACTTAATACTTTTTTTAATTTTTTATATTTATATATTAGCTTTAATAATTATTTAATATTTTATTAATTAAATTTAAAAATATATTAAAAAGTATATTATATTAAAAATATTTAAATATTTATATAATATTATAATATTATTATTTTATTAAAAATAATTTTTAAATTAATATAAAGCTATAATATTATTACTCTTAATTAATTTTTTTTAAACTTAAATAAATATATTATATATATAATATTATTAATTATATATTATTTAGTTTTAGTACTATTAACTAAATTTATATTTAAATATATTTTATTTTTATTATATTTTAATTAATTTTATTTATACTAACTTTTAGTAATTAACTTATTAATATAATTTAAGAATTTTAAGTTTATTATTAATATATTACTTAATATATAAATTAATATAAGTTAATAAAAATATTATATTACTTAAAACTAAAGTATTTTATTTTTTTATATAAAGCTTTTAAATATTAAATTAATAATTATAAAATATTTATAAAATTTATTATAAAAGTAGCTATATATTATTTTAATTTATAAATTTATTAAAACTATAATTTATACTCTTAATAAAAAAGTATAAGTTTTAAAAAAAGTTTAATATAAAATTAAATTAAATATATATAAAGTTATAATAACTTTAATATAAAGTATTTATAACTTTATAATATTATTATAGTTATAAAAAAATAAATAATTCTTTTATTTTAAAAATATTTAAAAATAAATATAATTACTTATAAATACTTACTTTTAAAAGTAATATATACTTAACTTATAAACTATTCTTAAATAATTAATAATTATATATTAACTTTTTATTACTTTAATTTTTTTTCTTTTTTTACTTTTTTATATTTATATACTAACTTTAATAAAATTAATACTTTATACTATTTTATATTTATATTTATTATTACTATAAATATAAGTACTAAAGTATATATTAAAATTTAAAGTATTAAATAATTAAATTAAGATTTATATAATTACTTTTTTTAATATTATATATATATAAATAATAAAATATCTTATAATATATTTTAAAATATATATATTATAAATAAATAATATATATATTAATATTTAAAATTATAATTTATATTATAAATAATATAAATAAAAAACCTTTAAATTATAATTCTTTAATTATATTTTATTATAAAATATATATATTATAATAAATTAGTCTTTTATTAATAATATGTCTTTATTTTCAAATTGTATAGGGTTCGATTGCAGGTTCTGTATTACCCCAGTTGCATGTCTACTAACTAGCTGCCCTTGACGGAGGTTTTCTGTGAAGAGGTAGAAACCTTCATTGGATTCGACTAGATATGACTGTAGACCCTTGCTCTCCAGCAGGACATTAACGTTAGTGAGAGGATAGTGATTCTCAATGAAGCGTGCCCAGCCCCTAGCTGCGGCTTGGACGTGGTCGCTATCGTTGATCCTTTTCCAACCAATGCCGAGGTGAAGAGTAAAGTCGTCAATGACCGGGTCGTCATTCATACTGCTGTCGGTCATGTTCGTCGTTGTTCGTGGCATCGTCGACGTCGTTTTGCTATAGGATGCATGATCACTGCCGTTGAGAAGCCTTTGGGATTTATGGTTCCTCAGCTGTCGACCAGTCGGCAATCCACTCCCTTGCTGTTCAGTGATCACATCGTCAAGCCCAGTACCAGACAGACCATCTGCTTCGCGGCTGGAAACCACACATGGCTTCGCGAGCAATATTCCCTCACCATTCATCCAACCGTGTTGAAAGCTGCCGTTTGTTGCATCGGGCTCGAGGTTGTATGAAGCCTCCTCGTGGGACCGCTTCTTGCCCATTGCATGAGCAGGCTGTTGGAGGAAAGTCGAGCCCTGTGGAAGCATGATCGCGTGTAAAGAGAGCGGAGAGGGCGCCAACGGTGAGGGGAGCTTGAAGTAGTTGAGAGCAACGAAATTGAGTGGTCGTGGCCTGGCCGGAATCTCGTGGTAGTAATTGCAGACAAAGCGGCTCGATTATGAGGGTCGTGCAGTCGTTGAGGTCTGTGAGAAGAACTGGCGCGTATGTAAGAAGAGGCGGTTGCAAGCTAGGGTGCTGAAAAGAGCTGAGAGTTGCTTGCAAAATAATGAGTTTCGAGTGCCGAACGCGCAGTGGAGTGTCATGGGGTAATCTAGATATACTAGTGCTGAAACGGAGCCAAGGTACTGCCCAATCCGGCAAAGGCTTTTGCCAGGCAGGCGACTAGCATAAATGCGATGGACAAGTCGACCTGCTCCATCATCCTTCAGGTGCCTAGTACTAGTACCTAGGTACCTACTAAGAATGTACTCGTACTGTTAGCAGTACTGACTACTACCTAGTAGTTGTACAGCACGTGGAGGAGGCACCTTGGTTGGAATCAGAAGATCATGCCTAGAGGTAGGTACCTAGTATTAAGGTTGGCCTTCATGTTTAATATAAAGCAATTGGCTGTAGGCTACCTTAGGCATATTTGCAGCATGTTGTTTTCTTCCCATCGTCGTGTCTGCGGCGTGCATGAAATCTTGATGCTTAGTATGTACCGGTTCTAGAGTGACTTGCCATGGCTCCCGACTCAGACTTGTGCATGATATATACTATCTTAGTATTAGCATGTTGAAATGAGCATCATTAGAGTATCGGCAGGTATCCATAGCAAGTGCAAGTAGAGCATTTAGCAGCATTGCGCGACAGGTGTTCCTATAATCTGGCCAGGGTACTGCGAGCCTGCCTTGCTACCTACCTACATACCTACCTGATATACCGCCTCGAAGCCACCTAAACCTCCGAAAGCGCTGTTCCCCATGCTGTAGCACGAAACGATATGCGTGCCGAGTGCCAACAAATCTCCGACACTGCTGGGCCATCTTTGCATCTGAAGCGTCGTTTCCGAAGCGCCTGAACGAGCTCGAGCACACCCCCCTGAGCTACATATATGTCGGGCGAAATGCTGTCGTACAACCAGCGTGCCCAAGCGGCACTCTTGAAGGCTGTTAGTAGTACTGACTCTCCACATGCTCAACCCTCGAGAGGGAGCGTCATGCTAATGCGAGTTACCACCAGATCAATCGTGTCTTTGATCTGAACCGCGATGCCGAGACTCTCGAAGGATTGGCTAATGGGATAACTCTTGGTCACATCCTGCATGAGTTGGATTCCGAGTTTGACCCGTCGCACCTCGAGACGAACCCAGGAGCTCCCAAAACCCTGGCCAACAAACGCAACAGGCAGGCCATCTACAAGGGCCTCTTTCGATTCATCCGCCGTCAGATCCCCGAGCTCAGTTGTCAAGCCAAAAAGTTCGACTATCATGCCTTTGTCGAGAATCCCGAGCCGCAGGGCATCAGCCAGGTATTGTTCCGTCTGCCTTCTCAAGATTGCAGGAATCTGACAGACACAACCTCTAGCTCCTGGCTGTCATGGTCTCAGCCGCCGCAATGGGCCCAGATAACCAAAAATATGTACCCCGAATACAGAATGGGCTTGATCGCGACACCCAAGCCGAAATCATGCAGATCATTCGTGCCATGCAGCAAGATATCGCAAACTCCAAGGACGACGATGACCTAGACGAGACCATCGACGCGGCCATGGGAGCCCGTGATATCGAGCTTCTCGTGGAAGAGCAGAACGCTGCACTGCGCCAGCAGCTCGATATAACGAAAAAGACCCTCTCGGACTACATCACTCGCCTGGAGCACCTTCAACAGAGCCACGAGGAGCTTGCTTACGACAAAGAGAAAAACGACCGGGAGCTCGAGGTCCTACGCAAAGCGACACAAGATGGTGCGCACAGTGCCAAGACCATCAAGCATCTGGAAGAACAAGTCCATGAACAGATGGAGATAATCGCCAGGAACGAGGAGGTCATCCGCAGTAGCCAGAAGACGGTGTCCCAACTGGAGAGCGAAGTACAACGCCTGAGCCAGAAGAATATGCAGGCGGACGAGTATCGGGACCAGATGACGGAATGGCGGCACAAGGCTGAGGAGCTTGAGAAGAAGGCCAACATGGCGGAACGGTACAAGCAGAAGCTCGAATCACAGCAGAGCCTGGTGAGGGAGGTGCAGAATCTGCAGTACGAACGAGCAGAGCTGCAAGAACAACTCCGTTCGCTCATGGAAGAGAGGGAGAGGAGTGAGCGAACCAAGAAAGCGGAAGATGAATTAACAAAGATGATCACACAGTCCGAGCAGCATCTCTGGGATGAGCGCAACCAGAAAGCGCAACTCCTCAGGGACGTTACCGCTCTCCAGGAAGAACTCATGCGGCTACAGGCGCAACGGACGCATGATGAGCACTTTATCCAAGATTTGCAGGAACAGCTGCAACACACGGGTGGCACCACGGTGCAGGAAGTAGACAACGATGAAACCTCCTCGCCTTTCAATCTCGAGGACGAGCTGCTCATTGCGTCAAAGGAAGACTCGCAGACTAACCTGCCTTTGGAGCTTTCCAGACTCAGAGCAGAGAACGAGCTGATTCGGAAAACCGTCGGTTCTCCTGGAGATGTCGCCGTGCTCCGACGAGAATTGGAAGAGCAGAAGCGTCAACGGGAGCGTCTGCAGCAGAACTACAACAGCATTTTCGAGAAGTATACCATCTTGAACGACCATATGCAGGCTCTGATGAGCGATAATGCCGAGGAAGGGTGAGTCGGGCACACTGAGTCCCTGGCCTCTCGAGAGATGGAGACTGACGCTTCTTACCATAGGACTGAGGCATTCATCAAACTTCGACAGGAGCTGACTCGATTGGAGCTCGAATTCGAACAAGCCCGGAAGCTAATCAGCAGCCTCGAGGCCCAACTGGCGGACAAAAATCGGGAAGTGCTTGCTTTGCAAACAGACCTGTCTGCTGTCCAAAAGGATAGCATAGCAGCATTAGAAGAGCTCAAGAGCACGGACAAACTGATATCGACTTCGTTGACCAGCGAGCTTGAGCGTCAGAGGGAGGAGTATAGCTTTATCATGAATGAACGAGATGCGCTAAAATCCCAGCTTATTGAAGCTTTACTGGCCAACGACAAGCTTAGAAAGGAGTCAGATGAAAACAAAGATCTGCAAGATGGCACTGCTTTGTCGACGGACGGCGATGGCTCGGATGCCGCGAAAAAGGCCGCCGAGAAGGTCGAGAAGCTGAGAGCACGGCTTATCCAGAGAAATCAGGTGAGTGATGAGCCATGTTGGGCGACGTATGCCAGTTGCACCATTAACTCACGCTTCCCGCCAGCAACTCGAGAAGTCGGAACAAGAAAGGCTCGAGCTTCAAACGAGGCTCAAGGCAGTACAGCTTGGGGAAGGCTCGGCCGCACAAAAGGTAGGCCCTACTACACGACAGTCTACGATTCTATCCTCCATGATCAGCGATGGCTGGCGGTTGGGCAGCAGCAGCTGTTTTGGTCGTCCACGCACATCCATCTCCCGACCTCCCTCTTCATGGGAACTGACAAAAAGGCATGCGGCTAACCCGAACGCCCAGGCTGCTTCCGATCACATCATCAAGAACCTCCAGAGAGAAAATGCATTAATCGCGACCGCTTGGTACGATCTCACGAGCCGGCTTCAGAGCAACCACGTCGTACTTCAGCGCCGGCACGACGCGCCCAAGAGCTGGCTTAACAAACAGAGGCAGTTGGTGAATGGTCAGTTGCGCCAACGCGACATGCTCTACCTCTACTGACCTGTCTCTTCAGCGACTTCAAGGAGGTAGGATTCAAGGGGTTGGGCTTCATCTACCTACATACCGTAGCTTCTCCCTGGGGTACATATTATGATTGCTCAGGCGAATTGTGGGCAAAGACTTGAAATTTCTCAGCGTTGCATATTCACACTCAGATCGACTTAGATTTTTGTCGACCGAGTCTTGTTTCGTCCAGCTGCCTTGCTTCACTTGTCATAGCTTTCCCATCACGTTGATTTTCCGTCCCAATTTTGCAGATAGATGAACAATCCAAAGCGCTGGTTTTGACGCAGAGCCGTGTCTGTCTCTATCAATTCGCGAGATGTCCTCCCCAGAGCCATGTTCTAGAATAAAAAGCTCGACAAGAAAGAGAAAAGATTAATAGGCTTATAGTAGTAGGTGGAGCCAACCCAGCACACTCATACAGCCGTATATAAAAAGCATACAGGGCATGACGTCTTTCTTGAGAGCTTTAGCTCTTTCCAGCAATTCTGCTGAAGATGGAAGAACCATGAGACTTCTTGCCTTCCAGGATTTCCAGCATGTTCTTCCACACCTCACCAGGCTGCTGGCTCGCGTCCACGCCCTTCCAGATGCCGCTCTTTTGGTAATACTCGACCACAGGGGCCGTCTGCTTGTGGTAAGTCGCAAGACGCTTCTTGAGGGCCTCGGCGTTGTCATCGCTTCTCTGGATGAGAGGCTCCCCGGTCACGTCGTCCTTCATGGGCTGCTTCGGGGGGTTGAAGGTCGTGTGGTAGGAGCGTCCAGAAGCTGGGTGGATCAGTCGACCAGTGATGCGGGCAACTAGCAGAGCGTCGTCAATCTGCAGCTCAACAGCGTGCTGAAGAGTCTGGTTGCGCTCCTTCAGCATGGCATCGAGGCCCTCCGCCTGAGGCACGGTCCGAGGGAAGCCGTCGAGGATGAACCTGTTGCGCCTCAAGTAAGTTTCGAGACTCTTTTCTTCTTCTTCTTCTTCTTTCTTTCCAATGAAGGGGATGAGTTGGGGAATCAATGGGGCTACCTACCCGCCCTGGCACTCCTTGTTGTTCTCCAGCTCTTCCTTGATCATACCAATGACGATGTCGTCGCTGACGAGGCCGCCCTGGTCCATGATCTTCTTGGCTTCTCTTCCGAGAGGAGTCTTCTTAGCGACTTGTGACCGCAGCATGTCGCCAGTAGCCTAGACAATCACCGGCACGACTCATGTTAGACACATGCGCACGTTCCGCGAGATGCCAATTGACTTCCACATACCAAGTGACAGCAGGAAAAGCGCTCCTTGATCTTCGGCGCTTGGGTCCCCTTGCCTGGACGGCGTGTAAGCATTATGACGCATATTTAACGATACCTCTGCCATAATAGAAGCACTCACCAGCTCCTGGGGGCCCAATCAGGATCATCCGGAGGCTCTCGGTAGTGACAGGAGCGGCTCCTGTAGCACGCTGTTCGAGCTGCTTGATGCGCGATTCGAGTCCGCCGATTACATCGCGCAGATGCTTGAGCTCGTCCTCTACAAACCCCATTGTGATTGATCGGCGGCGCGGCGGCGGAGAGTCGTTGCGAAGGAGTGAGGAGGATTGGGAATTGGAGCGATTCGAGCACCCAAGAACGAGATTGTAGGTCGAATGAAGGCAACGAGAGGAATTTGAGATGTGGTGGCATGCGGATCTACCTAAGTATATGAAGCTGCCACGGTTCGTTTCTCACGACAGACTAGGCTGGTTTCGCACTAGCCGAATCTTCACATTACTGTAAATTAAATCAAGTGATCTACATGTAGTTAGTAAATACTAATTATACTTAGCTTGTTCTTTATTAAGTTTTTATTTAAATTTTTTATATTAATTATTTTAGATAAATAAATTACAATAATATATAGTTTATAAATTAATAAACCTAACTTGTTATAAAGACATGTTACGGCTTGTTTATTACAATAGTAGATTTATACTTGAATCTAGATTCCTATATAGAAACTTGTACTACTTCCGGGCGAACGGAGGGGACTTAGTAAGCTCGTGTTACAGCCGCAAAACGCGCACCAACGGGAACTCGTTTGAGGCGACATGGAAATCTCACGCAGCACTGCTCCGTATCCGAGGTATTACTAGTCGGGATGGTACTACCGGCACTCGATTCGGCGAATTTCCCCGGAGTCTCACAGCCATGGAGGTGGCCCGGTTATCGGGAGTTCCATTTTCCGTAGCGTTCAACGACGTACATACATAGTACACTGCTTGACCATGTCCAGTGCATCGTTTGGTAAGGTATTCGACCAGCAGGAGACCAGGAGATATTTAGGTATCGTGGAGCAGTGATGATTGACATGTGACAAGGTAATACCAAGCGCTGCTTCAAAGGCATCTGAATTTGGATGCCCTCAGAGCCGCATCTTGAAGCCAGATATCGTCCTGCTTAGTGATGCTGCTCCCTAGTGTATAAAGGTACAACGAGATGCAGTTACATGAGGAATAGTAGGTTGGTAGGTACCGAGTAGGTAAGGTAGTACTGTAATATCGAATCTGGACGACATGGCCCCCGGCTCGGGCACCATTATGCGTCATTCCACAAGTCCTTGGTTTCTTCCTCTACCGCGCGCATGGCCACTGCTACTGATTCAAGCTTGGCAATAACGTCAATGACTCCGTCGTTGACGCGCTCAAAATATTCATCATTGGCCTCGCGACGCTTTCTCGCAAGAAGGATGTCGGCCTCGGTCTCTTCCACCAACTTTGCGCCCAGGCGATCAACTCTCTTGTCATCACTTCCTTGCCATCCACTCGATGTGCCCATCATGCTCTTGGCCGCATCGGTCCCTTCTCCCCTCTCTGGCCTTGACGAGTCCAGCAGCCCGTCTCGGAGATTGGGCGCTTCATCGGCTTTGAGTTCATTCATGTGGTCACGAAGAGCAGTCTCTATAGTATCGTCCGCCTCACTCCTGGCCCAGGCTTGTGCAAGTACGATCTGAGCGGTCCTCAGCTCCGCCAGTTTGCGGTCGTGGTCAGGCCCAAACACATGAGTCCCTTCAGAGGCAGACAGTTCCACCTTCTCCAGCGTCGCTTGCATCTCTGCCCACAGCGCATCTGTCCTGTCGGTGCCTCCATAGCTCCCCTTGGTCGGCAAGGCCCACTCGGGGCGCCGTTCGGATGGCATCTCTGACCCGGAGCGCGATTGCGCGCCGCCAGCGTCTGCACTGCCCTGATCCCATTTCAAATTGTGCCTCCCAAGGGCCGGAGCGCTGGAGGTGAGGGCGCCAGGGAGCGAGACACGGGAAATGCCGGGCGACGGAGAAGCGAACGAGAGAGGCGGAGGATCCCGCCCCTTTGACTTTGGCTCGGCCGTGAGCGACATGGCGCGTCAAGAGGAGTTGCAGCTAATGCAGAATCAAGGCTGTACTTCTCACGAGCATGGCGATCGAGGGGGGAGTCGAGGGGGTGAAGACGGCAAGTGTGGGGCCCGAAGACTGGCTGGTCCGGCTTTAGAACCGGACCCAAAAGGCGGAAACGGAAGTACGTACCAGCAGGCTGGTGCCGGTGATGGATCAAAATACTCCCGGATAGCGTTCCGCGGTCACGTGGAGCCGCTTTGCCACTCGCAAATTTGTGCCTCTAGGGCCGCAAACCCTATCGGAGTTTTTGCGAACGTCTCAATCCACCCTCGACTTTTCGGTGCTGTCACATTATCCTACCCAAACCGTTGTCGCCATATTAGCATAAACCGGTACGTCCATCACCAAACCTGCCGTCACCCCAAACCACCAACCTCCTCGATCGGCCAATTCCCCTCGTACTGACACGACGAAGCAAACATGGCTGGTGGCAAGCCCAGAGGTCTCAACGCCGCGCGCAAGCTGCGAACCAACCGAAAGGACCAGAAATGGGCTGATCTCGCCTACAAGAAGCGTGCTCTGGGCACTGCCTTCAAGTCCTCACCGTTCGGTGGCTCTTCCCACGCCAAGGGCATCGTTCTCGAGAAAGTTGGTGTCGAAGCCAAGCAGCCCAACTCCGCCATCCGAAAGTGTGTCCGTGTTCAGCTCATCAAGAACGGAAAGAAAGTCACTGCTTTCGGTGCGTCCCAGAACTCTAGAAACGACTTGTCGCGCTCGGGAACGACGGCTAACATTTAGGCTCACCACAGTCCCCAACGACGGTTGCTTGAACTTCGTTGACGAGAACGACGAAGTCCTGCTCGCTGGATTCGGTCGCAAGGGCAAGGCCAAGGGTGATATTCCCGGTGTTCGATTCAAGGTCGTCAAGGTTTCCGGTGTCGGTCTGTTGGCTCTGTGGAAGGAGAAGAAGGAGAAGCCCCGATCATAAAGGCAGTTACTGGGGGGAAGGAGGCGTCATCAAAAGGATCTTGAGGAGCTCTTTTGGCTCGTTTGCACTGGCACCACTAGTCATGGCCCTATAAATGGGAGGCTAAGCTTATGAAAGGGATCACACATCTCGGAAGAAACAATTTTTTTTTCAGCATGTTCAACAGACAGGCGGCACCGGATTGGGCGTCTACTCGCACTACCAAATGACGGGACGAAGTGCAGGGAGCATGTGTGTTTGTGTGTCTTTTTTTTTGTTCTTCTCTATATCAAGGCAGCCTGATCAGGCATGGAGCTTTGCGTCTTCCTCCGCTGCGGACTCGAGCTCAGGCTGGTTGAGAGAGCGAGCGACGTAATCGGCAGCCATACCAATACTAATGACCCCCCCTGTGATCCAGCAGCCGTTGACAAACCACCACCAGCAATCCCTCACGCTCTTGAGATTCACCCGCTTGATCATGATGCCCAGCGTTACGAGGGCTCCGCCGCAGCTGCCGAGGAAGAAGATGGGACCAGCTCCCGCAGCCACCCCGGCTGAGCCCAGCAAAGCTACTTGAGCAATAGCAAGCCCAGTCAGGACCTGCTTGGTCTGGTTCTCGTGCTTCAGCGCAATGCTCTTGATGCCCGCGTTTGCGTCATCTTTGATGTCCATATGAGCGTATATCATGTCGTATAGGACAACCCAGGCGATGTTCGAGGTATAGAGACATGCTGCGGCTATGAGCGCAGAAGAATTGGAAAGCAAATCGATGCCGAGTGCTGGAAAACCCATGATTGCACCCCAGGAGAAGGCTAGCCCCAAGACGGCTTGAGGATAGTAGGTAACCCGCTTTGCCAGGGGATATGTGGTGACCAGGGCGAGGCTTGGTATGCCATAGGCCAGGCATGGCAATGGAAACTGAACCAAGACAGCCAGCCCGGCAAGCAGCTGGAATCCTGTGAAGACGACTCCTTGGAACGGCGTGATAGCACCCCGCGCAATCGGCCGCAATCGGGTTCTCCGGACTTGGGGATCGAGGTTTCTGTCCCAGAGGTCATTAATGGTGCAGCCGGCGCCGCGCATGATCAATGCGCCGCTGAAGAACAGAGCCGACGTGGCGGCGACTGAGGAGAAGGAGGCCATGGGCTCTGCCATTGGCGCCGCTAGGAGCGTAGAGAAGAGGCATGGGAAGAAGAGGTAGTAGGTCCCGGCGGGTTTGTCGATGCGGATGAGTTCGCCATAGGGGACCCATGACTTGGGAACAACCGACAAGATGCCAGTTTGAGCCGGGACATACTCTGCTAGACGCTCATCATTAGCTGACTTATCGGGAGCAGCAGTGTCGAGGCTTGGCTGCAGCTTTCTCAGGGTCTGGTGAAAGGCGACAGCTCTCTGGCGATGGACCAGCAATCGACCGGCGATACCCTCATGTGAGCGCAAGGCCGGAGGAGGCAGCATCGATGACGGGCCAATCGAGCCATTGCTGCACCTCCATCGCGCCCGGTGCAGGATGGGCACTCTGGCAGCGAACCTCAGCGTCATGGGATTGCTGGAGCGTGTTGTCGTCACCGGGCGCACGAAGAGAGAGAATATGCCCTTGTCAAAATCCTTACATGCCAGTCATCGGATTCGGATATTTTCAATGCAGCAAATCCCGCCCCGCTGGATGGGGGGTATTTCACACTGTATCTTTTAAATTAATCTTCTAACAATTATAACTTATAATTAAGTACTAGTTTACATATAGAAGAAATCTTATTATATAATTAATATAAGTAAAATATATTATTTTATTAATTTAATATAGTATATTTTAAAAAAATATTATTTAAATTTATAATTTAAGGAATTAAGAATATATTTATATAAATTAAGTAAAACATTAATACATTTTCTTAAAAAATACTAGAGATTTGAAATTCTATAGTCTAAGTTAAATCCCTTGATTCAGATTAAGCTGCTCTACCTAGGTAGTGTAATATGGCTGCTTTGCACTGTAAGATAGTCTACCGAGCTTGACATGTGCTTGACGCTCGCAAGTACATACTAGGTAGATCGCCTCGTCCCTTGCATGTGCCTCGGCCCAGCCCATCGTCGCTCACCCCACCTGACCTTCAACTTCCCGCAACACTTCAAAATGGACCGACAGCCTGAACGTAATAGACCAGACGAGGTCGCATCTTCATCTTCCATCTCATCTGATGGTCACAGTTCACAGCCAGTGTCAATGGATCGCAAAGGCAAACAAAAAGCATGGCCGGGATCGGCAGCTTCTCGCCTCGAGGCCTCCACCAAGCTGGTGGTGAACGCCATCACATCCGCCCGCGAGATGCCAGCTTTGGCTTCGGAATCCAAATCGTCTAGCAGCTCGGGGGGTTTGACTTCGCTATCTGGTATTGCCGGCGAGCCCTCATCGTTCACGTCACATAAGCAGACGCCGTTTGAGCCGGGACGCATGGCGGCAAATGAATGCCACGATGGCTTATTCGAGAATTTCACTGATAACTACACGGATATGTTAGCCGTTGATGGCTACTACGACGGCATTTCAGAATCCTCATTCGCGAATCAAGAGGCCTCTGATGGGCTGGCGGTTGTGGATCTGCTCTGTCAGACGGGAGTCGAGTCCCCTGCAGCAATGCTTGGCCAAGCGCATGGTCTTCGTGCGTCGGAAGACGACGATCCATGGTTGGAGGCTGCAATTGGGACTGCCGATGGTCCAGAAGACCAGCTTGATTTCACACCCGACTTTCTCACCAGCCCCGAGCTGTCCGAGCAAGCAGCACTCTATCTAGGAACGGGGGATATTCAGGAAACGAGCCGTACTTGGTTTGGGTACTGGAGTGAAGTGTTTGCGACGTACAATGCACGGGTCTGGGGTAATGCGCATCCGACGTCGCCAGGAAGCGATCTCCAGCAAGACCACGGCAATAGCGAACCAACGACGATGAATCGGGCCCTTAGTCGGCTAAAGCAGATTCTTTATCATCTCACATGAAATCTAATATGAATCAGAATCGTGGGGAGTCCAAGATGGCCTCAAGCTGATGACGTTATAGCAGGCCATGGTGATATCTGTGTACAAGGATAGCGTCGAGCCAAGGATAAAGGGAAATTGATCCAAACACCTCTTGTAATAAATACTGAAATTTGTAACTCTCCGCCTCCCAATGCCACACCTCAAGGCCCTTGTATACATCGTCTTCCGCACCCATTTTGCTAGTAGTATTGTTCAATGTCTGGAAGCAAGCAGGTTGGACTGACGTGGCGGTGCGAAGCTATTCGAGCTACTAGTAGGTACCAACGTCTTGGGTCCCTTGAATGCGCTAAGCCTTGATTGATTACGCCTACTGGAGGATGCGTCGTACTAGGCCGGAATTATTTCCATCCTTGATTCTCGCATCGCGCTTATCAACACCTTCCACCTCAAGTGACAGGTGAAGCTGTACGCGACCGCACTGATTCACGGTCAACGCAGTGCCTCATCAAACCCTGGGGATTCAGTTGATAGGCCCCTACTGGGCCTCATCGCGTGCCTCAAAAAGGCCATCCTGCGCACCGAGAGACTGCACTTTTCCTCCAAACAAGCGCCGAGCCGATCGCCATCCATCGCATTCCCCATGGTCGACCCTGCTGGACGGCGCCACGCAGAACAGAATGCCTAGCGCACAGCACCCACAGGCAAAGTTCGATCCGATACCCCCAGATCTTGATCTGCCCTCCCTGGTGGATCGGACGCCGAACTTTCGATGGGCTCAGCGGGTATCTCGAGCCCAGATCCGCAGCCTGAGCCAGCAGGACTTTGAGAAGCTTGTCGCGATCCACGTCATAGCAGGCGGCAAGCCCCTGGTCATTGAAGGCTGGGATGCTGTTCTGCCTTCATCGCTGTTCAGTGCGGGATGGCTTGAGCATTCTTACGATAAGAAACGTTGGTCACCAGCCCCAAAACCCGTCGCGACCAGAGGAAGAGGATAGTACTAACCCGCTTGCACTGCAGAGGAGAATGTCCGTGACATTTCCAACGGCACTGATATTCCGATGACCACGGGGCATTATCTGCGGTCTATGAGGCAGCTCACCAACCAGTGGACCCCGAGTACCTACCGCGATGAGAGGCGCCAGCGACTCTACCTCAAGGACATCGACTGTCCCGTTGAATGGCGCGAGGCGTTGCAAAAGGTCATACACCCTAACCTCTTCTACCTCAACGAAAACGTCACGAGTAAAGGAGGCAAACGGATGCACGACGAGGAGGTTTCCGAGAGCGAGACGATTGTTGCGCCGGCCGGAGATCTCATGTCCAGCTTACCAGAGGAAATGCGAGCCCAGAACCTCATGTGCTACATTGGCCACGAGGGGACCTATACGCCAGCTCATCGGGAGATGTGCGCATCGCTGGGGCAGAACATTATGGTCGAGGCATCGCGAGACGAGAACGGAGAAAAAAGGGGCAGCTCGATCTGGTTTATGACTGAGAGCAAGGACCGCGAGGTTGTTCGCGAATACTTCCTGTCGATGCTCGGCCATGATATTGAGATTGAGAAGCACTTTGCCCAAGTCAACGCTTGGAAGAAGGCGCCGTTCGATGTCTACATTGTCGAGCAATGTCCGGGCGACTTCATCCTCATTCCGCCTCTCGCCGCGCACCAAGTCTGGAACAGAGGGACCAGGACGATGAAGGTCGCATGGAACCGTACAACAGTTGAGACGCTGGACCTCGCCCTACACGAAGCGCTTCCAAAAGCTCGCCTGGTGTGCCGGGACGAACAGTATAAGAACAAAGCCATTATCTACTACACTCTTCAGAAGTACCACGGGCTGCTTCAAGGCGCCCAGAAGAAGGCGGAGATGGTTCAGATTGGCTTCCCCGGCTTTGGGCGCGATGTCTTCAGAAGCTCTCCGCGTGTCAAGCAGCTAGCAGCCGACTTCAAGAAACTGTTCGAGCTGTTTACCGAGATCCTTGTCGATGAAGTTTTTGCCTTTAAGGAGAAGGACGTCGAGTTTTTACCTTTTGATTCTTGCGTTACGTGCTCTTACTGCAGGTCCAATATCTTCAATCGATTCTTGACATGCAAACACTGCATCAGACCTCTAATCAACGGGGAAGAAGACGCATACGACGTCTGCATGGAATGCTATGCAATGGGCCGATCATGCGCCTGCCTCTCTGGTCTTCAGTGGTGTGAGCAGTGGTCCTGGTCAGAGCTGACTGACAACTATGAATCCTGGAGAGCAACTGTAATCGCCATTGATGGCCATGTGGATTTGGAACGCTCTCCCCACCCGCTCGAGGTAGCCAGACAAAGGACAGGGAAGAAGTCTCTCGCTCAGATCTGCCAAGAGGCTTTACGGCGGCGTCCATGGAAAGATATTACGAAGCCAGAGCGTGAAAGTACGCCCAGTGACAGTGAGCCGGGCGACGGGGAGGGCAAACCAGCCAAAAAGTCAAAGAAGAAGAGGAAGAAGAAGGGCGAACTTCAACGATGCCACGTCTGCTGTCACCCGGACTACAGCTACCGAGTACATTCATGCACCAACCCTGGATGCTCTGAAGCCTACTGCTACGGCGTCTTGTATCGCGCATTCGATCTCATGCCGCAAACTGTCTTGGAAGACGAGCACTGGCAATGCCCCAAGTGCCTCGGAATATGCAACTGTGGCCACTGCCGCCGAGCAGGCATCACGCAGCCATACATGCCCAAGAACACATCTCTCGGGCACGATACTCGCCGGATAGCCGACGACCGCAGTGTGGAGGCACTCGTTGACTTCCGAATCCACAACCTGTCTTGGCTCAAGGCCGCAGGGGAGGAGAGCCGTAGCAGGGACAGCAAGAGAATGCAGTTGCTACGGGAGCAGGCGGATAATGCCAAAGCGCAAGACGTGCTCACGCAGGACCACGCAGAGTCCAGGATGCACCCCAGCTCTGTTTTCACCACGCAGCTGGAGGAGGTTCCTGCAGTCAATGGTTATGGAGACCAAAGCCATGTGCTCGGTCGGGACGGAGGACACCATCCGGGCTTCCCTCTCGACGCGCCTAATGTCCAACCTCGCGCCGTTGACAAGGCGCAACAGGAAGTTGCGGCGCCTATCGCGGCCAACGAAGGAGAGGTTGTGACGGCGGATTCATCTCAATATCCCGATCCATCGGTGTTCGCACGCCAGCGTATAGGAATGGGTTACTACGAACAGGATGACACTCCGGACAAGATCCTCTTTGATCCATACCAGGCGCCTTCCGCAGAGTCGATGCAAGCTGACGAACCCACAGTTCCGGAGTTTGTAAAGAAATCCATCCGGGCAGCCAAGAGAAAAGCGAAACGGGAGAACGAGGACCCCGAATTCACGGTTCGCAAGAGCCATCACAAGAGACCCAAGATTGTACCAGAGTCAACCGATTTTCTCGACAACATGGATCCGGCTCTTTTTGCCGACGGAGGCTCGGCAGCAATGGCTGCTCCGGCGGCTCCTATGGCCCCCATGAATAGTGAAGCTTCCGCGATTCCGCCTGCAGCACCCGAAGGAGACGCGGAGCCCAAAGCGCCTAGAATGACTATGCCTCTGTATGATGCAAATGAGCCAATTCTCCGGCATGCTAAACCACGGGCGTCTTACGTGGAGGTTGACGACCTAGATCTTGATGATATAGAGGAAACCGCTGTTCCCTCTTGGCCCTCCCCATCGCTGGACGGGAGCTCAACGAAGCCTCAGAACGGAGCGGGCGGTGAGACTACTCAAGCGGTACATGCAAACGGCGATGGACAGGAAACGAGCAAGCCCGAGGGACAACGACCTGACACATCAATCCAAGACGCAAATGGGGAGGCGGTGCCAAAGCGACGTGGCCGACCCCCGAGAAACCCGTCTAAGAAGGCCTCATCATCGATTGTGGTGGGAATTTCGCCGGCACCCCGAGCTGGCAACGGAAAGAACAAGCGACGGAGGGGACGCCCAAGAAAGGCATTGTCCACATCCTTCAAGGAGTCAGACGACAGTCAAGAAGAAGACGATGGTGATGCAGGATTCACGGACACAAAGGAGACGTTGGATGATGCGTATGATGCGGACTTTAGCCCAGCTCGGAATTCTCGGAGCCGACGTTGGCCTGCCAGACGTCGAGGCATCACCACCATCGCCGCCAGCAGTGCACAAGATGATGAAGATCTCGATGCCTCCACGGAATTGCCGCCCGAGGATGAAGCAGGAGACCAAGCGCCAAAGAGGAAGAGAGGCCGACCTCGGAAATCCGACGTATCGACTCGGGGCGCATCCTCCCTTGATGTGGTCATACCGGTGCATTCTCGATTCATGTCCATGGCTGAACGGATGGCTCTTAAAGGGAGGTCATTCAAAATCGGCACACGGAAATCATTGAGCCAGTCGAAGGTGTCTCGAGCGGGGCAGGATACGAATGACGACAAGACGGAGCAAAGTGAAGAGCACTCCGCCGAGAAAGGAGTGTCCAAGAGAAGCTTTCGCCTAGACAAGGCTTCTGAAGATGATGGGGATGAGGGTGAAGGAGAAGACGGCGACAAGGACTCAATATCGCAGAAGCCCGGCCGAAGCGCAGAGAACAACAGCAACAAGACGCCAAATCGTTCCCTGTCGAGTAGCTCTAAGGAATCAACAGACGACGAGGATATACCTTCGAATGGTCGCAATATCCGAAGCACCAGGCGTTGATGAAGGACCGGTTGACAAGAGCAAGAGGAGACGCGTTTGAGGCGGTTGCAAGCTGCGCCAAGTGAATGTTATATTGAGGCAATACAGGAAGAGCACTGTATGAAACGAATGTAAACTGGAACGGATAATTAGTGTAACAAATAATGAACCTACGTCACGACTGGTGCTTCTCGTCGCTCTGTGCTGCGCCTTGGTTGGCCCTCGAAGAAGAAACTGACTGGCTTTATGCTCAGAGCGGGAGTCCCTATACTTGAGAGGGAGGAGGGCCATACTTTGTTCTTTCTTGTACCTCTCATTTGGTCTGTATGGTACGGTATGGTTCCTAGGTAGATTATCAATAGTACGTCTTATTTCAAGCTATACTATCGCGTTTATACTTTGTCTTTTTCTTCTTTTGCCTAAATTTGATTAGGACGTTGCTTCACTCCTGCATTCACTCCTTAGTGTAGACTACCATATGCAACCCTTGAGCTGTTGACGGCGTTTAGGCGCTCTCCAGTGTTCCAAAAGATTTCTACCTGTTGGCTACAGTGCTGAAAATACAAAGAGCTGCCGCGAAGAGAACGGTTGGGTTAGCTTCCAATACTCGGTCGGATGGCTTGTTTTCCAAGGTCGGGGGGGAAAAGGGGGGGGGGGGGGGGGGGGGGGGCGGCAAGAACTCACATTGTTGGTTGCGGCTATGGCAATACTGTCCTCAAACGGGTGCCAGCTCATGTGTAGTATCTTCTTGTTGAAGTCAATCTGGTCCGCGTCCGTCTCTTTCCGCATCCTCTGGCCCTGGGCACCACCAGCCGGGCTCCCCGCTCTTGAGCCGCCCTTCTTGCCACCGTTGGCAGCGGGACTTGAAGACGAGTTGATGGGCGTGGGGACGCCCACCTTCTTTGCCTTGAAAGCCGACTTGTCCGCCTGCAGGACCACTTCCACCTCCTTGTCCGGGTCGGAAGGATAGATCATGAAGTTGTTGTTGTAGCTGCCGGTCATGACGTTCTTGGCGTCGCCAGAGAAGACGACCTCGAACTTGTCGAAGATACTATCGTTTTCGTACGTGTCGCATAATCGAGGTCGCAGGTGCTCGTGGATGGGTATCGTCTTGACCGGTTGTCGCTCCATGTTGATGTCCCAAATCTTGACGGTGAGGTAATCTCGCGACAAGACATATCTTCCGTCGTAGGAGAATCGAACATCTGATATTGACGAGATGATTTCGGAGAAGAATGACCTCGATGACGGGTCCTCTTCTTGTTCGAATACTATTATGAGTGAATCCGGCCGGACCCCCCTTTGATTAGCTTCTTCTTTCTTCTTCTTCTCGACCTGTTCTGGACTTTCCCGTAGGCGACTCGGGAGGATATGGGGGGTGGCTTGGTTTGGTACAAACATTTTGCGTGCTGGTCGCACAAGGCGCTCTCTCGCATGTCGGCGAGCTTGATGGTGCCCTTGGAGCTGGCATACATGAACCAGTTGCAGCTGATGGGGTGGAACTCGGCAGCGGTGATGACCTCGGTCAGCTCCTCCATGTTGGCGGGTTTGATGTCAACGATGTTGAAGCTCTGGTCCTGGATGTTGAGGTTCCACAGGTTGATGCGCAAATCGTCACTGCTAATGAACGTTTCGCCATCACTGTTGACGGATATGCTGTTGATGTGGTACGCGTGGGCGTTGGCGTAGGTCCGTCGCGGGACGGCGGCAACGACGGTGTCATGATGTGTGAGACGAGGCAGCTTGAGATCGGCCGCGTTCCTGAAGTGCTGAGTCGTGGGCAGGGCTCGAAGGCCGCCGCCGCCGCCTACCGGGCCGCCGGGCGTTACGTCGTGAGAAAGATTGTTCTCGGCCACCACTTTAAGAGACTTTTCGAAAACCTTCCACAGCTTGATCGTCTTGTCGTTGGTTGATAGGAGGTAATGGGAGGCATTCTGTCGACGGCACCACTTGATCTTGTTGATCTTCTCCTCGATTTCGAGCGATTTGAGGTAGTCAAACTCAGGCTCGTGGGACTGAAACTCGGTGTGAAACTTGTATTCACATGATTTTTTCTGCAAAAGAATGCCATTAGACACGAGCTGCAAAAGCTGGGGAGAGGTGGAGCAGAGGGGTAGATGAGAAGGACAGTCAAGAGGGGAAGAAAGGAAGAAGGGAAGAGGGGGGAAGCATAGGGGCAAGAAGGGGGTCAAGGGCGGCGAGGTATACCGTCTCGTTGCGCTCAAATAGAACCACTCGTCCTCCCTTATCGCCGGTGGCCAGATAGTTGCCTGTGTGGTCAAACTCTACCGTTGAGATGATGTCGGCTACGCCTCCGCGGTCAGTATCTCTCACGGCATACGTCAGAGGGGGGAGAGGTCTGCTCTGTGTTTGGCGGCGAACCTTCAGTGATATCCTCGACATCGCCCTTGTCGCCGAAGCATCTGCAGCGATCCGAGTCAGCGGCACGCCCAATTCAATTCCATCATCATCGGCATCATCGGCGGGCTCAGAGACGGGGGCACGTACTGGGTGAACTTCCAGGTCGGCGAGCTCGCTTCACTGTCGACCATTTTGGTTGGCAGCGATAGCAGGGATCAGAGGTGAGAGAGAGATCAAAGGTGGCACAGGCTGCCGGGGGGGTGACGAGATGCGGGCGGAACAGGACAGGAGGTCGATGGCGGGCGCTGGCTCGGGGCGCTGGGCAGGTCGCTGCAGCTCGGTGAGGACTCGGGGCTGGCAGAGCTCGGGCGGGGGGGAAGAAGGTCGGGGCGGTGGTGGAAGCGCAAATCAGTCGTGATGAGGCGGATGATGTCGTTTGCCGTGGCACTTTGGCGGGCTGAAGAGAGACCGCACAGCTCGAGGTTACTAACGAGGTGCCACAAGCTCTAGCCGGGTGGTGGGGCACGAGAGCAAGCAAGAAGCCAGATACACTAAGGAGGAGCCTAGCCCGGTCTTGATGGAGGAGCAGCAGATAGAGGGGTTGGTCTGGGTTGGGCCGCAGCAGAGGCTGGTGATGATGATGATGATGCACGTTAATGATGCTGATGTACCTAGGTACGCTGACGCCAGCAGCCACAAGAGCTCGTATATTCCGACCTTGGTAGAGCTGGGGGTCAAAAAAGAAGAAAAGGTACAGTACGTTGTAGATGAAATAAGGAGAGGAAAAAAGAGAGGGAGAGAGAGAGGAGCGTGGCAGCCCAATTATCGAATTCTTATTTTATGTCTGGAGTATTAGTACCTGATGATGAGCTAGACCTTTGCTACTACTATTGCATTGCCTGATGTGCGCAAAGGAAAAAAAGCGGGCTGTTTCTGGGCAATTGTCTAAGGTGCTAATGATGAAGAGGTGCCTACGTGATTGCATCGCTGATTGGCCTTTGTCTTCTCTTCTCCTTTTGGAACAGCAGAGCAGGTTACAGATTGCCTGCGACGACCATGAGACAGCTCTCTGGAAATGTAATTCGAGCACTTCAAATGCCGTGCAATCCCGCGGATGCTTGACCGTGCATCATGATGGCGTATCAGAGGCTTTGGCACTGAGCACTCCCTCTACCCAGCTCTGCCATGCCCACGTTGTCCTTCGGTAGCACGGATATCTATGTACATGCGTAGGTAAAAAGCAGAATCAAGTAGACCTCAGTGACGAAGGGTTGAGAGCAGGAAGAAGCCCTCCGCTGAGGTAGGCAGTGTAGATAGGTAGTAGTTGGATCTTGCAACGCCCAGAAGCAGCCCCTCCATCTCCTCTCTTCCTCTCTCTGTCTCAACGCGTCCGTAGTATCTGGTCGATATGCTCCCGGCTATTCTTGTGCGTCGTCTCCAGATACAGCAGTCGTTGGTTTAGTCGGTCAACCTCCCCATCGAGGTCCTGGATCTGGCGCTGCAGCTTCTCTTGCAGGGTGCTGGGGGGAAGAGAAACGAACCTAGGGGTTGGAGAGTGTCAACATTAGCCCGCCATCGCGCATTTGCCGTGCTTTGCAATTGGGTATCTCAACGTACATTTTCCCGACGCCTTCATACATGACCGAGTCGCTCGGAAAGCTCTGCACCTCGTTCATGGTCAACCGCAGCAGGCGCTGTTCTCGCTGTTTCGCTGCTAATTGGGTTCGGACGATGCCAATCTGCTGCTGCGCTGCGATAGCTTGTGACTCGATCTCAAGCGCCAGCTAACCACGTCATCAGTACAAACTGTGAGAGCTGAAGACGGGAGCCACTCTACTCACCTTTTGCAGCGCCTCATTCGGTATGGCCATGGCTAGTAGCTGATTGTCCCCTTGAGGCAGCTCAAGGTCCAGTCCATGAACGTCGCGGGGTGAAACGACCAGTATCACGGCGATTGAGCAAGGGACCTACCAGTGGGTACCTAGGTACCTTATCTTCAGTGCAGTGCTTATCGATAGTGCAGTACCTAGTAGATAGCGTCTCCTGAGAGTGTACTCCATACTTCGCTCAAAGTACCCAGTACTTACTTGGAACCTCTTCAGGCTGCTGCTGAAGTTGAGTCGTAGAAGCACACATTGAACTATTAACAGCTGCCGGAGGCCAACGTGAATTCACTAGAAACAATGAGAGTTGATTTGGGTATTACAATGCTAAGGATAATATGTCACAGTAGGTAGGAATACTACCTACCTAAGGTAGAGGTATGCAGGTTCACTTTCAGAAGTTCCCTGTACCGGATACCCGCTGAGGAGTGCGATGTGACCCAGAGGCGAGGTCAAAGTAAGGGACTTCTCCACATTGTGAGTTTGGCTCGAGATTTTTCTGTCCATACATCTTCTTGCGTGCAGCGCCTGTACAGACCAAACCTCAACCCATCACCATTACTTCAACTTTCCTCGTGGGAAGGCTCTGGAAGTCTTCGCACACGCCAAGAGTTGCATAGAAACCGCAGTCAGGAGCGCAGACTCTTGATACTCGCTGCCTGATTGATAGGGGAATCCGCGGACGACTTCCGTCTCGACCCACGCGTAACCGCGTTTCCCATCCTTCCACCACTGAACCCGTCGAGAATCACCCAGCGGCACCAAAGCGGTCGTATTCCTATCACAACAGCCATAGCCCAACATGGGTATCCCCGCGGCCTTCCGATGGCTATCCAACAAGTACCCCAAAATCATCTCCCCCGTGATAGAGGAGACGCCCATCACCACCGACGATGGCGTTACCATCCCGGTTGACACCACCAGACCCAACCCCAATGGCGAGGAGCTCGACAACCTGTACCTGGACATGAATGGCATTGTCCACCCATGTTCGCATCCCGAGGACAGGCCTGCGCCCGCCGACGAGGAGGAGATGATGCTCGAGGTCTTTCGATATACCGACCGTGTCGTCAACATGGTGCGCCCGCGCAAGATCCTCATGATTGCCGTTGGTAAGCAAATGCGTCCGATGAGCATTATACTCATCCTCCTTCCCTGGGTCCGCGTTGTCTTTGACAATCCTCAGTATTGACTAATGATAAATATTATAGACGGAGTCGCGCCAAGAGCGAAGATGAACCAGCAGCGGTCGCGACGATTTCGATCAGCTCGGGAAGCCAAGGAGAAGGAAGAGGACAAGCAAGCGCTCATCGAGTTGCTCAAGCGCCAGAATGGCGGCGTCTTCGAAGCTGCAGACTCCGAGGCCGTTGTCAAGAAGGCGTTCGATTCCAACTCCATCACCCCGGGCACGCCATTCATGGATATCCTCGCCGTGAGTTTGCGGTACTGGTGCCAGTACAAGCTTAACACGGATCCCGCCTGGGCTAAGCTGAAGATCATCATCTCTGATGCTACCGTGCCGGGCGAAGGTGAACATAAAATCATGTCCTTCATCCGATCCCAGCGCGCCTCCCCAAACTACGATCCCAACACCCGCCATGTCATCTATGGCTTGGATGCCGATCTCATCATGCTGGGACTCGCCACGCACGAACCTCACTTCCGAGTTCTGCGCGAAGATGTCTTCTTCAACGAAGGCAAGAACAGGGCTTGCAAGCTCTGTGGCCAAAAAGGGCACGAGGCAAACAACTGTCGTGGAACCGCAAAGCCCAACGATATGGCCGAGGGCGATGAGCAAGCCAAGGCCGTGCAGGCCCCCCTGAAGCCCTTCATCTGGCTGCACGTCTCTGTCTTGAGGGAGTATCTCGCCATCGAGCTGTCTGTTCCCGACCTTCCCTTCAGGTTTGATCTGGAGCGGGCCATTGACGATTGGATCTTCATGTGCTGCTTCGTCGGTAATGATTTCTTGCCTCACTTGCCAGCTTTGGAAATTCGCGAACACGGAATCGACACCTTGACCACGATTTGGAGAAACAGCTTGCCGTCCATGGGCGGCTATGTCACTAAAGATGGTCACATTGATTTGGAGAGAGCCCAAGTCATACTTGACGGCCTTGCCAGCCAAGAGAGTGCAATCTTCAAGCGAAGAAAAGAACAGGAGGATCGCCGGGAAGCTTCTTTCAAGCGCAGGAAGCTTCAAAACGAGGCCTACTCGAGGAACGGGCAAAATGGCGCGTCCTCCAAGATCAACGGACATGCAGACCCGTCCAAGGGCCTGCATCTCTTCCCCATTGCAGCGCAGACTGCGAACTCGACAAACAATCTCACCGTCACGCACGACATGGTAGTCAGCCGCGGCGCGGTCCAAGATGCGACGCTTGCCAATAGGGGGGCTGCCAGCGTTATCCGAGATCGACTTCGCGCCGGGACGGCCAAAGTCGAAGACGCATCCAGCGCCCCAGCGGACGCCTCAACGGACACAGTGGCAGATGCTCCAGCAGATGCTGCAGTCGACGCCCCAGCAGACGTCCCAGCAGATAGCGCTCAGCAGACTCTCCCTTCGTCTCTTGGAAAGAGAAAGGCCCCGGATTCCGATGAGGTCGCCAACTCTTCTTCGGCCGAATCATCGAGCAACAAGCCCGTGGCACCACAAGAGGCTGAGCCGGTTGACAATGTTCGTCTCTGGGAAGATGGCTACGAAGATCGCTATTACCAGCAGAAGTTTGGCAAAGATCCGCAAGACATTGAATTTCGCCACAAAGTAGCTCACGCATACGTGGAAGGGTTGGCGTGGGTGTTGTTGTATTACTTCCAAGGGTGCCCATCCTGGGAGTGGTATTATCCTTACCACTATGCCCCCTTTGCCGCTGACTTCAAAGATCTCGCAAAGATGGAAATCAGCTTCGAGAAGGGACGAGTTTCCAGGCCGTTTGAACAACTGATGAGCGTCCTGCCAGCGGCTTCTCGCCACGCTCTCCCCGAGGTATTCCACGAACTCATGACAGAGAAAGACAGCGAGATCATCGACTTCTATCCTGAGGAATTTGAGATTGACCTCAATGGAAAGAAGATGGCATGGCAGGGTGTGGCTTTGCTTCCATTCATCGACATGAAGCGCCTCCTCAAGGCTGTACAAAGCAAGTATCCGCTTCTAAGCCCAGACGACATTGCACGAAACACGATTGGCAAGGATGTCTTGATACTGTCCGACAATCACGAGGGCCTCTACGACGACATCTTGACCACATTCTATTCCAAGAAGCAGGACCGCTCAAGGCTCACCATTAACCCAGCAAACAGCAATGGCTTGGCAGGAGAAATCGAAAAGCAGGAGGACTCGGTTCCTCACGGAGCCTTGCGCTATCCGCTGGAGCGAAGATCTATGCCCGATCTCGATTACGACCATTCCATCAGGTATTTTGACCCCAACTTTCTGTGACACTTTGGCTAACCAAGCGCACAGCGTTTACTATGACATGCCCCAGGTATCGCAAACCCACAAGTCAATGCTATTGCGCGGAGTGCGAATGCCGCCTCCTGCCCTGACCAGGAGTGACATTGAGGAGATCCGAGGCAAAGCCAATCGCGGAGGTCGCAACTACGGACGACCGTACGGCAATAACAATGGCCGACAACGCGGTGGTTATTCTGGCGGCTATAGAGACAACCGGGAGCCTTACAACGGGCGCGACAGGGACAACCAGCGCTTCCAGCAATACCCCCCCAATCAACCATATGGCATGCCGCAACAGCCGCCTTTTGGCATGCCGCCACAACCGCCTTTTGGCATGCCACCACAACCGCCTTTTGGCATGCCGCAACAACCGCCTTTTGGCGTACCGCAGCACGGTGGGTGGCAGCCGTCAACGGGGCCGGCGTTTGATGGGAGAGGAGGCCCACCGTCATACCCCAATGCGCGATACCAACAGGGCCGGTCTGACGGTAGGAATGAGTATCGCGGTCGGGGGAGGGGCGGATATAACTCCGGACCTCGGCCTCCCTATCGCGGCGGCAACTGGCAAGGACGTGACCATGCGTAACTGACATAATCTGCCCTCAAGTGCGTGTGTGAGAACGAGATCGCCTTGCCATTCTCAAACCAAACATACACGTCGTAGGAGCATTATATCTAAAGCGTCTTGCTATATACTGCCCAGCAAACCATGTCCATGTCAGAGAGCCGTCCCGCGTAACCCAGTCATCTCACACGAACATCAGAGCTTGTAGTTTGTCCATGAGTACGACGAAGTAAAACATTAGGAGTAAATAGTTAATAATGTCAGTTTTCAATGTCATTTATCTTTTTCCTTTGCTCGTGCATAAATCCGTGTCAGCCAAGGCCGCCCCAGATGCCCCGGATTCTCCTTGCAAGCTGTATGTCTTTCTGCATCAGGGTGACCCTCTTGGCGTGTACAGCGCACAGCTGCGCGTCCTCAAACAAATGTACCATGAAGGCCTCTGCGGCTTCTTGCAGCGCCTGGATGGCCTGGCTCTGCCATCTAAACTCTTTGCCCGTCGGACGACAATTCAATCCAATTTCTCGAACCTATCCAGTATCAAAAAAACACGTCCCGTGGGAGGTCGACCGAAGGGGGGAAAAGAAGGGTTGGGGGGGTTTCCAAGCGCGGCACTCACGAGGCGCATAAACGGCAGCTTCAGCAGCAAAAGCTTCGTGTTGGCCTGGTATTGCCTGATTTCCCGCAATGCGACAGTGCCGGGGCGGTATCGTCGTCGTTGTCTCGTAGGCAGTGGGTCGCCCGCTGAAGAGTTGGGGGTTAGCAGAAGACGATTTGGGGTTGGTGAGGGCATCGAGAGAGTGTTGGGCTTTTAGTCTTTGACAACGCACGCTGTACATAGCTCGGTCTGGAGCGCACTTTTTGCGAGGTTCCCGAGGTGGACTGACGAGGAGGCATTATGGGCAGAGTAGCGAATGTCGTGAGGTCAAGCGCGGAGAGACGTAGAAACCATGCGCGATGGCCAGCTCGTGGCCTACATCGAGGCTCAATCGAGGTGAGGAACAAAGAGAGGTTGGTCGCACTATTATTTTGTTCTGGCTATGGAGAAACGACGCGTTCCTTGGTCAACCCGGTGACAAGCCAAGCTCGGCCGATAAGATAACGCGCATGATCCATGTAGGGGTCTATCTTTAGAAACAGCTCTCCAGGGTCTGGACATGCCTACCTACAGTAAGGTACAGTACAGTAACACAGAGAGAATACCTACTTAGGTAGGAGATGTGTTGAGAATTGAAGGCACGGATAATAAAAAATGAAATGCTTCAATGAACAGAGATTCAATCGCAAACTTATCATAAGGAAAGAATTCTCATGTTATGACTCTGAAAGGGTCCTGTGCCAGCTCAATCTTGATAGTGTGAGCATTACCATTCAATAAGAATGGCCAAATTGATACATACTTAACATACAGGGTGATGCCCCTGATTCGCCAATCGCTATTAGTGCTTCCTGTCAATCGGAACGTGTTTCTAGAAGCTCTCTCCGCCGAGCTCACTTGCAATCACTGCCCGCTTCCTCGAAAGCAACTCGTGCAGCAGCAGCAGCCCATTCCTGACGCCAAAAAAACTGCCGGGCCAGGGACATGGGTGAGGCGGCGACATGTTCTCCTCCATCTCCAGCACGCCGGCCAAACAATCCGTTGGCGACACCATCAGCGTCCTCAGCGGCCGCCTCGGTTCCGCAACCCTCCTCGAAGACCGGCGCGCCGCTGTGCTGGGCCTGCGAAGCTTCGCAAAGGACTACCCGGCGACTGTGGCATCGGGAGCCCTGAGGGGCCTGATTGGCAGCTTGTCCAAGGACGCCGAAGATGTCGACACCATCAAGATCGTGCTGGAAACGCTGCTGATGCTCTTCAACCCCAACCAGGAGAGCCCCGAAGCATCAGACGAAATCGCCCTCTGGCTGGCCGACGAGTTCACGCAGCGCCAGGAGAACATCACCCTCGTCCTCGACTTCCTCGACGCCCCCGACTTCTACTCGCGCCTATACTCTCTGCAGCTGCTCAGCTCGATCCTCACTGCACGCACCCAGCGGACCGAAGAATGCGTCCTCTCTGCGCCCCTGGGCATCAGCCGGCTCGTCGCGGCGCTTGACGACCAGCGGGAGGCGATCCGCAACGAAGGCGTCAATCTCTTGATACTGCTGACGTCCAGCTCGCTAGAGATACAGAAGCTCGTTGCCTTTCAGAATGCCTTTGAAAAGCTGTTCGACATCATTGCCGCCGACGGCTCGCTCTCCGAAGGCGGCAGGACGGTGGAGGACTGCTTGATCCTCCTCGCCAACCTGTTGAGGGGCAACTTGGCCAACCAGTCTCTCTTCCGGGAGTCGGGCTGCATAGGCAAGCTCACGGAGATGCTCAAGGGCCTGCTCGAAGCGCAGAAGCAAGAAGACAACCTCGCCAAATGGGCACAGATTCAACACAACCGCAACATCTACGCCTTCCTGTCCATCATCCGCCTGTTCTTGTCGCCAGGCTCCGCAGAGACGCACATGAACCAAGCTACGTTCTGGAGACATGGCCTCAGCTATCTCGTTCTCCAACTCGCGTTCGACCACGACGTCCAGTTCCAGATCAAGGCCGAGGTGCGGATGCCTGCTGCCCCTGCTCCTTGCGTTGTTGGGCCACAATGATAACATTTTCGAGAATAGGCCTTGCTCGCTTGTGGCGATTTGATCCGTAACAACATGCTCGTGCAGGAAGCATTTGCCTCGCTCATGGTCCCTCCACCGCTGGAATCCGCGGCCGAGATGCCAAGTGCGGCCAATGGCCAGGCCAAGATTTACATCATTGACGGCCTGCTTGACTTGACACTGAATGTGCACGACCTCTCTGCGTTTGATCTACGATACGCCGCTTGCCAATGCCTAAAGGCCTATTTCTCTAACCACGCCGAAGTAAAGTCTCACTTCCTGGGAAGAGCCATAGAGGGCTACCAGTCGGGGCGGGACGAATCTGCCAACATCCTGAGCGTTCTGCTGAGGCTACCAGGTGACGTATTTCTAAGTGACCCGTATCGCGTGTGGTTCGCCGCCGTTATTGCGTTCCATCTGCTCCATGACAATCCCGCGGCCAAGGCAGTGGCAAAGGGTTTGACCGAAGGGGATGCCTCCAAGGGTGAGGAAGTTGTTACCAGTATCCAGACCATCACAGCCCATCTCCTCATGCGGATACGCCGAGATGACGATACGCGGATATTGGTGGCTTACCTGATGCTACTCCTCGGCTGGCTGTTTGAGGACCTCGACGCTGTCAACGATTTCCTTTCCGAAGGGAGCAACGTCCAGGGCCTTATCCAAGTCATCTCGCAGCCAGTCCGCGTGGCAGGAGAGCTTGTCCAGGGGTTATGTGCCATGCTGCTGGGGGTTGTGTATGAGTTCTCTACAAAGGACTCGCCCATACCACGAGCAACGCTGCATTCCATCTTGGAGTCGCGGCTGGACAGAGATGGGTACGTGGACCGACTGACCAAACTCCGGAACCATCCTTTGCTCCGAGAGTTCGAGGTCACGCCGCAAAAACTCATGTCTACCCCTGAAGGCGAGGAGGTCAACGTCTTTTTCGACGATGTCTTTGTCGACTTCTTCAAGGACAACTTCAGCCGTGCCATCCGCGCCCTTGACAAGGCGCCCGATATTGAGGTCTCGGTCATTACGAATGGAACGGAGCAGGGTATTTCCAGACAGCTCGTAGACTCCTTACGGCAGCAAATAGAGGAAAAAGACCGCGCAATTGAAGAAGCCAACAGCGCCAACAGATCCCTGGAAGGGGTCATTAAGGAGGTGCAAGAGGCACACCGCCGTGCAAAGGAAGACGCCGAGGCCACGGGCGCGAGATTGACGGCAGAGATGCGGTATGTTGGAAGCTATTCCGATGAACACGAATCAATTGCAACGGCCCGCTGAAACATATACGTAGCAAACTTCAAAGCGAGCAGGCTGCTACAGTCTCTGGGCTTGAGCAAAGGATTGCGCAGATGCAGCAGCAGCTCAATGCTAAAGACCAGCACCTTCAAACCCAGCTTGCTGCCAAGGACCAGTATCTGCAAACCCAGCTGAGCAGCAAGGATCAAGCCCTGAAAGCCCAGCTAACCCAGGCTCAAAAGGCGCACGAAGTAGAAGCAGAGCGTGCCAGGCAGAGAGCGGAAGCTGAAATTGCAGACCTGCGGGCGACCGTCAGCAGGCTCGAGGTCGACGTAATGAAGGTGAGTGAAATAGACCGGGCGGCTTATGGAGCACCGGGGTTGCCATGTTGTTTTCAGGTCAACTAACCAGCGCTCTTTTATAGGCCAACAAGAGCAAGGCTTCTGAACTGCAGGCTCTTCGCAAGGAGCATGCAGATGCGGTAGCGGAGCGCGACTCCCAGTTGAAGAAGGCCAACGAAAAGGCAGAAGAGCGCGAAAAGCAGCTTACCGCTCTGAAGGAGGAGGTTGAAAAGCTGAGAAAGGAGGTCGACACACTTCGACAAGAAGCTGAGAAGCTGCGGGAGGAAGAGGAGGAGAGTCGGACAGAGGCCGAGAAGCGACAAAAGGACGTTGAGAAGTTACAAGCCGAGGCTGACAAGCTGCGGCAGGAAGCTGCAAAGGTGAGAAACAAGAGCAATTTGCTGGCCAAGCATGACGTTGCTGACGCTCGACCTCAGTCAAAGCAAGCCTTGGCCGATGCTGAAAAGGCCAAGGACTCGGTGCAGTCGGAACTCGACGATCTCCTCATGGTGTTTGGCGATTTGGAGGAGAAGCTCAGCAAGTACAAGGTAGGCGATTTCATCCTTTATGCAACTGAAACCAGCGCGCGAGGCATGTGCTAATGGAGAGTATGACCAGGCCCGTTTGCGGGGACTTGGGCAAGACGTATCCGACGGCGAGGACGACGACGGAGACGATGGTAGTGACGAAGAGGAAGAGAGTGAAGATGAGGAGAAGGAGAAGGCTGTTGACTGAGCGAGAAGGACTTGGAATGCTGTTGTCAGAGCCAGTGCAGCATACATTGCAAGAGAGTTGAGAACCATGTAACGAGTCACTCGTGGTCAGTAAGGAGAAGAAAAAAGAATAAAAGATTTGAGGAGGGAGTTATTGAAGTAGAAGAAAAAATAGATCATCGCAATGAGGCTAATTCATATGCAGTTCTTAGGTAGTTGATGTTTGGTGATGGTGCCGATGGTACTTGTGTTGAGACGTTGGCCCTCTTACTAAAACTGTGCCTCAGAGTAAAAGTATATAAAGAGGCTTAGAGTGCAAACAAATTGGAGTGGGACCTCCCATCGAACTCACCTCTTGCCTTTTACCAGATGTGACCGTGGGATTGGCCCAACAGACTCCATTCAAACAATCTTTGGCACTTCCTCATCTGGAGCTTCCAGGTTCGAACGCGACTTGAGGATTTTTTCTCAGTTCATCTATTTTTTTTTTAATTTTTTTTTTACAATCTCCAGCTCCAGCACCTAGACACCTATTTCTCATCGACTGTGACAGTGACCTCAAACTGTACCCTCGTTTTCTAAGCCTCTTTGTTCTCAATCCCCTCTCTTGCATCTTTTGATACGCAGCCTCAACAGGCACTGGCAATTGTTTCACTCATGCGTCCATGGCGGAGAGGATTCCGCTTAGTGGGGCCTTGCCGTCCTCCCAAGACGAACCGCCCAAGAGCACCACAGCTTAAAAATACCTGACGCTCACTGAAGAGACTTGAGATATACTTTGTCATAGCACGAGCTACACACAAGAAGGCCGTATTTAGGCTACCAAAGAAGTACTGTTCCTGAATTTGAAGTCACTTTCACACCTGGCTTGTAATTCGTCGGTAGCTTGATGTGCAGCAGTTACACTAAAAAAAAAAGTCAAGAAAAAGACATTGTAAATTTTCAGACTCATGAGAACAGAAGCAAAACAACTGATCAGCGACCCAGTGAAATACACAGAAAATCTCTCTTTATATCTAAAAAACAAGAGAAAAACCAAAAGAGATTCACAAGACTCCAAATAAGAAAAGGCAAAAAGGTCGATCAGAATGAGTGCGAGATCAGTATCCGAGTCCTCCTCGGCCTCGAGCAACGTCTCAGACGAAGCAGAATGGCTCGACGTTGAAAACGACGAGGAAGAAGCCATCCCCATCGTCTCCCTCTTCGACACGCAAAAGACATTCCCCAGCTGGCAGGAGATGCTCGACAGCTGCAAGCGAGACCACGGCTTCGACCTCATCGCCACCATCAGGGACCTCAAGCTCGACTTCCACGGCGCCGTCAAGCTCGTCAACTTCATCCGCAGCCGCGTCCGGGACCAGCAGCCCGTGCCGCAGAGCCTGACGGCGGCCGACTTTGACGACGACGCCTACTTCAAGCCCGTGCTCGACAACGACGCCCTCATCGTGTCGCTGGATGAGATTCTCGACAGTGACCTCGTCAAGGCGGCGGCGGACGGTGCCGCGGGTGCGGGCGAGGCTCAGCGGGAGGACGGCTCTGTGGAGGAGCTGTTGACGCAGAAGCAGGCGCTCGAGGCCGAGCTCGAGGCCGTCCGGACGCAGTTTTCAAACTACCGGCTGGCCGTGCAGGAGACGCTGGATCGCCGCTGGGGAGACGATGAGGAGCAGAGCCCGGCGGCCAAGGGCAAGGCCGGGCCTGAGGACCGTGGAAACTACTATTTCGAGTCTTATGCCTACAACGGTAAGAACTTGCTTCAAGACCATGTTTTTAGGTGTTTGGTGGGAAAATACTAATCAGTTGTGATATAGATATCCATGAGACTATGCTCAAGGACACGGTCAGGACAGAGGCCTACCGTGACTTCATCTACAACAACAAGGACATCTTCAAGGACAAGGTGGTGCTCGATATCGGCTGCGGCACAGGTAAGAAGAAGATGAGCAGCATCGCTTAGATTGGGGGGGAACTGCCTCAATTGAGACTTCACCTGAGCCCTGAACTAACCCTTCTCTTCTTTCTAGGCATTCTCAGCATGTTCTGCGCAAAGGCCGGCGCAGCTCGCGTCATTGCTGTCGACAAGTCTGACATTATCAAAAAGGCAACGGAAAACATCTTCAACAACGGCCTTTCCGACATCATCACCTGCGTCAAGGGCGGCATCGAGGACGTCAAGCTGCCCGTCGACCAGGTCGACATCATCGTCAGCGAGTGGATGGGCTACTGCCTGCTGTACGAGGCCATGCTGCCCAGCGTTCTCTACGCCAGGGATCGATATCTCAAGCCTGATGGCCTGCTGGTCCCCAGCTCCGCCACCCTGTGGATGGCGCCCGTCCAGGACGCCGACTACATGATGGAACACATTTCTTATTGGCGAGACGTCTATGGCTTCGATATGAAGGCTATGCAAGAGGGCATCTTTGACGAGGTCAGGGTCGAGGCGGTGCCCCAGAGCGCCCTCAGCGGAGAGCCGTACCCCTTCAAGGTCCTCGACCTCCACACGGTAAAGCCCGAGGAGCTTTCCTTCACAGCCAAGTGGGAGTCACGGCTGTCGCGGCCGTCAGAGGGCCTGGACGGCTTCCTCATCTGGTTCGACAACTTCTTCGCCACGTCCAGAGACGAGCCCGTGCCCGAGCCCTTCACGACCCCCGAGGACTTCGTAAAGGCGAAGCCGGGCAACGTCGCGTTCACGACCGGTCCGTCCGGCACAGTCACCCATTGGAAGCAAGGCCTGCTTTTGGTGCCCCAGGGGTCTGCTCCCTCCAAGCTGCCAGAAAGAATATCTGGCGAGGTTACGTTTGCAGCCCTCGAGGAGAATGCGAGAGCGCTGAGAGTCGATGTCACATGCTCCTTTGAAGGCCAGTCTACCACCGCAAGCCAAGAGAAGAAATGGTCCTGGAAATTGGACTAGCGGGCTGCCTCGAAGCATGGAATAGACTTGGAAAATAAAATCGTAAAAATTAAGGGGAATGAATGCTACATATTGCTAGTAGTGAGGCACTTTTGCTGCCTGTAGCCATAGATTCACAATGCTAAGGAATCCTTCTCCCAGGATAAAGCCCTACAGAGTACAATGTCAGCGAGCGCTATTCCGATTCGAAAGAAAAAGATCTTACCGATGCAACAATGATGAGAGGCGTGGTGGACTGTTTTCGTATACTTAGCCAATACCAGCTGATGATGCCTCCAATGGCTCGAGCGAGCGTAAACGACGGCACATTGTACATGCCTTGGTTCCTCAGAATCAGCCGAGTTCCTCGATACAAGCCTGGCTTGGATGATTTGCTTACCGACTGCGACGGCAATGCCGCCGGGGATCAAAGACCGCCACGGCCTCCCAACCGAGAGAGTCCGCGCCAGGGTCGTGACGGCAAAGAGAGCGCCGGCTCCCATTGCCCACTCCTTGGCCATGTATGGCAAGCCCTGGCCTGTGACGAGCCTGGCCGTAAAGATCCAGACGTATGCAGTAGGAACCTGGAACAATTTGCCGGGAATCTCGTAAACCCTACCGCCAGCATTGCATGCGATTAGAAAACTCATCAGAAGCAATAGGACACAGGGCCGCCCAGTCCAACAACTGACTGACGTGGACAAACTCACGCTGTGTAGATGTGATAGGCAAAAGCACTGAACACGGCGCCAAAAGTAGCGCCTATGATTTGTCCCCAGAACTGTGCTTTGGGAGCAGCGCCCAGGAGGTGGCCGGTCTTGAGATCTTGCATCAGGTCTCCAGCCTGCAACGCGCCCTATAACCAAGATTAGAGAATGAGCTTCGATATATGAAGTGCTTTCGGTATTGAGCTTACAGCTTCCGACTACATAAACCCCATTGTTAGCCAAACTGAATCGGTCGACGAAAAACATGAAAAGGGGGGAGTAAACATACGATAGCACCAGCAACCAGGTTAATGAGAACACTGGACTTGTGAGACTGCGGGATAATTAGAGCAAAAAACAGCTGCGCCAGCTTGCTTATGCCAGATACGGGGTTGAGGTCAGTCTCTCCAAGGGCTCTCACGCCCATGATGCTCAGGACCAGGGCCATGAGAACGGCAATAACAATAGCATACAGCGGCACAAGATCGCCAAACACAACTCGGGTAGCCAGCACGCAGACCAGAACGGATGCAAGGAGGCCCCAAGAGACAATACGGCTGCTGACCTGTTGTTCAACTGGGGCATCGTCCCATCCATCACTCTCCTCTTCGATGGCGGAAGACTGGTCATCCCGCAGTGTCGAGGACTGATTCTCTTCTTCCTCTTCGTCTCTCTCTTCCTGGGCAGGAATTGGAGAATACCGATGAGAGGACCCAAATAGGGCCGCGAGCCTCCTATGCCGGAACCGACGTTTCAATGCAGATGCAAATCTCACGACGTGGCTTTCGAAGATGGGGCGGAAAGCAATGTAGGCCAGACTGACAATAGCATCCACGAGCATAATGGCCAGAGACACCCAGACAATCCAGCCTTTGCTGCCACTCTCCCAGTCATCCACGGGGCCAGGAGCCCAACCCTTCATCTTGGCCAAGGGGCTGAGAATGCCCCAACCGACAACTGCACCGAGGGTCATGTGAAGCGTCGTCTCGGTCCCCATGATGATGCCTTGTCCGACGTATGCGAGACTCGGATTCAGAGTCCAGAGCCAGGTAGATGCCGCGACAGTCCCGAATACCGGGAGGTCTCGCAGGATGGGCAGGAAATAGTTGCTGATGGTAAAGATGCCCGAGATGAGAAAGCTGAGAAGCAAAAGCCTCATGTTGTAGGCCCAGTCCAGGTCCTTGGGGGCTGGTGGCTCTTCCTCCTCCACCACAGGATCGCTCTCATCCACCAGCATAGGACCATCGTCTTTGGGCACGAGACTGGCGAATCCGCCTTTAGCAGCAGCATCGAGCTCCTTGGGGGATGAGCTTTGTCCTTGGCTATGGAGAACGCGTATAAGCACCGCAGTGCTGAAGCCGCTGGGGAACCTGAGCCGTTCTCTGATGATGACCTGATGGCGCCTTTGAGGTCATACGAACAAAGCCGTGTCAGTCAACTGGCAAATCTCACTGAAACTGTTCGTAAAAAGCACACTTACAAAGGCACAGCAAAGACAACTCCAAAGTAGCAGAGGCCCAGGGACCATATGATGAGCTGCCATGTACTCAACGACAATGGTCCTTGCTCGTCAGCCCCCAGGAGATAGTTCATCGCGGGAATCTACAAATTTCATCAGAATGAGCAACTCTGAATTTGCAGGAGAGCAACAGTCTCTAGAAGGGAGAGGACGCCTACAACACCGACAAAGCCACAGCCCAGAGGCATAATGGCCATGCCGCCAGCAACGCTCTGCACCAGCACGTTCTCGACCGGGCTGAAGGGGAAGCGCAGGTACGGCTTCAGCAGCTTGAAGACGGCGAATCCCATGAGGCTCGAGGGCATCGACATGATGGACACCCAGCCGGTCTGCAGGCCGAAATACATGTTGGCGGCGCATATCACGGTGCCAACAGCCAGGCCGGCAGCGACACCGCGGACGGTGAAGCTGCGGCCTTGCGGCAACGGGGGCGTCATTCTCAGAGGCCCCTTGACGTCGTTTGCATCGGAGCTGAAGTGTCTCTCGTAGAGGGTCCTTCTGTGTCAATCAGCGGTGACGTTGGTAAAATACGGTGATGATGACGGTTTTGGTGTTTCCAAGGTTGTAAGCTCAAGGGAAGCTCCGTCAGTCAGCTTTACTTTATATAAGGGGGGATTGACTGCCTTTGTCTCAGTGGCTCCCTGACGGCATTACTAATCCAACGGCACATTAGCGTTCTGAAGATCCCGAACAGGCAGGAACCTCTGAATATTGATTGAACATGCCGCCTAGGTATTCATATCTGGATCATAACATCGCTCTGCTGCTTCATTGGAGCTCATCGAAACAAACCAGCTCTCATGTCACTTACAGTTGGCAAGGCATCTTGAGGAGCTGCTAGTATACAGCTGATACAGCGCTGATGCCTGGGCCTCCAGACGCACACGGACCCACCAGTGATCCAAGGCCGTGTCATGGCACTATCCCACCCGGACTGTGTTTCCCAGACCAAGCTCGGATCTCCAGGATATCTTGAGTCCAAGGTAGTCAGTACCAGTAGATGATTCTCTGCAGTTACATATCCTTTGAAGATTGCTGCATCAGAAGTTGTGTATATGGCCCTTGAGTAACATATCAAAAACGCCCAGTACAAGCCCAAACCTGTCCGGTATATCCTGTATGCATGTGTGCAACGCCATCATCATCGAGGAGACGTCTACTGATCTTTCTTGCCCTGTTCTTGACTGCCCTCTACCCTCTTGAGATACGGAATGGACGTCAGCACCCTCGGCCAAACGAGGACGTAATTGCTGCCCTGTCCCGCAAGACAATGCCGCAGCCAGGTACCCCAGGTAATATAATAGTAGGCTAGAAACAGTCGTTAGCAGGCATGAACACAGACACATCTAGGGTACTACGTCTCAAAGGGGCAAATATGATTCGTGTGCATTTTGGACAGTCGAGTATTACCTCCTAGCAAAACGGATTAGCAACTCTCTCTCAATGACACTTATAGTGCGATGATGGGAGTGTTCAAATTACCAAGACCGGTCATAAGGTGCCACCAGGCGTGGCCCTCTAGCAGTACGGCCCATGGAAGTCCAACAGCATGCCTCAGTTGCCGCACCTGGGAGCAAAAGACGTTGTCGAGATTCCAGATCAAGAATCCGCCAAGAAAGACGCTCAGTCCTTTTTCAAAAGGGTCAGCTATACTTTGCCAGCTTGTGCAGACCACGGATTGAGACGAACCGGTAGCAATCATGGCCCACATCGTATTCAGCACCCTGGCCGCCTCCTCTGGATCGCGAGCACTCAACACAGGCCGTAACTGCGACTCCATCACCCACATGCTCCGAAAAACGACCGTAGCCGTGAGGAAGGCATAGGCGACTTGGTGAAAGACAGGATCCTTGGTGACGTGGTAGTAAACCTGGGCCTCTCTTAGTCGCTTGGTTCGGAAGCAGGGATCACCGATTCCTCGGCACTCATGCACAAGATATGAAGCACTCACCGTGATCGAACCGGAAAGCGAAAGCAGGCCGATTCCCAGAACAGCTGAGAAAGTTCGTGAGCGTGAGTAGGCGAAGCTGGCATGCATCATCAGGCAGGTAGTATATATCATGGACAGCTCATCAACCAGTTGCATCGGATCTTCATGCGTCGTCTGTTAGTCCTTATACTTGTATGCTCAGTGATGACACCATGGGGCAGCGATGCTTACACTTCAACGTCGTATGAAAGAGGATGGAGCCTAGTCCTACCACCATGTAGCCGAGGTAAGAGATGAGGAATATCGACGGATGCTTCTGCTGCAGACAATTCACAACCCCTTTTATCCCAAGCCACATGAATATGGCGTTTGTCACTGTCTGCCGTTGTGTCAACAGAGAGAACATGTAGAGTTTAGAAGGGTAACTCAGAGTGTCGTTACTCACATTACAAAGCTCAGCGCAATACGAAGACAACGCATAATCCTTGAGATCTTTCAGCACTGTGCAAGATGAGATGGAAACTGATAAGCCGGGTTCAGCTCACCTCTTCGCAAAAGTTGAGCGTTGACGTCTGTTCGCCCCAGAATCCATGGCCGGGATTGGCGGTTGGATATGGGTATGAGATGGCCGTACGGATAGCGGATAGGGGCATTTTGAGGATACTTAGCAGCCCAGTATATGAATATGGAAAGGTAGATAGATGATTCAGAAATAACAGAACTTCTCTCTAATGAAAAAGGAAGATGAAAATGAGAAATATAATACACGAAAGATGAAGAGGCTTGGAGCCTTCGCAAGTTCCCGTGCTTCCCGCCGTCTTCGATCCAGGTGGGGCCGAGTTCTGAAATCGCAGATCGCCCGTATAGGGAACCGGGGCGATCTATGCGTCCGTGGAGCAGATGCAAGTATCCGATACATGCAGCCCCCGTTGCTGTGACGCATGCGCCCTGAGGTTTAGGTGCAAGCCCGCTAACCCTTCAGGTTCCGTATCCGTACAGGGCTGTATGTACAGTGATTTGCAGCACCTGGAGGTCCTCCCAAACCTGGAGGCCAGCGGCAAGCGGCAGGCCTGCATTCTTCTTCTGCGCTGGCAATCCAACGCTTTTTCATGCCGCGCCATTCGCGCCCAATGACTTCCATGAGAATCCTCCTTGTCGCGATGCTTCGATGATGGACTAATGCCAAAGAGCGTGTCCAGCAATCTCGAGTAAGTCGCCGCCTCCGAACAATAGCGATTCCCGCCAAACAGCCAACTCACAAGCATGTTCTGCAGTGGCATCCGTGCAATCTCAATACGACGATGGCTCCGGGCCCGACAGCGTCCGCGCATCGCCCAGTCGCGGCATCCCGAGCCAGGAGCCCTACTATTCTAATCGAGGTACGGCGCTGCACCATGCCTCGTCCGTATCTGCTCGTTGGTTAACAGTCCGGGACAGACATTGCTGTGCTACACGCGATCATCACAGCCGCCCAAGAACACCTCGACAATGCGCCCGGCCCGAAACCACTGCCCGCCGCCGCGCTCTTCAAGGCCTACGACGAAATCCTCCCCCAGCACGGCATCGATCCCGAGTCGGACCATCATCTCTCTGCTCTTGTATTCAGAGTCGGCGGCGAACAGGGTGCCGGCAGCTTGCTAGACAAGTTTCAGTCAATCCTCGGCCGCATAGGCATCGTTCTGGAATTCAGCGACGACTCTACTACTTCTCCCGAAGGCTATGCCGAGCACCCTCACCCTCTATCTCCGGAGCCACTAGACACTCATCGTTGGTACCCCGACGACCTCCCCATCGACGAAGATGAAGACGCTCCTCCAAAGAGACCCCGGGCCTACAGCGCGACTTCCGTGGAAACCGACTCCGCTCCTCAGAAGCTTCAGGCCCAAGAGCCAAGCAGCAAGAAGGATTACCAAGCGAGAGATGTCGACCATGCTCCTGGACTTACCGACGCAAAGTCGTACTCGTCGGCCCAGATCTCCTCCACTGCAACGCGACACGGTGATCCATATCATCACTACCCGAGTCCGCTATTCGACCACCTACCTATTGATCTCGACGCTCCAGGCGATGACCCAAAAGCTCGCCTGTTGATGCCACAAGCCGACATCTCCCTCCAGTCGGCAGAAAGGAAGTCCGAACGTGATATTCAAACTTTGGACAAACCACCGAGACGCGTCAAAGATCACGGCGAGATCCAGTTCAGCGATATCGAACACGATGAAAAACTTGCTCAGGACGCTGCAAGGCAGGAGAAGCGAAATTCGAAAAAGACGGTCGAGAACAAGACGCACAACGACAGGACTGAAGGCGAAGACGTCGCAGGGCCCCCCCATTACTTACCAAAAGAAGTCCAGCCGACAGCGCAAACAGATCGGGATGAACCTCCAGCGTCAGTTCAGTCCGACCACGAGCATACCTTCTCTCGTTTGTATCAAGAGCGACTGCTTACAAGAGCAACACGAGCTCGCGAGATCTACTTGGCAAGCAAGGTCTTCAACCACTGGGCAGACCGGACCGCAGGGCGACTGGAGCGGGAAGGCGTAGCTAGAAGACACATGATTCGCTTTCGCTGCTTCCAGGGCTGGAGCTGTGCGCCGAGTCTCCGGTATCCGATCATCGAGAACCTCAAGGCTCTAACGGCGGTGCAGAAGCTACACCGCGCTGTGTCGTATCAACAAGAGCAACTGAGTCTGGCCGCATCAGCAATCGCGCAGAGACATCGTGCTCGGGTCGCGTCCCGCGTCTGTGACCAATGGTGCTCACACTTGGTCGCCCTCGCCTACCACCGCAAGTTGGAGAAGAAGTCTAAGCAACGGGCCCTGCTTGCATGGAAAGTAAGCACATCTAGCAACCTCGTCAAGACGCAAGCCATAAGCAGGTTCAATCGGCGCGAGGGCATCATCAACGCACTGTCGAAACTGCAAGATCACACCATAATCAATAGTCGCCAGCTTCATGCAGCTAGGCAACTCGGGTCACTGCAGCTGCTCTTTGGTTGTCTGACGGAATGGAGAGATCAGGTCCAGGTCAGAGCGCGATCGTCTGCCTATCGTGACAAGCTGGCGGTTGCAACCGTCGGCCGGACGTTGGAGAATTGGAAGCTGTCCTCACGAGTGCAGGCAGTTCGATGGAGGGCGGACTTCATTTCTGTGACGCGCGCCCTGGGAAGCTGGCGAAGACACTACATGCAAGAGGAGTGGCGGCGAAACCTGTGTGCGAATCACCTCAAGTCATACCGCGTATCAACTCTCCTGGGTGCCCTACAGCGGTCCAGCACCATCGAGGCGCAGCGGTCGCACCTTAGCGATCGAGCCAGGCTGTTCATCGTGACGACGCGGGTATTGCCCATCATGGACTCTGCTGTGCAAGCACGGAAAACCCAGATGAAGGAGATGATCAGGCAGTACTTGATGATGAGATATACACAGGTGTCCTCTGCTCGAAAGCGGCGAAAATTCTACGAGGCTTTGGATCACTGGCGAGCCATGACAGCCCAGGCGACCTCGGAAAGCGACGTTGTCACCATGTACAATGCAAAGCACTACTATGGCCAGGCTGAGCTCGCTCTCACGAAGTGGAGGGCGCGCACGGAAGAAGATCTGGAGGCTCAGCTAGCTGCCTACAAGCATTATGCGCAAACCGTTTTGGCGGCATGGAGCGACGTTGCTCGAGAGCGCGAGCGGATGGAGATGCAATCCCTGGAGCTGTGGGCTGCCCGCAGGCAACGGCAATACCTCAAAGCGTGGTCGATCTGGTCATTGCAACGCAGCGGGCAGGCCCATACCGCGACAAAGGTACAGCAGAAGAGATACAGTGGGAAAAGAAATCGCACGTTCCATCACTGGAGACAGGTTTGCCTGGGCGGAGATGCTGCTCGCTCGGAACAAGACTTGAGGTTCACCCCAAGAGCTGAACCACCGAGTGGCCGTCGCAGTGGATGGCGGACACACTCAGTTCGTCGGCAGGTGCTGGTGGACAGGCACAACAAGCAGGACGTCGCCTCCGTGCAGCTTGAGACGCCAACGCGCTGGACCGGCAGGCCGCTGAACATGACCTTACCCCTATCAGCCAAGCCCTTGGCCTCATGGCGGGAGACTGACGAGGATTCGGCCACGTCTAGTGATACGGAAGATGTCGGATTGCAAAAGTCTCCAAGCAAGCCCCCCTCCTATACAGGGCGCATCACTCTATCGTCTACGACTCCCCGAGGTCCGGTGCCCATTCACTTGAGCCCCAAGATCATGCGAGCAGGCACGTCCCCTCAGCGTTGGAGCAAGAGCGACAATCCTTCGATATCCCGCCCAGGCCTAGCCCAAGACACGTCCCGTGGACCACAGTCAACCCCTCAGCCAATTTCCAAGCCGAACTTTGGTAGTTCAGTGGGTGCGCTCGGTCGGTCTATCAAAGTACTATCGGAATCGAGGAGGCGACCAGCAACAGCTCCCAAACAGCCGATAGGTCGAACAATACCTTTGTCTGAGCAGCGCTCAAAAGCAGGGCAACTATACGATTCATTTCCGGCCGACAAGCAGGATTCTGCCAAGTTTGGTGATGTACAAAACTTACAGATTCCATGACGGCAACCACTGTGGCAGCTACCTAACACATCAAAACGTGAACTACAAGAGATTCACTTTGAAGATAGATCCAATGAAATGCCTCTGCATCTCACGAGCCCCACGGCTGTTGATGGCTTTGCTACTTGACACACTCTTGTCTCTAATGTGAATGATTGAAACATGCCCAGCTAAAAATGGAGTAGATTGTGTTGTTTCATACCGGAGTGAAGCTCATATACTTTGGTGATGATTTCATCGAGCAAGAGTAATATGAAATAGACTATGATGATAACGGAACTATCTTATGATGACGACTGTGATGAAACCTCAACGCCATCTCTTCAGAAACAACATAGGAAAGGAACTCGTTGTATGCTTAGTAATAAGCCTAGTAGAACCCGAGTAGAGCTGTTCCTGGCTTGTGCAACGCCGCTAAACCCCCTTCGTCATACCGCCTAGCTAAAAGCTTCGACGCGTGCTGCCGCAAAGACGCGGTTCCAATTACATGCCATTTTCACTTTCACACACAGTCGAGTGTGAAATCTTGGGTACCTTCGTCCGTCTTTGTCTAGGAATCACCCCCTAATTTCAATCCATCCTTTTATCCTCTGAGATGCGTCTATCAATAAGGAGCTGTTAAACGGAAACGAAGACGAAGAGAAGAAGAGAAGAGCCAAAGGAGAAAAAAGAAAAAAATCGCAAAGGCTGCCTCGGCCATAGCCGCTACCGATCGAGCTACTATATACGTCATGGAGCAGCTTCAACGCATCCGCAGCATGTGGCAGTTTGCCAACTTGTGCCAATGGATTTACATATTCGGCGATGCTGCCTCTATCGACAATGCGGTTGACGTCGATGTGAGCTGGAAATTTCCCTTTTCTCACGTTTCTCGCTCTCGCGAGTTGTATCCTGACCATTGCGCCAGTATATCGAGACGGAGTGTCTCAAGCCGAATTCGCCGGGACTCAACGACATCGCCCTGGCCCTCTTGCGGTTGGTCTCTTCGCAGCGCGGTCTCAAGTATGTATTGCGACTCTCGGATGCTTTGTCCTGTTCTATTCTTTTCTCCCAGGGTGGTGGCTAACGACCGCTGCCTCAATGAAGCCATGCATCGTTCGACGACCAAGCTCGAAAACAGTATCTGCTGAAGTCGCCGGACACCAATCCTTTCGGCGACGATGACAGCCCCAAGAGCTTTGCTGAGTTTGATGTGCTCAGCAAGGTAAAGTTCATCTCGAGCTCCGATTCTTACTTGGTACCAGCATTGACCATGATCTGATAGATCAGAGTGATGCAACAATTCACGCAGTGGGCCATGATTCGGCCAGAAATTCTTCGAGAGAAGATGAAGGAGCAAAAGGATACTGAGCAGACGACCTGGGTGCGTATTGTTCCCCTCCACCATGAGTACATTTTCTAAACCAGCGTTGCAGCGGATCGAACCCTACGGCTGGGACAGCGAAGACCGCACCTACTACGTTCTCGACGACAATCGAGTATACCGTCTAACGGAAGCGCCTCCGAGCCAGAAACCGGCCCCTTCCAAGAACAGCCGTCAGTCTCGACGTACGAGGAAAAGGCGACGTGTATCCGAGCCGGACGACGCCGCAGACGAAACCGTCAACGATGCTCTCAAAGAAGGGCACGAACTGGCCTACGAGGACACCCATCTGGGCGACATGGTTTGGGAGTGTGTGGCAGTGACTCTTCCAGAAGTCCAGGCGCTCGTTGACAGCATGGCCAAGTCACGAGACGAGAACGAAAAAATCCTCCGAAAACAACTGCGAGACCACCTGGTGCCTATCCTGGAGAAGCAGGAACAGGAACGAAGCCGCCGGGAGCTGAGGCGCGAGAAGGAGCTGGCAACTCTCGCCCTGATGGCCAACGCGAAACGTTCAAGTCGCATCGCTTCCAAGGCGGAGCAGCGAGAGCAGCAAGAAAGGGAAAGGGCTGAGCAAGAGCGTCTCCGAGAAGCAGCCGCCATCCAACGTCGAGAGGAGCAGAAAAGGGCCAAGATCCAGAGGGAGATGGAAATGAGGCTCGCTTCCAGAGAGCAACGTCTGAAGCAGAGAGAGGAGCGCCGTGTCCGGCGTGGCGAGAGCGGCACCCCGGCGTCTGTAGGCGAAGATAGCGAGGTGACAGTGGCAGATGTGATGCCTGGAAATGGCGAAAATGGCCGCGATCCCCAGGGCAAGCAGGAGGAAGAGGAGGCGTGGGTATTTGACTGCTCATGCGGCCTGTACGGGCAGGTCGATGACGGCAAGCACAGCGTCGCCTGCGAGAGCTGTAACGTATGGCAGCACAGCAGGTGCCTCGGGATCAGCGAGGCCGCTGCGGACCACCCTGATTTCCATTTCATCTGTGCCTCTTGTCGTCAAAAGAACCCTCCTGACGCGGAACCGAGGAGTAACAGCCCAGATGTTTCCAAGGTCTCTACTGCACCAGAGAATCATCTTGCCCCAGAAAATTATCATGCACCAGAGAGCCATTCAGCACCAGTGGCCCATCCTACAACAGAGAGTCAACTCAAAGCACCAGTGGCCCATCCTACAACAGAGAGTCAACTCAAAGCACCAGTGGCCCATCCTACAACAGAGAGTCAACTCAAAGCACCAGTGGCCCATCCTACAACAGAGAGTCAACTCAAAGCACCAGTGGCCCATCCTACAACAGAGAGTCAACTCAAAGCAGCGGGCTATCCTGCATCAGAGGTCCGTCCTGCATCAGAGGTCCGTCCTGTACCAAAGAGTCCCGTTGCTCCGGAGAGCCCTGTTGTTCCCAAGGATTCTCCTGCACCGCAGAGCCATTCTGCACCAGTGATCCATCCTACAAAGAGCTCTCCTGAACCCAAGCTCAACCTTGCCGGCAACACTGAGCCTGCCACTACTCCCATCCAGAAGGAATAGCCATGCAGAGCCAAGCACCTCTGCCTTGATACCAGCCTAGACCAAACCCGTCACGACGGAAGCAAACCTGGCGATAGTATCACTTACTTACTCACCGCCTGACCGCTCAGCTACGAGTTCTCACCCCTCCGAACAAGGGCATGTCAGGATGACACCGCATACTCTCTCACTCAAGTCACGCGTGCCTACGGCAGCCAATGTTGCTCACCAACGCCAGCGTATAATACCGGGGACTCAGTATCTGGGCCCTATCATCAGTCTCACAGACTGGAACCCATTATCAACTGCGCCACTTACAAACATCAGCTGATCGTCGTCCTGAGAACCCTAGTCGTGATGGCCTCCCGCTTTTGTAATACTTCTGTTCGAATACACAACTGGCACCCTCAGAAATGGTATTTTTAGAGCCATCAATCCGCTTGCAAACCTTGGAAACGCAGCGAATCAAAGACGGCCGCTGATTTGCTCCGCACGAGTCGACGTCGAGTTTCATCCACTGTTGTTGGTAGCTCACTTCAAAGACGGAGACGCTGAACAGAAACGGAAACTCTGAAGCTTTCAAAGCCGCCTTGTCTTTCCCCTCTTTCCCCTTGGACAGTCATTGACGGATCTTTGTCCGTTCACTTGGCTCATTGAACGCTCTTCTTCATTGGTTTGAGCGTCGACTGCGTTGGGAACATGGCTGGTCCAACTTGGTGGTTTGTCCAAATCGCAACAGGCATCGCGACGACATCATCGACCGCCTCGACTCGACTACTCCACGTGTAACTATCAATCTATCTTGTCCATGTCTCTTACGCAAAGCAATCACTGGTAATATTCGTCTGTCATTTTACTTCCTGCGTGTCTCCACTCTGCTCATCTGCGGGTAGAAGAAAGTTTGATTTGGGAACAGCCCGCGATATGCAGCACCAGCTGAGGCGGACTCGTCTATCGGTCTTCCAAATGGCGATATGCAAGGGCCCGGCTTGTCCTGACAAGCTATGACTCCATCCAAGGGACTGGATGGGCCAATGGAGCCAGTCCCTTCCAGCGGGACGGCGATACTGTCGACCGGATGAGCTGCATTCGAGCATCCACGGGGTGTGCACGGCCAATGGTTTTTATTGGCGAGCATTCCAACAGCTGCAGCGCTTCGAAACTGCCCTGTGCGCTTGACAGACGCTTGCCACATGCGCTCCCGTTGATCCCTCTTCTGATATTGGCTGCCTGCCACTGCTGTCCGCAGTCTGTCGCTTTGGGCCATCTGCGACTGAGTTGGGGCCCAATGGATTGTCGCAGCGTCCGCGGAGTGGTCCAAGAGGCCAGGGGAAGGCGAAGGCTGCCAGATTCGCAATACCGCATGCGGCACACGCTTTGACGCTCTTTTGTTTGTAGCCTTCACGTGGGAGTCATGCGTCAGGGACGAAGTTGTCAACCGCAGAATGGGGTGCGGGCGAGGGTTGGCCGTCATTCTGGGGAAACAAAGACAACAAACCGTCTCTTCTATCAAAATCGAAATGCCATTTAATGCATCTATCCCGTCGGCCCTCCATGAAAGCGCTCTCCATCAAAGAGAAACGAACTCGACTTCATGTGCCGTTAATACACGTCCTGCTTTTTCTTTTTCAACATCCTTTGCATAACTTGCCTCGCCAGACTTTGGCAAACTGACAACTCGAGACAAACAACTACCTCCAAGAACCGTTCTTCACGTCGACATCTGCTTACCTGAAGTCTCGATGGAGCTCATCAAGCGGGAGTACGACGTCTCAAGGCCAACAATTCTGCCTAGTCATTCTTCCTTTGGTGCGGCAAACGACTCGACGCTCGTCACCATGCCCGGCTATCCTTACTCTAACCAAGCCTTTGTTTCTGTGGGTTTTACTTTGTAGGCTTTGGAAAAAATTCTTGGTCAAAGAATGCTAACAGCTTCCAGGCTCCTCATCAACAAAACATGCTCCAGAGCAACTCGCGATATGGATTGGAGACGTCACCCATTGACTTTGCCGGCGTCAGTCTTGTGAGACGCCCTCGGGAGCGGTCCAAATCATCGAGACCGAGCAGTTCCCGGAGCCGATCGAGATGCCTCCCCAGCAAGGATCGAAAGTCGGGGAGGAGATCGCGAAACACGGATGGAAAAGAGAGCAGCAGCCCCCTCACAAGGCCGCTCTCGGTCATTGCAGCCGAATTGCCTCACTGTCTCGTCCCCGACGCCGCAGCCTTTGCAACCCGCACCATCAAGCAACGCGTGGAAGAATACAACCATTCCGGAAAGATCAAGCGCCCCCTCAACGCCTTCATGCTGTACCGCAGGTCGTACCAGAACATTGCCAAGGCGTATTGCAGCAAGGACAACCATCAGCAGGTGTCAGCGATTTGCGGGCTCTCATGGAGGAACTTGGAGCAACCGGAAGTCAAGCTCGCGTTCAAGGACCTAGCTGACGTCGAGAGGAGGAAGCACGGCGAGGCTTTTCCCGAGTACAAGTACGACCCCCTGCATTTGAAGAAAGGAGAGGACAAGCACTCGCCCATTTCTCTCCCGACACCAGACGGCAGCGACGTGGAACCCGTCAACGGCCATGGTTCTGTCAAGGGGGGTGTGGCAAAGCGCAACAGGACAAACCCGTCCAAGTACGATGAGCACTCGCACTCGGACAGTGAGGTGTACCTGAACACAGTCGACGCGCACCAGCCACTCCAGATGAGGGCCTTTACGTCTTACCCTTACTGGACCCCTCCCTCTTTGCACGCTTATCCCGCTGTGTATCTCGAGGAGCAGCACACACATGCTGACCCTGCCCCTTTCCAAACATACCCACCACCATCTGACGACAGTCGCCCAGCTTACAGAAGCTCAGCACCCGCAGTGTGCGGTCTCTACGAGGACACAGCGGACCACCACGGCGTCAGCTATGCGGAGGTTTTCATCGACCCTTCACTTCTTCCATGCCAACCCAGCATGGTGTATGACATTTCTGGCTGCTCGGTTGCAATTCAGGGGGAGTGGCATCCCTTGACTGTCGAGAGGTCACGCACGGAAGCTATGCTGTCAGAGCTGAGTATGCCAGCGTCGTCATATGACGCGTATCTCAGGGGGGCTGAGGGAGACTGGGAGGTGGAAGAGCTGGAAGAGCCCAGTCAGTTTGAGGACTGGATGTGCCAGACCGGTGCATAGTGCATATGACGAAATGTGCTTTTGGTTTGCGTTGGGTTCGGATTGGTTTGTTATTTGCTGTTTGTTGTGTTTGTTGTGTGTGCTGTGTTATTTCTGTATCTTGCATAGAAGGGGTGTTCTGGAAGGAGTTCACTTGGGAGGGGGGAAAGGGGGGGGCGGTTGATTCAGCTGGCTTTGACCACCGTTCAGTGTACTTTTTCCGTGGCAGATATCTGTGGTAGTGTTGTTGTAGTGCGGAATAAGACAGGGAAATGAGATGCAGACATGCAGTCGATGATGTGATGTGACAGCTACGGGGTGGATACATGCAGGGTTTGATGAGCTGCCGGTCAATTGGAAATCTGCAGCATTCCAGCGTGCTGAGCAGATGGAGAGGGCGAGAGAAGCCTGGTTGGGAGACTAATTGGGAAATTGAGAGAGCTGTCAGAAGGAGTGCGAAGCTGCAGGTTAGCTCAGTCAGTTGTTGGCTTGTGTCTCCCCCTAAGCGAGAAGAGTTGCCATGCTCTGCTATTTATAGTAGATAATGCACTCAGCCATGCAGCAGTGACGTTGGAGGCAGTCATCCAACATTGAGGCGATACGCTGTCTGCAACTGTGTATTGCTTTATACCGTGATGGGTTTGTTCTTGGGTTTCAGTGAGAGAAGGAGAGTCTCGAGGTTCATACGTGAGCTCCCGCGATATCGCAGGTACACACGCTAGACTTGACTGGTTCGTGTTTGATTCCACAATGACTGGGCAAATCAGGCTAATCTCCACCACATCCGGAGAGGTACTGGGCAGGTATCGCGGCTTATTACTAGTAGTGCACTGGGGGTACTAGTAGGTAGTTCAGTTGCTTCCCGCTGCGACCTTTAGGTACTATAAAAACAACATGAATGCCTGTGGACTTTATATCATAGAGGCTGTACACTGGAGTGCAAGAAAGATAGATACAATGCCTACCTATGTTGAGACACCAGGCACCCAGCAATTCAACAATATGTAGTAGCTTGAACAGTGAAAGAGAACTTCAAGGCGTCTCGGTGAAATTACCTACCAGTCGGTGATATTACAGCTTACTAAGCAAACATAGGTCTCATAATACCTAGGCACAAAAAGACCTAGGTGCTGTAATCACCGGCAGCAGCCCAACGTGGAGCGGCTCCCCCAGAAGATTGAATTGACTTGACTGAATGGGCAGTGCTGCCAGTGGATCCTCAATATTGCGGCAGAAGCAACCTGGTGGACAGGGGGTCACTCCGTGCTTCTCTCGGGCGCTGTGTGTTCATCATTACCTACCAACTACCTACTACTACTGCTGCTTTACTGCCTCAGCACCTCTGCACTGCTACATACCTACCTACCTTAACAGTACCTACCTTCGCAATCGAGGGACTACTAACCTACTAGGTACCTGGATGGAGAACACTCGCTAGCACTGCTCGGGACTGGCTCAGGTTGCTTTTCGTCATTCAGGACAGTACTCGGTAGTACTCGTCCAGCCCATCCTCTCTCCCCTCGACTCCTACCTTGCCTCGCCTTACCCAGAAACTCCACGCAAACGAAGTGCGATCCGAGCCCATTCCAGTCCCTCCGCGCGTCGGAACCATCCGCACTCCGAGGCCTGCGTCCAGACGGGGGGCAAACAACCAAACCGGCCAAGATGGGCTTCCTGGGCATCTACCGCGCGCTCTACGACTACACGCCCAACGAGGATGCCGAGCTTGCCATCAAGGCGGGCGACCTGCTGTACATCCTCGAGAAGAATGACGACGACGGCTGGTGGAAGGCCAAGAAGAAGGCCGGCACCGACGACGAGGACGAGCCGACGGGCCTGATCCCCAACAACTACGTTGAAAAGGTATGCCGCACTCTCGCTACTCTACCCTCCTGCCCTCGTGTCTCCCATTCTCCCCCGTTCCATCAACTACGTCTGACGACCCCCCAACGTCAACCCTTGCCATCAACCCTCAACTCGCCAGCCGTACTCAGGCTCTGGCCGAGCTGCTTCTGCACACCTTACCTCTGCGTCCACCCGCGCGACCTCTCGACAAGTTGCGCGCGCATGCTAATCTAATGCCCCCCGCGTTTGCAACCAGGCCGAGACCGTGGGCCACGCCCGTGCCATTTACGAGTACACCCGCCAGACCGACGAGGAGCTGTCCTTCCCCGAAGATGCCGCGCTCGAGGTCTTCGACACCAGCGACGAGGATTGGATCCTTGCTGGATACGACGGCGAGTACGGCTTCGTCCCGGCAAATTACATCGAGCTCCAGGCTGCCGCTCCAGCCAGCGCACCGGCACCCCCAGCAGCTCCAGCGCTACCGCAGCGGCCGACATCTCAGAGCATCACCACCGACGACAGCACGCCCCTATCTGAAGATGTGCCCGCTGCCGCCTCTCCCGTCGCCGTTGCTCCGGCCGTTGCTCCAGCCGCAGACCCCGCTGCCGCCATTGCCAACGTTATGCAGAATCGACAGTCCACAAAGGAACCAATGACCATCAGGTTCAAAGAGCCGGACTTGTCCGATGAGGAATCCATCAGGTCTCCTGCGCTGCCCACGAGGCCTCGCCCACAGTCTCAGGCGTATTCCGTCTCGTCGGAGCCACCCAGCAAGCCTGAGCGAACCGTCGAATCCCAGCCCAAGGGACACCTCATCCCCGGCAACTTTCACCTGTACAACATCAACGAGATGGTGTCGGTCATGGGCAAGAAGAAGAAGATGCCAACGACCCTGGGCATCAATCTCCAAACCGGCACGATCCTCATCGCCCCCGAGAGAGCCGAGAACGACCCCCCTCAGGAGTGGACTGCCGACAAGATGACCCATTACTCCCGCGAAGGCAAGCACGTCTTCATGGAGCTTGTTCGCCCTAGCAAGAGTATAGATTTTCATGCCGGAGCTAAGGACACTGCTGAAGAAATTGTCGCCTCTCTCGGTGAGCTTGCAGGTGCTGCTCGAGCAGAAGGCATCCGGGAAATCATTGCGGCAGGGTCTCAGAAGCGTCAAAAGAAGGGAACCATTTTGTACGATTTCATGGCGCAAGGCGAGGACGAGGTGACTGTTGCTGCTGGCGATGAGGTGGCCATCATTGATGACACACGGAGCGAGGACTGGTGGATGGTTCGCCGCTTGAAAAACGGCAAAGAAGGCGTTGTTCCCAGCAGCTACATCGAGTTCTCCGGCACCATCACGCCGCCGTCTGGAGGCCAGATTCCCGCCAGGTCGATGGTTGAGCAAAACCGCCTGGAAGAGATACGGCTCACCAAGGAAGCAATGAAGGCTAGCAGAGAGCCCCAGCAGGTAGGCCTTGGAACGCCTTTGCCTCGAAGAGGTAGCAGTCTCGTAGCTACGGACGATGGTAACATTTCGGCACAACAGCGACCTCGACGAGAGAATGGACGAACCGACAGTGGCAGCCACTCTGCAAACAAGTCTAGTGAGTTTGCGATTTCTTCGAATCACCTGTCCAGGGGCAAGAAAAAAGGGACAGGATGTGCTGACAGCCTTCACCCAGAACCTGATCCCTCCAAAGTCCGGGTGTGGACAGATCGATCAAAGTCATTCAGTGTCGAAGCGCAGTTCCTCGGACTCAAAGATGGTAAACTGCACCTTCATAAGATGAACGGCGTCAAGATCGCCGTACCGATAGCAAAGATGTCGCATGAGGACCTCGTGTACGTCGAGAATCTCACTGGCATCTCCCTGGACGACGAAAGACCCCTGGCCGACGTCAAGCGATCGAAACCTCCGGAGCAGAAGAAGGCTCCTGCTGTCGGGGCTTCCGTGGACAAGCCGGCTCGGCCAGAATACGACTGGTTCCAGTTTTTCCTTTCTTGCGATGTCGCTGTGGGCCTCTGTGAGCGCTACGCCCAGGCGTTCACCAGAGATTCGATGGATGAGAGCGTCCTGCCAGACGTCGACGCCAGCGTCTTGCGGAACCTAGGCTTGCGGGAAGGAGATATCATCAAGGTTATGCGTACCCTGGATGCCAAGTTTGGCCGGGAGCGCGGCAACAAGGTCAATGGCGACGGCGACGGCGGTCTCTTCTCTGGTCCTGGCGGAGCTCTGCGGAACAACACAAGAAAGGGCCGACCCGCCCCTGCGGTCCAGACGGGCGATGTGGTCGATGCTGCCGTGTTCGCGACCAAGGATGGAAACAGCACTGCCGAAACGGCCGCGAAACCGGCATCTCCTCCGAGCCCTGCCAAGTCACCCAAACGTCCGGCGGGTGGATTCGACGATGACGCTTGGGATGTGAAGCCTACGAAGCAGGAGCAGCAAACACAAGCGCAGCCGTCGGCGCCGCCGGCCGAGGCGCCTGCAAAGAACACGACTCCGGCTCCCGCTGCGGCCCCGGCCCCGGCCCCGGCTCCGGCTCCTGCGCCTGCTCCTCCGGCGCTCACTGGCTCCCTGCAGGAACTGTCGCTGTTGACAACGCCGTTGGAGCCAAGCAAGACGGAGCCCCAGCCCCAACCTGCGGCTCCTCTCGTGACCGACAGCAAGGCACCTGCACCAGCGCCCCAGCAGCCACCGTTGGGAGCAAGCCCGGCTTTCTTCTCAACGGTGCCACAGCCGAACCAGGTCCAGCCCTCTCTCACCGGGGTTCATATATCTCCAAAGACACTGGGAAGACAACGCCCTATCGCGCCGTCCATTTCGCCGCCCGTGCAGGGGTCTCTTGGCGTTCCTCCGCCGCCGCAGCGGCCCCTTTCTGCTCCGCAGACGACTCTCCCCCAGGGCATGTTTGCTGCCCCCGCGCTCGTGCCCCAGGTCACCGGCCTCGTCCAGGGCCAAGTTGCGCCGCCGGGACAGAGCCTCAGCGACCTTGCCCAGGCCCGGCTGCAACAGCAATATGCTGCGCAGATGCAAGCCATGCAGCCCATGCAGCCCATGCAGCCAATGCTCACGGGATACGTCGGACCGCAGCCGCAAGGCCTGGGTCCATTTCCTCAAGGAGCTCCTGCGCCGTACCTACAGCCCATGATGACCGGCGCCCCTGGCTATATTGACCCAAGCCGCATGAGCCAGTATGGTGGGCTTCAACCGCAGCCGACCGGCTTCCAGCCAGGGCTGGGGCAGTCTCCCTTTGGCAGCGGAAGCATCAACAACTTCCTCCCGCCGCCTCTACAGCCACAACCGACTGGCTTCCAGAGTCTGCAGCCGCAGCCGACGGGGGCTACGAATGAGCTGAAGCCACCCATGCAGCCTCTTGTCCCGCAGAAGACGGGGCCTCCTCCGCCCGTCCGGTTCGGCGTCACGCCAGAGACGAAGAAGCTCACTCCCCAGGCAACCGGCCGCCGGGCCAACCTGGCGCAAGCGAGTAAGTTTGTTCAAATCCCTCTGTGCCTTTTTTTTGTGAAGGAAACTATCCAAACTAACGACATGCCTTTTTCTTGTAGCTCCTGACAACCCGTTCGGTTTCTAGATGGGAGGCTCTCTCTGGCGACACACCTGTGATATATAGCTAATTATATAGTCTGATTTCCACCCAACAAAACACTACCTGCTTGATCTAGCCCTTTTCACGAAACGAGTAGAAAGCACAGCTAGAGACACGTTTTTCTTTCTTTCTTTTCAAGTTGTATGTAATTTTAATACGAAGACATGTTGGAATAGACGAGGTTTTGGGCTGGTCCACATCGTTAGAAGCTCAATGGTATTGAGTCGAGTCGCAGCTACAGTACAGGTAGGTAGGTATGGTATGGACCTTAGTATCCTTCAGTGGGCTGGCCGCTAAATCTTTCAGGGGGCCCTTCTAGCTTGCCGGCCCTCCAGCTGTGCACCTGTGCAGCCCTGGGCTCCAGCTGTCTTGTCACTTCCAGTGGAGACCTCTGACAACTATCCATATAGGTACGTTAGGTAGTACCTACCTACCTAATACCGATCCAATCTATGTACGTGGTTTTGTTACCCCCTTCACTCCTGCTCTCTCTCAACCCAACCAGGCCATCATCATCACCAATTCAGTCGCCTCGTCACCTTTATATGACCGCTTGGAAGCCAATGCATATCCCGTAGCCGCCTGGACCTCACTGCGCCCTCCATCTCCCGCCATGGCAGAAGCACTGCAGGACCTGCTGGGCCTGGGCAACGGGCAGAGGCTGGATGCCGCGACGTCGGACTACATCGCCTACCTGGCCGGACAGCCAGTCGATGCCCTGCGGACGACAGAGCGCCAGCAGCTGGCGCAGGCGTCCAACTCGGCCCTGCTCTCGATTCAGGCGCTGTCCAAGAAGTCGTACAAGGCCGTCGTCGCCTCGGCCGACAGCCATGCGTCGCTGCGCGAGTCCATCCCCGCGCTGGCGGGCGACGCGCAGCAGCTGGGCCGCCTCATCTCCAGCCTGGACTCGCAGGTCGAGCACTTTGCCGCCAGCGTCAGCAAGGCCGGCGACAGCAAGGCGATTGCGCGCCGCCGGCAGGTGCTCAAGCTGCTGGACAATGCGGACCGCCTGACGGACCTCATGCAGGTGCCTGCGCTGCTGTCGTCCACGGCCAGCGTCTCGCCGCTGGGCGTCTCGTCTACGTTGGATCTCTACAGCCACATCCAGCGGCTCGGGGCTCTGTATCCGGACTCGCAGCTGGTCTCGCACGTGCTGAGCGAGTCCGAGGCCTCTATCCTGCGACTGGCCGCGGACCTCATCAACACGCTCAAGGCCCCGAACCTGAAGCTGGCTGCTACGCTGCGCACGGTCGGGTGGCTCAAGCGTGCGATGCCCGACCTCATCTCCTGGGCGCCGGCGCAGGACATGATACCCGCCGTGTTCCTGATATGCCGCTTCATCACGCTCGCGGCCACTCTGGATGCGCTGGAGCCTCTTCGACTCCTGGCGGAGGAGGAGCGGCTCGGCCAGGGGAAGCCGGGACAGCCACGGGCCTCCACCACCGGCCAGCACACGGAGCGGTTCCTCAAGCGCTTCATCGAGGTGTTCCGCGAGCACAGCTTCGGCATCGTGTCCATGTCCAAGAGCGTAGACACCAACATCGGCGGCGGCGGCGGCGCAGCCCCCGACAGCCCCGACCTGGTCCATCCCCTGCCGTCCGCGCTGTCCACGTTCCCCATCCACCTGGTCGGCATGCTGCTCGAGCCGCTGCGCCTCTATCTGCCCGCCGTCAAGGACAAGGTCGCCCGAGAGAGCATCCTGACGCAGGTGCTCTACTGCGCCGGCAGCTTGGGCAGGCTGGGGGCCGACTTTGGCATGCTGCTGGCCACGGTGGGAGTCAGCGAGTGGGTGGATTTAGTTAAGCGGCATAGGCTGCTGGCCGGGCGGCTGGAGTCGGTCATCGGGGATTACCGGTAACAAGAAAACATCGACCAGGCGGCACAACAAAGCAAAGCAAAGCAACGCAAAAGCAAACAGCTGCGGCGCCCGGCAATCTGCACTGTGCGCCCAATGCGTCATCTCAGACCTTTGTGGAACACACAGGGCGACAACTCTTGAACAAGCAACCCGCTGAGAGGCTCAAGCAGGCATCGCAAGGGCCGGGCCACGAGATCATGAGCACAGCAGCATCATCGCAGACGACGAAATCGGCTGCGGCAGGTGCGCAACTTCGCAATGGCTTGTTCTGAGGAAATGTCTCATCCCCATCAATAGCGCAACACTTCTTCTTTGGCCTTGGGTCTGGCGTGGCATCGGCCGTCCTGCTGCAGCCGCTGGATCTGCTCAAGACGCGGACGCAGCAGTCGGGACAGCATCCCTCCTCGCTGCTGGGCTACTGGCGGGAGCTCAGACAGTCGCCGCAGCCGATCCGCGCCTTCTGGAGAGGGACGCTGCCCTCGTCCCTCCGCACGGGCTTCGGGTCAGCCCTGTACTTTTCATCGCTCAACGCCATCCGCCAGTTCCTCCAGACGTCCAATGCCTTCAGCCAGAGGATCCACGCCAGCAGCGCCTCGTCGAGCCTGCCCACGCTGACGCCCACGGCCAATCTGGTTGCGGGAGCCGTGGCACGGACATGGGCCGGCTTTGTCATGATGCCTCTGACGGTCATCAAGGTCCGCTTCGAGTCGAGCCTGTATTCGTACCCGTCCATGTGGGCCGCCGTGAGGGACATTCATCGCAGCCATGGGCTCAGAGGTTTCTTCTCGGGCTTTGGCGCCACCGCGATCCGGGACGGGCCCTATGCGGGCATGTACGTGTCCATCTACGAGATGCTCAAGAAGAGGCTTGCATCCCTGGCGTCCGGCGGCAGCCGTTCCTCCTCCTCCTCCGCCGAGGGCTCAAGGGCCATGACCGCGTCGGTCGCCAGCTCCGTCAACTTTGTATCGGCCATCTCAGCGGGCGCCGCATGCTCGGCCATATCCAACCCCATTGACGTCTGCAAGACGCGCATCCAGCTCCAGCCGCAGCGGTACCGCAACCTGTTTCACGCCGGCTACCGGATGGTGGTGGAGGAGGGCTTCGGCTCGCTGTGGCGCGGCCTGGCCCTCCGGATGAGCCGCAAGGCGCTGAGCTCTGCGCTGTCGTGGACGATATACGAGGAGCTGATTCGCAGGTATACCGCCAGCTACGGCGGTGCAGGGCGCAGTCTCAAGTCGGTGTGATGTATGGCTAGGTACGAGGTACGATATGGCTTTGGCGATGTATTTTATGTACGATATGAATTTGGGGGCATGTTATACATGACGGGCTCTTCACTCGGTTTCTTCTTGCTCTGATTCTCCTTCCTTTCAATTCATGTATTTTTTGTTATTGCTTCGTTAGACGCGAGGTAGCCTGAAAGAAAAATCAAATCATATAGCAACAGCATACGGACTATATCAAGAGCAAAACAGGAAAAGAAAAAAAAATCATTCCGGCCTGCACACATGTTTTTTTTTGCAACAAAGAACTACGTAACATCGTAAGGGGGGAGGTCATTACGAGGGGCGAGCGCCGGCCAGGTACATGAGCAGCGCGGGCGACTTGCTCCTCTTGCGGTCGTGCTTCTTGCGGACAAATTCAAACTCCGTCTCGCTGCTGGCGCGGTGGTGGTGATGCTTCTTGTCCTCGACCATGAGCAGCTTGCTGCGCTTCTCGCGGATGAGCTCCGTGTGCCGCCAGAACTGGTCCTGCTCCCATTCGGGCACCCATCGCTTGATGAGAACATAGTCGGGGTCCTGTGGAAACGGAGTTTGATTAGCACAAAGATAGCCCTGCTATATAGGTCGACTTCATGAAAGGAAGCAACAGAAAGCTTACATTGTCGTATTCGTAGTCGATGCTAAACGTCCGCAGCGTCTCGAGCGACAGGTACTTGCGCGACATGCGAGTGTACGTCGGGCGCTCCACGGGATGCTCTGGCGCCGGCGGCGCCGGCAGGGCCAGCGTTGGGTATTGGTTGGGAGGCAGAGCCGGATGTTGACCCGGAAGCTGCTGCGCCGGGGGCAGAGCCGGATGTTGGGCGGGCGGCAGAGCCGGGGGCAGACCGGGAGCCTGGACCGGCGGCTTGGGCGTGACCTTTTTGTTGCTGAGGATGGCCTCAATGGCGTGCTCGTCGAGGCCCGACTTGACGAGGTCGTCGTGCAGGCGGCGACGGTACTCCTTGTCGTTCTCCTCCTTGCGCTTCTGCTCCAGGGCGATGCGCTCGGCCTCGGCCTTCTTGTAGCGCTCGACGGCTTCGTGGGCCTCCTTTTCGCGGCGGCGCCTCTCGTCGGCCGCCTCCTGCTCCTCCTTGAGGCGCTTGAGCTCCAGCTCCCTCATGAGGCGCTTCTCCAGCTCGGCCTCAGTCTCGCGCTTCTTGATGCCCTCGAGCTGCTGCTTGGCGTGGCGGAGCTCCCACTCGTCGCGGTACTCCTTGTCGAGCCGCCGCTTTTCCTCGGCGGCCTCCTGCTCCTCCTTGAGGCGCCTGTACTCGAGCTCGCGCATCATGCGCTTTTCCGCCTCTGCGTCGGCCTCGCGCTTCTTGACGAGCTCGAGCTGTCGCTGGGCGAAGCGAAGCTCTGCATTGTCTTGGTACTCTTTCTCGAGCCGCCTCCTCTCTTCGGCAGCTTCCTCGAAAGCTTCCTCCTCCTTGAGGCGCTGTAATTCGAGCTCCTTGGCGATGCGCTTCTCCACATCCTTCTCGGCCTCACGCTTCTTAATCTCTTCAAGCTGCCGCTGTGTGAAGCGATGCTCGGCATCCTCGCGGTACTCCTTCTCGAGGCGGCGCCTCTCCTCGGCAGCTTCCTCGGCAGCCCCTGCGTCTTTCATACGCTTGTACTCAAGCTGCAAAGAAAGACGCTTCTCGACATCCTTCTCGGCATCACGCTTCTTCATCTCCTCGAGCTGCTTCTGCGTGAAGTGAAGCTCGGCTTGCTCACGGTATTCCTTCTCCAGCCGCCGCCTCTCCTCGGCAGCTTCCTCAGCAGCGCCTTCATCCTTGAGACGCTTGTACTCGAGTTCCTTGACAATGCGCTTCTCCACCTCTGCCTCAGCGCCACGCCTTCTCATGTCGTCAAGCTGCTGCCTGGCAATGCGAAGCTCGGCCTCATCGCGGTATTCCCTCTCGAGGCGACGCTCATCCTTTGAGCGCTCTTCCTTCATGCGCAGCTCCTCAAGCTGACGGCGAGCAACCTCAGCCTCCCAGGCCTCTCGCATCCTGTGCGACGAGCGACGGGACGACGCCGAGGACGAGGATCGGGAGCGCGACCGGGATGACCGGCGGTAGACGGTGCGGCGGCTGCGGCGAGGCCCGCCGTCGCTGTCTTCATCCGACGAATGCTCATTGTAGATGCGGTTGTTGATGACGATGGGGGCCGGGGCGGCGGGCGGCGGAGGCGGGGCAGGGGTCGAGGCAGAGGCAGAGGCAACGGCGGCGCCCAGGGCTGCGCGGCTGTCTCGGGGGCTCTCGCGGCTCAGACGAGGCGGCGATCGAGGGCGCGAGGGCGGCCTGGCGATGGCTGTGGCGCGAGGCTCGGAGCGAAGATAGTCGGTCCCGCTGCCATACTGGACTCCCCGCACGGGAGGGCCCTGGACATAGCGGACGTTGGGGGGCGACTGGCGGCGGGCGACGTGGATGCGGTACTCCTCGTCGGAGTCGTAGAGGCTGCTGCTCATGATGGGGGAGGAGGCTGAAAGCGACAAAGAAATATAAGGAGAAGAAGGAGGACAAGAACAAGAAGGAGAAGAAAGGAAGAAAAAGTAACAGAAAAAGAAGTCACAGACGAAGGAGACGTCGCTTGCTCAGGCAAGCAAGAGCCGATAAGGCAGAATCACAAGGCAGGAATTGTGGGGGGAGGGGGAAAAAGAGAGGGAAGGTGAGGGGACGATGCCATTTTGATGATTTGGCAGGAACACACACCAGCCGCCTCTCTACAGCTACTACATGCACCTGCCCTCGTCGTCGATGCGGCTCATTTGCTGGGCTGTGACTTGCGCTCCACAGGGTGCCAAAGGCAGCCGCTGCAGGTGCAGAGACGGCGCTTGCATGCACTGCAGCGTTGGCTTCATCAGGCAGGCTCTTTGTTTCGCTGGGAGGAGGTTGATTAGCGCTTATTGGCAGCCAGCTGAAGCGGGAAGGATTGGGCGAGTCGAGATGGAGGAGGAGGAGGAGGAGGGGAAAAGACAGAGTATTGCTGGGGGGGCACTGGTCTTTTGCTAGGGGGGCACTGGTTAAAGTACCTGAAAATTTTCCTTATAACTCTATATCTTTAAACACTTATAACTAAGCTAAATAAAATTAAAAAAAATATTTAAAAAATACTATTCTATTAACTAAAACCTATATATACTTAAAATATTTTTTTTAAATATTTCTAAAGCTATATTATTAATAAAATTTTAAAAGAAACTTAAGCTATATTTAAGTATAGATTTTTTTATAATACTTTAGTATAATTAGGTAACTTTTTATATATTTATATAGCTTATTTATTAAAGATTTATATTTACCTTAATGCATACTTATATAATAGCTACTTAGCTAAAAAATACTAATTTAACTTAAAATTAGATTTTTAAGCTTAATATAGTTAATAAATTTATATTGTTAAGTTTAATATATATATTTTATATATAAAAAACCCAGATATTAAATAAAAATTTTAAAAATAATTTTCTAGAATTTATTATAGATTTTTAAAGGTAGAGGAAGTTTCTGTGGGTCTGTAAGCACAGGCCTTTACTATACCAAGTTTAGCTAGTCAGTGCCCCCCCAGCAAAAGACCAGTGCCCCCCCAGCAATACTCTACAAGGGAAGACGAGTACTAGTATGTACAAGTAATAGCTGCAGCACCGGGTGTGGATCGGTGCGCTTTGAGACGATAGGGTGGTATTTCGAAGGTGCATCTGACTCTATTTTGATCGAATGGATTTGAAGGGGTCAGTGATGGTTGACTTCAAGACCAAGTATGTTGCGAAAGGAACGAGAGGTTCAAGGTAATGTTACTCTCGAGTTTCATTACATTTCCCAGTGTCTTTGTAAATTTACCCTCTCAATCACTATATTACAGCACTATCCACCGCTGTGATCAGCTGGCTTCGGCCATCACCTGCCACCCCCTAAGCCGCATTCGGGCTCGCTTTATGCTTAATGCAAGGCTGTCCCCGTCCGTTCTAGCGCTGAGAGGGAAGAGCAGAAAATAGCACCACTGGTACCCAAAGGGAAAAAAAAGATTAAGAAAAAAAAAAGAAAGAAAAAAATTCCCCTGTGGCAGATGACCCGCTGACCCCTACTAAACCTTACAGCACTAGGTAATTAAACCCACTCGCTGTAAGGCTACCAAACTCCCGCTTGCACCATTTCCCAAGGCTGTTGAATCATACCTACATACACCATCGTCATCCTCAAATCACCGTCGCCTTCTGCCTCCAAGCGACATCTGCCGCCCACATCTACACATACACAGTCAGACATCATTCTCCGCGCTCCCAGACAATACTCGACAACTCAGCACTTCTCCCCCCAAACATGGCTGCCCAGTTCGCCTCCCATGGCCGCGGCGGCGCAGGCAACATGGCCGACGCCGCCAAGTCCGCCAAACTCAACGCCTCCGACCTCGAGACCCCCATCCTCAAGACCCCCGTCGTCACCACCGGCCGCGGCGGCACGGGTAACATGACGAGGAACGACGACCCCAAAGAGACTCGTCTTCGTCAGGATGTCCAGGCGTAAGTTCAGCTGAACCCCTCCACCCCCCCCCCCCCCCCCTCGAATAACAGGGAGGAGAAGCGATCCTCTCTCTGTGTAACTTTGATGGGCGCATGCACACAATCCAGAAAAACGCTTCTAACGCAGTTCCCTTGTCCAGAGTACCCAGGCGGCTCAGCGCCGGAGCCCAGCTCGGCGGCCGCGGCGGCGCAGGCAACGTCTTCAAGGGCGAGGAAGAGTTCGAAGAGCTGGCGCGCAACCGGAGCATCGAGCAGGCCATCGACGAGGCCCCCGAGAGGACGTCGGACAAGGCCTCTGACAAGTCGGTCGACAAGACGGACAAGGCCGAGGGAACAACGACGACAAAGCGGCGGTGGCTGTTTGGCAAGAAGTGAAATGGGAGCGTCTACGGACAGAAAACGCTGGATCTGTTCACACGGCTTTCTCGCGCATCTCCCTCCCCTTCTTTCTTTTGTCTTTCCGCTCTGGGTCTTTTCTCCTCTCTTCTTCAGATACCTCTGGTCTTGTTTTGTGTTAGGGCCTTGTTTTTTTATTATTATTATTTGGTGGTATTTGACGGCGCATTATGATATGGTTACGCCAAGGTACGGAGTCTTCTCGGTGGTCCAAAAGAAAAAGAAAAGAATTGTTTGTGGGCTTCAATCAGGAAATGGCATCCAGTATCATCACGGTAATCAACAGTACGGAGAGGTCCTAGTTGTTCTTCCTTTCTAGACAGGGCTTACAGTACACCTTGGTCAATGCAATACAATGGTCCGACTCCGCTGCTGAGTTGAAAGTTGGTTGTTTGTGATCATCTTAGCCTCTTTTGTCATTTTCGGTTCTGGGTTTTGATTTTTTTGTCTTGGGTTTGCTATCGCTTCATGACTTGGTGAGGCGGTGAATCTCCTCAAAGAAGAATTTCAGGTTGTCCGGGTTGACCCCCGGTGTGATGCCTAGAAGCAGCAGCGTCAGCAAGTTACAAGACACATGTACAGAATCATAGCTCAACATACCGTGACCCAGGTTGGCGATCCAGCCCTTGTTCCCAACCCAGAATCCCTTGACCATGTCCTCCACAGCCTTGGTGATGGCGGCTTTTGAACCGTACAAAACTCCAGGGTCGGCGTTGCCCTGGAAGACAATGTTCCTGTCGCCTCGGATCCGCACAGCCTCGGCAGGGTCCTGCAGCCAGTCCATGCCGACAACGTTGTAGCCCAGGTTGCACGCCGAATCAAGCGCATACCAGGCTCCCTTGGGGAATACGGTCATGGGCACCTTGTCCAGCCCCAGCTCCTGCAGCTTCTGCGGCAGCTTCTGCGCGATGTGGGCGAGGTAGGGTTCTGAAAACTCCTTGAACGACGCGGGTCCCAGCTCGCCCGCCCATGAATCAAACACCATCACCAGCTAGCAAGCCACAGTTAGCCCTGCTTCCACCGACAAAAATTGAAACAATACTCGTAGCAATGTAGTAGCAGAGATGAGCCCCATACCTGAGCACCAGCCTTGACCTGCAGAGCCAGATGCTCCACGCAGACGTCCGCAATCTTGGCCAGCAGCTTCTTCGACTCCTCGGGGTACTTGTATATCCACTTCTTGCTCTGCGCAAACAGCTTCGTGCCGCCTCCCTCAACCATGTAGCAGAAGAGCGTCCACGGCGCGCCGCAGAAGCCAATCAGCGGCACCCGCCCCGCGAGCTTCCTCCGCGTAAGGGTAATGGCCTCGTAGACGTAGCCCAGCTCGGCGGCGACGTCGACGTCACCCGCGAGCACCCGCCCGTACTGCCCGTCCTCGGGGTCCTGCAGCGGGCTCGGGAAGTGCGGGCCCTTCTTGTCCACCATCTCAACCTGCATGCCCATGGCCTGCGGGATGACGAGGATGTCGGAGAAGATAATGGCCGCGTCCAGCAGGCCGGCGAAGCGCTCGACCGGCTGCAGGGTCAGCGTCGAGGCGACCTCGGCGTCGCGGCAGCACTCGAAGAAGTCGCGGGTGCCCTTGGCTTCGTGGTATTCGGGGAGGTAGCGGCCGGCTATGAAACAGAATATCTGGTCAGAGGACGGGGTCTGTAGAACTAAGGAAATCGATCGGAATCATCCCAGAGCGCAGCATACCTTGGCGCATCACCCACATGGGAGGTCGTTCCACCGTCTGTCCTATCGATGGGCGCAACAACAACACACGCATAAGCAATACCGTCCAACAAGAGAGAACTCTCAATTCCGCAGCGCGCAATCGGCAGAGAAAAACCCACCCCATGCCGCCCGCAGCAGCAGGTCGTTCTTCAACGGCTCAAAGTTGTGCTCCATGGCGTCCAGGCAGAGGTCAATGTGCAGCTTGTAGAAGGCTTCGTCACTCGAGCAGCTGCTGGAGGCAGTCAGTAGCATCTCCTCCAACTGGCAAAGAGACTGCTGACCAGCAGCAGCTTTCATGACATTCCCCCCACCAATTCAATTCATCCAGTCAAGGACTTCCCGAGGCCCCCGCATGGTACGTACCTTGCCTGCAATTGCACGGAGTTCGGAGCTCATTCGGCCCGTAGGCACTATCAGCTGCCAGCCTGGTGCCAACTTGAGGTACGTACCCCAGCTGCGCTCAACACCTGAAGCTCCAAGCTGTCACTTGAGGTTCATCAACATCATCTCACTCAACCTTGACACAATAAATCACCACCATCCGTCAACGGCGTCTCACATCACCATCACCGCAAACATGTCGGAACAGGAGCTCCAGATCAACCCCATTGTCCAAGATTCTGTCATCCACAACACAAAGGTACATCCAACGCCCTCATCCCCATTGCCTCACTCACTCATGGCCATGAAGTCATTGCAAATCACAACGTCCAGCTTCAGTCTAACGTCTATTACCAGACCCTCACCAACCTCCACAGCCTGACGGCCTCCCTCTTCGGCGTCAGCGCAGGCATCCTCGGCCTCGAGTCCTACTACGGCTTCCTCTACTACATCGCCCTCTCAATAACAACCAGCCTCCTCTTCTACGTCTTCAAGCTCGCCCCGGGCTCCCTGGCCGAAGGCCGCAGCGTCCTCGACACCGGCCGCTACTACAAGGGCGCCCTCGAGCTCTGGACCAGCCCCATCTTCAATGGCTTACCGGGATTCATTCTGACGTGGACGTTATTCTATGGCTTGGTGAGAGCTTGAGAGCGGAGGGCTGAGCTGAAGGACAACACGGATAAGCATAACGAGCTGGGCCGATGAAAGAGAGAAAGGATGCAGACAAGCGGCTACCAATGACCTTTGTGTCAATGAAGAAATCTATTACAAATACTTTCAACAAAACTAACAAACTACTAATGACATTCATCTTGCAACCTGCTGTTCACGTCAAGACACGACATGCGTTATCTTTCCAACAAAACCCTGTAGTCCTGATCCGTCCTGACTACCGTTCCCCATGATGATGACTGATGTCCCCAGCTCAGCCCACTTTCGACTGTGTATCAATTCTACAGTTACCTTGGTTACCCTCTCTTCAGAACGATGCTCTGCAGCTACAGCTGCTTCGTCGACGTCAGATGCTGTAGCTGTCTCACGGCGCTGGGTCGAGGCGTCAATGATCCGGGCAGCAGTTCGAACACAACCAAAGAGTACATTGACCGTTGAGCCCAGCGGAGGGAACTCCGCAGCATCTTCATCAAACTCTGCCGTAAACCCACGAGCAGCCTGAAGAGTCACTTCGCTGCCCAGCGCATCAACAGGCGGCGTCGCCATCACCATGCCTCTCCGGATCTGTGGCGTCTCCGTCTTCAGGGGCATCAGTTCGGTCTGCACTTGCTCAAACACGACACCGATGGAGCCCACCTGACCAGCTTCCAAGGTGCCCACAGGTAGCCGGAGGTTGCGGATGCTTACAATGCGGCCCCTTGGCCACTCGTCTGCAGCAATGACCGGCGGTGTGTCATACGACCTGGAGATGCCGGCATGTCCGGTGGCTACTGCGTTCAGCATGGGCGATCCACGTTCGTCGGGCGACGATTGGTCTTCGGATGCCGAGACACGACCATGGCCTGTCGAAAAGGGCCCTACAACAATGGTCTGTCCTACCGAGAAGCTGCCGAAGCGAACGTGACCGGATACAATGACACCGTCCGCGCTCGATGGCGAGTCATCAAAGGACCTTGGCAGATTGAACGTGTCATCAATGTAGAAGAGGCCTTCCGGTTGCTCTGGATGTCCCTTACTATCCGTAGAGCCGGTCTGCGGCGTCGTTGTAGGCGCCTCTGGCAGAGGCAGGCTTGCAAGCAGAGCATGGACAAGGCCGACGCCGACTCCCTTCAAGACACTGGTGAAGACAATGGGAACATGCTTCAGCGGGCCTTCCTGTTGGTCAACCATGCCAACCCAGTTCTGCACCTTGTCCCAGTCTGCTTGGGGAATCTGGGCCAGCTGCTCCTGTGGCTGCTGGTCCGGCTGCAGGAGCTTTGGCACTCGCTTCGCATCCCTGATAGCAGCGAGTATCTTCGTCATTGTCTTTTGCAGGCTTGCCTTGGACGCGAGGTCCAGCTTGGTGATGACGATGGCCAACGGAACGTCAAGCTTCAGCGAAAGGTCCAGATGGGCCTTGACCAGATCAGTGTCTGCCGAGTCCATGACCATAGAAGCCATATCATGAGTCACCTCGGCGTCGTCTGCAGCGATGCAGAGGACCATCCAATGCGGAGCCCAGTTCATCAGCCCACGGAAGACTGTATGTCGATACCTAGGGTGGCCGCCTGAATCAGACATAAACACCAGCCGGCCATTGCTGGCGTAGTCATGAATGTCGAGCCACGACTCAATGTTGCGATGGGAGAAGTTGAAAATGAGCCTCTCCTTGTAGCCGATGAGCTCCTGCGCGATGGAGCTGGTCATCCCGGAAGCCATCTCATGGCGATGCTTCAGCAAGCTCAAGCGACTTTTGCCCCGGCCGTTATCCAGAGTGCCCGTCGACAAGGTTCCCAAGAGACTCGACTTCCCTGACGCTATTGGGCCCGTCAGCGTCACCCGCAGCTGCGGCGTCGTCGACTTGGCATGACCTGGCGGCGCTGTAGTAGACGTAGATGGTTGCAGAGAAGTTGCGCCATCGGACCCGTCATGGCTCTTGACATCCTGAAGCGACTTGGAACGCTGCACTTCCGTGTTAGGCGTGATCAAGGCCTCAGCCACCCAGAGCTTGTCCTGTTTGGTGACCTGGACCGGTTTCCGGGCAGCATTGCCCTCCGGCTCCGCGATTTCGATCCATTCACAGTCGCCCACAATCACCATCCGCAACACGGTAACGCCGCAGCCAAGACTCGCTGCCATGTTCTTCAGAGTCGCAATGCTCTCGTCCAGCTCGTCCCTGCTGAGCCCGACGAGCGTTCCATCGTCAGCGACGCCTATCTCGTATAGCGCGCCCTGGGACTCCTCCAGGCCCGGCATCTGCGTGCCGTGGGCATCTGGCGACCCGGCATCTCCCTTGCCGTCGGATAGCTTTGGTATCCTCACTTCTCTGGAGCTCGACGCATGATACGGCGACGACTGCTGCAGGCGCCACAGCAGCTGCGTCGTGAGGCGCTGGAGACGCTCCTGGCGAGGCTGGCTCGACGAGGAAGGCGTCGGGGACGCCGAGTACAGCGCCGCGATGTCTCCCGGCTGGGCATGAAGCTTGTCTCTCTTCTGGCGCACGGTGCTCATATACACGTAGCTCCGCCGTGACCGCAGCAGCAGATGCAGCTTGTACTCGATGGGGCCGGTCTGCGGCTCTGCTTCCAGCCTCGTGACGCCATACTCGGACAGCAGGCCGGTCTGAGTCACAGCCGCGCCGGAGCCCGGCGAGCTGTCTGCATCATCGGCCTGAATCCAGGGCGACGAGACGCGGGGAGGATCCGGGTCGTAGGTGAAGACGGAGGCCATTGGGGCGGTAGTTGGTGATGATTCGATCTATTTCTCCCTGCTCTATCCGTACTGAGGCGATGTGGTTCATACTCTCATGGTCTGATATACTTGCGCAGAGCAATGCCGAGCAATGCGTATCATGGTGAGCGGCTGCGACGCTGGCTGTAGGTAATGCGAGGAGCCTCCTAAGGTCCAAGGATCATGCGTGTGGGAAGAAGCATATAGACGACGAGCGGTGGCGAAAGAACAGCAATTGGAATGAGACGAGATAATGGCGGAAGGACAGGAGGGAGATATATATATATATACAAGCAGAATCAGGAACAAAGTCAGGCCATGAGTGAAGGCGACGGACAAGGAGAGCCAAGCCACTGACCAGCTTTGTGGGTGTGACTCAAACGGAGCTCCTGGTGCCTGCTCGAGGACCGAGGTGAGGTCAAGGTCAGGTCAGGTAAGGGATGCGTTGAAAGGGGGATAGGCCGATACCTGGCTGAGACATGATGATGTAACCCGCCGGCAATGCTGTTGGAGGTACTGATGCTGGGGAGTTGCTACGGCGCAGTACTTGCCTGACTAAGATCCCGTGAGCTAAGCCCGATGGTTTCCACGCCGTGCAAAAGTACTGCCATAACATGCAAATTCCAAGCCTCAACACAAGTTGTCAAACCAGATAACGGGCAGGAAATATTATCACACAGCTCCAGCTCTATCGTCAACAGTCTGCCCGCATTCTAAAGAGAGAGAAAAGAAATAATCATTCCAAAATAAGTTATGTGGCATGTAATGTATGTCAGAAATCACTACATTATGTCGTAAACGCACGTCAAGCCTCGCACAACTCCGTGATCTATAACATCTAGACACCAAGCCTCTATTAATCGCTTTACCTGATACGAGCCAGCCGTTCTCTGTTCATCCTCGTGGCGTCATCAACCGCGTCACTCTGTGAGGAAAGGATTAGCCATCCGATACCGGCAGAATCAGAAGAAGAGAAGAGAGTAAGAGGGGGGGATTACCTTGTTCATGATCCGGTCAATCTGCTTGTTCTGAGCATCCACCTCGTTGCCAATGGCCCGGCCGACCATGTTCATCATCTTGACCTGTCCCTCGAGCTCGGTGAGACCCTCGTCGATCTGGTCCTCGAGTTCGTCGGCGCCCTCCTCGTCGTCCAGGTTGAACTTGCCGTAGTCCTTCTTGCGGCCCTGCTGCCGGCCCATGCCCGTGTTCAGCTGGCGCATGTTCTGCTCCATGCGCTGGGTGGCTGCGTAGCCGTCTCGCCGCGTCGTCTCTCGCTGCTCTCGCTCAGCCCGATGACGAGCCAAGATCTCCTCATCGGCTCTTTGCTGGCGCTGTTTGGACGTGAAAGGGTTCCCCACGTGAACCGCAAACATGCTCCCGTTGAGTGTCTTGAGCTCTGCTGCTCTATCCTGGGCAATCTTGTTCTGGTTGGCCGCAAGGTCGAGGTTCTTCTCGGTGTTGTGCAGCCGTTCGCCCTGCGCACCAAGACGAGCCAGGGTGGCGCGCCCGACTTCGTTGGCCTGCCTAGCCATCTGCACCGAGCGCTGTACTGACGACACACTCTCCTGCTGAAGCTGTCTCTTCTCGGCGAGGATGGCCTGGGTGTCGGCCTCCTCTTGCTCCTCCTCTGTCAGTTCCCGCTGCTCGCCATAGCCCCCGTAGGAACCGCCAGAGACGGCTGACGCTGTGCTGTAGCCCCCAGGCGCTGGAGCAGCCTGCTGCTTTTGTTCGAGTCGCTGTTGCGCTCCGCCAAAGAGGGCGTCTCTGTTGCTGTCGGGGGCGTCACGGCCAAAGCCGCCGTAGCCTCCAGGGCCTCTAGCTCCCGATGAAGCGTTCTGCTGAGGCCCGCTGTCGTAGCGGTTGGAGCCATAGCCGCCGCCGGAGCCATATCGGTCGCTGCCGTAGCCTGAGGAGGCCGTCTGCGGAGGGCCAGCGTTCTGTCCGCCCTGGTACGAGTTGTAGCCACCTCCAGGGGGCGGTCGGGCGCCGTTGTTCGGCCCGCCCTGGCCCGGCTGGTAGGAGCCCATGTTGGCATATTTGGTCTGCTCGGCATAAGGGTCGCTGGCGCCTTGGTTGGCATACGGGTTGTCCGAGGGGGCGGGCGAGTTCTTCTTGCGACTGCCAAAGAGGGCGTTTCTGTTGGCGTCGTCGCCGTCGTCGCTCTTCTTGCCGAAGCCGAACTTCTTCATGGTGCTCTGCTGTGGTGCTGGTTCAATTTCAGGAAGGGTAATTAATGCGTTATGCCGCAGTCAAAGAGGAACGAAGAAGAAGGAAGAAAAAAATGCGGCACGTTGGTGTAGCGAGAGAAAGGAGATGTCACAGGAAGAATAGAGAACAAAGATGCAGTGGTGAGGCTTGGGTGTCAACTCCCTACTCGAGTCTTAATCTGAGCCACTCCCATGCGTACTAAGGTACTACTAGTACCCAGTACTACCTTGTAGGTACCAAGTTGCCCCGTAGGAACTAGCGTGCAGGTGGGACGAAGGACCCTGGGGAGACAGTTGGCCCACCTGTAGGGGACAGGATACCCCTAAGATATGGATCTGCTGCAGAATAATCAGATGGATCGATGAACTCTTCATATATTCGAGGAGTAACTGATCAGTATCGGGAGTACTTCCTCGCGCTGCGCATGGGCTGGATAGATATGGAACAAGAATCTGAGTCAACGTTAGGTACCTACTCTGTAAGCCTTGCAATAAGAGGCACTACCTAAGTAACTTTCTTTGTTATAGTGTTAGGTAATCAACCTTGAAGGCTACCTACCGTTAGCAGATTTTACACCGGGTGGCCAATTTTGGTACCTGGCGCCGTCGATATCTTATCAGTGACCTTCATACATGTGAAATTTTGAGACATCTACAGAGGAAAGGAACAGGCCAAAAAAAAAGGCAAGCTCCGACCAAGCAATGTCAAGGTGGTGATATTTCTCGTGCAGCCCCTCTCTCTCCCTCTTTTACCTCTCTCCCTTCTATCCTACTTTTCCACTCGACAATGGCTGCCCCAAACTCGACGGAACATGCGCCCAAGAGACGAAAAGTACGACAAGATTCTGGATCCGTCACGATTGGAGGCAAGGTCATCTCGGTAGCAGGATATCTTTCCTCCTCCTCCTCCTCCTCCTCCTCCTCCAAACCCAAGCAAGCCGAAGCAAGCAACCTGAAACCAACGCCTCCAAACGAGTCGCAAGAGCAGCCGTCGAAAGCCACGCCACAACAGCCGCCGAAGTCAGCGCCGCGTGAAAGAAACGAAACCCACAGCAAGTCTCGAAATGCAGGCGGCGCCAAGGAAAACCCGTTGCTCAAAGCTCGCCGGGAGCTGCCGATATGGCAACACCAAGACGAGATCCGGACGGTCGTGAAGCGCGCGGGCACCGACGTCATTGTCATTGTTGGAGAGACTGGTTCCGGTAAGAGTACGCAGGTGCCTCAGTTCCTATACCAGGAGCCCTGGTGCAAACGACACAAGGTCAAGCTGCCAGGCCGGCAAGAGGAGGTGTATGTGGGAGGCATGATTGCCATCACGCAGCCCAGACGAGTTGCTGCCACGACTCTGGCACAGCGTGTGTCAATAGAGGCGGGCACCCCCCTCGGCAAGGGACGGCCAGATGGGCTCGTGGGATACTCGGTTCGATTCGACCACCAAGTGCCCAAAGGAACAAGGATCAAGTTCTTGACGGAAGGTACTTTGCTGCAGGAGCTTCTCCGGGATCCCTATCTGAGACAGTATAGCGCTGTTGTCATTGACGAAATCCACGAGAGAAGCCTAGACGTTGACCTCCTGGCCGGCTTTCTGAAACAGATTCTGTTTGGGGATCAAACGCAACGAGGAGGCATCCCGCTCAAGGTGATCATCATGAGTGCCACGGCCGAGGTGGGTGTCATTCAGGAGTTTTTCGGCACCGCGGCTGCGGAGGGGAGAGAAAAGGGGAGCAATGTCGAGCTGCTTCGAATCAAGGGCCGCCAGTTCCCGGTCACGATCTTATACGAGCCCCGGCCGGTGCCCGATATCCAAGATGCGTTGCTGAAGAAAATCTTCAAAGTCCACGTCGAAGAGCCGCTGCCTGGAGACATCCTGGCTTTCCTCAACGGTCAGGAGGATATCGAGGCTGCGCAGCGGCTCATCGAGGAATATGCCACGACTCTTGCGTCCAACGTGCCCAAGATTGTCGCCGTTCCCCTGTATGGCCAGCTTTCGATCGAGGCTCAGAGCGTGGCCTTTCGACCCGCAAAGACTCCTCGCACGCGCAAGGTCGTTCTCGCTACCAACATCGCCGAGACGTCCGTCACGGTGCCCGGCGTGAGATATGTCATTGACTGCGGCAAAGCCAAGGTGAAGCAGTACCGGCCGCGGCTCGGCATGGAGTCGCTCCTGGCGAAGCCCATCTCGAAATCGTCCGCCGTGCAGCGTGCTGGTCGTGCCGGCCGTGAGGGCCCAGGCAAATGCTTCCGGCTGTACACGGAAGATGCCTTTAACAGCCTGCAAGACTCGGACCTCCCAGAGATTCTCAGAAACGATGTCCTTGGGGCCGTTTTAACCATGAAAGCGCGCGGCATACAGGATGTCATGGCCTTTCCGTTGATGGACGCACCAGAGCCCGCGGCGATCGAAATGGCCCTGCTACATCTGCATTTCTTGGGGGCTCTTGCGGACGACGGGACCATCACGGCGGCGGGCCAGACAATGGCCAGGTTTCCGCTTTCAGCTCCCCTGGGTGCTGTTCTTCTCGCAGCCGCGGGACCCGAGTTTGACTGTGTCCTCGAGGTGATTGACGCCATCTCTTGCCTCACGTCCGGAGACGACATCTTCATGCACGTACACTCAGAGGAGGGCCAGGAGGAAGTAGAAGCATATCGCAAGGATGTGCAGAGACGCGAGGGCGACATCATCACGTATCTGACAACGATGCAGATGTATGCTGCAGAGAACTCGGACCGGATAGACTGGTGCAAGAAGCGCAAGATCAACATCCGCAACATGAAGCAGGCGCTCAACATCCGCCGGCAGCTCCGAGGCATGTGCTTGAAGGAGAAGCTCCTCTCTGAGATGCCGCCGCCCGATCCCCAGCCGTTTACGCCTCTGTCGCCGGAAAAGGCAGAGTCGGTGATCAAGTGCTTCCTCAGGGGCTTCGCCATGAGGACGGCGATGCTGGCGCCGGACGGGAGCTTTGTGACGGTGCACGGCAAGCACGTGGTTGCCATCCATCCCTCGAGTGTCATGCATGGGCAGAAGAAGGAGGCCATCATGTTCCTTGAGCACGTCTATACCAACAAGAATTACGCAAAGAAAGTGAGTGCGATTCAGGCAACGTGGATTGCCGAGGCATTGGGGAGGTAGACGAAGCGATTTAGATGGCGTGTTTCAGTTCCATGATGATATAGAGAATCTGGATATTATTATATATAGAGAGAGAGAGGTCTTACTATACAGTCTAATTCTACAACTTGGCAGTTCGACGAAACGCCTTTGGAGCTGGGCTATTCGGCATCTTCTCCGTTGTGGTGCTTTTGGATGGCCTGCATCAATTCGTACAGCTGCTGGATTTGCTCGTCTATGGATCCGGTTTTCAGTGCCGTGCTCATGACGAGAGAGAATGTGGGAAAGGCTTACCGCTCATTTTCTGGAGTTTGCTCTGGTCGATCTTTTCGCCCACCCACGACTCGCCCTCGATTTGCTGAGCGTACATTTGCCATTCGGTGAGGAAGCCAATCTGAAAAGCAGGTAACAAGTCAGCGTCGCACTCATATTCCTATATCATCCATATCCGTAAAGTAGTGATGGTTGTGAGTAAGGCAGAGGGAACACCCCCCCCCCCCCCCCCCCCCCCCCCCCAGCAGCAATAGAGAACATTATCATCCGGCTTCTTTTCCCCCCTTTCACCCACTGCCCTTGAAACCAATCGCACACACACACAACACACACACACACACGTACCAAATGCGCAGGATTGTCCACGTTTCGATGCGCCCTGAACTCGGCCTTGACGTACTCGTCGCCGAGGACCCTCATGTCCGGCGGAAGGTGTTTTCGGTGCGCGCGCAGGAGGCGGCGGTAGAGCGGGATGGGAGGCAGGAGGGCCATTGGCTTGGGGCGCAGGCCGCCGTTTTGCATGGCCGAGGCCGAGGCCAGCCTTGAGAGTGAAGGGCGCATGATGTTGTTTTGTGCGTGGGTTTTATGTGTGTCTTATGATAGCGGTTGTGAAAGCTGAGACGAGGCGAGGCGAAGCGAGATCGGATGAGACGAGAAAAGATGAGATGAGGTTGATGCTCCGGTGAGAGGGTATGACATCAACTCGTGGTAAAGAGTAGTATGCGCTTAAAGTCTTTGGTGGTGATGAATCATATATGAGAACTCTGAAAGCGTAGCTGACAGCAATTATAATTCAAATGGTCAAGGTCGCATATGCGATGGCTGTTCATCAGTCGTTTTGAGACGACAGGCTGGTATGATATAGAGAGACTTGAAGTTGCTCGGCATGTCTGAGGAGGCTAAGAGAGGAATCGCCGTCTCATAGCCGCGGGCCCTAGTAGTAGCAGAGAGCAAAAGTCAATGGATGGGTAGCCCCACCAAACTAGGTACCAAACCACCAAACCCAGAAACTGAATCTTATAAAATCACTAACTCGATATCCGACTTTCATCTCTATACAGCCTCTGTATCTGCTTAAACACACTCTTTTTTACTCGTCTTCACCAGAGAGCATCTCAGTCCTCTCAGCTCACTCAATATAGCCACTATCAGAGATTGTGACAAGCCACCAAAAGTTCAAAATGGCCTTTTCCTTTGGCTTCTCCGGAGACGACATAGACGCCGAGCTCATCAACGAGCCTGAGTCTCAATCTCAACCCCAGCTTCAACCTCAACCTCACCCCCAGTCTGCAACGCAACCCCCCTCATCATACAGCGCCTTCCCCGTCGCCGGCAAGCCCCAACTCCCCGCAACCCTCCACCCGCTCTCCTCCCTGCTCGCCCAGCTCCCCTCCAAAATCGCCTACGACACCCTCGCCATCGACCTCACCAACGACGTGCCCCCCAATGCCAGCACCGCCTCCTCCTCCTACTACGACCCCCCCAGCCTGAGCCTCCCCCGCCGCGAGCTGTGGGACGTCCGCGTCCAGCTCATGGCCGAGGACGACGACGTCCTGTCCGGCTCCAGCGGCGAGGACCGCGTCGACGACGGCGGCCTCGGCAAGCACGACGTCAAGACGGGCATCTACGAGGGCGGCTTCAAGAGCTGGGAGAGCAGCATCGACCTCGTCAGGGTGCTCGCCGCGCAGGACGAGCTCACGGCCGCTCAGCAGGCTTCGTCTCTTCGTGTGATTGAGGTATGCCCACGGTCACTATGTACTCACTCACGATACTCCCATTCCCCCTCCCCCCCCCCCCATATCTTTCTTTTCATGCGTATATTCACTACCAGTTATCAAAGAAACAAAGCTGACTCATATACCTAAACAACAGCTCGGCTGCGGAACCGCCCTCCCCTCCCTCGCCCTCTTCACCTGGATCATGCAACGCCAGTCCCGCTCCCAATGGCCCCAGACCCCCTTCCCCTGCTCCCTCATCCTCGCAGACTACAACCCCTCCGTCCTCCGCCTCGTCACCCTGCCCAACTTCCTCCTCGCCTGGGCCCTCCACAACGCCGCCCATGAGCCCGCCCTCGCCGACGCCTTCAGCATCGAAGGCGAGCTCGAGCTGTCCCCGGGCATCGTCCAGGCCTTTGAGAACTTCCTCTCGTCCAGCGGCATCCAACTGTCCTTCATCTCCGGTGCTTGGTCCCCCGAGTTCATCAGCTGTCTGTACGATTTGCCGGCCTTTTCATCGGCATCGCCTGCGCCGAGGACGCTCATGATTGGAGCAGAGACCATTTACTCTCCGTTTGCCCTGCAGGCGTTTGCTCAGACTGTCTTTGCTGTGCTGGACCGTGAGAAGGCTTCCGGTGCTACGGCAGCCGCATATGTAGCTGCAAAGCGGCTCTACTTTGGCGTCGGCGGCTCATTGGACGACTTCATCGACGTGGCCCGGTCAAAGGGTGCCACTGTTACAGAGCTGAGAGAGGAGAGCGAGGGTGTACGACGCGGTGTGGTCCACTGCGTCTTGCAGAAGGAGTAACAGCACAATCAGCAGTCACAAATGATGCAGTCTCACGACATTGTCGATACTGAGCTGAGGGACGACGCCGCGCAGTTTTTGAATGTAATTCATTATCGAGGACACTCGATCCATAGAAATGGGAGGCCCTCTTCAATCTGACTACATGCATAGGCATCAAACAACCCCCAATATCCAGGTCCCCAGATCCAAAGATGCCATGACCTACGCCACAACATCATCATCATCCTTCTTCATTTTCCCTTTCGTTGAAACTTTTCGGTACACTCGGGGCAGTACCACGTGCCATTGGGTTCGCTCTTGAGCCCAACACAGGACCAATGGAACCACTCATAGGGGCAATTGTCGTTGTCGCAGGCCACCATGTCTCCATAGCTCACGTTATGGCATAGGCAGTACCGTTTGTCGTCACCGCCTTCTTCGTCGTCCTCGGCGTCTCCAAGCACCTCGTCTCCGTCGCCGTCCTTGCGGTCCGCCATGGGGGCCCTCGGCCGCGACTCTGGACCGTCGTCTTCCTCGCCGCTGCCGCTACCAGCGTCCGACAGGTCACTATCAGCCGTCGACGCAGGCGAGTTTCGGTTGGACGCCTTCTTCACCCGTGAAAGCGACGACCTGTTGGGCGGCTTCTTCCGGCCGGTCATGGTCGGCGTGCCTCTGCGACCCCCTACACCCGCCGCGCCCTTGACCGATCCGGCTCTCGGCCCAGCACTGCCCGCCCGGACAGTACTGCCGGCTCCGGAGCCAATGGAGCCGCTCTTGGGAATGCCCGGCCCAAGGGACGAATGTCTCGCCAAACCACTCGACGTTGCGGGCAGGTTTCCGGGCCCTGTGATGGACCGTGGTCCTCTCTTGGTTGCCGGTCCCGCGGAGCTCTCTCGTTGCCTGTTCAGGATGATGCTTGCAGCAGGCGTGGCTGGTGCGGAGGATGGATGCTGGTTGTATTGTGCAACATGTTGCTGGGCCTGGGATTGTCGGATCTGAGGGTGGGCGGGGAGCCGGACCAGGGCCGGGTTGGCGGAGCCGGCCACGGGGTTGCGAGGCGACGCCTGAGCACCAGCCGGGTTGATGTTGTTGGATAAATTCAAGGTGCGGGCCGAGGGGGCACTGTGATTTGCCGCGCTGGGCCGGATGAGCGAAGGAACCTCGTCGGGGTCTGTGAAGCCTGGCTCGGCGCGGTCGTAGAGCAGCTTGATCTGGACATCCAGGCTCCGCACATGCTTGTCCATGACGAGCTGCAGCCTCTGCATCAGGTTGATCTTGTCTTGTGAGAGCTGGTCGGCGCGGGCATAGCTCTCCCGAATCTGGGCTCGCAGCATATCCTCCTTGGGATTCGGCTCATGGCTCCCATTTGTCTTGATCCATTTCTGGATCTTTGCATCACGGTCGTCAATCATGCGGATGCATTCGTTGTACTGGCGGTCCTTGTCTGCGACCTCCTCCTGGATGAAGCGAATCTCCTCGGGGAGGTTCTGGACGCGGTTGATCCAGTCATCGAGGATCAAGCCGGGGTCGAGAGGCTCTGCCTGCGGCATCCTCTTGACGAAGTCGATGGACAAATCGTCTCTAGGCATGATGGTTAACGACTTGGCGACGCCGAGACCACAGAATCTGACGATGTAACAGATGACGGATAGACAACAAGGACTAGCGGCGAGACGGCCAGGCTAGTAGACGAGCGATGAGGCGGGTGTAATTCGATAGAAATGAAAAGGCTATTATGAACAGGACAATGTGCCGCTCGCTGTTTGCGAAAGATGACAGACAGAACAAACAAGAGAGGCAGCAGCGCGGGCTGAGCGAAACAAGCGTAAATGAGCTGAAGAAGCAGGCTGGTGCTGATATCAAGTCATGTGCATCTAAGGCGCGGCTGTTGCTCTCATATATATATAGTATATATGTGTGTGTCTGTGTGTGCGTGTTCTTGTACCCGCAATATCAAGGGCGGAACCTTCAAGATGACGAAGGTAGATGCGTCAAAGAGGATGAGAAGAACCCAGATGCGATATGAATACTAGAGAGGGCATACGCCATCTAGATAGTAGGTAGTTGGGGACACGAAGCAGGCACAAGACAGACGAGCGTGCGTGAGAGCGCGGGCAGCAGTGCGGTGCTTCGTGCTTCGTGCTTCGTGACTCGCAACTCTGGCAGCTCTGGAGCAGAAAAGGCAGAATGACGACCAGACCAGCTGTCCGAGCACGAGTCCGACCGAGTCCCCGCCAAGGAGAGCCGTCCGTCCCCAACGAATGGATGCGCCGTTCCAGCTACTGCTGTGGATAGGAAACGGGTCCAACCAGCCCTATCCCAGGCAGGACAAGACAGGGAAGAGGAAGGGGAAGCAAAAAGAAGAAGAAGAAAAGAAGAGCAGCGGGTTGTCAAGAGCAACGGCAACGGCAACGGCAACGGCAACGCAAACAACGGGCGCAGATCGGGCTCGACAAATTTGGGCCGGGCTCACCTCGATGGCCACGGAAGAGGAAGCGCAACAACTGCCCTATCCCTGCTCTCTGAGTTCGGCCGAGGATTTATGCGTGAGTGAGTGAGTGAGAAACTCTTGGTAAGTGTGTGAGTGAGTGAGTGAGTGAGTGAGTGAGTGAGTGATTCTTCGTGGAGCTGCTGGAGCTTCTCAAGGCGGAGCGTAACGCGCTTGGCGGCGAATGGGTGCGTGAGTTGGGTTGCCGATTTGGAGGAGATGCAGAATTAGCTGGTGAGGTTTATGCACGCCTGGGACGAGTTGATGGAGGTTGGGGGGAGGACGAGGGTGGTTCTGCAGCCACTGGCGGCGAGTTCCGAGGCTTAGCCACAGCGCTGTACATACGGTGCAGGTGCAGGTGCAGGTGCAGGTACAGGTACCAATACCTGGTGGTGGTAGCGGACAATGGCTGTACCAGATATTTGCAGCACCCAGAAGCTACCCTGGATAATATAACAGAAACTTAGGTACCCTGGAATTGGATCAATCGCCCCAATTCTTTATAACAGATGGAAGATAAATGGCAACTACGGTTTTCGCATTTCAAATCACTCAAGTATTGCCCTTCGAGAACGTTTCAATCTTCACACTCTCTCACAGGTCAGTACTGGTATCAGTACCTGAGGTACTCTACAGTACCGTCGACTCGATCGAGTTGGCCTTTCCCAAATCCGATCCACGTGACTATCGTCGTTTCAGTGTCAAACTCAATCCAGTCTGGATTACTCAGCCTTCACCGAGGCGCAACAACCTTGTAACTTTCAGAACTTCATACCTTACTCATCCTCAACATCCGAACAAATCACCATAAAACAACAACAACAGCAACAACAAGAGAATCAGCAGATTCAGTCTGCCTTTAGCATCTTGGGTACTCCTTGGGCCTCATCTGGATGAAGCAGCATAATGCACACCCACACACATTCTGATCGCTGTAGCTGAACCAGCACCCTCACTCTCCCCTTGCCGGTCTACAGCCAAGTGGAGGACGCCGCATCTCATCCGCCAAATTCATCGCTCTTCGCTGCATTTCATACACTCGCTGATACAATCTACCATCAAGCATCACGCTCGACATAATCCCCTCATTCTTATCCTTGGCTTTCCATCTCCCATAATCACACCAGTCACACCTAATCCGCCACCATGGACACGTACAGATATCGGGTTCCCAAGCCCAACTACCTCCCTCACAATCTCGACGCCGACCTCGAGCGCGACATAGTGGAGGAGTACACCCAGCCTCTCGGCATAGCCAGCGACGCCGACAACGCAAAGTTCTACCAGCAGTGCAAACGCCTGGCCGAGTCATCAGGCATCACCCGCCCCAAGGGCTACAATGTCTCCTTCCACTGCAACCCCGAGATGGAGAAGCACCACTTCGGCATGACACATCCCATGAAGCCCTGGCGTCTGACGCTCTCCAAGAGCCTCATATACTCCTACGGCATGTCCTTCGCCATGGACAACTACCTGACCAGGGCCGCGACGTACGAGGAGCTGGCCTCGTTCCACTCCACCGACTACCTCGACTTCCTCGGCACTGTCCTCCCGGAGGCGGTCCCTCGAGACCTCGAGAACCAGAACCCGGATCTCAAGTTCAACCTGGGCGGCTCCGACTGCCCCCTGTTTGACGGCCTCTACGACTACTGCTCCATGTCTGCCGGCAGCGCGCTGGATGCCGCGCGCAAGATATGCTCGCAGCAGTCCGACATTGCCATTGCGTGGGGAGGCGGCCTGCACCACGCGAAAAAGGCCGAGGCCTCGGGCTTCTGCTACATCAATGATATCGTCATTGCCATTCTGGAGCTTCTGCGCTTCTACCCGCGCGTCCTGTACATTGACATTGACGTGCACCACGGCGACGGCGTCGAGGAGGCCTTCTTCTCGACCGACAGGGTCATGACCGTCTCCTTTCACAAGTACGACCCCAACAACTTCTTCCCCGGCACCGGCGCGCTGGACGACAACGGCCCCAAGAGCGAACACAACCCGGGCGCCCACCACGCCGTCAACGTGCCCCTCCAGGACGGCATCACCGACGAGCAGTACGACTCCCTCTTCAACAACATCGTGGGCCGCATCGTCGAAAAGTTCCGCCCCGGCGCCATCGCGCTCCAGTGCGGCGCCGACTCCCTCGCCGGCGACCGCCTCGGCCGCTTCAACCTCCAGGTGCAGGGCCACGGCGCGTGCGTTGAGTTTTGCAAGCGCATGAACATACCCATGATCCTCTTTGGCGGCGGCGGCTACACGCCCCGCAACGTCGCCCGCGCCTGGACGTACGAGACGAGCATCGCCATCAACTGCCAGGACAAGATCAGCCCCATCCTGCCCGAGCACGCGCCGTGGAGGGAGCACTTTAGGCAGGACACCCTCTTCCCCACGATTGAGCAAATTCTCGGCGAGGCCCGGGCGAATAAGAACACGGCCAAGAAGATGCAGGACATTGTCAACCACGTCACGGAGCAGCTGCGCTTTGTCCAGAGCGCGCCCAGCGTGCAGATGCAGGTGATCCCCCCGGACCTGGGCAGCTTTCGAGACGACGTCGAGGAGAGGCTCAAGGAGGAGCAGGAGGAGAAGAACGAACAGCTACGAAAGGAGAGGGAATCCGGCGTAGGAACTGCCATGGAATTCTAAATCGAAACGGAGAAGAGAAGAAAAGAGATAAAGAAAGAAGGACAAAAGAACAATTTGAACGACGACTCATGAATGATATATCATCTCTAACCCCCTTCAAGATCAACCTTGAAGAACTTGGAGGCAATAACCAATAGACAAACACACATGTACAAAAAGACAAAACCAAGAATATCCAAAATCAAAAAGCATTAATTAAGACACCAAGCGCTTGTACCACCACCGGGGAAGGGGCACATGTCTGCTACGGTAACATACATCACACGCGGCGACATGGTGGCCACGCAGCCAGGGGGGGACGGCAGAAGGAAGACGCAGGTGCATTAGTGGAAGGCCGCTTTTTCTCTCTTTCTAATGACCTTCCTGGTATCGCGAGATGCCCCCCTACGATCCGTCTATCCCAAACTTCTCTATGACACGCCAAAAAGAACGGCGGGACAAGGGCGCGTCCCTCCCCTCTTCCCCTTCCACCAAGGCGCCTCCGCAGCAAGGAATATGCACACAAAAATATCCAATTATATGGTTCTTGAGAAGTATAAGACAAAGTCAACAAGCCAACCCATCAAGCAAAAACGAAACTCATCGCCCAGCTACCCCTCTTAAAAGTATCGGATAACGGCCTTGCCACCAGAGGGCATCGCCGTCTATTGCACTCTCGTTAGCATTCCTTTGGTCTTTTCTTCCTGGAGATGACGACAGTCGATGGTCTGGTGAAATCCAAGCCATTCAAGGCATTGCCCAGAATCAACGTCGTGAGGAAAATTTGAAAACTTACCGTGCAACCTTTGTCTCCACCGGTCCAGGCTCCGTCGATGTACGAGCACTTGCTGTTGACATCACCCGTGATCTCAATGTTGAAGTCGAGCTTAGCCGAGCTCGTGGGCAGGTTCTCGAAGATGGAGAGCCAAGTGATGCCGTCGGCAGTTTTGCCGGTGCCAATGTTGATGGGAGACCAGTTACCAGCTCCCCTGGGGTCGAGCGGGCTGTTCCAGACGCAGGCATCCTCGACGGCGTAGCCCTTCTTGTTGACGTAGTACTGGGCGGACGTGGTCTTGCCATCCCACACGTAGTAGTCGGTCTCGTCGGGGTTGGTGAGCTCGATCGTCTCGCCAGCAGAAGTACACGCGGGAATAACCATGCTCTCGATACCGGGGTAGTCGGTACGGCACGTGCAGACGGAGTCATCGAGGTCGTTCTTGATGGTCACGCCGCCAGCGCCAGCCTCGCACAGCTTGGGGTGGTCGGGACGAGTCAGCTCGAGGAAGCCGTCCTCGTTGCAGTAGAGACCGCCAATGGACTGCAGAGTCGCGCCCTGAGCCTTGGGCCACTGGGTCTTCTGGTAGCCGGGAGGGCAGGCATAAGAGCACATGGCTCCCTTGCTGCACGTTTGGCCAGCGATGCCGGTGATGATGTCGCTGATGCTCTGCGCATCCGGGCTATAGTTAGGCACAAACTGGAGACCGGACCAGCCACCAGTGCCCAGCCAGTCGAGGGCCACAGCGCCGTACTCGGAAGGGAAGGTTTTGCACGAAATCTTGCCGCTGGGGAAGTCGGCGTCCAGCCCGGTAGCGCCAGAGGACGGGCTCGACTGGGCAGGCTTCGAGGTCTTGGGGGGAGGGGGCGCAGAGCTGGTCGTGGCCTGGGCCGTGGTCGTGGGCGGCGGCGGCGGGGCGGAGGTGGTGGTGGGAGCCGCTGGCGACGAGATGGGCTCCTCGACGAACTGGGCCCTCAGGGGGGCGGCGCTCGAGGTCGCAGGCGGAGGAGGAGGCGGCGGGACGAAGGTCGGGGTGGTCTCTCCGACGATGATGTACTCGCCCTCGGCCAGACCGGCCTTGGCCGTCGCGGCATCGACAATCTTGCCGTCGAGCTCGAAGACGGTGGCGGTAGCTCCGACGACGACCTCGGTGACAACATCCGGAGCGCGCTTCTCGACCCTGGCGGCAGCGTGCTTCTTCGCATGGCGGTGCGCGTGATGGTGGTGGTGAGAAGGCGTGGCAGCAACGCTGGCAGCCAGAGTGGCAGCAAGGACGGTGTACTTCATCTTGGGCGGGCTGTCTCTAATGCGCACTGCTCACGAATTGCCACGGGTTAGAACGAGTCCCATAAAGCGGTTTCATATCGTATCGCGATTTGAAATGACGGGTCGAAATAGCGGAGGAGAAGGGTGTTGGTGAGGTGAGGGCATGGTGAGGAGTTGGTTCAAGACCTCGTCTTTTTCCCCGGACGTTGTTACTCAGTATTACTCACCTGATGATTGATAACAAGAGGTGCCTGGGGAATTCAAGAGAAGAGAGAGCGTATCAATACGAAACGAAACGAGAGGAAGCGTGATGAGCCAGAGTATAAAAGAGCGTGATGGAGAGCAGACAAACTCTCAGTTGGAAGAAAAGGGCCCAACACAAGTTGATGATGATGATGAACAAGGAAACAAGAGTCAAAAGGGAGGAGGACAGGACAGGTAAAAACGGAGCTGTAGAGCATGGGGGTCGAGGCCCTGGTCGGTCTCCATGGCATTGACCCACGGAGATCAGTCCCCTAGAGGCCAGGGATGCCCAAAGCGAGACAAGGGGGTGCCACTCCTGAGAAGGGGTTGGCGCTCCGGGAAATTGCCCTCGGCCGCTGGTCTGGCGCCAAAAAGCAATGGATCGTCTTTTCGCAATATGCCTCGATATGCATGGCCTTTGTACTGCTACTTGGTTCCTGGTTTCATGCATGTTGCGACTTGTGCTGCGACTCGCATATGCAGCTTGCGATTGCTGGCGCTGCTGGCGCTGCTGGCGTTACTGTGTGGTAGCAAATGTTGTTAGTACGTTGTGTTTGACTGAAGCATCGCACGAGCTTTGTACCTGTACCCAGAGGACGCCGGCAAACGGAGTGTGTAATTAGCCATGCGGACGAAGAGTCTCCCCATCTCTCCCCATCATCTCTCTCCATCTCTTGACACGAATGGGTATCGGCTGCTTCGTACAGGCTCGGAGTAGGTTCGAATGCCTCTGCTTCCCCGACTTGTTCACCGCATTCCTCATTGCCTGCTGCCGGCACGGAACCTGTTTCCCGGCACCTCGCATCAGCCGTGGCCCGTGATGCTGTTCCAGGTCTAAGAGGGGGGGGGGGGGGGGGAGGCTGGTTGAGTGTCCAGGGCCGCTTCCACCTTGATTCCTTTCCGTCTCCATGTCCAGGTACGACTTACTCGTGCTACAGACAGATGATGCCCGCGTTCCTACACAGTAGGTAAGGTAGCGCGAGTGATGCAAGCAAGCATGTATGTACTTGTACACGTGCGAGCACAAGCGCTTGCGTGGTCAAGCTGCGAAGCATTGACGGCAAAGAGCCAAGATGGCCGGGTGCTTGGCACACAAACCCGCGGTCCCTTGGTAGCGGATATACAGGCACCATGACCAACAAGAACGAGGCCTGGTCCGAGGCACTGAAACGGCCGGGCCTGGACAGAGAGACTGCTAGTAGTACTAGTAGTAGCAACTGTGTTAGTGCACGATCGCCGCCGCACGCAGGCGTGAAGAAGGCCGGGGGGGTTCTGGTTCTGGTAAGAAGAGAGAAGGGGAGAATAAGATGCAAGACGAGATGATGGCCAGTTGTGGCGATTGGGTAGGACGAGAAAGCGACTTGGGCGGCTGAGTGGCACGGGGGAGCTGCCAGGCACAGGGAAGGTGCATTTCGCTTGTGCCAGGCAATTTAAGAATTCTTGGTGGTACGAATTGCGATGTACAAGTACTAACAGGTACTAATAACAGGTGCTGTATGTGAGGTACCACTTGTGATGCACCTGTGGTTTCTGAGTTGACGAGCGCATGACACGGTGCTTGCGACCTTGATGTCTGAGCATATAATTCCATGCTTGTCTACTGTATCTGATAAGTTTCAGATCTACGAATATATAGCACCACTATGGCACAAATACACTCGAGTGCATAAAATAACACTCGTACTACCTAATAGTCATATCTACTTGTAGAGTGCGATGAAGCTGGCTGCGAGCAAACGATACGCGTGTATTTCCCTCCATGTTTGTGTGGTATTTGACTCGAGGTGGTGTCAACCTGGAAGAGCAACTGCGCTTTAGTGCCCTGAGGCTAGTACGAGTATGTACTAGTTGCAATGGTGCCTGGCGCTAGTCCCGTTGTGGGCAGATTCTGTTCCCTCTCCTGAGCTGGGCTTTTTTTTGGCCTTGGCCTTCAATGGTCTTGGACAACGGAGGACGCCGGTTTCTCAGCCGCTTCTTTGACCTCCATGTGATTTCGAGCCGAAGCATGTGTTGGCCCTTCGAGGCTGTCTTCCTCATAGTAGTAATAGCGTAGGAACACATGTTCTGGAAAGGAATAATACCGATGATGTGCATCATCAGAGATCCATGATGCAGCGATACGAAACAGTGCGGCATCTTGCATCTGGATACTACGGGTGTTGGCCTGTCCATGCCAGTAACCACCCAATTACCAGTTGACATTTGCCTCTGCCTTTCGCTGCATTTCTACCCATGGCAACGTGTAACCAAAACAAATGGTCGGCGCAAAGAGTGCCGGATACTCTACCTGTGGCATCTCCTTTTTCGTTTTCCGCCTTTGGTTCGCCTTTTCCGTTCAGAGAAGCAGGCCTATCCTGAAGCTGATGACAATCTGCGAAGCACACGATGGCCATGATGGACCCCCCCAGTTGTCCTGCGTGAGGTCCATGCCTCAATCCTTGGCCTGGGTTCAGGGGCCAGACTCCTTCCGCCTTTTCTTCTTTTCGTCTTCTTCTTTGTTCGATAAGTCTGTCAAAGGAGCCGGGAACTGGGTTTATCGGCCTTTGTCTTGCGCAGGCGATAATGTTCCGAGACAGGGCATGCCCGCAGCTTGCTAATAATAACATCCAGGTCACGGCATGCTGGTAGACAAGGTGATACTTCGTATGTGTAATCGTACCTATGGGGTGCGGATGACAAGTGACAGACGCCACGTTCAGCACCATGACGGCAAATCCCAAGACACTGGCTGTTGCTATTGCCCGGTGTTGGTTCAGTGGTAAGAGGATGATTGCATTGTGCCAGCCTTGCTCTCATGGTATCCCATACTACCTATCAGGATCTCGTCGACAAAGACTGGATTATGGTTAGGAGGTAGATGAATCGAGTTTCTATAATATTACCTCCAAGAGCAGCACTCATCTGGATAGCTTCTGCCACAAGTGATTCACTCTGGTCACCCGTCTGTCGATCGACGCTGTTCGTAACCATCGCACCTCGTATTACTCCATACGGGCATTCCGAATGGCGCAGGGCGATGCGTGCTTCTTATGGCACCGCCATTCTGCACAAAAGAGCGCGACCTGTTCCGCACCACAGAAGATTCTACGCAATTCTTCGACGTCCAAACCCCCGTGGCTGTACGATCCTGCCATTGGCCCAGTACCAGCTGGGAGGTAGATAGCAGCTGCTAAGGAGAGGAACGTGACGAGTTAGGGGCAGTTCGCTGTATTAACAAGAGAGGCTGACTGCAACTCACACCCGTGCCTGGCAGCAATCGGGTAACTCTCGGTACCTTGCATCAGTACAGTAGAAAGTAGGTACGAGGTGCGAAGCAGTTAGAAGACCATGAAGCCTGTAAGATGACGTCGCCCTCCGAGTGGCTGAGCCGAGATTCATCTGGTCTCTTAAGCCGAGTGTATGGAAATCGGCATCGCAGTGCCTGCATGACTCATGGGGTTCATTCCCGAAAACACCTTCCAGTCAACACATTTGAAGCCATCAACGGTCAAGTCGACAGTGAAGTCTTTTCCAATGCAGATGTAGAGAGCATCGAGGCAAGGAGGGACAGACAAACTCGCTCAGATCACGATCCGACGCCTCGGCACAAGCAACTCGGGTGGAGAGCTCCATTATCCCAGCAGCATTTGACAACCTGGAAGTGGCTGACGCTCGGCCGCTTGTCCTAGTGGCCGGTGGTTGACACCGCCACGAGCGGACCCAGTCATACGGACAGTATCAGAGCCTTGCGGGAGCACGGAGAGAGCGCAGGTTTTGTCAGGCTTGTCGCTTCGTAAGAGTTCTGTGGAAACGCGATGCGACAAGCGGCTGGCTGGCGAACGAGAGCGGCCCTATGGCTCTTCCATGTCACGATGTAGTCATGCTACTGCCCTTGACCGAATGAGCGAGTAACTGAGTGAGTGAGTAAGTACTACTACTAAGTGAATGAGTGAGTGAGTGAGTGGATAAGACACGAAGGGAGCAACAAGCTCGAGAAATGGCTTCCCTTTACAAACGCCGAGTAACAACAGAAGACTTCAACCTCTCCATTGGTCCACCCAGACTGACGTATCCCCTCCGGACCTCGACAGGGGCCTCTGCTCTCCAGCCACTGATGTAGACATTAAAGGGGAGAGCCTTCTCTCACCTGAAATAACGGGCGCTGGCGTGGCACTGCCGCCGACGCCGTGCATGCAGATAATGCGCCAACGGTCGCCCAGTTACCTCCCTCCCTTGCGCTCTGCCTGTCGGCTTCTCTTCAGCGGACAGACAGTTTCGATTCGACTGGTGCTCCGGCCAAGTTCACGAACGGGGGGTTGACAAAATTCAGCCCGCACCGCTCTTCTGGGCTGGCTTCATACCAGCCACCTTTTCCAGCCGCCTGTCAGCATTTTGCCACTGGCGGGCTGATGCTAGCATGGGGGCTGTTGAATAGTCTATGCCTTCTTCTTTTTGTCTCAGAGGGAGGCGCAGACTTTTGCCAGTGTGTCAGCGTGAAGCCTTGTTTGAGACAGTACGGTACGGATTCTCGTACGCGGCATTGCGAGAACTGGTGATTGTAAGGAACATCGCGCGCCAGGGTCAAGCCGCCAAAATTCTCGACTGACTATCAGGACATGATGATTCGGTATAAAGCTCAACATCATGGCCTCGACTGCCCTTGTAAAATAGGGAATCGGAGTTGGCTCCGTAGTGCAGAACACACAGTGCGCGATCCTTGCCAGCTCCCGCGCGGAATATCGCCAGTCCTGCTCTGGCAGAAGGCCGTGCTTCGTATGTACTTGAGGCTGTCTGTCTGCTGGACAGAGCGCAAGTTAGGCGGGAGTATTCGGAACGCTCCGCGGTCGTCTGCCTCAATGCGCGTGGCTCGATGCCCCGTCATGTGTCACCACGGCAGCTGCGGATCGAGATGCGCGCTAGCTGGCCGTTATTAGGTAGTAGTACCCAAGCCAGATCTGTTCTTCCAGTCTGCTTATTATCCCCTCTGGAAGCAATTGGAGTGTCTTCTGGCTAGATGGGAAGTTCTTTGCGCAAGGCAAGGACGTAGCAATTTCCTGAAGTTCGTACGGTGTAGTAGGTGGTAAGTCGCAGCAGTATTAATGATACTGTAGAGAGCCAATCTGGAACGGGCGAAAGAAAAGGGCAAGCGCTGCCCGGGAACTCCGTATGCGGACTGCTCCTTGCACTATGACGGCATCCATGATCGCATCGACTTGCAGGTTTTTCTGCCCACTCGCTTGCCGCAAGAGGCAGACAGATTGCTTCATTGGCGGAACTTTCCTTTTCCAACCAAGCAGCACTGTTGCTGTATGTACCTATTACTATAGGCATTATTCATCATCAGTCGAATAGAGTTAAGGTAGCTAGTACTTACCTATTACCTTACATAGGTAGGTACTTACCTTATGCCTCGATGAATTGACCAGAGGTTCCCATTCATTCCCTCAGCCTTCTGTGTCTGTGAATTTTCAGCCGTAAAAGGCGGCCTGGCCTGGTGGCAGGTGCAAGAGTGTGGCGCAGGCAGCCCACTGTCCGCCTTTTATTGTCCGCCGCCCTTGGCCTGCACAACAACCGACGCGCTAGAGGCTAAAGCTGCCAAGGTCCAACCAACTTCAACCACCTTCTTCCCATCCCCAGCCTGTCATCCAGCCCCAAATCCAGGTCTTCATCTCCATCTTCCCATCTGCCATCGTCGCCCGCCTTTTGCCATCGCCATCGCCATCACCTGCCAATTCCGGGCCCTCGCCGAGCATCCGCCTGCTGCATATCATCCGCCTGCCTGGCCTCGCATCAGTCAGCCCTTCTGAACCGCAAGGCTGTCGAATCTCGTCGCGGGAGCAAAAAATTACCCTAGCTCTCGCCACAATCTCCAGCCACACCTCGAGCAGCCTCGAAATGGTGTCGCTGCTCTAGTAGCTGCCTCTTCCCACCTTTGCGACTGCATGCCATCCGTCCCTCTGGCCTCGCCGTCGCCTGGATTTCTCCCGCTCATTGCATCTTCATATGGCCTCTCAAGCCGCTGCCATTGCTGCCGAACCCCCACTCTCGCCTGGCCCGACTCCAACCCCTCCCCCAGCTCTCCCTTTGGACGACGTCGCGAGACTGCCCAAGCGCCGTCGCGAGTCTGAATCCGAGCCGTCGCGTGCTGCTGCCTCCCACGGGCTCAGCTCCCAGTCGCCTCCCTCCAAGGCCGCCAAGCTGCTGTTGGCATCTGGCCAATCCCCACTCCCGTCGACCGGCGCTGTGGCTCTGGAAGACGAGCGACGGCATCGAGAAGGAGAGGCAGGAGAAGAACGACAGGAAGAAGTTGTAGCACCAGCACCAGCAGCAACGTCTACAACAGCAGCATCAGCAGCAGCAGAAGCAACAGCACAGACAGCAGACGGAGACGCTCAGCACGACCAGACTGCTAATTTACGCGCAGACGACGAGAACCACAGCCAACCAGCCCTACTGTCCCTCTTGACTGCAGGAAACCAAACCATGAGCCGTCCATCAGACGCGCCTCAGCTGGCCCCCACAGCCGCTATGGAGCCCTCCTCCAAGCTTGCCACGGCTGCCTTGTCCATATCACAAAACAGTGGCGACCGCATCGAAGAACGAAGCGAGTTAACTCAGAGTCCCGCGAGCATTGCCGGCGCACAAGTCACCGAGAGCCCGACAGCCATGGAGGTCGACGTCAAGGGCGATTCGCTCGTGTCCCAGCAGGTTGCCGTGCAAGAAGAACGGCCGCAGCCGGGGTCCCTGTCATATCCGGGCTCCTTACAAACGACCGGCAGTATGCCGGATTCGCCAGTCCGTAACATGAGCTTTCCGATGCCCTCCCAGAGTCAGGGCTCTCCGCCGCCGTCGGCAAACAAGAAACACAAGTGCCCGTACTGCAACACCGAGTTTACTCGGCACCACAACCTCAAGAGCCATCTCCTGACGCACAGCCAGGAAAAGCCCTACGTATGCACCGACTGTCAGATGCGCTTCCGCCGCCTGCATGACCTGAAACGCCATGGCAAGCTTCACACGGGCGAGAAGAACCACGTGTGCCCCAAGTGCGACCGCAAGTTTGCCCGAGGCGATGCCCTCGCCCGCCACAGCAAGGGAATTGGCGGATGCGCTGGCAGACGGCCGAGCATGGGAAGCTTTGCCGATGGGGACGAACTGGACGGCGGCATGGAGGGAGACGAGGCGGTCATGTCGGGCATCGCATACGACAACGTTGATGAAGAAGAGCTCAGGCGGCAGAGCCTGCCCAGCATGGGTGTCCAGCATATACCAGGCGGCCAAGCGGAGCAGTATAGCGCCCACTCTCGAACTTATCCCCCGGCTGGAGCAAGAGGAGCCACTGCCGCCTCGCTGTATGCCCCCAGCGGCGCGCAGAACCCCGCGGCTACCACCGGTAGCTCGAGCGTCTCAAATAGCCTCGGGGGCAGCCACACGCCGAACACCAGCATCTCTTCCGTGGCGGTTGGGGGCGGATCTGCTGGCCTCTACGCACAGGCTGGCGTGCCGGACGTTGCGAAGCCGTTGAGCCCCGGCGGCGTCCAGGCCCACGATGGCTCTGGCGTCGTACGGCAGCGGTCGCCCAGCCTGTCTCAGCAACTGCAGCAGCAGCAGCAGATGGGCAGGCGACAGTCGGATATGCAGTCTCCCCACGGCGGACAGGGCAGACCAAAGCTTCCCGGTTTAACCCACCCAGGATACGTCCCGACAGGCTCCCAGCCGTTCTCCCACGGCCGCCCTCCCGCCGTAACCGCAACGGCAGCCCCGGTTCAGGCACCGGCACCGGCACCGTCGAGTGGCGATAGCGGTAACATGTTTGCCCAGAGCGACCCAAGCGTGTGGGCTTACATACAGACGCTGGAAGACAAGGTCAAGTCGCTGTCGGATAAAGTTGTCTCGCTCGACCACGAGATGTCTGTGATCAAGAAACAGCTCCAAGGCAATGAAGGGGTGCCTGCGGGATGAATAGTCCCGCGAGTCTCGTTTCATTTCTCAAAAAGCGTCTAGGTGTTCTGGAAGAGGTGTTCTGGAAGTGGAAGGGGGAGCATGGTTTGTTGAATCTACATTAGAATGCGTTTTGCTTTCTTTTACTTTTTTCCCCTGGACCCTCCTACTGGTTTCTCTCCTCGATGGGCACCAAAGGTCGTGTTCAGGGGGGGGTGAATGGCGTTTCAAGGCATGGGAATCAGGGCGGATGGTTCAAACCTATGACACCAACAGATGGCGATCATGGTATAACGATTGTTCCTTGTTATTCTTGTAGTATACAGACTTGTGCGATTAACTCTGGCCATGGCATTTGGAAGGTCACGTCTGTTGTTGCTCTCTTGTTTTCCTTCCTGGCCATATGTTACTAGTAGAGTAGTGCAAGAATGGAGTGACGCCTTGCTTCCGAGTGGTTCAGGTACATGAAGTCTGATGCTCATACTGACTGAAGACGTTTCGACTCTCTCGCGGCTTAATTATGAGTATGAGTAGGTACTGAGAGTTTCTATCTGACGGTTGTGTGGCGCAGCAGTCTCGATGCCTCGAAATGGAAGACGTTGGAATTGATATCAAAAGGCACCTGCTGTGGTCTTGTCCGCACTGTATGTAAAAAGACACACCGTGCATGCACTGTGCACGTATACGTACCGCAGTGCTTGAATGGTCACGTCACTTTTGGCCAGGGGCCGCACAGCCCAGAGCTTGGCGCATCAATGAGGTAATGGCACCTGCCACGGGTTGAATCAAGTGCCCGGGCCTTTGCTGGCAGGCTGATAAGGTGCCTGGTGGCGCGCGCTGGGGCTTGCGCTATCAGACTTCCATCATACACCACGACCTACCATTACATTCTTATTCCTAAAGGCCACCCATCGAGTTGACGAGAGGGTCCGGACAAGGACGAATACGAAGAGGGAAGAAGACGACGACGAAGGAGATCAAAGGGACGGACGAACGATAAGGAAACAGGAAAAGACGGATAGAGGAGGGCATGAGCACCTGTAGCGAACAGATCCGCATATACCCATCGTCTACCTTCTTTGAATCCTCTAGTCTCTCGAGACTCGTTGCGCGAACCCCCCCGGGCCACTCGGCCAAGGCAAAAAGAGATACGAACCACGAGCCCTTTATACAAAGCGATCCCGAGTGAAAGAAGAGAAAGCCCATGCTTCTTGCTGCTTGAGGACGACGAGAGTCAGCCAGCATAAGCCATCGCGAGCTGACCCCCGGGTCAAGCGAACCCAACCATCATGGAGACGACCAAGAAGCCCCTCCGCACCGACGAGAAGGGCGCCGTGGACCCTAACGGCACTATCATCACTAACGGCGACCATGACTACCTCGACAACTCGGAGAACAGACCATATCCTGTCCTGCCGGACGATGGAAACCCCCAGAGCTACGAGTTCGGCGCCTGGAGGGCCGGAGGCATCCGCTTCGCCCCTTTGCGCATGCCCTTCCCTCGCCGGCTGCAGACCGCCGCCGTCTTCTTCCACTGCATGACCATTGTCGTCCTCATCTCCCTGTTCTGGTTCACCTGCGCCAACCCTTTGACCTGGCCCCTGCTGGTGCCCTACCTGGTGCATCTGAGCGTGTCCAACGCGGCGACGGACGGCAAGCTCAGGTACCGGTCAGAGTACCTGCGGTCCTTGCCCCTCTGGCGGTTCTTTGCGTCGTATTTTCCTATGAGGCTGCACAAGACGCATAACCTGCCGCCGGACAGGCGGTACATCTTTGGCTATCATCCACACGGCATCATCTCCCACGGCGCCTGGAGCGCGTTTGGCACAAATGCCCTCGGCTTTTCGGAGAAGTTTCCCGGCATCACCAATACTCTCCTGACGCTCGAGTCCAACTTTCGGCTGCCCTTTTACCGCGACTATATCCTGGCCATGGGCATGGCCTCGGTATCGAAGGAGTCCATACGGAACACTTTGACGCGTGGAGGACCCAAGAATGACGGGAGGGGCCGTGCCGTGACCATTGTCATTGGCGGCGCCCGTGAGTCTTTGGAAGCCGAGCCGGGCACTATGCGGCTGATCCTCAAGGGCCGCAAGGGCTTTGTCAAGATGGCTCTACGTACGGGAGCTGACCTTGTGCCGGTCCTGGCATTTGGCGAAAACGACTTGTACGACCAGCTCAGCCCAAAGACGCACCCGATGGTCCACAAGTTTCAGATGTTCGTCCTCAAGGTGTTCAAGTTTACGCTCCCTGCGCTCCATGGCCGAGGCATCCTCAACTACGACGTTGGTCTGATGCCCTACCGCCGGCCGGTCAACGTTGTGGTTGGAAAGCCGATCCGCATCGACGTAGAGCCTTGCGAACAGCCGCTGCAAGAGGACGTGGATCGGTACCACGACTTGTACATGGAGGAGATTGAAAAGATATGGGAGGCTTACAAGGATCAGTTTGCCAAGGGACGAACGTCTGAGCTTGTGATTTCCGCATGATTTGGGCTGGCCTCTGATGTCGACGTTTTCTGGTTTGCGCTTGTTTTACTGAGCTACGGATTATGGATATCGAATATCTTGGATTTTCTGTCAACTGATTCGTCAATGGGTGCCGAATGCTGAATCGCTGGGGAGGTCGCGGGTAACGCATCTCTGAACCGTAAGGCAGGCCTTTGGATACCTGGGATATGAAGCGAGGTCTCTTTTCTCTCTTGGCTTTCCATTTTGTACATTTTGTAGATGTTCTTATCTGTCCCCTTTGCCTTCTTTCTTCTTGTTGTCAAGACAAAAGCTTGAGCGAGAGTTGGTCCTCTTTCTCTGTCCTCTTGAAGCCGTTTCTCATGAGCCTCGTTTAGTATGTCGCCCAGTCTCGAGTGTTGCGGTTGATGTAAGTGGCGGGCAGCTTATGAAGGATCACCTGACCTCGCGTCAGCCTTAGACGCGGTCCTCTAATTGAACCGCGAACCATCTATTCTGCGTCAACCCCATTCTTGCATTCTCACTCCAGCCGATTCCTGCGTCTTTGCGTCTTCTTGTTTTGCACGCAGTACCAAACTGTAAAGTCACAATGCCTCGGCTCACCAGAGGCAGCCAAAAGGCAACCGTCAAGCGCGAAGCAAAAGAAGAAGACGAAGACGTCAAGGACATGGACTCCAAGCCAGCAAAGCCCATCGCCAGAACCGCAGCAAAGCGAAAAGCAGCAGATTCACAACAAGATGCCGAGGAACCTCTTGAGCAGCAGAAGAACAAGAAGCAGCGCAAGACGAAAGCACAGATCAAAGCAGAAGAAGAAGCCATGGTCCTGGCAGAACGAACAGCCGTGTCTTCCCTGACGAGGGCAATGTACATTGGCGCCCACGTCAGTGCCGCAGGAGGTAAACACACAAATCAAACCTTGACAATGATTCTCTGCCCTGCAGGCCAAGGAAACTGACATTCATTGTCCTTTGCCGAACCACAAAAGGCGTCCAGAACTCCGTGACCAACGCCGTCCACATTGGCGCAAACTCCTTCGCCCTGTTCCTCAAGTCCCAGCGCAAATGGGCCAACCCTCCCCTGACGCCCGAGTCCCAAGCCGGCTTCGTCTCGCAGTGCAAACAGCACCACTACCATGCCAACGAGCACGTCCTCCCGCACGGGTCATACCTGGTGAACCTGGCGCAGGCCGACGCGGAGAAGGCCAAGCAGGCATACGACAGCTTCGTCGACGACCTCGCGCGGTGCGAGCAGCTGGGCATCAGGCTGTACAACTTCCACCCGGGATCCACGGGGGGCGACACCAAGGCCGCGGCGATTGGGAGGATCGCCGCGCAGCTCAACAAGGCGCACAAGGCCACCAAGACGGTCGTCACGGTGCTGGAGAACATGGCGGGCAGCGGCAACGTCGTGGGGTCCACGTGGCAGGATCTGAGGGACATTATCGCTCTTGTGGAGGACAAGGCGCGGGTGGGCGTGTGCATCGATACGTGCCATGCTTTCGCCGCCGGCTACGACCTGCGGAGTCCCGAGGCGTTCAAGGAGACGATGGATTCGTTCAACGACATTGTCGGCGCAAAGTATCTCAAAGCCTTCCACCGTAAGCCCCCCCTCCCCCCTCATTCACCACCCCCCCCAAAAAAAAACACACAACTAACACAGTTACCCCGTCGAAAGTAAACGACAGCAAAGCCCCCCTCAACTCCAACAGAGACCTCCACGCCAACATCGGCACCGGCTTCCTCGGCCTGCGCGCCTTTCACAACGTAATGAACCACCCGGATTTCCAGCACAAGCCCATGGTCCTCGAGACGCCCATCGAGCGGAAGACGCCCGACGGCAAGACGGTCGAGGACAAGCAGGTCTGGGCCGACGAGATCAAGCTCCTCGAGAGCCTCGTCGGCATGGACCCCGACACCAAGGAGTTTGCGAGGCTCGAGGCGGAGCTGCAGGATAAGGGCGCGGAAGAGAGGCGTAGGATCCAGGAGCAGGTTGACAAGAAGGCGACTAAGGGGGTGAAGAAGAAGAGGGGTTCCAAGGTGAAGAAGGAGGAGACGAGCGATGAGGAGAGCGGGTAGGGGAGGGATAGACAAAAGAGAAAAATACTCAATGGCATGATATGGGATACGCGCCTGGAGTTTGGATTTTCTTCTGGGGCTCTTTGTATCAAATACCGCTTCCCTGTATAGTATGTACAATTGGGGTTCTTCTAATGGACCATACGGCTTTGCCCATATGCCCAAAGAAGGGTTGTTAGAGGCTTTGCTTCTCAAATCATGATCAATCAACAGCTGTATACGAGAATAAGAGGTCCAATGAACCAACTCACGAAGCCAAAGCAATCTTTAAGAAAAGGCGACATGGAGGAGGCGGAGAGAGAAAATGTATAGACAAGTATGATAACATTGCTGGGCATAAGACATACACTCTCTCTAATGTGGGGGCTATCATGACAGCAAAGGATATGAGAGTAAAGGAGACCTAACGCCAAAAAGGGCAGAAGAAAAGAAAAGAAAAGCAAGAAGACATCCCTGCAGACTCTCTCCAAAATCCAGCCTCACCTGCGACTCTTGTTGACAAACGCCTCCACCCTCCCCATCATGGCCTTCAGTCCCGCCCCCCTCTCGCAGTTGTCCTCGAGCCACGCCTCCATGCGCTCGCGAATGCTCCTCATCGACCGCAGCACCGGCATCCTCCCGCCGTCCTCGTGCGCCACAAATGACGCCGGGTTGAGCAGCACCTCGAAGCAGTCGGCCCAAATGTCCGTCTGCCAGTACCGCTTCAAGCTCTCCCGGATCCTGTACCTGCGTCCGCCGCGCCCAAGCCCGAGCCCGCCCTGGTCCGCCCGCACCGTCTCGAGGTACTTGCCGAACAGCAGGCAGTGAACGACGCCCGCCAGCCCGTAGTAGTCAATCTGCCACGTCCAGGGCCGTCCCTCGCGCATCTCGGGGCAGTCCTGCGCCGTCGTCTTCCAGTCCGCGACGAATTCCACGTCTGGTGCAAACGCCTTCATGTCGATGCCTCGCCCAAAGTCAATCAAGACGACGCCCCGCGAGTCCCAGCCGCCGCTTCCATCTGCGTGCCATTGGCTAGACAGGCCGTGATCTGACGAGAAGAACGCCGACTTGGCATCGAGGCGGAGCAGGCAGTTGTCGGGCTTCAGGTCGCCGTGGAGGACGCCCTTTGAATGGAGAGCTTCGACGGTGCGAAATAACTCAATGGCAAAGAACATGGCAAGCTGCTCGTCCATGACGCCCGAGGGCTCGGCTCGGAAGATGTTGATGACGTCGAGCAGTGTGCCGTGGGGATGATACGGCAGGAAGAGGAAAGCCTCGTCCTGGTAGAGGTGCATTTCGTGTGCCAGCGATATTGATGCCGTGGCTCGATGCTGAGGCCCCAAGCGCGCATGCGCCGTACGCATAATGTAAAACTCCCACGGCGTCGGAGGAGATTCCATCTTCAGAGCTTCTACGGCGGCACGATGAGATGCGGCGAACGCCCCCTGATTCATCATGACCCTGTCGTCATCCTGGTCTGGTTCAGAGTTTTCGACCAAGTACACTGGTGCAAAAGCGCCGGCGCCCAGTTCTCTCTTGACCGTGTATCTCGACTGGCAGTCGGCGAATCGAATCACCGCAGGGGCGATGCCCAGTCCAGCTCTATCCGGGTTCGCCTTGCCCAGCCTGCTGACGGCTTTGGCAAATCTGCGAATATCTCCGCCGCGTTCGTATCTCTGATTGTGGTGGTCGTAGAAGCCGGGATACGCCACCAACGGAGGCTGTATGTTCGTCAAGATGGTCCGTCTGATGTTATCGTCGATGGGACTGCACTGTGCTTCCTTAACAATGGGGCCTTTGACAGGTACACCCCTATTTGGGCCGGTCTTACTTAGTGCTTTGGCTGCCTTGGACCCCAGAGGTTCTCGACCTTTCGTAAAGGGGCTCTCTGCTGGGAAGAACTCTCTCAGGGGGCTGCCTCCTGATTCCGAATCCGATGCCTCCTCAATGGGCGTAGCTCTATCATCCTGCTTGCTAGGAGTCTTGAATTGATAGGCTCGGTCCATGTCGACATCCATCGAGTACTCGGTCCTCTCCGTGATGGGCGTCATAAAGGGCAGCCGATTGTTGGCCATCGTCGCCGCGTCCCTATACGGGCGGGTTGGTGGCTCGTAGTCTTCCGGAGGGAGGGGAATGAAGATGGTGCGTGTCCTAGGCGGTTCCATTTCTTCGTCCTCAGAGAATGCCTCTTCCGCATCACCAGCTAGGCTGCGTGATGTTATATCTATGTCAACGGTGATTAGAACCTTGTACATGCTTGCCTTCCCTTCAACATGCTGTCATCATGTCGATGTGCGCCTTTGGCTGACTAGCCCGATCTTCCGCCCGCGCCCCTGGCTCCTCGATGCCTCGTCACCTTTCCTGCTCACCTTGTTGAATTTGTTTCGTAGTGCCTGTACTCTCGGCATCACTTGCAAAATCGGCGTCAGTCACAATCTCGTCTTCATCGCCGTCGTCGTCTTCATCATCGTCTTCGTCTTCGTCGTCGTCGTCATCATCATAATCGTCCCCAGTCTCGTCCCCATCCACAGGTGCGGGCTTGAGCGGTGCGTTGAAGATCTCGTATATATCGTCCGTGGCAGCTTTCGTGTGAATGGTCATGGTAGGCTCCGCTGCTTTTTTCTTTCGAAATTTTGGCCCTGACGGAGAGTCGAGCTTCGCCTTGACTGCTGGGGTGTTAGGGCTGTATAGAAAGATCTTGCAAAGTCGGAGAATCTTCAGCCACTTACTGATCTGCGTCTCATTGACCTCCATTATCTTCTTCCTCCTACCCGCACGAAGTTCACGAGGCTTCTCTTGCGCTACGCCATTCTCATCGAGGTCCATGGGGTCATAGTCTTGGTGATCAACCAACTGATCTGTCTGTGTCACATGTTCCATATCACGTAGTGGATCTGAAGCGTAGATTTCAGTCGCCATGTCAGTATCCCACAGCCGGTCAAGCCAGCCACGATGTGCCGCAATAATCTCCTCGAAGCTCAACTCTGTTCCAGGCTCCTCAGGGGTTGGATAGACAGCTGCTAGGTCAACAAAGATGTACTCCCTCTTCCCCGTCTGTGGATGCACCGTTACTTGATGCTTGGACGGAACAACAACGATGTTTTGTATTTGAGCAAGGGACTGAATTACATTGATCCGCCATGACAGAGAATGAATTAGTCCTATTCTCATCAACAGCTGCACGAATCGCGATTCAAGGGAGGAGGGTTTACATACCGGATCCCTGAACACTGCCAGCTTGGTTCCCCCAGCTGCGGGCTTCCTACCGCCCGCCTTGAGCGTCTCTCCAACCCAAGGCTTCGGCTCGAGCGTGTTTTCCTTCTTTCGGTCAGCCAGAGACCCAATGCTATCCCAGCCCTTGGATGCCGCATCTCTTGACGACATGGCGGGCTGTTGGGCATCGGCATCAGAGAAGATGGCCATCTTAGACTTTGCAGGCCGGGATGAGCTCCCGCCGATGCCGCTGGTCTGCCTGGGAGCTTGTGGGTCGACTGGATGGGACGAGCTCGCAAAGGGGTCCGTCTTGCTGGCCAGCGCAGGACGAACGGTGGGCAGAGCTGGCGAGGAGGGCTCCGCCAGGGCGTCTGGATGCTGAGCCAGCCTCTCGCTAAACTCCTTGAACTTGCGCAGCAGCCTCTGCACTGGCCGCGCCTCTCGCTCGATGCCGAGCTTGTAGACTTCTTCCGCCTGTGCCCATCGGCCTGCACCTTCGAGCCACGCAGCGTACTCTTCGTAGTACAAGGCTAAGCTCTCGCCAATGCCGTGCCGGGAGAGGAAGAGGAACGTCTCGCGTGGCGTGTCGGAGAAAAGCTGGATATAGTACATCCACAGCTTCAGGTATCTGGGGTCGTTCTTGTATTGGGACGAGGAGGTGAACGCCTTGGTCGCGCGCTCGAGGATCGTGTGCAGTTGCGACTCGGCCGTCGCTTGCGCTGAAGGATACGCGTCAATCGCCCAGCGCACATATCTGTCAAACACGTCCAGGGGGTCGTCGGATTCGGAGATGTTGTCGATTTCCGCCTCGAATTCTGCGCGGATGGCGTCGTTGATGTTTCGTGTGTCGGTCGGCGTGGGAGTAGACAGGTTGTGGAGGGGAGAGGAGAAGAGGCCGGCCAGCTTCCTGGCTGAGCGGCCGCCGGGCAGGGACTGGATGTTTTCCTTTTGGTTCTCAATCACCTCAAAGTCGGTGATGTCCTCTGAGCCCGCCATGTTGCTTCGAGGGCGTCAAAACCCTGTGGCTTCTAGATTGAGTCGTTTGTCGAAAGCCTTCGAAGATGAGTCAAGTCATGCGCCCCGTAGAGAAAATTTCCGTCAAGTATTGAGAGAAAAAAGTTGGCACCTGAAGAAAGGTGAGGGACGGTTTCAATATTCAATAAGAAAAGAAAAAAAAGCAAAACCCTTGGGTGTTGATCGACTTGCTGCTACTGTATGTAGGTACGTGATTTGCTTTGCCGCTGTCGCGTTTGGTGGCATCAAATGTGTTTTCGACCCCGCGTTGCTCTGGTGATTTTTGTTTGGGCAACATTCTGTGTACTCTGTACTTTGACCGGTCTCTCCCACGCTTGTCGTTCTTTGCTGTCGAGTATGCCTTTTAGATAAGGCCAAGGGGCCATCTGGGTGGGATGAAGTTGTTCTTGTCCCCGCCTCAGAAGTACTCAGTACTTGGGCACTAACTGGCGCCGTTGAAAGCCACCGTCCAGAGAGCTTCATGCAAGCAACAGTAAGGTAGTAGGCAGTACAAACAATCGACGGCCAGAGACTCAAGCTTTTCTGTCGACTCAAGAACTCAAAACCTTTGTAATAGCCATGACACGCAGCGGTGTCTGTCAAGCTACAACTTCACATTTGCAGACATTCAAAAAACATACTCATGGGGAGAAGTTGGTCATCATTCAGCTCATTTCAATTTTCATCCGCCGTATGGGCGTGTCTGTATAATCATTATTTTACTTTATTTTGTACGCCCACATTAGTCAGTTCTCCGGGCTCCTTTCTTTTCATAGGTAGTTGTCTCTCGTGGCCATTTACAGGTTGACGGCGTTACGGAAGTTGGTGCCAGCGTAGACGGCAAGGTCACCGAGCTCCTCCTCAATGCGGAGGATCTGGTTAAGCTTGGCCAGACGCTCAGATCGGGCGGGAGCACCAGTCTTGATCTCACCGGCACGGATGCCGACCGAGATGTCGGCAATGGTGACGTCCTCAGTCTCACCAGATCGGTGAGAGACCATGACGCCCCAGCCGTCGGCGTAGGAGTCCTTGGCGGCCTGGATAGACTCGGTCAAGGTGCCGATCTGGTTGACCTTGAGGAGGAGGGCATTGCAGGCCTTGAGCTCAATGGCCTTCTTGATGCGGATGGGGTTGGTGACAGTCAGGTCATCACCGACAATCTGGATGTCCTGGGTCTTGTAGAAGTAGCTCCAGGCCTCCCAGTCATCCTCGGCAAAGGGGTCCTCAATGCTGACAATGGGGTACTTCTTGCAGAGGTCAGAGTACATGGCGGCAAGCTCCTCGTAGGTGATCCACTTGGTGGGGTCGCTGTCGGGGTTCTTGAAGTCGAGGTCGTACTTCTTGGCGTCCTCCTTGTAGAACTCGCTGGAGGCGACGTCCATGGCAATCTTCATCTTGCCAGTGTAGCCGGCCTGCTCAATGGCGTCGGTGATGAGCTCAAGAGCCTCGTCGGCAGTCTGGATATCGGGAGCGACACCACCCTCGTCGCCGACGTTGCCAGCGGACTGGCCGTACTTCTTCTTGGCCAGGGTCTTCAGCTTCTGGTAGACCTCGGAGCCCTGGCGAAGGGCCTCGGAGAAGCTGGGAGCCTCTCTATTCTGGGTTAGAAGATATGGCCAATTTACGGGCGAAAACATGGCTGGCTACTTACGAAGGAACAATCATGAACTCCTGGAAGGCAAGACGGCCACCGGCGTGGGAACTAATTCATAATCAGAGACTGTTGTTCGCTAAAGGCTTCGGCATATAAAATAGACTTACCCGCCGTTGAGGACGTTCATGAAGGGAACGGGGAGGACGTAGGGCTTCTTGGTTCCGGCAAGGTCGGAGATGTGGGCGTACAGGGGGACGTTCTGGCTTCTCGTTAATCTCTGCTCGTCAACTGGGGCGTCTAAGCAGAGCATTTACCTTCTCAGCGGCACCGGCCTTGGCAACAGCCAAGCTGACACCGAGGATGGCGTTGGCACCGAGCTTGCCCTTGTTGGGGGTGCCGTCAAGGCTGTTCAGGAACTCGTCGACCTTGGACTGGTCCTTGACATCAAGGTTCTCCTTGATGAGAGCGGGGCCGATGATGGTGTTGACGTTCTCGACGGCCTTGGTGACACCCTTGCCACCCCACTTGGCCTTGTCGCCATCTCGAAGCTCGACAGCCTCGTGCTGGCCTGTGAAGTCGGTTATTTTCTGCATCTATATCGCATGATTGGAGAGGGTATCGAGGGGAGACGAACCGGTAGAGGCACCGGAGGGGACAATGGCGCGGTGCAGGCCAGTGTCAGTGACGAGGTCGACCTCCACGGTGGGGTTGCCACGGGAGTCGTAGACAGAGCGAGCGTGAACCTTGGTAATGGCCATTTTGAAGCTATTTCAGGTGGCTGGATGGACCCAATGTCTGTTAGCAGGTGTATTCGAAGCTATCTCGGGAGGTAGGTAGCTGGGCGATCACGACATCGAAAGTGAAGCCCGCGCGAGATGACGGAGCCAAGTTCGATGGCAATGCATCATTCCTCTGGTATACAAGAGCTCCCGCGGATAGCAAAATCCAGCCAGAGGAGCGAAACAAGTATATTGAGAATATGCCTCAACACGTTCCGCCAGACGCCGCGTCTTTCAGCAGCTCTGCCCCCCCAAATGGAGGGGTAGCTGGGAAGGCTGAAACGGGAAAGAGGGGCAGAAGCTTGGACGACAGAGAACAAGGTCTGCCTCTTGTAGAGATCAAGTAAAGGGAGGCACCGTACCTGTAGTGGAGAAATGGATTGAGTGTCTCAGGCTCTTGCTGTGAGGCGTGATTGAGCAAGTCGAGAGAATCTTGGGGAGGGAAAAGGAAGAAGGATGGTGTTTTTGTTGTCGAGAGAAATGGAGGGGTCCAGAGAGAGCGAGACGGGTGGGGCAAGTCATGCCTTCCCTCGCAGATAACTGGATTAGCACTGCAAGTTACCTAACGAGAAACGGAGCTCTCAACCGGCAGGGCAGGCGCAGCTGGGGTGCTTGTGAGGTAATAATTGGGCCACTTGCCTGCCGGGTTACGTGAATCGGTAGACAGCGAGAAACGCTAGTCCTATTTCTCCGGCCTCTCAGCGAAAAAGTTTCTATCGCGACGCAGCGGCCGCTTGGCCTGATGCGGGCAGATACCTAAGATACGAAGAAGATCATGGACGAAAGACGCAGCGCTTTGTAATATCATTGCGACCATTTCTGATCCCGCTCGCTTCTCGCTTCTCATTCTCTCGTCATTTGTCTTACTTCCTACATAGTACTGCCTATACGTAGTACCTACACGTCCATTGAGCCTCCCCCCCCCCATGGATGCGTCACATCAGTTCGCGGCCGATGTCGCCTCTGCGGTATTTGAGAACCTGCAAGAGCAGCACCAATGGGCCTCGCTGCAAATCCATCGCCTCCCAGGCCTGTCGCGGCCAATGATCCGCGGCCTCCCGCCACGCCTTCTGTATCTCCACCCCGACGACCAGATAGCAGCGCTTGCATATGAAAAGTCAACAGGGACAAGGGCGCAGCACGACGCCGAGTACGAATGGGTGCTGGCCGTCCATCTCGCCGAGAAGTGGACGCTGTCCAGCCTCGCCGCCGTCATGGACGCCCTTCCGGAGGCTCGCAAGCGGGCGAAGCGCATTGTCCTCGCTGCGCTGCACAATGACTCTACCGTCGTTTACTACATCGTGCAGGAGGGCATGATCAAGCCTCGACAGAACTAGAGGGAGAAGCGAGATCGGTTCGAATCTTGTGCCTATGCTTACGATGGCCGGCAAGGCTGTCGAGCGATCAGGGGCAGGGCAATTCTATCGGGCCGTTTGGCGTCAAGGAGTTGGCAATCCAGGACGGAATCACGGAACGCACTCGCCTTTGTTTTTTTTTTATACAGGCTATGATACCCATCGAATTGGTAGTTATGATCAATGAATAAGGCTTTTCATTTCGACTCATTTGCTGCTTGTCAAGGGCACATGAGCCATAGTCTATATCCCTCCGCTTGGTCGCATCTACAACCGATCTAGCAAACCGGGGATTGGACTGCCATTTCAAAGAAAGCTTCATACAGAAGAACAATTCCGACATATATAGACCACCAAATCCGCCAAAGGAAAAACAATGAGATAAAAAGACATGAATCATAAAGATATCCCCGCCTGAACGCCAAGACTACCGCACATGCTTGTCCAATCCCGCTTTAGAAACGCTCCTTCATCCGGGCAGCAACCGTCCTCAGGTTGCCGTAGACCTTTCCAGGCGGCTTTCCGAGAATCAAGCTGACGACGGATTCTCGGGCCATGTGGATGTTCTTGAAGCCTCCCAGGATGTGGATCTTGGAATCAGCCAGCACAATTCGCGTCCGGCTGGCGTTCTCAATGGCAAACTTGGTCTTTCCCTGGTGGCCGGCAATTCGGCCGATGGCACGGCTCTGGCTGTCTCCGTGGACGGTCTTGACGTCCTTGATCTCAAAGGTCTCGATGTAGAGGTCGTCGAGTCGCAGAAGGGCAATGGCGTCGTCAACGTCGAATCCGAGCGTGAAGGCCTTGACGAAATCCTCGCCCTTTTGCAGCGCACCCGAGTCCACCGTGGACTTGGATGTCCTCAGCTCGACCGTTTTCCGCGCAATGTTCATCCGGCACTGCAGCTTGAGGTGCTCCACGATGGGAGGGTAGATGGAAGGCCATGCCTGCTTCAGCGGCGTCATTCGGTGCGGCGGAATGGGGATCTTGCGTGTCTCGACTCTCGTCATGGGATCCTGTGGAACAACAAAGGTTAGACATGGTAAAACCGAGAGGTGGTAATTTGAGCGTACGATATCCTTGGACGGGGCGAAGCGAGGTCGTCCCTCCTCGTCGATAGCCATGCTGTTGCTTGCGTCTGTCGTCTCGGGCACCAAGACTTCGGCCTCAGCCACTGCAGCATCGGGAGCGTCTAGCAGAAACTCCTGGTCATTGTCTGTGTGCGAGTAAGCTTGATGATCCTGCCAATGTTGACTCCATTCGCATGATATGTACCCTGAGCTGGTGATGGCACATCTGCGACAAGCGGGGTGCTTTCGGTTTTCTTGAGGGCGGTAGGAGCAGGCATGATGCTGGAGGATAGACCACAGCCCTATTCGACTCTCTGTTGGTTGAAGTGTGTGTGAATGAGTCAATAGTAAGGTAGAACAATCGTCAACGATATCGCATGTACTTCGTTTGCGATAACCCCGTCTCTTCGTCGGTCGTCAAAAAAATTCTAGGGTCCAGCGAAAAAAAATGTTGTATGGCGCTGGATTCGCAGGCGGACAAGCCACACACCCCAGCTGTTTGTTTCTGCCGCCGCGATCAAAAAATTTGTGGACAGGCTATCGCAGCTTATCGATTGGCCAGCCACAGCAGCGCACTGCAAAACGTGAGTGGCGCGTCATGCAATGACTTTTGCGTCGCCGCCCTGCTTCGGTTCCGTCCTGCAAGTCCACCAACTGATTCGGGGAACTCTGCATCTCCCAGCGTCTTTAATTCCGTCTCACGATCCTGAAGGCGTTGTTTTCTTTTTTTTCTCTTCCTCCTTTCCTCTATATTTGGCGCACCGCCTCCAGATTGCTGGTCGCCATGAGCCTTAAGCATGTCTAGGGGCATCTCACCATGGCTGATTGTGCGCCGCCATCGTCCATGCCGCAGCCAAACCCCTCCAATATGGCCATCTCCACATGTCGTGACATTGTCGAGCCGATCAGCAGCTCTTGCGCCGCTTCACACGCAGAGACCAGGACCTTCTCGCTGCTCTCAGCTGGCCTCTGGAAAGGATGGCCATCACTCGCCTACGTTCATCGGGCTGGGCGTCCAGCTGCCTCTGCATGGTAGCCCTCGGCGCATCGCTGCTGTGAGCATCCTGGACAGGCATCGAGCATCGCTCAGAGCCTCTCCACGCTCGGCGCTGTGGCTGCTTCAGAGTGGCCAGTACAGCACCAATGGTGCAAACGGCAAAAAGGATGTATCAGGGAGTGTCAAGGGCGAGCTGGATGGCCAAAAATCTACCGCGGGAGCTCCCGAAAGCTTGAGGACTCCATTCAAGAGCAACATGGACGAGCAGCATGCAACAGCGCCGAAAGACCACGAGCAGCATGAATCAATAGCAACCTCAATGTCAAAGTATCTCAATTTCCCAACGATGCCTCACCATCCTACGAAAGCAGAGCTGTTGGCGGCTGCCAACGGGTTCTGGGAGCGGTTTAAAGTCCGGTTCAAGTGGGTTTCCATCAGGAGCATGCGACCTTGGAACATTGATGAATGGGGGGCCTTCGTGTCGTGGTTCATGCTGGGCCATATCGTCTGGATCCTGGTGGGCACCACGACTTTCTTTTCCCTCCTCATCTTCTCCATCAACACAGTGTTTGCTCAGGGTATGTTGAAGATTTGCGCTTTTCAATCGCCCTTTTCGGGAGGCTAATCTATGTCCAGAAACACTCGCGAGGTGGGTTGGAGACTATCTCACCCAGTCGGCTGGGGTTACCGTCGTCTTCGAGTCGGCCATTGTGCCCAAGTGGAAGAACGGCGTCATTGCATTCCGCAACGTCTTCATCTCGCGACGGCCTGGGCAGATTGAATCATCCGTCAGCAAGGGCTCCTCCGACGCTGCCGCCGTTGCTGCCGTGGCCGCTGCAGGGCGCCAGGCCCCGCATAACGTCGCTACTCCGGAAGATGATGGCAACTACACCCAATTCGACGTCACGATTGCCAATGTCAATGTCACGCTCTCCTTTCTCAACTGGTGGAACGGAAAGGGGCTGCTGAAGGACGTTGAGGTGAATGGGGTGAGAGGGGTCGTCGACCGCACGTCTGTCCGCTGGCCTCAGCAGCAGGTTGACCCATTGTCTTATCGGCACAAACATCAACCAGGCGACTTTGAGATAGAATCTTTCAAATTGGAAGACCTATTGCTCACCATTCGCCAACCCGACGGCTTCCGCCCCTTTTCAGTCAGCATATACTCCTGCGAATTGCCCCGACTGCGAAAGCAATGGCTTTTTTACGACTTCCTCTCCGCGAGTCACATGTCTGGATCATTTGACGGCTCCCTTTTTACGATTCATCCGCGACAGGTTCACGGCACGGTCTCGAGCCGATACCAGGGCGTCATGATGGGGCTGGAAGAATCCAAGTCGTGGAAGAAGTTCAACCGGCTGCGAATCGATGGCCTGAAGATTGACCACCTGAATCGTGGAGTAGAGGGGCCGTTCGGCTGGATTTATGAAGGCAACGTCGACATCGTTGCTGATGTCATGTTCCCAGAGGACATGGATGACAGCATCACCAAGGTCGTGACGGACTTTTACGACCAGCTAGAGGGCACCGTCATGGCGCATCGCTATCGCTTCTTGCCCAGAGCCCCTGCACCTGAGAGTCATGCGGAGAGCGAGCGCTCAACGAGCGACAAGAAGGCCCAGAAGCAGGCAAACGAAACCGAGCAAGACAAGCGCCTCGTCATCGTGGACCTGCGCATCCACCTCAACGACGTCAAGGCCGCCGTGCCTTTGTTCACCCGCGACCTCTCCTACGTCAACCAAGCGCTCGTCCGCCCCATTGTGGCCTACATCAACGCCAAGAAGACGTACATTCCCATTTCGAGCCGCATCATCAAGCCCCTCAGCGACTTTGACGGAAGCTGGACCGTCTTCGACTGCGGGCTCCTAGACGATGCCTCCGCCGAGACGTACGAGGCTTTTGCAAAGGACGTGGAGGATCAGCAGAGCCGCGTGAGGCGGTTCCGCAAGGTCGGATTCTGGACGCTGTCCCTGGCCATCCACGCCTTGTTCATGGGCATGGCCGGCAACGTGGTCTGAACAGGAGAAGCAGATGAGGACAAGAGTTGCGCTTTTATCTTTCAAAAAGTCCTTGACTCCAAAAGGCCCTTGACTCCCAAAAGGGCATTTACTCCAAAAGGGGGAGGGGAGGCGCGGAGGGTTCCTGTAGAATTGCTGTATATTTACAAATCATGACGGAACGGGGCGGCACATGATGGGTTTGTTTCACGATGGCGTTGTTATACGGGTTTTTATGACTCCAGGCATTTTCTTGGCGACTTGGGGGGGAAAGGGGGGATTGTTTATGGAACATGTTTTCTGGTGAAAAAAAGAAGATAATGTATCGCTCTTCCTTTGAGAGGCCATCTATAGCTGATACCCTAGCCTCTCATCCACTGAAGCAGTGCGAATACAAAAAGAAATAACCACTCTGACAACAAGTATCATATGAAGTATCATATGAAAACAAGGGGGCGGTCTATTAAGGGAAAGGAAATGGCGTCTGTTATTCTAGCCTCAACTTTTGGTGGTGTACCCGAAAGAAAACCGATGGACCGGATGCATTATACCCTTCATCCTAGCCCAAACGCTTTGCAAGAAACCGAAACCGAAACACAGCTTTTCAACATGGTCCCATTCTAGAAGAAAAAAAAAGATACCCCAGCCGCCCATTCATTCTAAAACGTCCCGCGAAATTCGTCCAATATTGAACAAAATTCCAAGTCGAACATGGTGGGCAGCCTGCGCCATGCTGAGAATATGGCTCTTTAGTAGTCGATACCCGCTGGTGAAGATGGTGGCAACGAGATGGCCCCGTGTTCGAGGGCAGAGTATTCGAGGAAAATCAAACGTGTTACCGCACTTTCGTTTTATTAACGGAGAGAGCAATACGCCGGGGGATACCAATAACGATGCTTGTTCTAGCAGTCGCCTGTTCCGCTCTCCTTTGCTTCGCTTGTATGATGCGCGCTGAATTGGAGGCCTGTTCACATAAAGTCGTCGCTATAGGGAAAGAAGGGGGGAAAAAATCAGATTAGCACAGTGGTCAAGAAGTCAAGAGGCCAGCTTTTTTTTTTTTTTTTTTTTTTTTTCCATAAAGCAAAGGTCAGCATCCACTTACTCTCCAAAAGCGTCATCGTCATAGGTAGCCGTATCGGTAGTGTTGGCGCGGTTCGTGACGAGCGAAGTCTTGGTCTTGGCAGCCTTGGTCTTCTTCTTGTCGCCCGACTTCTCCTCCTTGAGCTTCTCGTTGCTGGCGCGGGTGAGCGTGCTGGCAATCTTCTTGATCTGGTCGCTGTTGAGCTCCTTGACCAGCTCCTTGGCGAACTCTTCGAGGAAGAGGCCGTAGTGAGGCTTCTTGCTGTTGGCGGTGATGAGCGGCGTGAGGAGCGTCCTCATCTTTTCAAACTGCAGCTTCGTCTGGGGGTTGAAGATGGGCACCGCGGCGAGGTTGATGAGGTTCGTCGGGTTGTTGGGGTCCGCAACCATGGTGCCGGAAGGGTTGGCCTTGCGGCCGTCGCTGATGCCAATGCTGCCAAACAGGTCCTCGGCGTGCTTCAGGTCGGCGTCCTGCTCGGTGCGGCGGAGGCGCTCGCGGCGCTGGGCCTCCGTCTCCTCCTCGCTCTCCTCGTCCTCCTCGGCCTGCAGGCGGGCGCGCTCGGCCTGGTGCTCGGCGATGCGCTGGGCCTTGGGCTTCTTCGCGGCGGCGGCGGCCTTGGCGGCCTTTTCCTTGGCCTCGGCGGCCTTGCGTGCCTTTTCGCGCTCGACTTCGGAGTCTTCGGCGGCGTCCCAGGAGTCGAGGACCTACAAGCGTTTCGATGGCGGGTTAGCAGCCACGCGGGGGGGGTAATCGGGGGGGAGGTTGCTCGGCTGGTGATCAACTCACATCGCCGTCGTCTTCCTCATCGCCAAACTGGCGTCGACGGGCGCCGGTTATGATGGGGGAGCCGGGGGCAGACTCGTTGCCGCCATCGCTCTCTTCGTCATCTGGTTGCAGGTAAAGTCAGCAACACGTCCTCCTCATATATGCCGCCACAGATCGTTGAAATGTTTGGCGTTCTCGGAAAGAGAATCGAGGGCAGCTGGCGGCATTTTGCTGGCAAAGTGTGCGCTCTGCGGCTTCAGTAACTCACCCCACTTCTTGGGAGGCATGATTGCGGATTGTTATTTGATAGTGAGGTCGAAAAGGAGACGGTCAGGCGGATATTTTGCACTGCTGCAGGAAGAGGTGCGGCAGCTGTGGCTGGTGGTGATGGCGGAACCGTCGAATCGTGTTGATCCGTGATCCTGGATGGATGGATTTGGGTGGAAGATGGATCGAATCGAATCGGCGTTTATTGTGCATGCACTCGTACGTAGTAGATTTTCATGGCGGGGTTTCCCAAGGCTGCAGAGGGGCAAAAACTTTTGGCTTGAGGCGCAACGGTTGGCTGGGCAGCCCGAATGATTTTTCTTCTCAGCCTTGTGGCTTCGCACACTAACAAAAAGAGGAACGGACAGCTTCCTTGTACTGTACATGTGCTCTTACGTAGGTAGGTGTTTTATCCTACAAGTGGTCGTTATAGGTGTTTTACTGTCTCAATAGTGTCCTCCTCTTTCACATGAGAGCAGACGTGAAGAAGCATCAAGTGCCCCTCCATGGTGATGAGTGTCTTGGGTTACCTACCTAATTAGGTTGCAAAGCTACGCTACTGATATAAGACTTGGGAAATCTTCTTCTTGGAATAGGAAATCATGATCCCAATCCAATCCTCCAATTTAATAACTACATCATGACTTCAATGTCTTCTTCTGCTGCTCATGCATCAAGGTCAGTGGAAGAAAATAGGTAGCAGTGTATTTAGTAGGTAGGTAGCAGTACAAGTGCTGAGTGCGGAACGCCGGCGGAACGAAATACCGTGCAAAAATTCCAAAGAGCCCAAACCCCCACCAACAGACATGCAAACCATCAATGGTGGGGAAGCCCTTGTGGTCAACCTCCAAGTTCCTGCTTAGTAGGTTCAAAACTGAGTCACAGGTACCGTCTCCCCATGAAGATTTGCCGGCTTTCCTTCATCCAAAGGAGTCATCGTATACATTCACCAAGTCTCTTCCCTGCGTGGACTGCGAGATTGCTTCTTCAGCAGCCACTGACCACCGCCGCCAGGCCCTTGACGTCCTTGCGTGAGTCGAACTATTCAGCTTTAAGCAGTCAGCAGGCGACCTGCAGGAATTCCTTCAAGAACCTCCCCTTCACTCTCTACCGCTCAAGAGGCTTCGCAACCATGGCTCAGACTGCGGGCATCGACCAGCTCACAAAGCTGGTCAACGGCCTGACGCTCGACGCCGTCACCGAAAAGTACCCCCAGGCTCACCCCGAAATCAACCCTCTGGACCTCTACAGGGCACACCTCAGCAATGTCCTCGCAGGCATCTCCGGCGTGGACTCTCAGATTGTGTATCCCGCCATCAACTGGACAACCGGCCTCGACAAGGGTGACTTTGTCCTTGCCGTGCCTGCGCTGAGGATCAAGGGCCAGAAGCCGGATGCCCTCGCCAACAAGTGGGCTGAAGAGGTATACTGCTGATCCTTGAGTTGCCGTCACTCATTACAGATCTAACACTCACATTCAACAGTTCCCCCAAGATGACGCCCTGTTTGACAAGCCCACAACAAGCGGTCCCTTCATGTCATTTTTCCTCAAGGGAGCCCCGCTGTCCAAGTCTCTGATTCCCATGATCCGAAATCTTGGTGAAGAATATGGTAATTTCTTCTCGACATCAATGCGTGATACAGAGTGAAACTGACCAACTGCTGCCAGGCCGTAACCGATTCAACGGCCTGAGGGATCCCAAGGACCCCAGCCAGGGCAAGAAGCGCATTGTAATTTCAGGACACCCCCCCCCCCCCCCCCCCCCCTCTTTCAACGTCCTTGGTCGGATGTTAATCCGCGTGTGCAGATTGTCGAGTTCAGCTCTCCAAACGTTGCCAAGCCCTTCCATGCCGGCCATCTCCGATCAACCATCATCGGTAGCTTCCTGGCCAACCTCTACGAGGGCAGCGGCTGGGACGTGGTTCGAATGAACTGTAAGTGGTCCAGCCATGTGTCAACCCTTCATGACAGCAACAGGAGAAGAGGCGAGGTATCATGTGCTAATGCTATCTTGTAGACCTGGGAGATTGGGGTAAGCAGTATGGACTGCTGGCTCTGGCCTATGAAAAGTACGGCAACGAAGAGGCTCTTCTCAAGGATCCCATTGATCATCTGTTCAAGCTCTACGTTCAGATCAACGCCGAGATGACTGCAGAGAAGGAGGCCATCGAGGCGCAAAAGAAGGAGGGCAAGGATGTTACCGAGCTTGAAGCCAACAGCCTGGACGAGCAAGCTCGTCGGTACTTCAAGCGTATGGTGAGTGATGGCTGTACTCGGATTTCGGTCGTCAGTTGCTAATGACGGTGACTGCTCAGACCGATAGGGACCCGGAGGTGCTCAAGCAGTGGCAAAAGTTCCGCGACCTCAGCATTGAGCGATACAAAAGTGGGATATTGCACATTGAAGCCTGTTCTTGGGACTACCATACTAACGCATTGGGTAGAAACATATGCACGACTCAACATTGCCTTTGACAAGTACAGCGGTAAGCTATTGTGGCCGTCGTTGATAGGATGACCAACCAAGACTAACTCGTCGCAGGTGAGAGTCAAGTCTCAGAAGAGGCCATGGCCAAGCTTGCTGTGGAGATGGAAGAGAAGGGCATCTCCCGAGTGGACAACGGCGCCACGCTTGTCGACTTTACCCAGCTTCTGCCCGGCAAGGAGGGCAAGCGACTGGGTGTAGCGGTCATCCGGTATGTCGTCAAGGCTGGTCTTTCGTGACATCGTTCTAATGCCTCGGGGTGATAGAAAGAGGGACGGTACTGCGCTGTACCTGACCCGCGACGTTTGCGAGCTGCTTTCCCGAGTAAGTAGACATGCATTTCCGAATTCCTGATGGATAATGTTTTCCTTTGAGAGCGAGAGCAGAACCGTTGACAGTTTTCAGTACGAAACCTACAAATACGACAAGATGATCTACGTCGTGGCGAGTGCGCAGGATCTCCACCTCAAGCAGCTCTTTGAGATTGTCAAGCTGCTCGGCTACAAGGACATTGCCGAGCGCTGCCAGCACATCAACTTTGGCCTGGTTCTGGGCATGAGCACCAGGAAAGGCACCGTCAAGTTGTGAGTACCCAACCCGCCTTTTGATCAACAGCAGTTGGACTGTCGAGCCTGGCTGACATGAGATGCAGCTTGGACGACATCTTGAGGGACTGCGCAGACCACATGCACGAGACGATGAAGAAGAACCAGGAAAAGTACGCTCAGGTCGAGAACCCCGAGGCCACGGCCGATATCCTGGGCATCAGCAGTGTCATGGTCCAGGACATGAGCGGAAAGAGGTGAGCGTTTTCCAGAGAAAAAAAAAACTTGACTATGTAGCTTCATCATACTCATGGGAGATTTGCAGGATCAACAACTACACGTTCAACATGGAGGCCATGACCTCGTTCGAGGGCGACACGGGCCCCTACCTGCAGTACGCCCACTCGCGACTCTGCTCCATCAAGCGCCGCGCCAACTTGACCGACGAGGAGCTGCAGAGCGCGGACCTGTCCCTGCTGACGGAGCAGCACGCCGTCAACGTCGTGCGCATGCTCTCGCAGTACCCCGACACGGTCCAGAACACGCTCAAGACGCTGGAGCCCACGACGGTGCTCACGTACCTGTTCAAGATGTCGCACGCCGTGAGCAGCAGCTACGACCACCTGCAGGTCGTTGGCAGCGAGAAGGAGCTGATGAAGGCCCGCATGGCGCTGTACGACGCCGCCCGCATCGTCCTGGCCAACGGCATGAAGCTGCTTGGCTTGACGCCCCTGGAGAGGTACGCCTTGAAGGCCCCTGTTTTTTTGGGGGAAAAAAAAACCCACTTGCAATGCCCCTTACGGTTGTTTTCCTTCTTGAAACTGACTTGTCTATCCAGGATGTAAAAAAAATAATAATTGGGTACCGGTGCTCCGTATCTCGCACTCCGTACTCCGTGTGCCGTGCCGCTTTTTGAGCCGCACAGTTGCCGCAAAAGGCTCCGGTTTAAATCTCTGCTAGAATCCACGAGGAACATGTAGAATTACCTACCTAGCCACCAGAAAGAAAGTCGGTAAATACCGCAATCAAAACATAAAGTCTCTGACTCAATCTACTCCATCCAACTGAATTCGCCATGGATTCTATTATTTGATCCTCCGTCGGTGACAGAAATGGAGCATAGACTTCTTATTCACTAACGCTCAGGTGCCACATACGGTTGAAGACAACCTAGGCTGAGGGTGACGCCAAACAATTATATACTTGGCAGCTTTGCTTTTTACCCATCTCCTGTGTCGTGGACTTGAGAGGATTTACCTCTTACCTGTAATATCTCAGTTCACGAGAAGACAACTTCAACGAAGACGTCAAGGCAATCGAATTGCCGTAAGCGAACAACAATATTGGGACCATGACAGCTCGTATGGAACCCGTTCCCATGCTCCATATAACGAAAATCAAACGCAGCAAAGAAAAATGAGCACCTGTCCTTTCGTATACGGACCGATACCCGCAGAGAATAAGACGCATATGACAGCGCAAAAAAAATAAGAGGGCCAATGGCAAAGCCTCTATTGCTAACGGCAAGTAAAGAAAGGGTTCCTAGCGCCCGATAGCCGCATGCCGTCACTCAAGCCGCGCATGAAGCTTGTTGCCCAGCTTGTGAGGACAAAGATAGATCGAAGTCAATGTTGCACGTCAATTCTCCCAAAACGGTACGGTATGCATATGCGAGGCAAGAAATCCTTCTATTTCCAGCTTCGCAATGCTTCCATTACAAGTTGAAGCTGTCATCATGCATGGCCCCAAGGAAATATCAGAAATCCCGGACCCCGAAATCGAAACGACAAACTGGAGTCCTGAGATTTGGGCGAAAGGAAAGAGCAGGTTATGATTTCATCTGTCCTGGTATTTCTCGCAGGGCGAAATGAAGAATCGAAAATGAATCGGAAAAACTGTGAGTATGTAAGCATGTTAGTAGAAGAGTCATAGGGGGGGGAAAGGGGGAGAGACAAGGTCGTCGCATCCCGAAAGGTCCCGACTAGCCTATCGAGCGCCTCGGACCTCGTCGTCTTGAGGAATGCCGAGAGCCTCCAAAGGCTGCCAGAGGCAGGCATTTTTGCCTTCCAGATTTTTGCCTGGCATATGACCCCCAGGCACGGCACGCGAGCGAGGAAAAGAGAAAATTACGGGTTGTTTCTTTTGCCCCAATTGGATGCCTTGCATGCATCGACATGCCGGCGCTCGTCCACGGCGAACCCGCTTACCCGGGTGCGGATTAGCAGGGCCGGCGGCGTGGGCGGGTATAGTAGTGAGAGACAACGGTGGCAGAGGGTGGCATAGGTCCGGTAAGGGGATATCCGATTGAGTTTCTGGTGTAATACGCGGTCCGACGTGTAACATGTCTGTTTTCCCGTGTTTCTTCCCTAGATTCTGACTCGTCTTAGCATGTGAAGGGAGCTGATATAAAGCTTTCAGGTGCCCCGGGGCCAAAGGGGGGGTGCTTGCTTACATGTATGATCATGACCATCAACATCTATCGTTGAACCATATAGCTTCCCTTCACAGCTTATAGCTTCGCATAGTATAAGCCTCGACATGACCTACACCAAGACCGACGCCCCCCGGCAAGCCGTCAAGCTTGCCAAAGTCGTGGCTAACAGCCATGCCAGCTGCCGCCTCGCCGGCCACCCGGCACTGACACGGAGACTTGCATCCGCCAGCAGGCCCATGTGCTCGTCTTACCTCTTTCACGGCCAGACCGTTCGAGCATTCTCAACGACGCCCGTCTCCCAGCTCAGGGACTTCTTTCCTGCCAAGGACACCCCTCACATCAAGAAGACGCCGCCGGCATGGCCCCATCCCGGCTTCACGATCGAGGAGCTCCAGCAGGTAACGCCCTCGCATCGTCCGCCGCGTGGCTTCGGCGACTGGGCTGCGTGGAAGATTGTGCGGCTGGCGAGATACTTTATGGACAAGGCCACGGGCATGGACCGCGAGCAGCAGGTGGATAAGAAGCATCCGACAACCTCCGTCAAGGCGGAGAAGCCACTTACAGAGGCCCAATGGGTATGAAACTTGCTTATTACGAATGATTATCCGCATCGTGGAATGCACATATGGCTAACATGCATTGACCGCACGAACAGCTCGTCCGATTCGTCTTCCTCGAAAGCATTGCCGGTGTCCCAGGGATGGTGGGCGGCATGCTCCGCCATCTTAGCAGCCTCCGGTACATGAAGCGCGACAATGGCTGGATCGAGACGCTCCTCGAGGAGAGTTACAACGAGCGCATGCACCTGCTGACGTTCATGACCATGTGCGAGCCCGGCTGGTTCATGAAGCTCATGATCATCGGCGCCCAGGGAGTCTTCTTCAACAGCCTCTTCGTGGCCTATCTGCTGCACCCCAAGATTGTCCACCGGTTCGTCGGATATTTGGAGGAGGAGGCGGTGCACACGTACACTCGAGCAATTCTCGAGATTGAAGAGGGCCATCTGCCCAAGTGGAGCAATCCCAACTTTCGCATTCCTGATATTGCCGTCCAGGTTAGTGACACGAGTCCTGAAAAACTGATGGAAGCAAACCAGCTAACACGCGTGATTGCAGTACTGGCGCATGCCTGAAGAGCACCGGACGATGAAGGACCTGATCATGTATATCCGAGCCGACGAGGCCAGCCACAGAGGCGTCAATCACACGCTGGGCAACCTCAACCAGAAGGAGGATCCGAACCCCTTTGTCAGCACATTCAAGGACAGGGACGTTCCGAAGCCATGCCTGAAGCCCGAAGGCTACGAGCGAGAGGAGGTCATCTGATCGAAAGCCAGTTGTGCGTTATCGAACGCTTGCTGGGTTTCCGGTTGATGCTGGAGAAGAAGAGAAAGAAACGGCATATGCGTAAGATTTTGAACGGCGTGTTTGATTTGTTTGTTCTTTCCGCGTCGAAAAAGAGGGTTGGCTTGGCAGGAAGGACTTTGGCGAAGAATTGCATCATTACGGAGTTTTTGATTTTTGGCACAACTGCATCGTGCCTGCCTTGGGTAGACCACTTTCCTCTCTCGACTCTCTTACAAGATCATACACCTATACTTAGTACCTACCTGCTTGATAAGGTAATATGACAAAGACATGATATATTTGGCTCAATTTCAAACAGACAATACTACTAGTGGCTATGGTGTCGAGTATCGTCCTTCTCATCTCGTCCGTGACGACGCTCATTCTCGACATTGGCAACGCGGCACATGCTCCTGGACAGCAAATAACGGCTTAGACGCTGTGGCCTCGGACCAAGTCCCCATATTAAGGCACTGCGGTACGCGAAGCCACAGAACGCTGCATGTCGGGGTTGCATCTACAAAGTTTCCTCATTTATTCTTTGTATGCCTGTAGGAGTAGTTGCTCCGTTCCAAGGGCGTCTTATGACACGAGTTGGAGATTGATCACCGTCCGAAGCAGGTCACAACACAGGGGAATGGGACATCGGATTAAGTTGCCGTCCCTAGAGATGCGCGAATCCGGCAACAACCCCCTTACATGGTTCGGACGATTCCCGAATCTGTTCAGAGTTGGCTGCGGCAATTCTGAAAATGGAGACTACTAGAACACGGAGAAATGTCAAGGGGGGAATAACTGGCAAAAGAGTTGCGCGAAGCAAAATCAACGGCGAGTTTTAGTGTGTGTGTGTGTGTGTCGTTACAAGAGCGATGGAAAAAGCCTTGCGGAGAGCCTTGCAGTTGATCCGAATCAAAGGAACCCATAACTGGTTGGAAGGGGCCCACAGCTGGCCAATGGGAAGAGGGGATCTAGATTTGCTGACAGGGCTGGTAGCCGATTGGCTGACAGAAGCCGAAGTCTGGCAGCGTGTGATTGGACGAGTCTTGGGAGCTTTGTGAGTTAAAGACAGCTGATTATTACGTACTCATTTTTGAGGCACTTTGAGAAGAAGAGCATTGATGGGTCAATACGATAATACCTCTCGGAGCATTTCACAGATTGAAACCATTCCTTTCGAGCATTAACAGATTACGCGGCACCTTCTTCATGCTCGAATTAAGAAAATCGTCCAACTGCAAACTGCCCTCTGAGTAATACAATCCAAACGTACTTGTACACTTACCTCACGCGTCGTCGACTAATACGTCACTGCTGTGGCTGTGGCCGCCAGGATGGAGCACAACCCACATCACCCGCGTTTCGCAGGATCCAAAGTCTGTCAATCTGTCTTTGTCCCATTCCAAATGATCTGATCTGGCTCCATTCCGTCCCATCCCAATCCACACCCCATAGCATCACCGCCGACAGGGCAAGGGGGGGGGGGGGGGGGGCACTTTGTTTCTCGTGTTGGTGCCTGTGCCTGTGCCTGTGCCTGTGCCTGTCAAGCCTGTGCATGTCAAATCTGAAACTGCTGCGGCCACGCTCCTTCGGTGACGCTCATTCATTCATACTTGTCTTCTCCCTTGTCTTTGATGTGTTTCGGTGGCCCTCACAATGTGCTTTTTCCGGTCGATTGGTTTCCCCACTGGCTTCCGTAGCCTAGCTGCTATTTTCGGATGGACCCTGGAATCGCTGGTTCCTTCACATCGTTTTCGACCTATCTACAGCCACATCTGTCTTGAAGAACCCCTTGATTATTGTGAAACATGCAGAAAACGCTTCATATGAAGTGGAATACGAAGAGGAGAGAACGACAGGAAAGAAAGACGAGAGATATAATGCCCATCGCTTCAGGCGAAATTTCGTATACTAGTACTACCAGCAACTACTATTTTTAGCACAGGACTGAGGACAAAACAGCGCTGCTGCTAGACAATCGGCATGTGCTGCGCAGATCATAGGGGTCCCTGGCTCGGCCAGTTGTCGTCAGCTTCTGGATTGGATGTTTTGCAGACAATCCGTCGTAACTGGACTAATAAGGTTATTTGCATTTCTGCAACATGACACAACTTGGACATGGCCCCAGCCCTGGCCGTGTGTGTGCTCTGTTTTCCCATCATGCCTGGACACGTGGACGGGCATGGGTTTCGGGAACCAAGGAGTCAGGCAAGGTCATGGTTGAGGCAGCGTGCCTGACATGGCCCCTTGATTGTTTCTTGCTACCACTGTAATACCGTAGTTGGAAAACTCGTCATCATCACCACTACTACCGACGGTCCATGTGGGGGAGGTGACGATGTACCAGCTTTCCAAGTCTGCTAGCCGCGGGTTTCAGGGTTCTGTTCCTTCATTCAGCGTTGAGCTATTTGACGGTGGCTGGACCGGTGGGAAAACGGGCTTTCGCCGAGGTGGTTTGTTAGGGGCCCTTTTGAGAGCATGATTCGCGTCCTTCTGGTGAGAATCGTGTGGTTCAAGGGCGAAGACTCGCAAATCCGAGGCTTCTCAGCAGCCCTCTTTCTACAAGAGGCCAGCATGATTCAATACCTAGTGGAAGTGAAGAACGATCAGGTGGTATGACTTGTAGATGCCCGTAGCTTCGGGGTACTAGTATGTAGGTATGTAGTCACCAGCCGAGTTTCTGACCACCTTGGAGCGACGCCAAAGTAAGGTAGTGTCGATTTGGGAGATATTCCAGATCTTTTGGAATACTCCGCCGACTCCATTTGGAATACTTTCCGTCTCCAATCAAGTTCATCTCTTGCCGCGTTCCTGTTTCCTCTTTCTACTACATCATTTCACTGCCGCTTTGGAGGGGCAACAAGCGACAATATGGGCCATCCATACTACGGACCTTGTGCGGGGTCGTGCTCGAGCCTGGCACAAACCGTGAGCTTGATGAGGTACAAGGCGGTACAAGGCCTGTGAAGGCGCTACGCAAGAACGAAATTGGCCTGGATTGTTGGCTGGCAGATGAAGAAGTGACGGAGGCCGCTCGCTTTGGCTGGTCGGCGCCAACTGCCGGATATCGCTGGATACTTTAGGTACCTACCTAGGTATGGATATCAATTCCAGTCCTGTTTCGCCATGTACGCAATACACATTTCGGCGCCCTTCAAAGGTACCTCTCAGGACCATCTGAAGCCAACTACCCCTCACACCGGCCTTGAAAGTACACGCAGCAGAGTAACAGCCCACGTATCCCAGACTTTCAACTCCACAGCCAAACAGCCTTTTCTTGGTGTCCCTCGCCTGGAGCGACTTTCACGTGGATATGACATGGATAGAACACCCGACAGCACTGGGACCCGACTCAACCAACCCAAGCTCCAGCTGCTAGAAGACCACCTACCTAATTCTAGCGGCTTGCTCTCTGCTAGCACAGTCCCCTAGCGGCCTTATTAGCAGTGCTCGGCAGCCTAAGCCGTGGTCCCTTTCGCCCTTGCTGCTGCTAAAGCCCCAGCGACCGAGGCCTTGGGAGCGGCCACTTGGTCCGGTTCAGCTCCATATCCCACCTTGTGCGATCACCCGCCTCAGCACTTAGCTTTCTGCCTCCTCCATCATCATCATCATCATCATCATCCCGCACCCTCGACCAGCCCGCAGCCTCTCCAGCTCCCGTACCGGCTGCGTCGTCAGCAGTGCCGTCACACGCTGTCACTGCACTTCTCCAGCGCCAGCTCCCAGCTCCAGCGCCTGCTCTAGCTCTTGCTCCTGCTTCCCTAGCAGCAGACTTGCGGCCACAAGGTTGCTGCTCCAGTTTGTGCACAGCCTCGCGGGTCCCCGTCGCTGGTCGATGATTTGGCGCCCAACCCGAACGAACCCCGACAAAGAAAGGTCGCAGAACGATCCTCCCCCCCCTTCCCGCCATCTATCTCGCTACCAGGTGCCGTGCCGGACTTCCAAACTTCTTGCCAGCATTTCTCTAGCATCTCTGGCCTCTAGCACCCGTCACCCGTCATCCAGTATCTGGCATCGCCTCGCCTCACCTCGCCAGCAACCCTCGGATCCCTGGCCCAGCCCTATTTGACACATCCTCAGACGGCTATCCCCACGGCTCATCCACCCCGTGCCTGGACGCCCGCACCTGCTCGGAGATCGAGTTGCAGCCGGCCTCAGGACCGTCCGTCTGAAACGCAGCTCAGACTGTGATTCGCACCGCTGTACGCGTCCTGCCGCTGTGATAGGGCCGCACCCCCCCAGCACCTTGCATTGCTGCCGCCAGTGCACAGCCTCCTCGGAAGGCTGACTGTGGAATCTGCCTCGCGACAACGAGGTACGGAGACAGACAGACCAAGCGCTCGGCCGCCATCATGGCCCATGAACCCCAGCGTGGAAGGTCGCCGTCGGCCGGTGGCTTTCAGTCTGATATAAACCAATCCCACTCGCCGGCACGGAGCCCGCTGGCACCCACAAATGAGCAGCCATCCGCTGGTCTTGGAGTTGGACTCGGCGTCGACCTGGATTCGTCACAGCAGCAACAACAACTGCAGCAGCAGCAGCAACAGCAACAACAACAGCGACTCCAGCAGCAGCAACAACGAGCATTCGCGGCGCCTCTGCATCCCAACTACGACTCCTTTGGCGCAAACGGCTTCCTCGGCGCACAAGCCAACGCCGTCGACCCGACAAACGGCTTTGATCCCAGCGCGAGCTTCGGACAGCAGCCGGCCACCGGCCCCGACTCCACCCTCTCCCTGAACGCCCAGGCGCAACACAACTACCTCTCCCCAAACCTCCACGACGGTGACTTCTCTCTCTTTCCCTCAGCCGCTGAGCAAGGCGATCAGTACAACGCCCCCCTCTTCGAGCAGCCGCCTCTGGGCGACCTCAATGCCATGACCTCCCCGCACTCGCATCAGTCTCCGACCCCTCCACAGCTCTTCCAGCCGGACAGTCTACAGTCGCCTCCCTTCAACCGACATCAGTTCTCGTCGCCGCCAACTCATTCGAGAAATGCTTCCCTAGGACCCGAAGCCGCGCTTCTCCCTAGCCAGATTGGAGACTGGACCCAGCCGCAGTTTCAGGGTCATCGACGAACCCCCTCTGAGTATTCGGACGTCTCCTCCGTGGCCCCTTCGCCCCATCTCGTCAGTTCCGATACGTTCGACGCCGACCAGTCGGGCCACTCGCCTCTGCAGAGGCCCGCGGATGTTAGCCTCTACCAGGAAGTGCTCGGCATCGGATCCTTCAGCCTGGCTGACCACGGTAGTCCCGGGTATCATGGTCGAAGTCCCTCGCACAGTCCAGCCATCAGCCCTCGGATAATGCCCCAGCAGATGCCGGACACCATGCAGCCCTCTTTCAACCTCATTCCGCCCAATGGCGGCTTTGACGGAGTATCAGGATACCCGGACCTGCAACCTAGCCATGAGAGCTTTCCCTCGCTATCAGGCGGCATGGGCGGCGATATGCACCAGATGGCGCCCCCAGCCATCAACATCGACTTTGCGCCGACCAATTCGAGACAGGGCAGCTTTGAGCCGCCCAAGTCGCAGATGGATCAAGATTCGCTAACACCACCAGAAAGAGGTAGGTCCTCATTCACTTTGCAACATGGGTCTACCAACTGTAGGCGCCTAACTGACGCGGGTATTACAGGTCGTCCAAAATCTCGCCCGAGAGCGGTCACGGACCCGTTCCACCCCGGTAGCGGAATACTGCCCCCTGGCAATCTGGGCTCCTCTCTCGGCGTTGATCTTGCGGCCCGTTCCGACACAGCATCTCGATCCTTATCCCCTCTAGACAGGTCAGGAACCAGCTCACCAGCATCTCGAAGGCGACAATCGACTTCTTCGGTGCCGAACAACGTCATAGCGTTACGCCTGGCGGACCCGGAGTATCAGAACAGCCAAGAAGCCGGCACAAGCAAGCGCATGCAGAAGCACCCGGCGACCTTTCAGTGTACCTTGTGTCCCAAGAGATTCACCAGAGCTTATAACTTGCGCTCTCACCTGCGAACTCATACCGATGAGCGTCCCTTCGTGTGCACTGTCTGCGGTAAAGCATTTGCTCGACAGCATGACAGGAAACGGCACGAAAGTTTGCACTCAGGAGAGAAGAAGTTTGTCTGTAAGGGGGATCTCAAAACTGGTGGACAATGGGGATGCGGCCGACGGTTTGCGCGAGCGGACGCCTTGGGAAGACATTTCCGGTCCGAAGCAGGCAGGATATGCATCAAGCCCCTCCTAGATGAAGAAATGGTCGAAAGGCAACGCCAGTGGCAGGAACAGCGGATGCAGCAGAATATGGCGCAAAACATGGCCAACCCGCAGGTCATGGGCATGGATGCCGGCCCAGCTTATCCTATGGACGCCAGCGGAAATTACACTCTCCCGCAAGCTCTCCTGGCTCAATATCCAGCACTGGCGCAGATGAACTGGTCAGCGACAGATATGGGAGGCGGGCTGGACGATGAGCTCAGCGGAAGGTCGTCATTTGACGCCAGTGACTACGATGACGGTGACGACGGTGGCTACATCAGTAGTTCTGGGGCCAGATATCCAGAAGAAGGCATGAGTCAGAATTATGCCGACATGAATTATATGGGAGACTACGGGCGCTGAGGAGGCTCTCATGAATTCTTTACATCTTCTTTCTCTTCCACACCTAGCTGTCTTCTTTCCCGACCCTCTACCCCAGCCCCATTTTTCGACTTGCTTGTATCCAACCCTTTCCTATGTTTTTTTTTTTTTTTTGTTTTATTCAACGACCGCCGTGTCTTACTAGGTTTTCTCCCCCCCGTGTCGGGAAATAGCGAGCTTGGATCATATAGCGTGGAACGGGTGGCAGGTTTTCGAACCTTTTTTCTTCTTTTTCTTTTTGGACAATTGCTCTGACTTCCGCTTTGAGGAGGCACAAAACGAGATTGAGATGGCTCGGGTTACCGATTAGATGGGTTGTCGCATAGATACCAATGCTTGAAATTCGGACTCTGGAATATCAAACGTCACGATGTTTACTTATCTGATATGGAAGTGACTGCTGAATAGACTTAAATGGTTTGTCAAGGTCATTTGTGCTGTTGCGCTCCAGCCATGCCTCCTTGTCAGTGTGAGTCTCAAACTATGTTGTGCTGGTGATGTGTGTGGCTGCTCAATTATGAAGAGCAACATTGAAGACGATGATATAGGTACGTTGGACTATCTCTTGCCATCAACTCTGACTCGAGCTCTTTCTCGAATCTTGAACATTGTCAGCGAAGAAGGCTTGCAATGTGTAACGACAATATTCCGCGGGATCGATCTCATCTTTGCAGGTCCGCATATCAATCAACCTCTCAATATCACCTCCTTCATTGCTTAGTATCTCATAAAGAAGGACTGCCGTAATTGAGAACAAATAAGCTCAATGGATACACAGAGAGCCTACACACTGCCAACCCTCAAGAGACAAGATCTAGGCTGGAGAATAGTGTGAAGCGGATCATATCGGGGTACCGGTCCGGTAATGACAGACTGCCCACGTCCGGCGGCAAAGATGTGGAGACGCCGGCTCCGGGATTCAAGCCGGAATCACGGGGGCTTGATGTCGACTGTCTGTGCTCTTGATCCGCCAGTCTTCATGGCGCAAGTCGTGGTCCGTAATTGCGTGCATGTACGAGCAAGGCTCCCATGGACTCGACTTCAGCAGGGTCTGGCGAACAGGGCAGGGCCTGCTGTTATCATGATGTGCATGTCATGCAGTTCTCGCTAGCATCATGGGCGTGGGGGTTTGGACAGCATGGATAGGCCTGGGAGACCGCCTTACTCCTGGCTACAGTATGTACTGGCTGCGATTGTTGTGACTTGGACAGCGAGGATTGGGTGTTTGATAGTGACTGACGCCTAGTTGCAGTTGCAGTTGCAGTTCCAGATATGATTGTGAAGTTCGGGGTGGATGGCATGCCCATCTAATTCAGTACGAGTCAGTATGAAGAAAGAGCTGGCTTGTCATGAGAAGGTGCTGGCACGTCATTCATCATCTGACAGTAGGTAGAGCCACAAATAATACTGAGCATTGCCATGGTGTGGCCTGATAACAGTGTGAAAGCAACCCAAACTTGCTGCTTGATTCGCGAGACGTCGAGCTGTTGCCAAGTCAATTTGGGTCTGACCGCTTCAAAGACCCTTGTCATGTTGTGGTCCTGAGCTTTCGTTGATGTCGCACAAGGGTACCGGCAGCCGGCCGGCACACAGCGGTCTTCTGCGACTTTTGATTGCTGTTGCGATAGACGATGACTGCCATTTCAACCCCTCTTGTCTTGTTTGAACTGGAACCGCTGTTTGCGCTTGCTCGTGCGTTTTTCCTCCTCAACCGTCGTCCTCGGGCAAGGAGACACGCGAGTCTGTGATGTGATTGAGGGGGCATCCCCCCGAGAGGGGCACCGACAGCCCTTCGCGTGGCAATAACATCAATCCAGCCCTCATGTTACTACTACCTGCACGTCGCAGCATGCAGATACTCGCACGAATGGTTCCGTGTACGGCAGAGATGACTCAAGGGGGGTCAGCTGAGGGCTGGGGGAAACCGAGAAACAAGACTTAGAACCCTGGCGAGACGGCCGACAAGCGGTCAAACGAGCATCCCAAGTGACCTGTAAAAAAGCAAAACCCCGCAGAAAGCAGCCGGTCGTGTACATGTACCTGGCCGTTGGCATTTGGCGATGGGATGGATGGTCGCAGGCTCATGTTGAGGGCTTCGTGGCAGCCGCTGCCATTGGCCGTTGGACCTCGAATCGACATGCCCTGCATGGCTGCGGCAGTACTGGTACAATGCGCCTTCAGGCACCTGCAGAGGGGCTTCGCGCATGCGTCAATGTGTGTGGCATGCGAGATATTTGTCTCTCTCTTTCTTGATTCACTCGGTGATGTGCAGCCGGGTGGATCAAGGGCCTGCATGCGCCCCCCATGCGCTGAATGTCTGTCTAGACGGAGCTTTTGCATGCGCGCCAGAGTGTGTGTGCGGGTAATCTGCATGTACTCTGTCACGAGACAATGAGGTCGAGTGGAGGCTCGTATGGTCATGGTCATCTAATTGTGTTGCCTGTTGGAAGAACATACAGTAATAACATCATAACCTTTTCTTCATCACCTGCATGGTGCTGGTGAGATGCATTCCTGTGCTTACCTCAGCTCAGCGCCCCTCTGACCGCGCCCTTGATCCTTCCAGTGCCGGTGTTACTGCAAGGGATCAAAGATAGATGAACAAAACAGATAAACAGCTGCTGAGAGTGTCCGGTCTTCCTCGCAGCGGTGGGACATGCATGCATTTGCAGCGATGCCTCGCGGCGGTGCATGGAGTTGCATCAATAAACAGGATGTGGCTGCAGAAAGAAGGGATGGCAGTCTTGGGTCAAAGAGGTATCTTGCATGTACTGCGGCGGTAGCAGGTGCTTGAATCCCTTTCGATGTCTTGAAGTACAGCAATCTACCGTACTACCTAGGAGCTCATATAGTAGGTAAGGTACCTAAGGTAGAGGCACTCTGAGTCCATTGTCTTCCATTTGGGAACTCTCTTTCCCTTGAAACTGCATGTGAATGTCATACATACCTAGGGTACCTACGCCTCAACGCCCAGCACCTGGCACCACCATCCCCTACTGGCAGTACCTTCACGGTACCCAAGAATACAAGAGGGCAGAGGGATGTGAGCCAGAGACGCCAAACCCGCCGCAAAGATCCAATCCGCATGCGGGATCCCTTCTTGCCCTTCTGCCTGCAGCCTCTGCAGAAGGGATCGAGAAGCTAACCAGGGATCGAGACAGGCGCTAGACGGCTTTGGGGGTCTGGTGACAACCTCAAGCGAAGGCGACCCGCAGCCCAGCCAACCCTCCCGCCCTGCGCCGCTCTGATTGGCCAGACCTCCGCCTCGTTCCTGCTCTACATCTTTGGGAAGTCGTCAAGAGCTCCTCCGGACCAGCTCTTGCACGTTGTTGCGGCGTGGCGGCCTCCCCATTTCAGGTGCAAATTGCTGGCAAAAAAAAAAATCAGGTCCAATCCGCGAGCCTGCGAGTTCGGGCAAGGGCGAGGCAAGACGGCAAGACGGCAAGCGTAGCGGCACGTTGCTGCTTCAGCTTGCCTCTAGTAATACCTTACAGTAGGTAGGGTATGTAGCTCTCCTAGATGAATATGAGAATAGGCGCCTTCCACGACTAGCACCTGCTTTATCAGTACCTCTGTCGCCTTCCGTTACACTTTGGCATGGTCATGTCCCACGAGGGCCCACGCATGTCTGTCGTAGGTCAGTCTCGGCAGTACCCTGCTGGCTCGTAGCTGTACTCCCATCGTCCAAGACAGCACATTGCAAGGCGGTGGTTATTCTACAACACAAAAGGGTACCCTCTGTCTCTCCAGCTGCCGACTCGCGAGTTGCAGATGACAGAGGCGTGGAGGACGGGAGATTGGGGTAGACAAATGTTCCTAGTTCTCAGTAGTAATTGTCTGCCATGATCTGCCGCTCTGATACGGGTCTGATGCTAGGTATTGCCGGCACTTGCTTGTACATACTTTGCAGGGCTAAGCAGAATTGCCCACTTGATAACGCCCGCTGGATTCTATCAGATGTACTCGTATGAAGATGGGCTAAGTTGCCGCATCACCATAGCACTTGTTGCATATCTGCGACTCCTCACCTTCTCTTGACAACAACTCTTATCAACAGCCGCGTCCTAGACTACAGCACTACGAGCGATCGCTAGCCATCCAGACGCGGAATGCACAGAGCCATGATCTGAGCAGCGCAGAAGAGCCAGCAGAAAAAAAAAAAGAGGGTGTCAAGGTGCTCTCGGCAGCAGCCCTTGTGTCACCTCGAGCTGAGAGTCTCGCCTCTTTGCCTCCACGGGCTGCCAGAACCAAAACAAGGGCGCCCGTGTCATTCATTGGCCCCTCCGCATCTCGCACCTCTTGGGTGTCAGTCACTTTGGCCGGAAATCTTCTTCCTGGGCCGCGGTCAGTGGTTTTTGTGCCTCCTCTGTCTACCTACCCGAGGCAGATCAGCCTCGCCAGCAAGCAAGGCTTTGGGTCCTTTAACCCGCCAAATACTCGTTGCATATTGCTTGGCTGCCTGACCAACTCGAGAAACCACAATTGCTAGCCTTGTTCAATCATCACCCGCTCCTGAGCTCACCTACCTACCTATCTCTATCACTGTTGCAGCCTCATGACCACAGACCGCCCAGTACCTACCTTCAGTTGGCGGTGCTTTGCGGACTTTGTGCTACACAGTGATCGGTAAATATCGACCACTTCCAGGACGGTAGGTGGTAAAGAATCTCGAGAGCCAGACGGCACGGCACGGGCATTGTCAGCCCAGCAATTTTTTTTCTCTTTCATTGCGTTGCACAAAGGGCGAGTGCATGCTACTGCTGCCGTGTTAGGTCCTTGGTCAGATAATCTATCTGAGCTGCCGGTAGCTGTGCTTGCGACACACCTCGCCAGATACTGCAGATTTCCCAGGTTAGTAGCACCATGTGGAAAGGAAAGAAAAAAGTTTTAGTGAAAAAAAAGGAGACTCAGCTAATACAACCATCATGGTGCAGTAACACTCCATCCAATATCGTGAGTACTGTGGTTTGTTGTTTGCTTTTCTCCCTTGTTCGTCCCTTTCGTGGCGCGGCTATTGGAGAGAAATGTCAAGCGGGCCGCCACAACTTACACGATCGCGACAGCTCCTTCGACAAGTTATCGGATCTGTGCACTGGCTGGTTTTCACGTCTCGTGGCATCTTTTGACGGCGCCGTCCTTGAGGGGCTTCTTCTCCCTTTGCTGTGCTGCATTTTCCACCAGCCCATCGACCGAGCCATACATGCGAGCGCCGCTTCAGAGTCGCCTCTCTCCCTTGTTCCTTTGGGCAGGGATCCAACTTCACAAGGAGGCTTCCCTTCTGAAATCAACCGTTGCCTCTGGTCTCTCCGCTCTCCGTCGAAACGCATAGCTTCCATGATTGCGGCGTTGTGGTGCCACTGCATCAGCTCCCATTTTCACAATGGCCGCTGCCGATGTCCTGGCATTCGACCGGCCTTGTAGGAGGTGCACCCAGTGGTCAATCCCCAGACGTCCGGAGCCGAGTCCTTGTAGGAATGAGAGTACTTATTGGAATGAGCGCAATCTGCAGTCCCAGTTGCAACTCATCTCTCGAGCTTGGATCGATAGTAGAAAGGTGCGTACCGAATCTTTTTGCGGGGAAAGCTCATCGATATGTACGGTAGGCCGCTTGGCTGTTCTGTTCAACGCATTGACTGGGGGTTCATACCATCGCTCTTCCTCGAGATGCACCTCGCAGCAGGGCCAACGACTAATTGTGCCCACTATCTTCCTGCAGCGGCTCTCTCGACATCATGCAACGTCTGCAGCGACTTCGTCCGTTCATCATAGCATAACGCCTCCCAACGCCGACTCGACTGCTCGCCGACATGTACTACACCTTGATTCCCTCCACCCGCCGGCCCCAACCCAACCGGAGCGGCCAAAGAGATCCCGGTCGAGCCTCCTCGAGGATCCGAGTCTCATTGTTATTATTGACTTCACCTCTGAAGACGGCCTCATTGCCTGCAAAGGCAAGAAAAACAAAAACAAAGGCAAGTCCAGCAACAACAACAAAGCTCCAGACGGGCCGTCGAAGGAACGCAGCGAGAGCCCCGACGGAAATGGCGGTGGGGATCAGGGTGGTAGTGGTGGTAATGCGGGCCAGGGCGGAGCTGCAGGTGACGGAGATACTAATGCTGGTGGTGGCGGTGATGGGGACAAGGATAGTGACAAGGGTGCAAACAATGACAACGCGCAACATGATTTGTCGGTGCCTCCCAAAGGCAGCCAAAAGGATACCAAGGCCAAAAACGGCCCTGAGACCGAGTCTCCTCATCCTCCAACCAACGCGATCGACGACGACTCTCTTCACGACGTGAACCTCAACGACAACGGCGGCAAAGCTTCCGATCCTGGGCTGCACGCGCACGAGTCCAAGAGTGGATTTGGGGCCTGGAGTAGTAAATTGGTGTCGCTTGTTGGTGGTGCCGCCAGCGGATCCTCGAGTGGTAACGATGCCCATACCGACGCTGGCGACAAAAACAACAACTTCGATATCAATTCTTGGAGCGCCAGCGCCTCAAAGAAATCCAGCTCTGTAGCATTTGCAGTCGCCGATACCGATGCGACACAGAGAAAGCCCCAAAACCAAGCCGAGACGCCCCAGGACACTGTAGACGGGGACGATGACCACTGGGGGTTTACTTCCAAGAAAAAGAGCAAAAAGGTCGATACCGCACTTGGCTCCCTTGCTGCGACAGCGGTTTTAGGAGTCAACGACGGCCTCACCAAAGGCGACACCGAAAAGACGCACAGCAAGACAGCAAGTGATTCGTCAGTTGAGGACGAAGTGAAGTCAGATCCCATGCCGCCGCCCAGAGGGACGCCCAGGCAGGAGGCGGAGCAGAAGAAGAAGCAGGAAGACGAGGGTTGGTCGTTTGGCTGGGGCTTTGGAAAGAACAAAAAGAAGACCGAGGAGAACGTGAAGCCATCTGAGCAGCAGATACCCGTTCCGCCGCCGCCTCCCCCTGCGCCACCTGCGCCATTCGCGACCCAGGCGGAAGCCGCTCTCCTCTCGGAGAATGTGTGGGACTCCGTCCCTACTTCAAAGGACAAGAAGAAGAAGAGGGACAAACTAGCGCAGCCCGACATCGTATCCGTCCCGGAGCCAGAGTCGAAGGAGCCGGACGACGACCCCTGGAGTTACCCTGGTAAAAAGCAAACCAAGAGAGAAAGGGAAAAAGAACGCGAAAAGGAGGCGGAAAAGGCCAAGGAGAAAGACAAGGACAGGGACAGGAAGAAGTCGAGAGCGGCAACATCCGACGAAATAGCTTCGGAGAAACCTCTCTCGCGCATACCGCTTCCCAAGGACAAGCGCCTCAGTGGCAATGAACCTTTGTTGGCCGGCAAAGAAGCATCGCGAATCACCAAAGAAGCAGTGACAAACGGCAAACCCAAGGAAGCGGAAGTCAAGAATGACCCAGACGAAGCGAACGCCGGCGCAGCCAAGACCGGGCCTTCTGAAGAGGGTTGGAGCTTCTGGGGGTTTGCAAACAAGATCAAGGGTGATTCGATTACCGGGTCTGGCGCAGACGAAGCTAGAGAAGGGTCATCAAAGATAGAAACGCAAAGTCCAAAGTCCTCGGGAGAACACATCGGCGAGACAGCAGACAAAGCGGACAAGGACAAGGACAAGAAGAACAAGAGCTCAGTTTCCGATCCGTCCAAGGGCGACTCCAAACTCGACAAGTCCAAGAAGGACAGGAAGAAGGGGGCGACTGATTTGGTTCAGCTTGGCGCCCCGTCTGCAGACGACTCTAACAACTTAGGGCTGGACACGACAGATGCTTTTGGCAGCGAAAACTTCTTTGGCTCTTGGGGTATCGGGAAGAGCGACAAGAAGCGAAGAGACGTCGAAGACTCGTCATGGAAACCCGATGTGATCGAGGAGCCCACCGACCATACCTCGCCTCAGGACAAGAAGAAGCCCACGTTCAGGGGTGGCCCAGTGGAAGTTTTGGATGAGACCACCGGTGAGATTGTCCAGCCTGACGACGTAGAGGAGGTCAGGGACGGCAAGGCTGAGGGTGTCGACAGCTGCGTATGGACAACGTCCAGCAAGGCATTGTCAAGATACCAGAAGGGGGCCTTAGCTGATCCGCCTCCCCGTGCGCCCACACCCCCCTCGATGCATTTTACTGAACCTGAAGATGAAGCAGGAGATGCCGATGCCAAATCGAAACTCAAATCATCCAGAGACAGAGAAGCGGACAAGGTTCCCAAGCTGACCGATAAGGACCTCAAGAGGCTCGAGAGGGAGAAGAAGAAGGCCGATAGGGAAGCCGATGAACGACTCCGACAAGAAGAATCTGATCGAATGGCGGAAGAGCAAAAGGCACAGGAAGCCGCTCGTGAGGCAGAAGAGAAGGCTCGGATCGAGGAGGAAGCCGAAGCTGCGGTCGCCGCCAAGGAGGAGGCCGATATAGCTGCGCTGCTTGAAAAGAAGGGCAAGAGGGGCAAGCTGACCAGGAGAGACCAGGATAAGCTTACCTCCCTGGAGGAGAGTGCCGCAATCCGGGCTGAGCGACGAGCTGCGAGAGAAGCCAAAGCACGGGAGGCCGAGGAGCGTGCCGCCCAAGAATTGGCAGCTCGAGAGGCCGAAGAACAAGCAGCCCGCGAAGCTGAGGAACGAGCTGCTCGCGAGGCAGAGGAACGTCAAGCCATCATTGCCGAGGAACGAGCAGAAATGAAAGCCTTGCTCACGAAGAAGATGAAGAAGAACAAGTTGCCTCGGAAGGAAGAAGAGAGACTCGTCCAGCTTCAAGAAAACGCCGCAAAACGTGCTAAAGAGCGTGCTGCTCGCGAAGCCCAAGACCAAGACTCAAAAGAGGCTCCAAGACAACAAGAGCCAGACGAACCCCGGACCGAGACTGCGGAAGAAGTAGAGGCTGCCGAAGCTGCAGTCACTATCCCAGCGGAAGATGAGGACAATGTCGATGATGAGCAGCAGCAGGCAAATCGCGAAGCTGAGGAACAGGCCATCCGTGAAGCAGAAGAGCGAGCGGCCGCTATCGTCAAGGAAGAGGAGGAGGAATTGGCGGCGCTGATGACAAAGAAAACGAAACGCGGCAGGCTTCTCAGGAAGGACGAGGAGAGGCTCGTTGCGCTCCAAGTTAATGCCGCACGACGCAAAGAAGAAGCAGCCCGAGAAGCGGCACGGTTGGCCGAAGAGGAAGAGCGGGCTGCCCGTGAAGCCGAAGAGCAAGCTTCTCGTGACGCTGAGGCTGTCGCCCAGGAAGCTGCCCGTCAAGAAGAGGAACGTGCCCGAGAGGCTGAGGAGGAAGCCGCTGCCATCGTTCGAGAAGAAGAGGAACTGACGGCTTTGGTCGCAAAGAAAGCTAAACGAGGCGGTAAACTCCTAAGAAAGGACGAAGAGAGGCTTGTTCTACTCCAGGATAATGCTGCTAAGCGAGCCGATGAGCGAGCTGCTCAGGAAGCCGAGAGAGCTGCCCGGGAAGCTGAGGAGCAAGAGCGTGAGGCCCAGGAACGAGCCGCTGCTATCGCCCAAGAAGAGGAGGAACTAGCCGCTCTGGAATCGAAGAGAGCGAAGAGAGGCAGGCTTCTCAAAAAGGACGATGAGAGACTCGCATTTCTTCAAGCCAACGCCACAAAACGGGCCGAGGAGCGCGCAGCCCAGGAAGCGGAACAGGCTGCACGGGAAGCTGAAGAGCAAGCCGCTCGAGAGGCTGAACAAGCAGCGAAGGAAGCTGAAGAACAGGCTGCGCGAGAGGCCGCAGAAGCTGCAGAGGCTGCCGCAATTGCCAAGGAGGAGGAGGAGATTGCTGAACTGATCAATAAGAGAGACAATTCGTTCATGGGCATCTCAAGTAAAGGAGAGCAGCGATTAAAACTCCTTCAGGCCAAGGCAGCAAAACGAGCTGAAGAGAAAGCGGCACGTGAAGCAGCCATTGAAGAGGAGCGGGCTAGGCAAGAAGCTGAGCGTGCTGCACGTGAAGCTGAGGAGCAGGCCGCGCGGGAAGCCGAACAAGCAGCTAGGGAGGCAGAGCAGGCAGCCAAAGAAGCCAAAGAGCAAGAGGAGCGAGAAGCCAGAAAGGCCGCTGCAATTGCTAAAGAGGAAGAAGAACTGGCTTATCTCCTCGAGAAGAAAGCCAAGTCATACAAGGGCAGACTTCTCAATCAGGCAGAAGAGAGAATCATCCAGCTTCAGGCCAACGCCGCTAGACGAGCTGAAGAAAAGGCGGCACGGGAAGCTGAGGAACAAGCGGCTCGGGAAGCTGAGGAGGCAGCCAGAGAAGCCGAGCAAGCAGCTAAGGAAGCCGAGGAGCTTGCCGCTCGGGAAGCAAAGAAACTCGCCATGATTGCTGAAGAGGAAAAGGCATTGGCGATGTTACTGGAAAAGAAGGCCAAGTCGAAGCTGTCGTCCAAGGGAGAAGAGAGGTTGAAGATTCTTCAGGCCAACGCTGCCAAGAGGGCTGAAGAGAAGGCTGCGCGAGAGGCTGAGGAACAAGCCGCCCGGGAAGCTGAGCAAGCGGCTAAGGAAGCCGAGGAGCAAGCTGCTCGGGAGGCGGCAGAGGCCGCTGCGATTGCAAAGGAGGAGGAAGAACTCGCCTACCTCCTTGAAAAGAAAGCCAGGTCGTATAAGGGAAAGATGCTCAACCAGGCAGAAGAGCGGCTGGCCGAGTTGCAGGCGAATGCCCAACGGCGCGCTGAAGAGAAAGCGGCACGGGAAGCTGAGGAGCAGGCAGCCAGGGAAGCCGAAGAGCGAGCCGCGCAGGAGGCCGCAGAAGCTGCCGCAATCGCCCAAGAAGAGGAAGAGATTACCCTTCTACTCAAGAAGAAAGCCAGCTCCTTCAGAGGCCTGTCGAGCAAAGGAGAACAGCGGTTGGGCGAGTTGCAGGCCAATAAGGCAAGGCGATTGAAGGAGAAGGCCGACCGAGAAGCTGAGGAAAAGGCCGCTCGGGAAGCCGAGCAGGCAGCCAAAGAGGCGGAAGAGCGGGCTGCCCAGGAGGCCCTAGAGGCTGCTGCCATCGCGCAGGAAGAGGAAGAGATGGCAGCGCTCCTGGATCGAAAGGCCAACTCCTTCATGGGCCTGTCAAGCAAGAACGAGAGGCGTCTAAACGAGCTTCAGGCAAATGCTGAGGCGCGCGCAGCTCGTAAAGCCGAAGAGCAAGCAGCATTCGAAGCAGAACAAGCTGCAAAGGAGGCAGCAGCCATTGCCGAAGAGGAAAAGGAACTGGCCGATCTCCTGCACAAGAAGGACAGGAAGGGCAAGCTGTCCAAGAAGGACAGTGAACGATTGGCTCATCTTCGAGACAACGCGGCAAGGAGAAAGGAAGAGCAGGCCGCACGCGAAGCCGAGGAAGCCGCCAACGCCAAGCAAGACGGTGACGATGGAGACGAGGATGTCCTTGATGACGCTGACAACGCTAACGACAATGATGACGACGTCGACGCTGACGACAATGATGATATTGATGCCGATGCCGAAAATGAAGCCATTCGCCTAGCTGCCGAAGAAGAGGAGGCGGCCCGCGAAGCTGAGGAGCAGGCAGCCCGCGAGGAAGAGGCGAGAGCCGCTCGAGAGGCTGAAGAAAAGGCCGCACAGGAAGCTGAAGAAGCCGCGAGGAAGCTGAAGAAGAGCTCCAAGAAGGACAAGAAGGACAAAGACGACAAGAAGGACAGGAAGGACAAGAAGGACAAGAAGGACAAGAGGTCTCGGGATGTCCCGTCCGAACCTGAGGCGGAGCCGGTTGCAGAGGAGGAACAACCAGAAGCAGGAACCAAACCGTTCCCCGATTTCGACTTGAGCCCTGCTGAGATTGAAGAGCTGCTTGCGCCCAAGGAGAACAACGCATCAGGTGCGTTCAGCTTCTGGGGCCTAGGCGGCAAGAAGTCGAAGCCCAAAGGTTCGTATATCTCTTGACAAACCCCCTCCCATTGAACCTCCTCACTTGGCCGCCAACGGGCTGGTGACACACTGAGCATCACTAACTGACATTGTGACATCAGAGGAACCAGAGTCTCGATCTGCCGACGATACGTCTTTAAAATCCTCGGAGCAGCCAAGATCTCTCGGCGGTAGGATCGCCCAGGGCCTCAAGGCTTTTCAAGAAGAACCGGAAGAAGTAGCCGATCCCACCCTTCCACCAACCCCCCCACCGGCATCAGACTCGGACAAAGAGAAGCCCGCGGAGCAACAAGACCAAGAAGCGGCGGATGATAAACAGGTGGCCAGGAAAGAACCAACAGCTAACTTTGAACAGGCGGCCGAAGATTTGCAGTACGGAGAGGATGTAGCAGAACAGCCAGCCGCCAAGAAGGAGTCGCGAGAAGATCGTGCTCGGAGACGCCGAAAGGGGGAGGAGCCCATCAACGCAGCAGCCAGAGACCTTCCGAGGAGGCACCGCAGGCCATCCGATGTTCCAGGCACATTCCCTGACGATGACGACGAAAACGAAATCGTTGCCATTATCGACGAAGCTCCAAGAAGAGAAAAGGACAGCACGAAGAGGCACAAAAAGCGACGTCCCAGAGAGGATGTGGTAGAACCACCTCCTCCTCCGCCAATGGTCCCGATGCCGCCACCTCCTCCTCCTCCCGCGGCCCCTGACCCGCCTTTGACGCCGCCCCCGGAGCCGAAATCGTCAAGAAAAGATCGATCGAGATCCAGCCGAGAGAAGGAGAAGTGGCCCGCAGTGGAATCCCCTCCACGCAGGGAGAGGGAGGAAAAGAGGTCGTCGAGGCACAAGTCGGAGAAGTCGTCCAGACGTGCGATTGAAAAGACGTCCTCCAGAGAATCCACTTCTGACAGGGTGGAGCGACCGGAGAAGCCGTCAAGGGCATCGGGGCGAGATCGAATCTCGGGAATGTTCAGCGGCAACCCCCCTACTCGATCAATGTCAACGCGAGAGAAGGAGAGGCGCCCGGGCATGAATGGGAGCAGCAAGCCATCCAGGAGACACTCCATCCACACCCACGGTCTTGCTTCTCCCCCTCCGGAAGAGGTCCTCACGTCAAAGGCCGCTAAGATTCTTGGCTTCGACAAGTCGGGCTCAAAGAGGAGATCTCGCAGGACGACCCCCCAGGATGACGAGGATATTGTCATGATGGGTGCTCTCAATGTCGATGACGATGCCGATGTTCACGCGCCTTACGGACAGGAAAGACATCGAAGCAAACGATCCCGCGACGAGGACGTCCTCCCGATGGAGCCTCCCAGCCCAGAGCGGCCAGACAGGCGAGGAACGTCAGCTTCCAAGAAGACTGGGCTATCCGGGCTGTTCAGTGGCTTCATGACACCCCGAGCGTCCAAGGTTGAGACGGGCGTCGACTTTGATGTGCCTGCGGGGGATACCGATCGAGAAGGTCCTCGGGTGTCTAGCCGGAAGACCAGAAAGCCGGAGCGAGAAGCAGAGCGGCCTGCTGAGGACCGCGAACGGCGACGGAAGCGCAGAGACGACAGCGAAACCCGCAAGCTTGAAGAAAAGGAGGCTCGCCGTGAGCGGCGTGCGGCTCGGCAGCGTGAGGAGGAGGAGCGGCGCGCGGCAGACGAGCGAGAGGCTCGGAGGGCTGAGCGGCGCCTTCGTAAAGACAGAGAGAAGGAGCGGGAGCGGGAGAGGGAGAGAGAAGAGGAGGCTGCGAGAGCAGCCAAGCGTCAGCGTCGCAGATCGCATCCCGATCAAACCGAGGATGAAGCTGCTGAGCGGCAGCGTAGACGCGAAGCGAAACGTGCTGCAAGGGCTGCTGAGGAGGAGGCAGCCGCGGCAGCAGCCCACCGGCAGAGGAAGAGCAGTCGGCGATATACCGAACCGACGACGGATGACCACATCTATCCAGTCAAGGAGCGTCGACGTGACGGCAAAAGAGCGGCCCCGACGAACTGGCCACACTCCGGGACATCGTCATGGGTCAAGGAGCATTCCGACCCCCCTCCGCATTTGGATGATGCCGGACATACGACAGATGCGATGCCGCATACTGAAGACGAGCACGCCCGACGCGAGGCGCGGCGCGCAAGGCGGAGAGCCAAGTACGAAGAGGCGCCTGTGGAAGACGCAGACGAGAAGCGCCGCCGAGAGAGGCGGGAGCGACGCGAGCGGGAGAAGCGCAACGGCGTGTCTGAGGGAAGCGATGAGCGACATCGCAGCCGACGAAACTCTGCAGCGGCAGCAGAGCCGGCGCCTCGGAGCAGCTGGTGGAGGAGGTTTGGCTGAAGCTGAAAGTCGCATGGAACCATGAGCAAGCGTGTTTGGTCTTTTCTTTTGCTCTTTATCCTTGTTCGTCTTCTCTCGCTGATTGTTTGATTCCTATTCACGATTTTCTTGTCATCTGAATGTTTTCTTGTCGGTTTCATGATAATCTCTCATGCCAGATCAAACCTTGGTATTACAGTATCTGCCGATTCTTTCCGGGCATTTGGAGGCGCCCTGCATGGAAGCCAGTCCTTCCGGGACGATTCCAGTCGTCTCCGCCTTGATACAGTGTAAGATGGTGCGAAATGTTTGTTTCCTTTTTCTCTTTCATTTTCTTGTTCATTGACGGCATTGTTGTGATGGATGTACGAAGAGCTAGAGTGCCTTTTTTTGACCTTGGTTGCTTGGGACTGAAATGAGTTTTTGTGTGTATCCCTAGTTATGAGATGATGAACTGCTGCAAATTGCCTCGCATACGTTGTATTTCTTTTATCTTGCATATGCGCAGTGGGTATCTGGGTAGTCCCTTTTATCGAATTTTTCTCGAGTCTCTGGCTCGCAGAACTACATACATGAATTGTCATTCCAAGGAAGATGTGCCTCGTGCAGTAATAGCGCAATGTTAGGTGTGATGCTTGTATCGGGCAAACGGGCCGTGGAGTTGTACGTCGGATATCGTGTCAATGGCGTCGGGATATACGGAGGACGAGGAGGGATTGTGTACGAGGCTGGCGAGTAGAGAGGACTTGGGACTGGAGGTACCGGTGAGAGCAGAGAATCCGTGGCACAAAGAGAGTAAAAGCAGATGCAAATGATGTGTGGTTTTTTTTTTATCTGCTGCACGTTCGGATTGGATGAGGTTGGAGGTGAGTGTGGTTGTTCCCCACCTCTTGGCTGTGCTGTCGATAACGTAATTTGGACAGATTGGAGAATGCAGAATTATCATGATCATTGAGCTTTGATTGGGAGACGGATTGGCAGTGTAGAGGTAGGGAGACGTGACGGATGAGGAATTGCTTGATATTGAGGCTCTGAATGTTCATCGTGATGGTCTGGATATCTAGTACAATCGGGCTATATAGGTATCATTAGCAGGAGGACGGACATGTGCTAGCAGCTGTATTAATTAGCAGATGACCCAACTGCCTACTAGCAGCTTATTAGCGGTAGTAGTAGTAGTACTTTGGAATCCTCAGCCAAGCCAAAGCAAGGCAAGTACTAAGGTACCAGGTACTACTGCTACCTCGTAGATGCAACCGTCTTTGGTCCTCGTAAAAAGAGGTACGCGTGTCAGCTTTCCCCAGAACGTCGTCACACTCCATACCTAATACTTGTACGGCACCCATACAAAGGTGGCATGTCGTAGAATACGAGGGAAAAGAAAGAGGGGCCGGACCGAAGCTGGAAGGGCCATTGCCGGATCGGAACCCCAAGAGGCTTGAAGCACCTCGGGATTCAATCCCCGGCCTTTTGTTCGCCAACTTTTTTGTCCCCGACTTCATCCAACTGCCATTGGTTGGGATCAAGAACAAGGAAACTTTGCCAGGAAATCCCAACCGAGAACCGGGAAGAGGCAACGTTATCGCATCCTATTTGTTTCCTCCCCTCCTACGCCCTTGCGCCTCCAGGGGCCGAGGGGAAAGGCGAACAGCGAGAAACAACGGCAGCGAAGAAACCTTCTGATTCTTCCAGTAACGAGGAGTTGTAGCCTGCCGTGATTGGAGACCATGGCTGCGCCCGGCGGCAAGGCGTCGTCGCGATGGGGCTCGTTTCTGCAGCAGGCCGTGGCCGGAGTTGAGTCGCGGCTGGACACGATTCTGGCCGAGTCCGACGACGATCGGGGTGCGGCGGCTACTACGGCGACGAACAACGCAGCCGGCGCAAAGGCGTCGAGTACTGGTAAGTGGCTACAAGATTGGGGACACAAGCCGAGGGCTGACCAGAGACATAATAATCACAGCAACCTCCCGAGCGTCGTCGACGAACCGCGCAAATGACCGGCTGCAGGCGAGGCTGGCCAAGGCCATGGCGGGCAAGAATGCGCCGGCCGCGGCGGGCGTCGATAGGGCCAGCGCGTCGCCGCGCAGCTCCGTCGACGTAGCCAGCCGGAGCTCCATGGAGAGGGCGTCGATGGATAAGGGGGACAGGGCGGGGACAGAGGCGGAGAAGCAGGCGGCTGAGACGGAGACCGAGTCCGAGTCTACCCGGACGACTGCCGATTCGACGACGACGACGACGACGACAACTACTGCTACTTCTACCACGGAAACGGCGACGACAATACCGATACCGATTATTATAGCGGACGAGGATACGGCTTCCGAGGTCGTAGTGAAATCAGCTCCCGACGAAGTAAAAGGAGGAGACTCTGTGGCAGATCCCCAAGCGCAACAAGAGGCGGAAAAGGAGCCCTCAAAAGAAGACGGTATTGCGTCACTACAACCAGCCAAGGATGAGGCCTCACCAGAATCCAGTCATGGAGCCACGGAAGTGGTAGGAAATGGCGTCGACGTGTCCGAACTGGCCCGGGAGCTTGAAGAGGCCAAAAGGCAACATCGAGAGGAGATACAAGAATATGTCGAGCGGATAGACTCCCTGCAGTCCAAGCTCCAGTACCTGTCCAAGACCGCCGCCGATGCAGCAAAAGAGGCCGCATCTTCAGCGCGCCCCGGCAGCCTGGAGAAGAAGCTGGCGGAAAAGGACGAGCGGATCGCGCTGCTGATGGAGGAAGGCCAGAAACTCGCCGGCGCAGAGCAAAAGTACCGAGCAACAATCAAGGCGCTGCGGCTGCAGATGGGCGAACGGGACAAGCAGCTCGATGAGGCACGGAAAGCGAGGGACAAGGCGGCCTCGGAAGCTGAGGCGCTGCGCAAACGCTTAGACGGAGATGAAGAGAAGACTAGGCGGCAACAGGAGGCCATCAAGGCGACTGCGGCCCTGCGCAAGGAGATTGACAGTTTGAAGAAGGAAAACAGCAGCAAAGACGCAGCTATCCGCCGGCTGGAGCAGGAAGTCAAGGCCAAGGAGGAGCAGGGCGAGGCTGCCAAGGCTGACGCCCTTAGCAAGGCGATAGCCGCCGAACGAGCGAAGCAAAAGGAGCTCGAAGAGGCCAGTGCAGCGCTCAAAGCCGAGCTGGAGGCTCTGAGCGACAAGGCCCGCCTGGACGCCATCGAATGGGCCGAGAAGCTCGACCGCGCGGTCCAGCGTGGCAGCGCTGTCAAAGCCGAGCTGCGGCTCGAACTTCAGAACATGGAGAGAAAGCTGGAAGGCGTGCGGGTGACGGCGGAAGAGGCCGCGTCAGGCACAGGCGGCGAGGCCCAGGTGAAGCTGTTACGGCAGATTGAGACGCTGCAGTCCCAGTATGCAATCGCCAGGCAAAATTGGCAGGGCATCGAGGCCTCGTTGATGGCCAAGACGACGAGCCTCGAGAGGGAGAGGGACGAGGCTGAGCGCCGAGAGTCGGAGATGCGCAAGAAGGCGCGGGATGCGGTGAGTTTAACTGAACACAACTATTCATCTTCATCATCTGCGCTTAAAACTCATGTTAATCGTATTATCTTCCCTTGTGTAGGCCAAACGCAGCAGAGCCTTGGAGGATGAGCTGCAAGACGCTCAACTACAGCTGGAGGCTTGCCGCGAGGAGCTGGCCGCTCTCAAAAAGTCGACCAAGGCCACAGAAGCGGCCCTCGAGCAAGTTCGCGCCGAGCTCGACAAGGAGAGGCGCGCAGCGAGCAGAACCTTTTCCCCAGACTCTGGGCGGCAGTGGATCGACGAGGTCGCAGGGGCAACGGCATCGCGGACCCAGAGCCGTCCAGAGTCGCCGCTGCTCTCCGTGCCGCGGACATTCAGCTCCGAAGCCGTTGGACTGTCCGTGCCCCCCAGCCGCATACGACGATCCCCTACTCCCGTCAGTATCGCGGACAATGCGACAGAAGGGCTCGGTATCCTTCGGCGGTCTCCACATGTGCCGATTCGTACGGGAACAGGCACATCATCCATTACGGGATCCATTCCTCCCACTCCGTTCTCGCCTCTCGAACCACCCTTGGGATCACCCCCCGCAATACCTCCATCCGTCACCGAGCGAGAGAACGAAATCACCGATACAGCCCCCTCTTCGCCTCGTAACATTGCGCAGGACATGATTTCCGTGTCAACAGTAGCGGCAGGGCCGTCCGTCCAGCTGGTAGAGAGGATGAGCGCCGCGATCCGCCGCCTGGAAGCCGAGCGAGTGGCCGCCAAGGAGGAGATGGCGAGGGTGTGCAGCCAGCGGGACGAGGCGCGGGCGGACATGGTCGGTCTCATGAAGGAGCTGGAGGAGGCCAAGGCGGCGACGGCGAGGGTGCAGGAGCTGGAGAAGCAGGTGGCCGAGCTGGACACGAGGTATCAGACCACGCTGGAGCTGCTGGGCGAGAAGAGCGAGCTGGTGGAGGAGCTGAGGGCGGATGTGGACGATGTCAAGGCCATGTATCGGGAGCTGGTGGAGCGTACGGTCAAGTAAAGTCACACGAGTTATTGGCGGTGTATAGATATAGAAGAGGAGAACACGGGAGATGAATAAGGGGGGAGGAAAGAAGTTATGAAGCACAATGACTGCAATGACGGTTACGGCTCCAGCTGTAGATTAGACAGACTTGTCATTATTCATCTAATTTGATTCGCATTTCACTTGACTTTTTTTTCGTTTCGCATCCGGTATGCTAGAAGATGGTCAAAAGCTCATAATCACCGTCGGGTAACTAGTCGACCAGCGAGATGCCTTCCCTCTCCGCGCCCTGAATGATGAACAGGCGGACCTGTTTGGAACTATATCAATATACTGGATCTCGTAAGGTAGATGGATGTGAAGAAGGCTCACCTCCTTATCCGGGGCCAAATCAATGGCCAGCTCGCCTTCGTTGTTCTTGAGCGTAAAGTCGGCCTCTTCCTTGAGCAGCGCAACGGCTGTATCTCCTATACCACACAAAATCATCCATTCACAGATTAGTCTCCGCCCTTGATCATCATCAAACATCAAATCTCAGGTCCATAACGGTAAGAACAGAGGAGAAATGAATAGGAAATGGGGTGGGGGGGGGGGGGAGAGAGAAAAAACACACCGTGACCTTCCGCAATAGCATGATGAAGCGGCGTGAAGCCCTCGCTGTCGGCCGCGTTCAGGGGGCTCCTGTTGCGCAGGAGGAGAGTCACCATGGGCACGGAGCCGACGGCGGCGGCGCGGTGGATGGGGTACTGGCCGCGGCGGTCGCGGACGCGGGTCGATGCCGGGGGGTTCGCGGCGAGGAGGAGGCGGGCGACGTCGAGGTTCTTTTTGGAGGCGACGAAGTGCAGGGCTGACTTGAAGTCGTTGTTAGCCTCTTGAGGGTGAAAGGGGAGGGGTTTGATAAGTTTGAGGAGCTGAGGGAGTGTGCTGTTGTTGTGTTAATGTTGGATTTACTTGGCCGTTATTGTCTGTACGGGGTGAATATCGTTAGAAAAAAAAAGCCTTGGATCAAGAATGAGGAGATGGAGCTAGCTTATTTACTCTTGATATTGACGTCTGCGCCCCTCTGGAGGAGCAGATTCAGAATGGGCTCGCTGTTTGGCACGCTCGCTGCAATCATGAGGGGAGTCCAGCCGCTGTCGTCCTATAGCAAGTGAGTGTGAGAGAGAGAAGATTGCGTGAGACTGATGGAGTTTCGGTGCTGTATGGAATGATGACGATGGTGGAGGACAGAGCAAGTTTACCTGGATATCCGGATCAAAGCTCGGTTGGTTGGCCAAGAGGAGGACAATCTCATGGTTGTTGGAGGAGGCAGCCCAGTGGATGGCATATCTGCCGTCGTCGTCTTTGCGCTTGGAGAGCTTGGGGTCCGTCTGGGAGGTGTGTTAGTATCGTGAGGTTGAAGCTTCATCTTTGGACATGTTGTTGGATAGCAACTGTCTGAGTTGGTTCTTTGCATACCTTGAGAAGGCCTTCAGCTACGGCAACTGCGAATCTGTCAGCTGTGATGCTGCTTTGAGCTCGGAAGGGCTCGAGTTGGTGATGCCATACCTCTGCCTTCTCGAGCCGCCGTGTGTAAAGGAAAGCGATCGGAATCTGTATCGGCCATGACGGCGATGAACCCGGTGAGTCTTTTGTATATTCAAGTAATGCCGTAAGAAGATACAGCAACGGGAGTCACAGCTGCGAGATGAGACAGAAGCTGGAAGCAGGAGAAGTTGATTGTATTCTGGCGAGGAACATGAGTTTGTACAGGGTAAGGCGAGGCTCAAGTGAATCGAGCTTCCAGGCGCCTGCAGTCTTGCGTACCTACCTAAGTAGTAGTATAGGTATTGGGTACATGATGGATGTACCGACTGTTGCGCCACAGGTCCCTTGAGCAAGAGCTGCTGCGCCACAGAAGGCTGAACGGAGTTCAATTCCAACCTCGCCTCTCTTTGTCGTACTAGCTTTTGGATCTATTGTCTACCAGACGCGGATTTTCAACATCGACATCTTCAGCCTCTCGCTCTCTTTCTTCCTCCTCCTCTCCTCCTATTCTCCATCACATCACAATGGAGGCGCCACAGCCCGCCCAAGACGCGCTGCATCTCAGCGCGCTCGCGTCACAAAATGCAGCCTCGACAAGGCATCTCTACGCGCGCCTCGAGCTGGCCAACGGCAAGCGCCAGAAGCTCGAGGGCGTGTTCCAGGACCCCGTCATGAAGCGCCGCTTCGAGGCCGAGTACGCCGCCGTCCAGACGCTGCCCGAGGCCCTCGCCGCGAAGCAGCCATCGTCGAAGCAGCCCGGGCGAAAGACGGCCGTTGCAGCGAGGACACCAGCAGCGGCGTCGGCGGCGGCGGGACCCGCGCGCAAGACACCGAAGCTGCTCGAGGCAGGACCTGGCGCTTCTTCATCATCATCATCACCATCATCAAAAGCTACAGCCACGGCGACCGGAAGCGGACCGACGACGACACCGACGGTGGCACGGCAGAACATGAGCCTGACGGTCCGGGGAGCGCCCGCCATACAGCAGGTCAAGCCCGAGTGGCACCCGCCGTGGAAGCTGATGAGGGTCATCTCGGGCCACCTCGGCTGGGTGCGCAGCCTGGCCGTCGAGCCGGGCAACAAGTGGTTCGCCAGCGGCGCCGGCGACCGCACCATCAAGATCTGGGACCTGGCCACGGGCTCGCTGCGGCTGACGCTGACGGGCCACATCAGCACCGTGAGAGGCCTGGCCGTCTCGCCGCGGCACCCCTACCTCTTCTCCTGCGGCGAGGACAAGATGGTCAAGTGCTGGGACCTCGAGACCAACAAGGTCATCCGCCACTACCACGGCCACCTCAGCGGCGTCTACACCCTGTCCCTGCACCCGACGCTCGACGTCCTCGTCACGGGCGGCCGCGACGGCGTCGCCCGCGTCTGGGACATGCGCACGCGGAGCAACATCCACGTCCTCTCGGGCCACACCGGCACCGTCTCGGACGTCAAGTGCCAGGAGGCCGACCCCCAGGTCATCACCGGCTCGCTCGACTCCACCGTCCGCCTCTGGGACCTCGCGGCCGGCAAGACCATGGGCGTCCTCACGCACCACAAAAAGGGCGTCCGGGCGCTGGCCGTCCATCCCACCGAGTTCACCTTTGCGTCGGGCAGCACCAACAGCATCAAGCAGTGGAAGTGTCCCGAGGGTGCCTTTATGCAGAATTTCGAAGGCCACAATGCCATTATCAACACGTTGAGCGTCAACAGCAACAATGTCTTTTTCTCAGGTGGTACGTATTTACTATCGACTTTTTACTCTTTTTTTTTTTTCCCTCTCCTCCCAATTCGTGATGGAAACGGAGTTGGTTGTGAATATTCACATTTTAACATCTGCAATACAGGCGACAACGGCTCAATGAGCTTCTGGGACTGGAAATCAGGCTACCGCTTCCAATCCTTTGACACAACCGCGCAGCCCGGCTCGCTAGACGCCGAGTCAGGCATCATGAGCTCGACCTTTGATCGCTCCGGTCTGCGTCTCATCACAGGCGAAGCCGACAAGACAAGTATGTGCCCTGACGTTCCATTCAAATCAGCCAACGCATGATATGCTAACCTCTTTCCAAAGTCAAAATTTGGAAACAAGACGAAAAGGCGTCCGAGGAGACGCATCCCATACAATGGACGCCGTCATTGGCACACAGGAAGTTTTAGCCAGGAGTTTAGGAGTTCCTCATTTTGTTATTTCTCCTATATTGATTTGCCGTCTCCCTCCGTATCATATCAAATGGTGGAGACGTAATACAATAGAGCTTTGCGCCACCTACAACAATCAAAGCCGAATCCGTGTACATCTGCGGGATTCTGTGTAGTTCATGATCATACCAGGATACGTGGTGACGCAAGCTCTCAAACTGCCCCCTTTCACTCGAAACAAATGAACGGATTGAGCCATGGCTTGTAGAAGACCTCGAAAAAAGACGCCGATGCTCAATCGTTGCTAGAAACGGCATGAAACAACGATTATAATACATAAAAAGCCACGCCAACGCTCATTCTTTCTCTATAATCATGCCATCATTTGCTAATTTTCCAACCCAGCGAAGCCGCCTAATGTGAAGCAATCAAATGATATCAGTGGGAGAGACTCAAACTGTATCATGCAGGTGCACATTCAAACACTGAGACCCATGGCTTTGAGATCAGCGTCATCGCGAAGCGCCATCTTAACCTCGTCATCCGCGATGGCCAATCGCAACCTGCTCGAGCGGTCTGCACGATGAGCCTCGAGGTTGATCAAGCCAGTGGCCACGAGCTCCAGGGCGGCTGTATGAATGTACATTGGCCGTCCCACCAGGCGTCGACCAACGGCCTGGCTTCCTTTGGCGAGTCCCGGGAGGATCTGTGCCATGCCCGGAGGAGGTCTGGCCCCAAACGCGGCAACGCGCTGGAGCTCGTCCAGAGTCTCCCCCAGCGTCGTCTCGGCCAGCCCGCTTCGCCTGATCCTCAGAAGCAGTGCTGCCATGAGCATCTTGGACGTCAGTGGGAGGCCGCGCAGATGCTGCTGGATCGGGTTCGTCGTGGCCTCGTTGATGGCCCTCTTGATGGTTGAGATCGTGACTCTTCCGCGTTTGGACTGCTCAGGTGCTCCCTTGTCCGGGGCTCTCCTGCTCGGCGTCATGGGATCGCCGGGCGCGTCGCCCTCGGCCAGCTCGACGGCTCGGCGGCAGATATCCAGGGCTCGTCTGGCGTCTCCACTGACGGCAGCGACTTTGCGACTGGCGAACTGGATGGCATCCGCATCGACAATGTTTCCCGGAACGCCTTCGAGCCGGGACTGGATAATTTTCATAAGCTGTTCGTGGTTGTAGCCCGGAAATGTAATTCGGGTAAGGCCTAGTGAGAATGTAAGCTAATCATGTTTTCTCTATCTTGACTGGGATCTAGTGACGCACCCAATCGACTGCTGATCTTGTTGCTTAGAGTTCTCTCTGGAAGATCCATCGTGTTGGCTACAGCGAGCACAATCAGACGGCTATGTCGGAGGGTTGGCCAGTTGAAAAAGTTGTACATGACCGCCTGGTTCTTTGTAACCAGCTGATCAAGCTCATCCATCAAGACCACGCAGGGGATGCGCCTGGGGCTGGGGTTGTTAAACTCTCGTTCCAGCAGATCGAGGGCTTGGGCTGGGCTGGCACGCTCCCCCTTGAGCGCCTCCCAGAGCAGCGAGTATGCCTGATGAGGGTCCGTAATCTTCATGCCATTGATCTCGACAAAGATAAAGTCATCCAGCTCATCCAACCAGACGCCTTCCTCGAGGCGAGAGATGACTTCTCGTACCGTGGCCGTCTTACCGGTACCTGGCGTCCCGGAGATATAGATGCAGTTACCGGTCCCCTCGGTGATGGCAGCTTCTAGATGTGAGTATACAAGCGAAAACTCTCCCTCACGGCAAGGTAGACTGGAGGGCACTGCTGCAACATGGAGACGTGAGCGGGCTATCTGGAACGGAGACGACTGGACCTGGCTCGGCGACAGCTTCCGCGTGGCCAATGGCGTAAACTCGAGTTTCTTGCCGCCGCTCCGCTGCCCTCTCTTCGACTTGGGAGTTGTGGCAGAGTTTCTGCCAGTCTTTGTTGGTGTTTGAGGCGGCAAATATGTGTCTCCTGCTGGCGGTGACGGTGCTCTGGTCTTGCGACGGGTCGGCCGGGTGCCCTTCTCGACCATTTCTAGTAGTGCAGGCACGTCCTGTCCGTTCTGATACACTTCCTCCCATACAAACTCGTCCGTGTATGTCGTTGATCGGGTGTTGCAGCCGCGCCGACAGACAAAGGTCTTGCCGTAGTCGGGCGAGTTGCGCGGAATCTTGCCAGAGGGATACGCGCGGCGGAAGGCTTCGGGGGACATGATGGTGGCTTTTCCGTCGATCGAGGCGAGGGGGTTAACGTCGCAAGACGGCGATATGTAGAGCTCGTTCTGGGTCGTCATTCGTTAGACGATTCCCACAGCGATTCACAGCCAGGACATAGCAGACGTCGTGCTTACCCAGTAATAGTCCTTTCGTTTCTTGTCCTTGTTGGGAATCTCCTTCTCCGTCGAAAACCACATGAAATTGGCAGCCATGCCGTCGACGGCATCGTCGTCCCGGAAGTCGCAGATGATGGCCACCCATGTGCCGTTCGATCCGTCCGCCTTGAGCATCACCGTGTCTCCCACGCGGCACTCAAAGTCGCCATATCGAGCCCCGACAATCTTGGAGTTGCCCGCGACTTTCCTCCTCTTCCTGTCGCCCGCGCCGTCATCCTCGCCGTGCTCTGACTGGTCGCTGCTGTATATCCATTCCCACTCCAGATGCTCGCTCTCGGCGCTGCCGCCGTCGTCTGAAGCCTCGTCAAGGGCGGCGGTTGAAAAGGCCCGTTTGCGCCCGCGGGTCGAAGGAGTGTCGAGCTGGGTGTTGGCTTGGGCGGGCATTGACGAGGTGACGATGTTTGTCTGAAGTTGCGGATATTGCAGGTTGAGGTTGGGCTTGATGACTATGCAACACCGTCGATTTGGGAGTGATGATGGGATCTGGACATGGAATCGTTTGTGGAATGTAGAGATTCTCGCAATTACCGCTGCTGCTTCATAAGTACTACTAAGCAGTGACAGGGTAGCTTGATCAATTAACGCGTCCAGCTTTTGGTGAGACGCGTCGAGGCAACTCTGTAGATGCATAGACACCTCATTGATGCATACCTAGGTACTCCAACCTCCCACCAGCTCAGCCGCTTATACGCCTGATACAACAACGTCCTCCAATGTTGGATCTCATCCATGCGTCTTCAGGGCGAATATCAGTAATGACTGATCGATTTGATTGCTGGAACAATATACTGTAGTCTTATCTTCATGAAAAGAACCGACATCATCCTTCAATCATATGGAAGATGTCACAACCAAAGTGCCAAATGGTTACTGGTGACAACTCGACAAGAGTGTCGAACCTGCCGTCAACATGCATCCTCCAGGTCCAGCTTGCGCCCAATAGGGGCCGATGACTAGAGATCCCGAATTCATCCTCACAAGATGGATTCTGACAACCTGTTGCACAGAGCAGCAGATGCTTTATTGCTTGATACCTTAGGGTCTTGACGGCAGCGTGCATGTACCTAGGTACTTACGAGGATCTCGGTAGACAACTGAGGGCGGTGACTCAACCTACCTGGACTCACTGTCAGCTTGATTCACTGCTGCTCAAGATGTGCTCCTTTGGTGTGAGGACCTGGTACTAGGCAGGTACCTGCAGCATTTCTCACCTTCCTCTGGCTTCTCCCACCGACAGCAGTTGCCTCAGGCTATAAGAGATTATATAACCCCAGCCAGCTTGGATATCAATTCACCTGTGCTCAGACTTCACCTTTCCACACCATCAAGTCTCCTCTACGCCCGCAGTCATTGACCCTGCAGCACCTTTACGACAGTCGACTGCCTTGGCAAAAGATTCAAGGGTAAAATATCCAGTTCAACAGACAACAAGACATAGTATAGCCCACAGCATGAACAAAGGCAAGGGGCGAGACAGGTCCTGGCCTGCCAGAGACGCCCCGTGGCCTCCTAGAGACAGCCCTTCGAAAAGCGCCTCTACCAGAGACGACCGATCCAGAGCTCGGACTCCCAAAGATGGACATCCCGGCTCCCGTGGACAGTCTCAACGCCGACAGCACGAAGGGTCAAGGAAGCCTTGGGCATCACCTCAGAAGATGGCATCTGCCAAGGCTCAAGCCAATGACAAGCGCTTGGTCGCTGAAGTTGCCGGCAAGGGAGACTATTCCGACGAGCCACCGGCCGATCTGGATCTGATCCGAGTACGTTGTAAAGCCCCTCCCCTACCTTATCCATGACGATTGCTCAACACGAGCTGACTCTTCGCAAGGCGCGAGTCGTGCTCCCCCCAAACTGGCTCGTCTACCCGTCTGGACTCGAACTGCCGGAAACGCTCAAGGACATTCGCGAACGATACCAAGTGTGGATCGTCAGCTTGGAGAGCACACAAGCCTTCGACATCTACAGTGACTCGATAGCGCGACTGCAGGATGCCGTAACTGCCTTCAACCAGCTCGTACACGACCTGCGTCTGCGCAAAGAACTTCTGGCAGAGGTGCTCACCGTTCAGCACTGCTCCAGGGCGAACAAAGACACCAGAATATCACTCAAGCTCATGTCAAGGCCTGAGGTGATATCCCAACTGGTTGGTCGCCATGATATACCGGCAATCTCGGCGGCACTCTTGGAAAGCCTCCGTCCTCATCTCATCAACTCTACAGAGTGTTTGATGAGTCTCAGCTCCAACCTCAGGATGCGCGTCAACTTTGGGATACTGAAGGCAGTATTAAGAAAGAAGGAGATACCAGAGGTACTGACCTATGACGAGTTCGTCGAGGCGGCCAAGACATATTCAGTTCGCGGAGGCATTGGCCTACATGACAGGTAAGTCTAACAAACTGCCCCCCCTTCGGACTCTTGTGGCTGATAGTCGCAAGGTTCTCCGAGATCAAGCTCTCAAACCACATCATCAAGCATTTGCTGGCCTTGGACGGGAATGGCGGCATTCGCTTGGTCAAGGACACTGTGAAACGTGCCTACTCGTTGACGATGCGCTTGAATCAGTTGGATCAGAAAGAAGTATGGCTGCAAGACTGGGCCGGAGACGGCGACGCCGCATTGCCCCGGGCCAGGATGGGCGTTGCAATGCCCACCAGCTACCTCGACTGGGTAATGGCCGCCCCCGACATGTAAGTGGCCCACGAAGGATCGTCGAGCATGAGTACCGGGCTGACGCAAGCTGTGTCAGGAGGGTCGACTGGGGCCTTAGGGCCGATGAGTATGTCGTAGAGAGTGTGCCAGAAGAGTTCCATGGCCTCATCAAGGAGCTGAAGCTCAAGCCGGCCAGATACAAGGAGAACGGCGATTTTCTCAGGCCGGCCGAAGTGATATTTCCTCGACCTGGGGGGTGGAAAGACCGCATCAAACAAACCCGCTTGAAGACGTCATTCGTCGCGGAGATTCACGACACTCCCTATCTGCTAGAAATAAGCATCACCCAGATTTGGGACAAGTACAAGACCAAGGCAAAGCCAAGAACGGTGTGGGGGATGGAGATTTATGGTAAACACTGGGACTCGGCCATGAACCATGTCGATCCCATCAGCCGGAGAAAGGACTGGGGAGAGGCGCAGAGGAATGTTTGGGTTGGCAAGGATCCAAACATGTGGAAGAGGTTCCAGAGCTTCCTTGAGGTCGTGCTACACGTCCAGAAGCATGTCCAGGACATTCCGCCGCTGACAGACGAGGATCTCGAGCATACCGAAAGCGAAGCCGGAGAGTAGGTGCAGGGCAAGGGTAGTTTTTGCTGTGTAAGGATATCATCAATACGTGGCCAGGAAGCCGCTCAATGCACTTTGTCATGTAATCTTGTCTCGGTTCCTTTCTCCAGCCTATGAATCTCAACTTTGTCCCTCTGCTTGACTGGCCATGATCTTTTGCCGTAATACTGTCGACGACGCAACGTTAGCACCCGGGCAGCCGTGGCGACCAAGCGTGACTGGAGAGACATACCCTCTTCTATTGTGCGGACGTTCATCTGTTTCCTTTGAACAATTACCTCGAGCTCCTTGAGATTGCCGCCTACTTCCTTGACCTTTGAGTCGTAGAACTTTTCCGCCGATTTCAGTTTCTGCCGGCTTGTCAGCTATCCGTCTCTGGGCGAAGGAGGGTTATCAGGAGGCAACATGGGCGCAAGGCAGGGAGGGCTACCTTTTCGATCATGAAGCCTGTGCCCACGTCCACCAGGACGGTCTCGGTGCTCGTCAACTCGCCGCTGACGTAGAGGGAGTTGGTCAGAGGGACCAAGACGGATTTCGAGCCTGCGTGTGTTTGCCAGGAATTAGCCTCTAATCAATCCCCCTTTTGCTTCTTCCTCCTCCTCTTCTTCTTCTTCCTCTTCTTGTTCTTCCCCTTCTTGTTCTTCCTCTTCTTGTTCTTCCTCTTCCCCCCCCCCTTTCTTCTTCTTTCTTGCTTCCCATCAATTGAAGACCATCTTCTCCAAATATTCTACCACTATAGGGCGTTCGACCAGGAATCGAAGACGGGTTATTTGTTTGAATTTGGGGCCGTACCTTTGCTATCGGCGGCTCGGGCCTGTACGCATCGGAGGCACTCCTTGAACTTGTTTTGCGCGCCGTGGAGCTGCGCAAAGGAGCTCGTCAGGTGCTCGAGCTCTTCTTCGAGCTGCTTCTTGACCTGCGCGAGCTGCTGCGGCTCGAGGGTGTCGAGGTTGACTGGAGACGCGAATGGGGGGCAAGACACACACGCCCGATTGGTTAGCGCTGCTGCTGCTGCTACTGCGGAAGAATGGCGAATCGTAGAGTAATAGGGAGTAGGTACTTGTTTCTTTTTGGTCGCTCGACATGGCTGATTCGTGGGTTGTCGTGATTTTCGCGGGGAAGGAGAGGGAGGGAGAGTTCGAAGCTTGGAGCTTGGATGGTGAGAGAGGTTCTGGACGTTTGGGGGGGAGTTTAAGCCCCTCCAATGCATACCACTGTGGGTGCGGGTGGCTTTAGAGGGGCTGGCGATGCTTGTAGCGAGGGTGTTGAATATACAAGCTTCTGGCGAGCTCTTTGGCATTGGACAATTTCTCATCAACTGGCAAATCGGTCAATTCCATTTCTCTTTTCATATCTAATTCTACATGGTTTTTTATTTTATTTATTTATTTACTTTTTTGGACATAAAGTCGCTGGTTTATCACCGCCATCACAGCCGCTCCAGCAGAGCCGTCACATACCGCGGCACATCTTCCGCCTTGACATTCTCCTTGACAGAGAGCCTCCTGCACTGCACTTCACACTCTCCCCCTTCTCTCCATGCCCTTCCGAGCACAATCACAACGGGATACCCCGTCATATCCGCGTCCTGCATCTTCCACCCAAATGCCTCCTTTCGATCGTCCAATACGACGTCCAACCCCGTCGCAACACCATCACGCTTTATCAATGAATCGTAAAAGTCCAGAGTCTGTTCGTTGACGCCGGAGCTTGGAATAACAATGACTTCGAACGGCGCAATCGCTCGAGGCCAGTTGAGGCCCTTGTCATCTACAAGCTGTTCCGCTACGGCGCCGAGGATGCGGGACACGCCGATGCCGAAGCAGCCCATCTGGACTGGGACCTGGACTTTTGGATTCTGCGGGAGGGCCACGGTCGCCTCTAGGGGCACTGAATAGCGCGTTCCGAGGAGAAAGGTATGGCCCAGCTCCAGTGCACGGTGGACCTCGAGTGTCCCCGTCTCGCAGCGAGGACAGCCGTCGCCATCCATGATGCGTAGCAGGTTGAGGTCTTGGCCGGCGGGCGTCTCTGTGATCCAAGTTTGAGGGATATGATCGATATCGAGACCAGAGGGCAGTAGAGGGAGGTGCTCCATCAGATTTTCAAACGCCCCTAAGAGCCGTGAGTCAATGACATTCAACAGGCGAAGCTTCCCCTCCTGCCCTTGCGCCTGGTGTACGGCCTCCTTCCATAACGCCTCTGTGTCTCTAACGCTGTTGTCCAGCTCGGGGACAACAGACTTGACCGCATGGAGGTTCCAGCCGTCATCCGATGAGGATTCACCTGCCAGACGAGGATACCACACGTTGACCAGCCTTGTCCTGTCTTTTGTGATGCCGCGCCAGAGACCATAATTTGAAGGAGTAAATACGCCCTCAGGCAGCCAGGATGACCGAGCCGTGGCTACTTCGTCGTTGGCGCTATACCCACAGTTGCTGCAGGCGGCGACAGTGTCCTCTCCAATGGCGTGGGAAAGGTGATACTCGTGGCTGTGCTCTCCGCCCATGTCTCCTGAGCTGGCTTCGGCTACTAGTACGGGAAGCTTTAGGTCGGAGAAGAAGGCAGAGTATGCGGCGGCGACGTCGCGATAAGTCTCGACTGCAGACTCAACCGTCAAGTCGAACGTGTATAGATCCTTCATGATGAACTCGCGGGATCGAAGTAAGCCATGTCTAGGGCGGATCTCATCTCGGTATTTTCGTGCTGCCAGGGTTAGTGAGGGACGAAGGAGGGGGGGAAAGGGAACCGGTTCGTGGCTTCTTACTGATTTGGTATAACTTGAGGGGCAAGTCTTTGTATGACCTCAAAGTGCTCGCTACTAGGGACGTGATTTCTTCTTCGTGTGTTGGTGACAGCATGATGGGCACCCCTTTGCGGTCACTCAGTCGGAAGAGCTTGTCCAGTGTTAGCGATGAAGCAAACTGTCGCAACTTGCGAACATGACTCTACCTCTGGGGAGACCTTGTCCAGGCGACCACTTTTGCGCCATAGCTCTTCTGTTGTGAGGGTTGAAAGAGCAAGTTTTGAGGCTCCTGAGAACGGACGGAGTCAATCATCAGGTCGATGGTTGCCGTGGATGGATTGCTCGATGATGAGACGTACCCAGATTTTGCATGTGCTTGTCAATAAGACGCTCAATCTTGTCCTGAACCCGCAATCCTAGAGGAAGAAGCTGGAAGACTCCAGATTGTGCCTGATGGAGTCGCCTAGGTCAACAGAGATGTTTTGTACAGATTCGGTTTGATGATGCAGCTGCACTCACCTGGCGCAGAAAGCCAGCTCGGATGAGCTTCCCATGACCGGCTACGACCAATTAGCCTCTCAACTCCTCGAAATTCGCCGAATCAAGTGCCTCGTACTTTCGCCCTCAGTGGCAGAGACGCCGCCCGTGGGAACCCATATCTTGGACAGCGTCGATCTCGGTCGTATTGACTGAGCGAAAAGAGGCTGTGAGAATGTCCGAATGAGGGTCGAGCTGTGGATGGCCTTTAGCGGACGAAACCCGCCATAGACTGAGGCTGGAAGAGGCATATTTAGCAGCTGAAACAGTGATTCATTCTGTAAGTTACATGTCCATCGCCATCGACAAGACGAGAATCATTGCATCTTCAAGCTGTATGCAATGAGATGAAATCATTCATCTAGTATGAGCGAAGCCGGTGTTAGATTCGGGCGGGAAGGGAATGAGACGCTTCGTTAACCTGCCGCACAGCGCCTAAGGATATAGATAGCCGCGATAAGCGCCCGCATCCTGCGCAGGCGCAAGCAGATAAGATAAGAATCTTTTTTTCCTCAAAAATTATTACTGCTGGCTTCGCAATCTCGCCGATTTGATGCTGCCAATCAATCTCTGCACCAAACACGCAGCAGCATCTTTCCACCATGGCCAAGCACTCGAAAAAGGCCAAAGGGCCGCAGCGCCCTCAGCTTGATGCGGCTGAGCTCCAGAACGGCATGAGCCGGATCGCCTCCCAGATCGAGGCCAAGCTCAACGGCAACCCCTACAAGCGAAAGAATCCGCCCACGGAAGCCTCTGGGAAGCAGAAGCAGCAGAAGCAGCGGAAGCAGCGCGACGCCGAGGCTGCGCCGCCCGCGAAAGGCTCCAGCCCCGACGATGAGGCCCTGCTGGCTGAGATCAAGGCCCTGGGAGGCGACGAGGATGACTGGCGCCTGATCAATGAGGTCGCTTCGGACGATGAGGCGATTGCTTCCGAGTCAAAGGCGCCCGTGGACAAGCGCTTGAAGGACGAGCTGGCCGCTTTGTCAAAGGAGCTCGGCTTTTCTGCGCTTGCGCCGGCAGATGCTAGCGACGAGGAGGAAGAAGAGGACGAGGACGAGGACGGGGACGAGGACGAGGAAGAGGAAGATGACGACGAGGACGAGGAGCAGGACAATGTCAAGGCGGACGCTGGCAAGAACAAGAACAAGACCAACGGCACGAGCAATAGCACAAGCACCAAGGAGCCCAAAGAAAAGGGCCCCAAGGAGAATGACATGCGACGTGTCGAAGGCCTGGTAAGCTGACACCCCCGAGTCTCAACGGCATCTCTGACAACTAACTCTCAAGTGAAACCAGATCTTCGAGCCGCGCGCAGACTGGCACGCTGCGAGACTCGCCGCCCTGCCGATGCCTACGGTAGACGACGTTGGCCCCTTTATGTCGGCCATCAATTCGCTCAAGGAGCATGGAAAATACCTGCTGGAGACGGAGGCGGCCAAATACAGAACGACCATCTTTGCGTCCTCGTCCCACAAGTTCCTTGCCACCATCATGACGTCCGGTACCCTTACCGACAAGATTTCCGCCCTCACCCTGGCTTGTCAAGAATCTCCCGTCCACAACATCCGCGCATTCGACTCCCTGATGAACCTGGCCTCCAAGAAGAGCCGAGCGCAAGCCATTGGAGCCATAGGGGCCCTCGTGGATATGCTAGGCCCTGGCACGCTGCTGCCGTCGGACAGGAGGCTGAAGACGTTCCAAGCGCAACCAGGGCTCCTGGGCTCACTTCAGCGGGCCTCCGTCAAGACCTGGGCGCCGAGCCAGCCATTACCCGGGAAGATTACACAGGCGCACCTGATTTCTTGGGCATACGAAGACTGGTTGAAGGAGACCTACTTCAAGATTATTCAGCTCTTGGAGGTCTGGTGCTCTGACGAGATTGAGTATTCCCGAATGAGGGCCGTTGACTTTGTCTACGCCTTGCTCAAGGACAAGCCGGAGCAGGAATCAAACCTCCTCACCCTCCTGGTGAACAAGCTCGGCGATCGCGATCGCAAGATCTCGTCACGGGCGTCATATCTTCTCCTCCAGCTGCAAAACTCTCACCCTGGCATGAAGCCAGTCATTGTACGAACAGTGGAACAGGAGATCCTGCTCCGCCCCTCGCAAGACTATCGCGCACGCTACTACGCCATCAACACTCTCAACCAAACTATTCTCTCGAGCAAGGAGCCCGCCTTGGCCGAGTCTCTGCTTCGTATCTACTTTGACCTTTTTGCCACGATCCTCAAGACGGGAAAGCTTGGTATGCCGATAGAAGACGAGTCCGGCAAGCCGAAGAAGAATGGCAAGGGTCCTTCATCTGGGGGGAAACCAGCCGGCCAGAAGAAGCCGGCAGCCGCTTCAGTCCCAGAGACCGAGGCAGCTGACAAGCTCGTTTCCGCCCTGTTGACTGGTGTCAACCGTGCTGCTCCATTTGTGGGCACCAACGACATGATGTAAGTGTCTAGAGTTTATCAAGTTGCACCAAGTATCCAAGGGGTATAGGATATATATGCTGACTCATTGATAGCATGGAGCGCCATCTTGACACACTCTTCAAGATTGCGCACTCATCCAACTTCAACACCGGCATCCAGGCCTTGCTGTTGATCCAGCACCTTTCCGCGGCGAGAAACCTCGGAAGCGACCGTTTCTACCGGACGCTGTACGAGTCGCTGCTTGACCCTCGTCTCATCACCTCTTCGAAGCAAGCTCTGTACCTGAACCTGCTGCTGCGCGCGCTGAAGAACGATGTTGATGTGCGAAGGGTCAAGGCGTTTGCCAAGCGAATGCTGCAGGTCGCCGGCCTTCACCAGCCCCCCTTTATCTGCGGCTTGCTATATGTCATCTCTCATCTGAGGCAGACATTCCCAGACCTTTCGACTTTGGTCGAGTCGCCGGAAGAGTCCGTGTTTGACGACGAGGAGCCTGAGAACCGACCGACGTACGATGGGCGGAAGAGGAACCCGGAGCACAGCAACGCCCACAGAAGTTGCCTGTGGGAAGTGGTATGTTGAAACTCCTATGATGCGAAACAAAGGGCGATTGCAGCTGACATTGTTACCCTAGATTCCGATCCAGAGCCACTTCCACCCTGCTGTCAGCAAATTTGCCTCTTCACTGTTGGATAGGAAGCAGAAGATGCTCAAGCCCGATATGGAGAGCCACAGCCTCATCCGATTCTTGGACAAGTTTGTCTACAGGAACGCAAAGGCTACCGATTCACGCGGTGCGTCCATCATGCAGCCCCTCAAGGCCGCCAAGGACATTGGAGACATCTGGCTGGGCAGCGGGCGGACCAGCGCGTCCACGACACAAGTCAACTCGGCCGCCTTTTGGAACAAGAAGCCCGAGGACGTTGCTGCGGAGGACGTCTTCTTCCACAAGTACTTCCAGCACGTCGCCAAGGAGGGCAAGGAGTCTACCAAGAAGAAGGCTTCAGCGGCCGGCGAAGACGGTGAAGAGGATGCGGAGGAGGACGAGATCTGGAAGGCGCTGGTCAATGCCCAGCCCGACATTGACGAGGATGCCTCTGATGCTGGGTTCGACGACATGGACGACCTGGACATGGCTTCCGACGACGATTCCTCGCCCGCCCTGTCGCTCGACGGGGACGATGATGATGACGACGAGGATGACGTTAGCGTGGAGTTTGGCGACGAGGACGACGAGGAAGCATCCGACGACGACGACGGCCTGGTCGCTCCGGACGTGCCCGACGAAGACGAGGAGAAGGGCGACAAGCGCAAGGCACGGAGAAAGATGCTCAAGGGCCTGCCCACGTTTGCATCCGTGGACGATTACGCGGAGCTCTTGGCTGGAGAGGAGGACTTGTAGAGTATATAAGGAATGTTTTCGTAATGTTGAATATCAGCCCCGAGGCGGGCATTTCATGCTTGTTCATACTGAGGATTTCTTACTCGACTTGTTTGTAAGTGACATGCTGCATACCTAATGTAGTAGATTTCTACCTACTACTACTTGTACATAGGTATGTTAGGTACCAGCTCATAGCTTGATGGTACTCGTTATGCGCATCCTTTGCGACATGTCTTTCTTCCTCGGTATCCTATAAACATCAGCCAACTGTCTACTATTATCAATAAATATCAAAGCAATAGACAAAAAAGGCATAATTGTCCGATGCCCATGTTAACCCAAAGCTTCGGCTCGTTTCTCACAACCAGCCCGAACTCGGACAAAGCCGAGCCCGTCAACAACCACGGAAACTCCTTTTGGCTAGCATCGGCACAACCCGGACCGCTGATAACGACTTTCTTATGAGCTTATCTTATCTTATCGGCGCAATACGTGCCGATTACCTACCCAAGTTGTTATAAAGGCGTGATTCCAAGGCTCCGAAGGGGGGAGATGCTTTGCCTCGGCAGTTTGATATACGGTCCCTCCTTGCGACTTTCCTTCCTTTTGCTTGCGTGTGCTTTCATTTCTTTCCTTCTTTTTTGTTCCTATCAGAGAGAAGAAGAGTGTCAAGAGGAGGAAAGATTAGAAATAGACAGGAGAGGGAAGAGAGAAAAAGAAAGAGGCGATTCGGAGAATGTTTAGCCAGCAAGTCGCTCGCGGTGGGCGGCGCATCGGCCAGATGGCTCGAGGCGGGCAGCAGCCGTTGCTCGCCGCGCTGAGACGAGCCGGCCAACGACGATGCTATGCTGATGCCGCACAAGGTAAGTCGCCTCCTCCTAGTATACCCTCATGTTCGTCTTGCGTGCAATGGACGGGCCGGGAGAAGACCGCGAGAGGGGGTGAGAAGGGAGAGAGAGAGAGACACGAAGGCTGACCAACTTGTTTCATTCTCCAGCCCCCTCCAAGAGCCGAATCGGACGAGCCCTCGGCCTGCTCGTCTACGGCGCGGCATTCAGCGGCCTCGGCGCCGCCGCGACCTTTTACGCCATGGTCCGCCAGGGCTTCGCCTCCTTCACCGACGCCGAGTCGGCCAAGCTCTTCGTCCCCGAGACGGAAGACCTGCAGCGCATCGAAGACACCATCAACAACCACCCGCTGGTGCAGGAGCTCCGGTCGCGGCCCGAGTTCAAGGAGTCGCGGCCGCACCTCAAGATGTCCGAGGAGATACGGCGGCGCAGCCTGACGGCCGGCGTGCTGCAGGGCGAGGGCAAGGTGGTGGTGCCGCCGCTGGCGTTCATCGAGGACGGCGGCAAGTCCATTGTCAGCATCACGTACGTGGGCGACAAGCTGTGCGGGCACCCGGGGCTCGTGCACGGCGGGATGCTGGCGACGATGCTGGACGAGGGGCTGGCGAGGGGCTGCTTCGACGCGCTGCCGCACAAGATTGCCGTGACGGCCAACCTCGAGATCAACTATCGCAAGCCGACGCAGGCCAACAGCTTCCTCGTGCTGCGAGGCAAGACGGTGAAAGTCGAGGGGCGCAAGGCGTGGGCCGAGGGTCACATTGAGACGCTGCCGGCGCCGGGGGAGAAGCCGGTTGTGCTGGTCGAGGCCAAGGGGCTGTTTATCTCGCCCAAGTATGCGGCGGTAAGTGAAAAAAAAAAAAGAGATTCTTTTCTGATGCTGAGACTGTTGGATTGAGTTTCTGAGGTGGCTGACTTTTGATACCTACCTATGCAGCTGATGCCTCGAATTACCTAAGATGATGACACGACAGATGGGAGACACGACATCAAAGTTTGCTTTTGTTTGAATCTTGTTCTTATCTTGTTCGAATTGAGTTTGAGAGCGACGGCGGATTAGATTTACTAGAGCCATGTACATTGCGTTTATTATAGTATACTGAAGATGAGGCAGATGGAGTCTGCACGAGGATATCCCTAGATAGTACTTGTCTTCTCTTCTTCTACAGTACAGCGGATATAAGAGAGGCGGATGGATGACTCGCACAAGATATATACCATTCATATGAAAACTTGTTGTATTATAATAACATACAAACATACAACTAAGTAGGTTTGCAATTGATCAAGATGTCTGGTAGCACGTGTTTAAAGTAAATCCGCATCACCGTACAGGTAGTTGATAAGGTACAACTTTGAATAGTATTCACATTCACTAGAAAAATGCGGTTCCTCTCATGGCGGGGAATTAAAAGCGGAAGTCGGCGGTTTCGGACTGTCGCCATCAGCCTCCCCAATGAGCACATCATGCGCCTTGGCCTATCTTGGAAGCGGACGTTGACTTGTATGTGGGCTCGACCGACACTAGCAGTTAGTATCCTGCTTGATTCCCGCTGCCATTCTTGACTGAACGATGTCATGTCTGGGTATGTGTCTGGCTGTGTTATACTTGTTATTATCCAGTAGCATGTATAAGCAGGATCAATATCTTTGATGGAGGGGCGGCGAGGGTCCGAGGGGTTTTATCATTAGTGGGAGAGTCGTTATAAAGCCGATCTTGAAGATCATCATCAGCCTCCTTCTTTCATAATCACACCCTCGACTCCCTCTCCCTCTTGCATCCTCTCTTCCCCCTTCTCATACATCAAACTACCACTTGATCCTCTTCAGCCATCACTCCATTCCCCCCCCCCCCCCCAAAATCAAGCAAACCAACGAACCAACAACTCCCCCAAACACAATGGCTACGTAAGATCCCTCCCCTCACTCAACACCATCCCTCAAACCCTCAATCACCACTTGACCAACTGACACCCTCACAGCAACATCACCTGGCACCCGTCCCTCTCCCGCCGCGAGCGCAACCAGCTCCGCTCCCAGCGCGGCCTCACAATCTGGCTCACCGGCCTCTCCGCCTCGGGCAAGTCCACCGTCGCCACCGCCCTCGAGCAGCACCTCCTGCACCTCGGCCTGGCCGCCTACCGCCTCGACGGCGACAACGTCCGCTTCGGCCTCAACAAGGACCTCGGCTTCTCCGAGCGCGACCGCAACGAGAACATCCGCCGCATCGGCGAGGTCGCAAAGCTCTTTGCCGACTCCGCCACCATCGCAATCACCTCTTTCATCTCTCCCTACCGCGCTGATAGGGACCTCGCCAGGAGCCTGCACGCCCAGGCTAGCCAGGACGGCAGCGACGACGAGCCCATCCCCTTTGTCGAGGTCTACGTCGACGTGCCCCTCGAGGTCGCCGAGCAGCGCGACCCCAAGGGCCTCTACAAGAAGGCGCGCGCCGGCGAGATCAAGGACTTTACCGGCATCTCTGCGCCCTACGAGGAGCCGCTGAACCCTGAGATCACCATCAAGACGCACGAGAACACGGTCGAGGAGTGTGTTGCGCAAATCACAGACTGGCTCGTCGCCAAGGGCTATATCAGCAGCAGCAAGGCGCAGGTGAAGAATTAAGAGAGCAACGATGATCACGCGGCTGTAAAGGGACAAGAAAAAGGAGTACCCGGAATTGGAATCAAAAGTTCGATTATCATATAGACGTAGAACGAGTCGAGCTTCCGCGACCAAAGTGTCGGAGAGCATCACCTGCGAGATTCGCTAGGCGAGGATTACTGCTAGACTCATCCTCGTACCCAACCCACGTCATCTGATAGAGAGCAAGGCGGAAAGGCAAGTCTTATTACGGAGATGGCGATAAATATAGAGTACAGGCGTATGACGCTTTTGAGAAATAAATACAACATCTATACCCGCTCAGGGAAATGCGGCCTCGTAATACACAAATGCCGTGTACTCGTGTCCCTCGCCAGTCCCCAGTCCCGCCGCGGCCATCTCGGAGCTGAGCGCGGCGTCGTCTTTGGTCACCCTCCCGTGCTTGTCCCTTCCAAACGCGTTGCCGCCGAGGTACGAGTATTTTGCGTCGAGAGCTGCCTTTGCCTTAGGAGCCAGCTTCGACGTTGTCTGAACCACATGCAGTTAGGCCTCTGTAGATGAATAGGATCAGTAACATGTTGCATACCTTGATCAGAGCTGTGGCATAGTCCAGCGGAAGTCCGTATCGCAGCACAGCCTCGACAAACACGCGCAGGGTGAGCACATGGATCCAGATCATGACGCTCTCGCTCCAGCCAGTCCGCCCCATGCGCAGGGCCTCGCCGCAGACCTTGCGCTCCTCATTGGTCACACGGTCCAGCTCGCGCTGCTCCTCTTCCAGCCCGCCCTCGACGTACTTGTACTGGCGCGGCGTCCACTTTTGCTCTCGACACTTGTGAATGAATTCGGCGCTGTGCTTCTTAAATGTCACAACGGCAAAGAGCGTAAACTCGTCGTCGTGGTCGACTTCGACACATGATCGGGGCACCACCATGGGCGAAAGAGTTTCGTAGCTCTTGATGAAGTCTTTCTTCGCATTCGTCGGCACCGCGATGAGGTGTGTCTCGAGGTACTCGGAGTCTTGGACGAGAAGCGACGGCTTGACAATGGGGGTGAGAGACTTGGTTGCGAGATTGCCACTGCGGCCGAGACAGATCAATTAGCTAGGAGCAGGCGAGACAATGCGCGGTGCTTACGTCTGTCTCCTTTGCAAAGCTGCAAGGTTCGTCTTGACGGAGTTGTACTGGTTGAACTTGGACTTGACATCATTGTCCACCGTGTTAAGCTCCTACAACACAAGTAAGATGAGACTGCGTCCGAGTAGGGCGGCCCGAGGATATGGGCGGAAGAGAAAGGCGAATACCTTCTGAAGAGTGCTGATGAGCTCGGCTATGGGCTTGTCGGCTCGGTACCTCATCTTGTTCCAGCTAAAGTTGCGCAAGTAGTGGTCGGTTGGCTCTGCCGCATGTCGTCAGTCTCCCACCCCACCACGTTGAAGGTACGCAGGAAGCCTGGGTTCTAGCTCGACTAACTGTCATTGACCATCTTGTAAGATGCCATTCGATCCTCGTCGTTGTTGAGCACGGTGCGCAAGGAATCCGCCACCTTGGCGACGACGGCTTGGCAGGTCGAGTCCAGCTTCGCCAGGTCGTCCGCTTGCTGCACGAGAAGGTCGAGGGTGCCGATTTTGAACTCTGGAACGTTGAAGGGCAGGACAGTCCCGTTGTCCGGCGTAATGGTAGCGCTCAAGGAGGAGATGGCATCGTCGCTGTCGAAGACGCTTTGAGGCAGCGATACCAGCGCATACTTGGTGGACATGGCGATGTTGACTCGGGAGACGGAGGTAGAAGTAGAGCCGATGAGGAGGAGAAGCGAGTGAGGACAAGTCGAGGTGGTGAGTGAAAAGAAGAGCAAGAGGGCAGAGGCAATGGGTGCGGGAAGGTGCCTCTTGCGCAGATGCTCAGGGTAAATGTCTCAGCTCGCTCTTGCCCTGAAGATACGAGCAAGCGAAGAAGAAGGAGTGATAGAAGGAACGACGGCGTGTGTGATAGAGGCGTAGAGTCGGCAACAACCTGGAAGGCAGTTCGCAAGCATGTCCAGTTAGTCCAGTGACAGTTCAGCTAAGCCCAGCTCCAAGCAGTTGGGAGTGGGGGCGGTTAGAGCCTAAAGGTACCGACTACTCCAATGTCGTCAGTCGTGGCATCTGAAACAGTGCCAGCGCAAAGTATCGGATACCCAGCCCACAGATCGCTAGTCCTAATCTGTGATGGCGAGTCCCCCGTTAAGCACCAGCCCCTCGCCTTGTCTGGGAGAATCTCGGCATCTGCTTCGAGTCGCAGTGCATCTCGCGAAGCAGTTATGCAACTATCGAGTTTGCTCCGTCTGCTGTGTACCACCTTGGTAGCACTAGCAGTACTAGGGACCTAGGTAGGCACGTACAGACTCGTTCTTGTAGCGCGCTGCACCACCCCCAGTAACCCCAGTACATGCATATGTACGGCGTCACAGCACTCTCCCCCAAATTCGCCCTAGTCCCGTCTCGGCAGCACAACTCGGTCGGTCTACGACCAGACTAGCATGAAGAGAAACGATTGCGCCGTGCACCGCCAAACTTCTTTGTCAGGCCATGGACATCAAATGACAGCCGCCTGCAACGCGCGACATCACGGCCTGTGACGGCGATACAACCGACTGCTGACCGCTCCTCGGCTGCGGACCATGTGAGGCGCCTCGAGACGGCAATTCCAGCGCCTGTTTGCCCGCCCTCTGCCCTCGCTGCCTCTGCCTCTGCCCACTGCAAGCCTCGCCTCGTCTCGCCCAAGCCCAGCGCCAGACCAGGCCATCGAAGGCTTCCACGTTACCATCTCTGCCCTTCCCCGGGCCCCTTCAGCCCCTGCCGGCCCCCTCGAAGCCTCAATTCGCCCGGCCCTCGCGCTGGGCATGAGGCGGTCTGCAGGCGCACCCTCCCAGCGCCATGGCCGCAGCTCCTGGTTCGTCTCGCTCTCTTCCGTCTCTCTCCATCTTCATGTCGTTGTCGTGTCTTGTCTTGCTGCCACCGCCCCATCTCGTGTCGACTCTGACCTGTCTGCTCCAGCTTCTGCGACGCTCGCCATCTCCGACTCTCCTCCGCCCGGGAACTCGCCCGCAAAGGCTGATGCCGCGACGGAGTCGTCCGCAACTCCCGGACCCCAGTCTGAGACGCCGATCCGCACGTCTAACCATGGTATGTAAGAGGCCGAGGAAGCTCTGCCCGACCTCGGGTGTCGATGCCCGCTTGGCAACAATGGATTTCAATGCTCATCGCAGTGCCCAGATGTGACCGAAGTCCCGGACGGAGCCTCCATCCACACCACGGATGGCCGCGTCAAGAACCCTGTGCCGAGCAAGCTAAAGGGCAAGGCCGACAACAAGAATGGCAACTTTGGCGTCATGCACATCGACATAAATAGCTCACAAGCTGCCCTTCGAAACGCTGCCGCAAAGCGCACGAGCGAGGAGACGGAAGCTGCGGCGAGGCTGGCTAACATGCGCGGCTACCAGTCTATCAAACGCAGCAAGCTGGCTTGGATCCCGCCGTCTGAATCGGATCCGCGCTCCTCCGCCCCGACCTACGGGGCTTCGCAGAATGGCTATCTCAATGCCCCCTACCCTCTGCCCGCCCGTCCCCTGGGGCCCCTGCCGCACGAGGCCAAGGCGGAACAGGCTCGTCTTCTCACATTGCTGCGCAGCTTGAACCCCCTCGTAGTCGTGGATCAGCTGTGCAAGGCATTGGCCTACTTTGGGGGCATCCCCGGGGCTCCTTCTTCTCACGACTTTGTCTTCCCAGAGAGCCAGCGCAACAATGGTCAGGGTTCCATTTTCGTCGGCTGGGTAGCCGAGATATTCCCTCCAGTCGAAGGAAACCCCACGGCCATAGCGCCGCACCCCTCGCTTCAGAGCGCCGAAATTGCCTCTGCTGCTGCTGCCGCCGTCACAGTCGCTTCTCCAGACATGCCCGCTTCGTCCCAACCTTCGACCGTATCCCATCCCGCCACCGCTCCTCCCGCTCCTCCCGCTCCTCCCGCTCTTGCCGCTCTTCCCGCTCAACCTACCTCCACGGATACAACAGCAGAAGCTTCGAAACCTCCAGAGACGCAGAATGCCCCCGCTGCGACTCCCGTTAAGAGGCCGAGAGGACGGCCAAAGGGGAGCAAGAGCTCCAAACCTCGGATCGACAAAGGCATCAAGAAGTCGGACTTGGCGCATCATCACGCGTCCAGCCAGGCGGACGGACAGGGCCCACACAATGCCCTCAACCTATCCCAGCACGACCAGACTTCCAGCGAGCAGCGAAATGGGCTGCATAATCCGGCCTTCCCCGGCGATATCCCAGCACATCTGGACCCTGACTCCAGCATCGTGAGCACTCCAGGGACGGGCAAGAAGAGGGGTCGACCGAAGGGGTCTAAGAACCGACCAAAGAACACTCCAGATGCAAGCCAAGCGGCGACGGCTGCCGACGCTTCTCAAAATCTGCTACCCGCATCGACAAGCTCCCATCCAATTGCGCCCTCGCCTTTATCACATAAGTCCACAGGAAGTCTGAATAATATTCCCTCCTACGCAACTTCAATGCCGTCCAGGACAGACCACCACCAGCAACAGCAGCAGCAGCAGCAGAACCCCTCGCCGACGATGCAAGAGAGCGCGGTTGGGCAGCACGGCGTACACATGGCCGCGCGGAATCCTCAGACGAGCCAGACAGCAAGCATTCCGGCCGTCAGTAGCTGGGCCGGCTCGGGAATGCAGTCTCTAGATCAGTATCGCTCGGCTAACAACCACTCGCATCTGAAGAAGAGGAAAATCGGCGACGCAGCGCAGTTGGCCAGGGATTCACTATCGGCACTCGCAGCCCCGGATGCCTCCTCGCAGATGCGCCACGGCGACGAGAGTTCGTTACAGATGGCTCCCACTGATTCGGCTGCCATGAAGCGCCGGCGGGTGTCGCGTGAGTCGATGCAGAACCCCATGTTCAGCAATATCGACACCCAATCCGGCCGCGTGGGCATGAACACGTCACCAATACTCAACAATAACTACAACAGCATCTCCCAGGCCATGGCCACCAATAATTTTGACACTCAGCTGGCCAGTGCTGCGGTTAGGAAAGCGTCGACTCAGCAGCATCTTCAGCAGCAGCAGCAGCACCCCCAGCGATCGCCAACACAAGCCCAAGGCCAGAATGTCAACCAGTCGCTCCAGAATCAGCAACAGCCGCAGCAATTTACGCCTCAGCGCCCGCAGCAGCAAAATCCAGGGATGCGCCCACCACAGCTTCAGCAGGGAGGACACATGGGGCCAGGATCCTCGAGACCTAGGCCGGGCCAGATGTACGGCAACAGCCCTACAGGAATGACCTCGCAAGGGTTCTACGCCCAGACGAGGCAACTACCAGGACAGCTGGGGCACGTCGCTGGCGGCGGCGGCGGCAGCAGCAGCTTTGCTAGAGCCACGGGCAGCGGCCAAGCGTCACAGTTTAGGTCGTCTAACATGGCAAGGCAGAGCTCCGACGACCGCGCCGTCAGTCTGTCGCAGCAAGCGTCTCTGGCCATTTCGCGCAGTCAGGCAGGCCAGCAGCAGCAGACGCCCCCAGCTCGCCACCCGTCGTCCGGCTTCACCAACGGCCAGCAAGCGCCCGCGACATCGGCATCTGTGCCGACGACATCGAGCCTGAGCCAATTCCAGAACTTTGCAGAGCACAGCTACCTGGACATGGACTACGGGCTTAACGAGCGCGACGTCCAGGACGCCGCGGCGGCGTTTGGCGACTCGACGCAGCTGGAGGCGGCGCTGGCAGAAGGCAACATCAGAGAGAGGCTTTACCAGGTCATGGCTAATCGCCAATAGGAGGGCAGTCCTTTCTTCTGGTTGTGGAACGAGTGATGTAACGTTTGCTTTGCTGGCTGATTGGGTTCGCATTGGGCTTTATATATTGATTGCATTTCGGCGTTTCTACTATGAAGGCAAAACACACGAGGAAAAGAAAAAAAAGTTCAGCGCATGTAACGTGAGGTTGAGACCGGTCTGTTCTTGTCTTCTTTTGCCTTGCCGTGGGGGGGTTCGGTTCTGTTTCTTTCGACTCCAACAAAAGAGAAAAAAAAGATGAAACTTGCTTTATGTTTTTTTTCTACCGTCAATTTCTACAGGGAAGTTGTTTGGCGCAGGTATGCATCTGGACGGGTTTGAGTTCTTGTCAAGAGGAGTTTCAAGGGCAAAAACGGTGTTATCTATTTCTTTTTCGATCTATGTGGCTTGTCTGTCTGTCTGGCTGAATGCGCTATTCCTTGTTTTCCAACTGAGGAGATGAAGGGGGAAGGTTGAAATGTGTGTGTATTGATGATATTTTTTTGTTGTGTCAGGATGATGCACGTCTCCTGCGTTCACTGTCTGAAAGGCACGATGTGAGATATATCTGTGTGTATGTATACGTTCTTGAGTGTGTGTCTTTGGGTGGTGGTCAATGGGACGTGATGAAGCTTTGTACGGCGGCGTTCTCCCTTTTTCCTTTTCCCCTTTTGTTTCTCGTCTGCTGAAGTAGCTTTCGCTGATATTCATGAGTCAAGGGAAAAAGCGAAGCATGGAGGCAATACTCAAGTCTATAGACAGTGTCACGAATACGACGAATACTAATCACGCCCACGCTCTCAGTATGTTATTGTATATATCACACAAGTTCATGCACAAGTCCGTCCTCGTACAGAGATATGTATTGTTGATAAATTCTCGGTCTCCAATTACTTTGTACATCAGCGCTACATAGTCGAACAAGACGTAGATACCAATAACCCCCAACAGGGCTATCACGCTGACTTTGATCAACAGAACAAAGAGTCAAAAGACGTTCGACAGCGTCGAAAGACTCGACACGCAAAGACGATTGATGGATGAAAACAGGAAGCGAAAGAGGCTATATCAAGACCCAGTTGTGTGTGCAAAGATGAGAACAACAAAGGCTCAGCAAGGCTAGATAGATGAATAGATAGCTAGATCAAGAGAGAGAGAGAGAGAGAGAGAGAGAGGCGGAAAAATACAAAGGAACGAACTGTCGCAGTTCTATGCATTCATATCGAGCAATAGACGGCCCAGCTCCGTAGAATGACACATAAGAAATGAACGCAAGATATAAAGGAAATCTTTGATGGAATGGCCTAAAAAGCACAGGATCTGACAAAAGTCCGTAAGAGGAACGGCGAAACGACAAAGAACCACACTCTGTTTAAAGCCCAGAATAATTCGAACCCAAAAACTTCCCCATGTTCTCGTGGGTATTCCTCCAAGATCCCAGAAAGTGTCTTCCCATCCCGCAGAACAAGAGAAAAAGGAACAAGATATGAAACGCCTGCAAATGCTTCTTTTGGTGTCGACGAGGACACGCAACAACGCAAGGAAATGTGGTATAGGCCAGTAGTTATGCTTGGCTCGGAAAAGGAAAGATGGCAAGCTCGTATGAAGCAAGCGTGTATAGTGACAAGAAAGGTTGTGAACCCGTGTATGTATGGGAACGAGTAGATATAATCAGAGTAGGTAAGGTTAATCCGCGTCGTCATGGAGGGCTGAAATCGGTGGTCTGACCGAGTCAGAGATCTGGCGGCCGTAGCACCATTCGTCCTCCTCCTCCATGCCGTCCTCGCGGATCAGCTCCAGCATGACCTGCTGGTTCCGCTTAATGTCCTGCGGCCGATTCACAATCTTGCGATCCAGAATCATGGCCTCGGCTGTGGTTAGCCAGATGCTCTGCAGCGATGGCAGGTCCCCTAGCAGATCCTTGGCCTGGTCGCGCTCCAGAGGCGCCATGGGCGCATCGGCCGAGAGGCTGGTGTTGAAGACGCTGTACGGCATCTCCATCCCGGAGGCGGTATAGTCCACCGATCCCCACGGACTCCTGCGGCCGCTGTCGCTGAACGATGACCGGTGCGGGGGCCGATCGCTGCTGGTTGACTTCTTTCGTCCAAAGCTCTTCAACAGCCGGCCTTTGGAGGAAGCCTCATTGGCGGGCGGCCTGGTCAAAGAGGCGTACCAGGTGTCAACAGCAGCCCGGCGGTTGTTGTAGCCCTTGGTCTCCCATAGTCTCTCGACCTGACGAAGGCCGCCAAGGCACAAGATGGCGACATGGACCTCGTCCGGCGGCCGCTCCCTCAGGTAACCACGAAGCGATCGCTCCACGCGACCAACGTACGTCGGCGGTCGCAGGCGGCGGCAAAAGGACGAAATGACGAGGGGGAAGACTTCGTGGACCCTCAACAACGTCCGGTCGTCGTACATGTCCATGATGCGCTTCTCGATCGGGTTCACCGTGTACGGCTCCTTCGTCAGGCCGTGTCCGTTTTCTGCAATGTACTCCAGGTGCAGCTTCCTATACATCTCGAAGAAGTGGAAAACGGTGAATAGGAGGGGTATCAATCGTCGGCGCATGCGCTCGTGCTGTGGTGCGAATGCCAGCCGCTGGGCTTCCGTCTGTCGTAGGAAGATGTCTTTGGTGATCCATTCGCACATTAGGTATGAAAGCTTCGCCGCGACATGTAGCCGATGCCACAAGCTACACAAGTAGTGGAAGTTGATCTCGGAGTTGTCCGGCACGGGGTACAGGCGAGTGGCATAGGCGGGTATGTGGTCCCGTAGTAGATGTCGGACGATGAACGTCTCGTTGAGGGTGATGCGCGCGTGCCATGATTTCGAGGCTAATCGGAGGTTAAGAATATCTGTCAATGGGAGAGAGGAGATGATTTGGAATTGAAGCTCGGTCGGCAGCCCGAAGAATAGTTGATCGAAGGCGACGCTAGAGGGAAGACGCAGTTAGCAGCTGTGTATCTACTGGAAATGGCGGTTCGCAGAGGGGATCCGGATTGATTCCAAGCCTTCTTCTTCCTTGCTCTTCTTGGGGTTGATGCATCATGACAAACCTTTTTCGCGTCGAATCCGTCGAGGCTCTGATGGGTAGAGCCACAGCGGTCGCGTCCGCATCGCTCCTGGTGTGCTTGAGGGCGACCTTTTGTCGGATGCCGCCGAAGAATCGTCTGTTCTGCTTCGAGTCGCTGGGCCTAATGGCGTCCACGTCCGGAACCTTTGCTTCTCGCAGCGGCAGGATGAACCTCGACGTCGCCTGTGCGTTGGCGGTGGCGGCAGCTGTCGTCGTTGTCGTCGTTGTCGAGGCGCCCGAGTCGGCAGATTCCGCCTGCTGGCGGCTCGCGTGCAGCTGGTTGAGCTTCTCGAAGTAGCGCTCGGAGGCGAACTCGGTGAGGTGCGGCGGATCCATGGCGACGCGCCGGGGAGGGTGTTGTTGGTGATGAGGCTCAGCCATGATGGGCGGCAGAGACGAGGTGAACGAGCGACGAGATACAAGAATCTATGGGTGACGAGCGGCCGCGGCCAGCTCGGGGAGTTGAAGGCGTCTCTATTGTCGGACGCAGGGAGACAGCAGCCGTCTTAACATGGCGGGGGTCGATATGGCGAATCCGCCCAGCAGGGAGGGAACAGATGCAGAGAGAGAGGACAAGAGGAGAGGGGGAGGCGGAGGATTGCGGCGACTCCAAGGGCGGCGTCTGTTGTCTTTGGCCGGTCGTCTCGTCTCGTCTCGGCTGCGGCGTCGCTCTGGCGGTTTGGGCTGCGTGCCTTCGTGTAAATCCAAGTCCAAGCAGGTGAATGTGAGCGACTTCTATCGGATGCGGCGGCGCAGGATTTCTTGTAAGGCGTGTGAAGGCGGGCAGAAACACAGGCCAGAGGCTACGCGATGCAGGACAGGGCAAGGCTGTCTTGGGGTCGGAGGGAGGAAGAGAGAGATGAGTGTGTGGACGAGCAGAGAGGATTGCGATAGGGAAGAGAAAGCGTCAAGGGCAGAACAGAACAGAACAGGGCAGTGGAACAGGGCTCTCTGCTGGGGGGGGGGGGACTGGGGACGGATACTACTACCTAGTAAGTATCCCCGTATGTATTGCTGTTGCTATCTCTACCTTCCTACCTACCTACGCAGTATAGTCCCTATCTACCTAGGTAGGTGGCGGACGGGGAGGCGCCCGGGGGGGAGGGGGGGCCATCTTTTGGGGGATCCGGAGCGCTGTTTGGGGGCGCGCAGGCGCTGTAGGGACAGTGCAGTGCAGTGCAGAGCACCACTGAAGGCACCTCCCAGCGACGGCACCAAGGGGCACCCTCTGGCACCCCCCCCCCCCCCCTTCTGCCACTCTGCGCCAGTCGCTGCAAAAGGGCGAGGCATTGCCGCGGCGCTGATTCGCCCAGGACGGCGGTTTGGCCGGCGCAATAGTGGAGCTGCTGAGGGAAAAGGTGCCAAAGGCTGCTGGAGCCAGCGACCGAGGGCCACGTTTGGGGGGGCGCGGGCACACGGTGGCGGCAGTCAGTCCGACGCACGGTGCCGCCGCCGCAAGCAGGGCCCTTGGGGGAAACATGGACTTGCCTCGTGGCCGCGCGCAGGGGGGCGTACAGGTAGAAACCCAGAGGCGGACGCCCCGTACAGTGCGGCGTCTGCCTTGGGATGCGGCGTCCGGGGCATTTTCTGGGGCGGGAGGCTGTCATTGGCACTCGCGTCTGCGCTTCTCCGCTTCCTGCTGCCAGCGGCTGTCTGGAGGCTTGTCGCCATGAGCCAAATCGGCCCTCTGTGGGCCAGGCCAAGTCGGGCCGCACAGTAGCGCCGCGAGCAATCCGCACGATGACGGATCCCCCTCGTGCCCTTTGTTCCCGTACCCATATGAACACTGGGCGCAGGGCAAGGGGAGTTGATACCACTACTAGGTAGTAGTAGGTATGGAAAGGTTGTACGTACGCAGTAGAGCACTGTACATAGACACCTAAGATACCTGGTCCCGTCACCTATCTCTGTCCAGCAGTCAAGAGATGCCTAGGTAATCGCGACTCGTCGAAACACAGCACGCGGGGACAGATAAGATATTACATATAGTACCTTAGGTACCTACTGCGAGTGCGATGACTCGGTTGCCCCGAGGTACTTCCTGAGCGACGTCCTAGTCCAGAGATATCACAGCGCTTGTCGTCGTCGCGTGCGCTGCTGAGACTTCACCAATCTGGCATTTAGCCGAACGGGAATCAATCAATTACACTTATCTCCTCGGGCTGTCATCGTCCCCAGAAGAATAATACATACATAAAAGCCTATGCACGTTGCCTACAGTGCGCGATAACGTCACAGTACGGAAAAAGGAACATATCCAAGGGGAAAAAAGAGCAAGGGCGAGGGAGAAAAGAAAAGGTCCAGGGAAGGAACCTGGAGCTAGGGCAAAGATGCCTTGCTAGAGGCAAGTACCTCGTGCCCGCAACGCAGGTTCCCAGAGCCACTCCATCGGACCTGCTGGTTTTTTTTTTTTTTTTTGCTTTCGTTTTAGCAACCTCGGAAGCTTCTCAAGTCCCTTCCTTCCTTCCATACCAGATACCCAGCCGCAGGGCCCCCGCTAGTCCCAAGAGGGCCGTAGCCTCTGGCTGCCCATTCGAGCGGCTGTCTCTTGTGTCTCTTTTGTCTCTTTTCCAGCAAGGTCCCAGGTCCTTTTTTCCTTTTCCATCTCGTGCGTATTTACAGTACCTACGCAAAAGTACGGGGTACTCCGGCCGTCCATCCGTCCGTCCATCCGTATCGCTGCTCTGATTGAACACGGACTCTGATTCGACGGCCCTGACGCTATCGCTTGCTACCTAGGTATCGTGTTTGATGTTTGATTGCTTGCGTGCGAGAGCCTCTTCGGGCCACAATCCACAATCGCGATCCACAGCCGCACAGCATCCCCAAGACGGCCGAGGCTCCATATGGCAGCAGCCGGACCGTGGAGATGGGGCTCGTCGGTCTTGGGGAGCCTCAGTCATCATTGCGCTGCTCAGTCTCGACGACGATGCGGACGGGCGCCGGTGGCAAAACGCGCCTTTGATCATGTCTCCTCAATCGGGTTTGTTCGACCTGTAACATCATCTCTCTCCTCTGCATCACTTGAGCCTTCTCGTATTGCTGGCGAGGCCGTGCGCCGTGATGGCTCCAGAGAGGGGAGGAGGAGAGGAGACGGACAAACAAACAACGCACACCAACCGCCTGCTGCTACTTTCTCCTGCTATGACGGATAGGGCACGATGACCCCCAGGCCGGACCAGATGCCACTTGTGCGAGTGTCATTTTCTAGCTTCATGCGCGTGAGAGCGAACACACATCGTCCTTGCTCCATCCTGTTCGCGCATGGCGCCCTCCGCACATACTACTACAACGACTGATATAGCCAGTGCTACGCGGCTCCAACGACGTTGTGGACTCTCAATTCCCGGCTTCTTTTGCTTCTTTTCCCGAGGGCGGGTTATCCATCGAGATCCGACGCAATGCCTACGCGAAGTCGAACGTGGTCTGCCATCTCTTTCTTCTATCTCTTATCTGTCGATTCTCAACTTCAGCTTGGTCTGTTTGATTAGTTCGTCCGATGATAACATGCGAGCACAGGAGCAAACTTTCTAGGCTGCTGGCATGGCCTTGCCGATGGCAGGTTGACCCGTCATTGTGAGCCGATGGCTTCCTGTGTGGAATGCTCCCTGCCCTCTGCCCTGCTTTCACCACATCATCCCGGAGCCTGGAGCGCCCAACATGCCCATCCTATGCCGTACGCCAACCGACATGCATGAGATTACTCCTCACTATGCATCACGAAGCCGACGTTGCGGCGTTACCACAATGGGATGCTAGCCGTGGCGTCGCGGCAGACCGTCCCGGCCGGACTCCCTTCCTGGCTAGAGATGGAAATCACAGACTCGGAAAAGCCTGCGAGGGGGGCACCGTCAATGCCCCCGTATGCCACGGATAGGGCTGGGCCAACGAAGCAGACTCGGGCATGGAATGAGAGAGCAGGCAGGCACCTCGGTCTCGAAACCCCGTGGTTAGGACAGGGCAGTGTGGGAAACAGGGACGATGCAGAAGACGAGACAAAGAGGGAGGAGGAGGCCACCGCGGCCCTACTCCGGCCGTTCTGGTGTCTCATGGAATTGTCGATCCAAACACGAGAGGACAAGACTGCAGCAGCGAGTGATGAGTGGCCCAGTCCATGCCCATGCCTTACCCCGACGAGCAGGCTCCCCACACCAACCAGGTCTCGCCGTTGATTGGAAAAAGAGAAAACGTTGCGCAACAGAAGAGGACCATGGCAACTCGAAGTCACCAGGTGCTACAATGTACCTTTGGCACGTCGCATTGCCGTGTTGAGTTAGGATCCCATGGCGGGCGAGACAAGCGTCACGGAGCTGGCAGCGGGTGCTCGTTGCTGGTTTCCGTCTGCCTTGTTGATCCTCCAGTACAGTCGTCATGGTGGGCGGCCCGGTAGATGGGGGGCGGATGATGAAGTCATTTCATCTCGAAGCCATCGAACAACTACCGAAGGTGTCGCCCTTGTTACTGGCTGAATGTGCCGACATGCATCCAGAGTAGGCAATGCTGTGATGCCCCAAACGGACAAGATGTGCGGTTTGGGTTGTAGGGGAAAACAAGCTATGAACTGCGTGTGTTCAGCAAGCAGTCAGGATTTAAGAGGAGGAAATGATTTGTCTACGTAGTGTGTGTGGTGTGTGTGTGTGTGTGACACTTGTTGGCGTTGTGTCGGCCTTTGCTGTATCATTCGGGGACTACCTAACATTTGATAGCACTGAACAACAGCATGCTACAGTACTAACCAGCAGGTTCCTGTTTCTCTCCTCTGATTGACTGTTGACAGCGTTAACTTATCTGCCTTTACTCCGTATTAGATTCTCAAATATTTACACAACTGCCGTACCGGTATTAGCACTCACCAACGAATCAACGAGCCTGATCCTCGCTCATAGTACTGTAGTACTGTAATTCAATTCAACTAGTAATAAGATGAGTGCCGTCAGAGATCGCCCGCAGCAAGTGGGAATTAAAGCACCGTGGCCGTTTCACGTCTATGGACTGTGGCCCGGCAAGCATCACCACCAGACGACGATCTTAGTCACAGCAAACCAGGCAACCAGGTCAGGGCGACTGTTCAGTCGGGTATTTTGCATTTTACCGAACAAACCAACCATTTGCTGCTAATCCGGATAAAGCAGTCCCGCAAGCAAGGGTTGTCAAATCGGAAGGGCTCCCAATGCCTGACCTTATAAGACAAAACTCACCTTGAGATGTCCCGTACAGTGTCCTATTGTGTGTTTTCTACTAGTACCGACTAATCTATATAGTACTACAGTACAGTATCTATTACCGATACTATCCAAGATACACCGAGTCAGTAGCTACTTGTATCTTCGACGACTTCCCACGCATCCGGGCCTTTGCACTGGAGCGCGGTGACGTTGCCCAGACGTGACGCAGTACTATGTACATAGTAAGTAGCTCTGCAGGATCGCGAGTCACCGATCAAAAGAGGTCCCCATATTTTGCATGCCTGCGCCGGGGAGCTCGGAATGGGGCTCGTTGTCTTCACCATCAAGGTGACAAGTAGTAGTAATACCAACCAGCTTCATTTGCGGTGAGATAAAGACGCACAGTAATCAAGAAAACATTTCTCCCGTGCTACCTCATCACTGGTGGGAAGGAAAGAAACTGAATGTTACCGTAGCTGCTGGATGAACAAATGCAGCAGTGGAACGATTGACCGAGTTCCTTGTGGCGGGACGACGGACGGGGGTAAGCCATGGCTGACCGGGATGACACAGTAGCACCGACCCGGAGCTGAGGAATGTATGTAATGCACAGGATATTCTTACGGAGCTCGCCAGGTCCTTACGGTATTACTACAGTACCTACCTTACGATACGGGTGCGGTAGGTAGGTACGGTAGCATCGAGATACATACCTAGTCGCGGAGATGCAGAATCAAAAGAACCTGAGGTAAGGCAGCAAGGCAGTAACCTTACGAAGTATCGCCTGCAGTTGCACATACCGACTGCAACGTCAAAGAGGAAGAAGAGCTGCAAAATCTCGCCTCGTTCAAAGGACCGATACGGGCAGCCCCCCCCATTCAACTTCCCGATTGGAGCCGCAGCTCAACTGGGGTTGAGCAACATGCAGTCTTTGTTGCGAGTCTGCCAGTAATATTATTTACACGAATGGATGGATGGATGGGATGGAACGGTGGTTTTTCTGGTTGGGTTCAATTTTTCTCGGAGGATTCCTGCAAGCTTTGGGACCGAATTGCCGCGTCCACTCGGATGCTTCCGGGGAACAAACCTACCACCACCCTTTGTTTGCTTCCACTCCCCCCTCTATTTTACAGTGCCCTCTTGTCGTGTCATCATGAGACTTTTATCAAGTCGTCTTGCTTATAATGGGAGAATAGTCCATTGAGGAAGTGTCACGTCAGAATCAGCTCCCTATAGGTAGGTAGACTTATTACCGACTGTCAAAACCCGCTGAATCTACTATTGGCAGCGTGCATGCCGTCTAAGCCAAGCGACGTAATAAAAGGCGTCCACAATGCCTCCTCCGAATTGACCGAGATAACAAGAGCAAATGCATAACGCTGAGAAAGATTAAAAAAAAAAAAAAAGCCACAAGGCGCGAGTAAGCCTGCAACATCACATCACATCACAGGACAAGACATACTATGTAGTACTGCTGTACATACATAGCATGTAACAAGCTGCCGAGCGAGCAAAACAAGGTGATCCTGAGCAGAACGCCAAAACTGGGTCGGAAATATTATCCGATGATGCATTTCATCGCCCTATCAGGCGTGCTACTACATAGTACTAGTAGTACTAGCATACCTACAGTACTCGTACAGTAGCATCACTATCTATCAGGGGAGGGTCAAGACCCCGTATATCATCTCGGGCGGACTATTTGCGCTCGCTTCTTTGTTTTCTTTGTTCCCACTCTGGCAAGCCCACTCACCACTGATCCATGACCATGAGGTGCTGCTGCTAGAATCCACGGGGGGGCACGTGGAGAATATCGCCGAGGTGAAAGTGGAAGCCTGGCGATCTCTTTGTCTTCCTATTTCTCCGTCAGTTGAACTAGTATTCCAGCATCGGCTGTCGTGGTGGCGATTCAGTCAGTGCTAAGATAATACGGATAGTCTCAATCAAGAGAATGATGCCGGACTGACTGCGGGCAATTGAAGCTTAATTCGCAAGAGCCTCGCCTAAAACACAGTCGACACAATAAGTGCCTTAAAATGAATACCTACTTCATCGATAGAGTTGCTTACAAGTCCCAAACGCTTTTCTTTACCCGCCCAGTTTAACCGGCGAAATCCTCCACGGAGCTGAGCATATTCAATGGCACACCATCTCTTAACTTTTTTTTTTTTTTTACCAATCTTGACTCGCACATGGCCGGGCTCGTGCAGGAAAACTGCCCGCACCAATGAAAAGCACCGGCACCTCTTTGTGACGCAGGCAAATACTAGTAGTAGAGAGAAGAGATGAATGAGGAGATAAAGAAGAGATCCCGGTGGATTGGAACCTACGGCTTCATTCCGGTGGCATTTGCAGATTTGGGGGCCATTGTCAATCTTGCTGTTACTAGTGCGAGTCCATGCATAGACAAAGAGAGAGAGAAAAAGAGAGGAGCAGGAGAAGAAATCAAACACTGTGCATTTGAGAAAAAGAGCAGGAATCCCCGTCTCAGCTCATTGCGGGCACAGAGGTCAGATACTACTCCATACACTTACATACGTACATACTTACTGATAGGACCTCCTCGGCGGCTCTCGGGGGCGACGGGTGGAGAATGTGGAGGGCTCTACAGTAAGGTAAGGTAATAAGGAATTTTAAGCACCGGGAAGACGAACAAGCTGCAAACTTGGCTTTTGACTGCGTGAGACAAGCATTTCTGAGACTATGAGAATTAAAGTAATAATCTTCAAGACAACTCCGGAGTGCTTTCTGGCTGTCCGCTGACTCATCACTGTCGATAGCTCTAAGCTTAGGTACATAGGCTGGACAGAGGCAAAGAGGGGGGGGATTGATGGAAACGAACCACGTCTGTCTGTCTGATGCTTCATGATGATGCGCGGTTTGCGGGCTGGTGCTATTAATAACAGCACAATTTACGCAGGATAGCATCACAGATGGAGCCCAGCCCGGGAGCTGCAGGGATGCGATTGGAGGCGCACCGCCGATAAGCTGGCCTTGGGGACCCTCTGAGTGCGTCTGGAGTGACATGTTGCTCGTCACGGGATGATGAAAGAAGCAAGAACAATGATGTTGGTGATGGCTGTGATGGGAATGAAGAACAAAGAAGAACAAAGAGGTGCCACTTGGGGGTTTTGAGATTCACAGCCATCTCATCTCAACTGACTTGACGTTTGACTCTACATACTAATATAGTACCTAATACGCTGAACCCTTTGGTGTTTTGACACCACGCGAGGCGGCTCGTACCTGGACTAAGCAGAGCGCCATCGCATGGAGGACTGGTGCCATAATGCAGTTATTAATAAGACATACTACCTAGTACTTCCATCCAGGGATCTTGACCTGAATTCCGGCCATTGCCAATTGCGATGCTTGAGCCGAAATGCTGCTGCATCACCTACAATGTACATGTACCGATACCTACCTACCTTACTAGGTACCACCAAGAGACTGTCGGTTGAAGCAAGACCGGCAACCGCAGATACTACCTACCTATTAAAATACCAATACCAAACTGATCAAAACTGCAGGACTTCAACTCGAGATTATAGCCTGTAGCAAATGAAATTTGTAGATGAAAGAGACATGAAGCTATAGTAATACCCATAAACAACATCAACTCCAACCGCATCATCACCATGACAAATAAACGGCTACTAAGGTACCTAGGTAGTACTCCCATTTCCACTGGCTCCGCACACAAGCTACAGTGCCTGGACATGTGCAGCACTTGTACCTCCCCGTAATAAACCCCGAAAACCACCCCCGCGACTTTCCCTGGCCCTCTTCCAATCACGTTGCCGCAACACCGCAGAAGCTCGACTCTTTTTTTTCCCCTTCCACAACGTCCGCCCTGGAGACACAATCGAATCCCCTTTTTCCCTCGCAGAGCAGCAAACATGTACCGCCTACTGCGACTCTAACGACAACCTAGACAAGATCCAGCAGTGAACGGGGACAAAAGACAGGCGGAGGCAGAGCAAAGAGCAGGGAGACAGAGAGAGAGAGAGAGAGAGAGACAAAAAAAGATCCCCCGACTCTTGCCCCGAGTGTCACCGAGAAGAAACTCATCATCATACACCCCCCCGGGCGAGCGGACATTTGCTGCGACATACGATACAGCAACGCCTTGCCTCGTCCGGAGTACCTTCTTGACCTATTACATACCTACATACCTGCTGCAGATACTAGGTAGGAGACCACTGCTGCTGCGGCTTCGGTTACGCGTTGCGTGCTACCTGCTACCTGCTACTTGCTACTACTTGCGACTCCTTGCTCCTTGCTGCCGCCCGCCTGGAACCTTGACTTGACCCAACGAGGCCTCTTTGTCTCTGATTATCAGATCAGCTTCCTTTCGCCATGGACCCATCCTCGGGGCCTCCTCGGCCACCTGCTGATGCTGCTGCTGAGCACGAGCGCCAGCATCAGGAGGTCCAGCATGAGGCCGGGCCTGGCCTTGTCCAAGAGCAGCAGCAGCAGCAGCAGCAGCCGCGGCATGAATCCGAACCTCAGCCCGAGCTCCATCATCATCACCAGCCTCGTCAGTCTCAGTCTCAGTCCCAGTCCCAGTCCCAGTCCCAGTCCCAGCCCGATCAGCTGCCCGCCGTCGACAGCGCCATCGTCGCCAGGGATGACGATGCCGACGACAAGCTCGCCGCAGCCCCCGACGCCAGCTCGGACACGCCTCCCGTGGCCACCCACCTGGCTCGCTTCGAGTTCAGCGATCATGGCACCAAGATCTTGATGGTCGAGTGGTATCCTGGCGCCGCCCCCACCCTGTCCGGTCAAGATACGACGACAACGACTCCTAGCGTCGACGTCGTCTCCAGCGATAAGGCCCATGGCGGCGCCGTCAACAGAGCCTCAGGTGACGACCACGACGACAATGCATCAGCCGCGCCAGCCCGCGCGCCCCCTGGCCCCGCCGTCGTCGACGCTGCCGCATGGGAGGTCTCGTGGGCCGGCAAGTCGACCTTCCTCCCCGCCAGGGACACCGACGACGAGGACGACGCCAGGCGTCGCGTCTACTTCATGCTGCCCCCCGACGCCCCCGTGCCAGCAACCGTGACCGTCTCCTGCCCCGGCCGCCCCAGCATCGTGCTCAAGCCGCTGCCCGCCATCTTCCCCGAGCACTTCCACGTCGAGTCCGGGCCCCGGGGCGTCCTGCACACGATATGGGCCAAGAAGCGCCTGCGGGAGCTCGAGCTCGAGATGGAGGCCGAGCTGAGGGCCAACGCCGAGAGCGTCGGCCTCGAGATGGCGCTGGCGGAGAAGCAGTGGATCGTCGACAACTTCCTGCGCGCTCCTCCCTCGTCTCCTCCCGCGAGCAGCAGTAATACTACTAGTAGCAGCAACAGCGCCGCGGCCGCCACGTCTCCCCGCTCCCCCGTCTCTGGACGCCTTGGCGATAAGCTCAAGGGCTTGCGCCTGGCCACGTCGCCGGCAGACTTGGTGCCGAGCCCAGCAGGTAAGCCATCTGATTACTCGTCTCATCCAACCCCCATCATGCCCATCCCACTCCTGATAGCGCTTCGCCTCGCCTCGCCCGCTCAGTCTCGGACTAATACAATGAGTTGCCCCGAAACCAGCAAACACCTTCACCAGTCCCGACAGCCAGTCCCACATGCTGTCCCCCCTTGGAGGTGACATTGCCGTGTCATCCTTCTCGGCCATTTCGCGCAGCCGCCCAACCGGCCCGATGTCCCTCGATGCTGCCCTGAGCGGCGGCACAGCACCCTCGCAGCCTGACGCGCAGGATGCCGAGGATGGCCTGTTTGCCCTGCCCATGAGCCCTCGAAGCCCGGACATGATCAAGAGTCCCTTTAGCGCCCTAGGCGTGGGCCTCTAAGGTGAGGACAAGGCGCCTCTTGCCTTCTCTTTGCCCTGGACAAGGGAGTAATAGGTGAGAGGGGGGGGAGAAGTTGTGAGAGGAGCAAGGGAGAGCCGGAGAGGAAGAGAAGACCAAGAAACAATCGATATCCGATATCCAGCATTTTCCTGTAGCCTGTTGTCCATATTTGTTAACTTTTGATACGATACCCTTGAACGCAATCGTTTGTTTCATAGTCAAGGCGATATTAGAGTCTTTGTTGATGGACATTTATACACTCCGTTCTGAACGATTGTTGCTATCTAGATATACATTATGTACGCCGTAGCCTTGTGCCTATCACCCAATGTCCCCAGTACTCTTGTATGAACTCATATGGCTTGAGTCCATGAGCTGCCAGCTCCATCCAGGTCCTCCTTGCATAGATCATGGATGATAACTATGTAAAGAATAGCCTTCTATTGCAATCCTGAAATGTATCATATCTGAAAAGTAAAAAAAAATAGCCTTCTACAAGGGTATATGTCGAGTCATTCTACCTCTAGCGAAAAGTAATGAAACCCAACCATGATGTCCACGACAGAAACACTCAAGAGATACCCCTAAACGATCAAAATGAACCCGCTGTTCCGACCCAAGAAAAAAAGAAGAAAAACGCCAGCCAAGCCCTCATCACTTCATGACAGCAAATCCACCAAGCAGAATCCCCCCCCCCCCCCCAAAAAAAAAAAAAAAAAAAAAAAAAAAGCACCCCTCACCTCCACCCCCCAACCCTCCCCTCATCCCACCTCTCCTTCCTCTCCTGCCTCAGATAAAACTGCACCTTTGCCTCCCTATACCGACGTATCCAGTCCGCCGCCTCCCTCTCGCCCGTTGCCGTCGCCGTCGCCGTCGTCTTGTCCCCCCTCCCGTGGTCAACGGCGGCGTTGTTGTCCTCCAGGAAGCTCTCCTCCAGGGCGTGGCACACGGCGGCCTGCTCCTGGACGCTCTGCGCGAGCAGCTGGTAGAGGGCGGCGGGGCTGAAGCGGGCGAGGGCCGTGTCCATGTCCGTCTGCTTCTGGCGCCACTGGCGCTCGAGGGCGTGCATGGAGAGGAGCTGGGCCTGGGTGGCGGAGCGCTGGCGGGCGAGGCGGGCTTCGGACTCGAGGAGGCGGGTCGCGAGGTCGATGTTGGAGGAGAGGGCCGAGGAGAGGGCCGCGTGGGAGGCGCGCAGGGAGGGGTGGATGGCTTGTGGGCTGTTGGTGAGGGCGTTGAGGAGGGATGGGCTGGAGAGGATGTCGGCGATGTCTTGTTTTCTGGGGGGTTGTCAATACAATGTCAGCATTTGCTCTTATCGTCTCTCTCTCTCTCTCTCTCTCTCTCTCTCTGTGTGTGTGTGTGTGTGTGTGTGTGTGTAGTCTCCTTGGTCAAAGGGGAAAAACGCACGACTTGTCTTGGACGACCTGCGGCAGCCACTGGTCGCCCGGATCAGGAATCTCGGCCGCTCGGGTTGTGCTTGATACCGGGGGGGGAGGAGGAGGAAGAGGCGGCGTCGCTGCAGCTGCGGCTCCGGCTCCGGCTGCGGCCGAGGAGAGGACCGAGGCCCGGTACTGCTGCCCCGCTTCGGAGAGGGAGGACGGCGGCGGCGGAGGCGCGCCCGAGGTTGGGGTGCCGATGCGGCTGGGCTCCTGGCTGCTTGGTTTCGGGGGGAGGATCGGGGGCGTTGGGGCGTGGGAGTCTGGTGGGAAGCTGGACATGGTGGTGGTGGCGATGATGAGGAGATGTTGTGAGGAGGGAAAAGAGAGACGGATTATTGTATGGAAGAGTGAGGTTGAGGTTGAGGTGAGGTTTAAGGTATGACGGAGCTTGAGTGGATGTTGTGGGGGTTGCGGCGCTAGTCCGGATTCAGCCGGTGGACGCCTCGATAGGTACCTAGTCCATCTGATAAAGAAATGCGAGATTATGTACTTGAGTCGACAGACGGTAGATCTGATGTGAATGGAGGATGGAATCAGGATACCGTTACCATCAACAGCTGTGTTTTCTGGAACCTGTGAGTCGAGTTGGGATGATTGTAAGTAGTTCGTCAGTGCTGCGACATGTCGTATAGGTCTATCTAAGGAGATCATGGACGTATATGACTATTGTCCGTTTGAGGAGCTCGGGGATGCCATGTCGATTTGGAAATCTCTCTCCGTCACTGTGAATAACGTCATCCACCAAGACATCCCAGCAGCGTTGTGGTCTCGCACGATAGCCAGGCCAAAGCTGTCCAATCTCACAGCAAACTACCTTACCACGTACTACCCTGCACTCCCTACAGGAACTCAATTTCTCGATGCCTTGAGGACGACCACTGTGCCATCTCCATATGCCATCATGTCTTTAACCATGCATAATGTTTTGTGTAGCATCGTCTTGCAGTTATAGCAGCTGCTAAGTCATAGAATATGCGACGGCCACATTATTAGCCCAAGGAGCTGCACCTCATAAATAAATGAAATGCCCACCTCTTCGTATTTAACGATCCCGCCGCTCCCGGCTTCCCCGCCATCACGCGATAATCTATGAACAGGGTAAACTCTATGACCTCATGACGAGCTATGAGAGAAGAGACAATTACAATTGCAGAGTCAAAAGGATGCCAAGCTCGACAGAAAGCGATAGAAGTAAGTAGAGAGTGCTTTCTCAATCATGATGCTCTGGCGGCCTTGAGCCGACTTGTCCCGAGTTTCGCAGGCAAGAGTGTGTCGGGTATAAAGTCGAAGGATTCGACATTGCAGAAACAGGCAGACATATAATGAGGCGACAGGCCAATCACAAAACCACCAATAAGGCCACACACACACACACACACACACACACACACACACACAGACAGACACACACACACTCCCGTAATAGCCGTGTGAACAGACTGGATAAATGCCCATCATCATGCTTAAACTTGCAGCTAGATTGGACCTGAGAGTCAACATTATACGAGTAGTATATGCTATTACACTTGGCATACGCTTGCCATGGCACGACGCTGTCAAGAGTCCATGACCATGACAGCACAGCAATGCCCATGAGTCTCGATGCCGAGGCGGATTATCCGTGATGATCGACAAACATACCGTCATTTGGCATCTGCAAAACGAACCATGGCCCGAATGCCCTCCTCCTCTCCGCCCGCTATTTTAGCTCTCCCGGAAGGGTCCGAGATGGTATGTATGTAGCCCGTTGCCCAGAAATGCCTTGCGCTTTGGGATCCTTTTTCTAGTCTGTCTTCTCCTGTGACTCTGTCCCTTGAAGTTCTCAATTTCATATTCTACCCATATTGCTCTCTCTCTCTCTCTCTCTCTCTCTCCCCCTTGTCTTGAGTTTTGAGCATGTGAATGAGTGTCCTCGCAAATCAAATTTGGACGTCTCTGTACTTGAACCTCGCGCCTCACACTTTGAGACTTTGAGAGTCTCAATCAAGAGGACCGATCGTTAATTACATACACATACCTACATCGAATCAAGGGCTAAAGAGGATGGGCTTCATCGAGCTTGTGGCCCAGCATGTCTCCATCAAGGCCATCTGCCTCGTCACACTCACCTTATGGGTGGCCCGGATGACCATCAACCGTATCAGAGAGCATCGCAAGATCAAGAGCATGGGCAACTATGGCCACGCTCTCCAGCCTCGTCTTCCATTTGGTAAACCATCAATACACATCTCTCTCCTTCTCTCCCTTTCTTCCTCTCACTCACCATCATCACCAACACCATCATCATCATCATCATCATCATCATCACCCTTGACCACCAGACTAACCTCGTCTCAACCACACCACACAGGCATCGACTTCATCTACTACGGCGTCCGCTCCACCATTGCCCACAAGAACCTCGAGCTATGGCGCGACATGTTCTTCGCCAACGGCACCTACACCTGCGAGATGCGCATCCTCAACGAGCGCGTCGTCCTCACCGTCGACCCGGACAACGTCAAGGCCGTGCTGGCGACGCAGTTCCACGACTTTGGCAAGGGGCCCGACTTCAAGCGCGAGTGGTCCGAACTCCTCGGCGACAGCATCTTCACCACCGACGGCGCCCAGTGGCACGACAGCCGCCAGCTCCTCAGGCCCCAGTTCACCAGGGAGCGCCTCAGCGACCTGCACTGCTTCGAGACGCACGTCCAGGCGCTCTTCAAGGCCATGGCCAACGGCGGGCCGCTGCACGGCGAGGGCCACGAGGTTGACCTCTCGCGGGCTGATGGGCGGCGGCTCGACATCAGCGAGCTCTTTTACCGATATACCCTCGACGTTGCCACGGACTTTCTCCTGGGCAGCGACGTCAAGTCGCTCTCGTATGTTGTTCGCCTCCAGATCCCCCCCCCTTCCTCCGTCCTCCCCAAGTTGTGATAGGCAATATCCGTCTCCAGCTGACCCAAGATTCGATCGCTCTCAACAGCACCCCCAAGCACGACATTGCCGAAGCCTTTGCCGAAGCCCAGCGCCTCCAGAACATCATGGTCCGCGCCTCCCGCCTGCGCTGGCTCATCCCCAAGGCCGCCTACCGCGCCAACATCCGCAAGATCGACGCCTTTGTCAACGGCTTCATCCAGCGCGCCCTGCTCATGAGCCCCGACGAGCTCGCCGCCCGCTCCTCCTCGGACAACGACAACGACAACAACAACATCAAGGGGACCGGCGGCTACACCTTCTTGCACGCCCTCGCCGGCTTCACCCGCGACCCAAAGGTCCTGCGCGACCAGATCCTCGCCGTCCTCATCGCCGGCCGCGACACCACCGCCGCCACCATGTCCTGGGCCATCTACGAGCTGAGCCGCCACCCGCACGTCGTCCGCCGGCTGCGCACCGAGATCCTCGAGACCGTCGGCCCTTACGACGGCAACGACGACGACGACGACGGCCGCCGCCGCCTGCCCACGTACGAGCACCTCAAGAACATGCCGTACCTGCGCGCCGTCCTCAACGAGACGCTGCGCCTCTATCCCGCCGTGCCGTTCAACGTCCGCGTCGCCCTCCGCGACACGACCCTCCCGCGAGGAGGCGGACCCGACGGCGCCGAGCCCCTGCCCGTCCTCAGGGGCACAAAAGTCGGATACTCGACCCTCGTCATGCACCGCCGCCCCGATCTCTACCCGCCCGCCTCCGAGACGTTTGCCGACCCGGCCGTCTTCAGCCCCGAGCGCTGGCTAGTCTGGCACCCTCGGCCGCACGACTACATCCCCTTCAATGCAGGCCCGCGCATCTGCATCGGGCAGCAGCTCGCGCTGACCGAGATGAGCTACACGCTGTGTCGCATTTTCCAGCGCTTCGAGCGCGTGCAGAGCTTCATGGGGGAGATTGATGGCGGTCAGCCGTTGCTCAAGTCGGACATTATCCTGTCTCCGGGACAGGGGGTGCATGTAGCGTTTTGGGAGGCGAAGACGGGAACCAACTCATGATAAGATGATGTGAAGAGTCGAGAAGGCGATCTTGAGGACGAGAAAGGAAATGAAGAGGAGGAATAGGGGAGGGGTGAAGAGAAGACAAGGGTTGGAGGGGGGCATCTGCTCCCGTTATATGTACCTGTATTATAATCTTACCCACTGAGCTCCTCTCCATTTTGTAAGCTGACGACAATTTTCTCACCTCGTCTGGATATCAAACCATGAGATGATGCACACTTCGCTATGGGAAAAAGGCCTATGCTGCAACAGTGAGGCACCTGAAACCCCCTTTGATCAAACGCAGGAGAAACGGAAATTGCAAAGCAACAAGATCGAGAATAACGACCATTACCATACATGTCATTGTCATACGCCTCATACAGACATGTATGCAGCAAGCCAGCCCACCACAGCACATCTCACCTCCTCCCAAAGCTATCCTGAACGGCTTTCCCAAACCTCGCAATCGCCGCATTCATATTCTCAGGGCTGGCCGCGGCAAACGTGGCGCGAAAGTGCAGACTCGTCAACGGAGCGTCCTTTTCGGTCTGGAACCACGATCCGCGGGCAACCAGCACGCCGCTCTTGATGCACGAGTCGAAGATTTCCTGCTCAATTTCCTCGAGGCTGCGGGTGCCCGCGCCGGGATGCTTGGTGTGGTCGACGGTGAACCACAGCTGCCAAAGGGGAGAAGAAATTTGATTAGAGAAAGCAAAAAAGAAAAAATTGTACTTGAAGAGGGCTTGGGAGAGAAGGGCAATCGACTTACAAACATGCCGGCGGCAGGGGGCGTCCAGCTGACGAGGTCCCGCGGCAGGTTGTCCTCACAAGCGGCCAGCAGCGCATCCCGCTTCTTGGTGTACTCCAGCCGCAGGTTCATCAGCCACCGCAGGTATCCCTCGTGGCCCCATGTCTCATCCAGCAGCTTGTGGACAATGACCTGCGAGAAGCCGCTGGGGCCCTGGCTGGCCACCTCGGCGTGGCGCTGGTATCGCTCGACAATCTGCTCCGAGGCGACGATCCACCCGAGACGAGATCCGGGGACCAGCACCTTGGAGAGGGAGTCCATTCGCATCACGCGGCCATCGACGTCCATGCTGACGTACGTGGGTATCAAAGACGACACAAAGTCCTCGACGTTGCTCGGCGCAGGGGCGTCAGGCTGGCCACGGCCTGTGTACGGCTGCATCTGGAGGAAGTAGTACGGCTCGTCTTCGAGGATGAACAAGTCGTGCTTTTGCGCAACGCGGTAGATGGCCTGCCTCCTTTCGAGGCCCTGGGTCGCTCCGGTTGGGTTCTGTCCCGAGGGGACGGTGTACAGGAGATGAGGCTTTCGAGATCCCCTGGCCTTGGCATCCCAGCTGCTGAGAAGCTCATCCATGGCCTCGGGAATGAGACCCTGCTCGTCCACGGGCACACCAAAGGCCTTGACGCCGAGGGGAGCGATTGTCTCGAGGGCTGTTGAGAAGCTAAAGTCTTCTGTCAGGACCGAGTCGCCGCGGTTCTTGTCCAGAAACATGCGCAGCGCCTGTTCCAATGCCCCGGTACTGCCAATGGTCTGGCAGACCCTCCAGTCGGCGTAAGGGGGCTTGCAGACGATCTCGGTGTGCTCGGTCAAGAAGCGAAGCATCTGGGCAGATCCCGTGGACTGGCCATAGTTGAGAGCAATGGACAGATCGTAGGTGCCGTCCCGGTCGCGAACGTCGTATTTGCCAATGCTCACATGCTGTCCATGGCGGGCTGTTGCCTTCTCTGAGAAGTCTGGCGGCATGGCGACCTTCATGTTGAGCTCGTCGAGGGGAAACAGCTCGCTGGAGGGAAGGCCGCCGCCGAGGGAGATGAGTCCGGGCTGCTTGAGATGCTTGGCAGCTTGCTTGAGAGAGCACGGCTCTCTCGATTTGCTCTCTGCACTGAGGTGGTCTACATGTGGCCTCTCCAGTCAGCTGATGATCAGAGGAACCTTGGTATGTATGCTTGTCATGTCTCGTGTTTAAAGAGATGGCGGTTCCGGGTGGACATACCGTCCCATCTTTTTGCTTTTGGTTTCCCCGTTTGCTGCCAGTAGAATGTGAGCTTCTCATATCCATACAATCGCAGCATATGTGCTCATCAGTTCCGCCACACTTACAGGACCCTTGAACATGTCACTGTCCGATGCCGCAGCAATGCCGGCCACCAGCTTGCCCGCCCTGGCTCTCCTCGCGGCAATCTCACTCAGCAGCGACGGTGCGTATTCCGCTTCATGCGTAGCTGGCGGAGCTGTGGCAGCTGCCTCGGCGCTGTTGAGATGGCTTGATCTGCTGTGAAGGCATCTGGCTGTGCGGAGAGACATGGCGGCGGTGCCATGGCGGGAGACGACGAGGGCCCGGAGGCGGGCAGCTCTTGCAACGGGGAGCATGTTGGCGTCAAGGGTCAAAGCTGAATGTTTGTAGTTGCAGCGTAGTTGCAGCGGTGGCTATATGAGTAGAGGAATCGCCTCTATATTCAGCTTTGTGGTAGGAGTCGCCACTGCCAGCTGTGAGTGCATATAACTTGGGCCTGCTACAAGATGTCTTGGGCAGAGCTCCTTGTCCAGGTATTAGGTATGTATGTATGTATGTATGTGGTCAAGTTGATAGCAAGGGGACGAGTACTTACAGCTCGACCTATACTGAAAGAAGATGAAAGAAGCGGAATGATGGCAGTGTGTGATATCAGGTAGATAGTATGAAGATATGAAGAAGGAGGAAATGGAGGTGAACAAAACAAGTACCTTGGAGATCAGTCACTCAGTCACTCAGTCACTCGGTCACGCAGGAGTCGATAGCGATACGGATGTACATGCATGCACATGCACCTCCAGCCCCCCCCCCCCCCCCCCTCCTTCAAGCCAAATCCACCGTCTCGACATACCGATAATGCAATAAGATGGACAGACCGGCGTCAAGTCATTTGTCAAGCCGCTCCATAATCGGCATTTTCTTGAGGGGGGTGCGACTTGGTATTACTTAGTAGGTACGCTTTTACGCGATAATAGTTGGGTGAGCCGGTCCGTCAATTCGGGGGAAGCGCCGGGATCGGGGCTCGGCCGCGAGTAGCCGCCAGTATCCCGTGATTCCTTGCATCTGAGTTGGCACTGGATTGGAGGGGAGGGGAGACAGAGACGTGTCGAGCGTTCTTCCAGCTGGGGAATTACGTACAAAATGGTGCTTGTCAAGCTTGTATTGATAGCTTGTCGTACGCTAGCTAGTAATACTATGACAATGGCGCGCCCTGGCAGTAACATGACGGATGAGGAGAAGGGTTACAAGTTACATGTAGGGGACCAGATCGGGGGAGCTGCTATTTTAGGGCGTGTTTTGGAAGCTGTGGGTTCTGACAAACTGCCTACTTGGGCAGTAATTGTGAGATGATATTGCCGGCAGACGTTCAGTTATCAATAGGAACCTAGCTGAACATGGCACTGTTTGCCTTCCGACAGCGGCATCTATTATTGCACTGTATCGATATTGAGTGTCTATATCATCTGCCGGAGCACTTTGATGGCGATATTGGATCAGTATGATATGAACGGAGAGATGAGCGTTGCTTCGGTATTGAGGTAGCAACGTAAGGTACCTTGTTCTTTATATGTTGTACTGTACCTTACTGCCCGGAATAGGTACCAGATTACCCATGATTCAGGCACTTTTTGGCCTTGGCTAAATTTCCCTCCAAGTGGCAATGTCAGATGGCAATTCAGTGCCCTTGTTTGGTTGGTCAATGGCTGATTAGATTAGATCTGATCTCATTGTGCTCAAGTGTGAAGCTTGTGTGCTGGCTTGATCCTACCAACCTAGGTACCTTACTTGGCTCTCACCATGACTGCTGTGTGCGTACATCATCGACATATCTAGACCTACACCACCATTCTTCCATCAACGCAGCACCACCGGTATTCTACGCATGTACCTTGGTTCAATCATTGACTCTAGCCATTAGCTCTCAAGATGAACTAGACAAGTACATTCCTCTGTCATCGTCATGAGGTCTCTGAATCTGCCCCTCTGGAAGCTACAACACCTCCGCGCTGCTTACATAATACCACCAAGCTCTCCCCAACTACCTTACACCTTACACCTCACCTTACCTCACCTCACCTTGTTGACAGCCGGACCCTCTCCCTTGCCAAACGATGGCCTCACCACTACAATAAACGCCGCCTCTGCCTCCGCATCGCAGTACCACTTCGGCGCCCACCCATGGACCAATGCTAAGCCGCCGCCCCCCCGGAAATGACTGCGACTGAGACTGAGCGTCTGCGCTGCGAATCCCCGACAGCTGCCGCCTCTGGGCCTCCGCCTTCGCCATGTACTGGCCCATCGGAACTCCGCGCGTCCATGCCACCAGCAGCAGCAGAGCCTCCGACGCCAACATCTACGTCTCCTACGACGGCCTGCAGAGCCTCTCGGGCTCCTCTCTAGCGTCGCCCCAGCCCGAGGCCAGCGCCCAGGCGCCGCACGACGACTCCGACGATGCGCAGCCTCCTCCGACGCCCATCACGCCCGCAACGCCCGCCGTCAAGCCCGTTGATCGCTACGAGTTCTTCCCGGACGGCGGCGCCGCTGCCAAGAGCCAGGCGGCAGACGACGGGAGGGTGCCCTTGAAGGACCCGGTCCTTGCGCTGCGCATTGCCCGCACCGGGCAGATGTTTGCCGTCATCACGGCGACGTCAATTACTCTCTGGCAGACAAAGGTGAGCTTCCCATGTCCCTCCTTCTGTAAACCGAAGCTCGGGTCCATTGGCTAACCACTACACAATTGCCAACAGCCTGCAGTTGTCCTTGCTCTCATCGTTCGGTCCGACTCGTCCCTCGAATCTTACGGCACCAACGTCGATCTGCTCCTGCGTCCCGATTCCGCCATTCTCGTGGTACACACCTCCAAGGGTTACCTCATCACCTACTCAATCGCATCCGACAGCGAGTCAAGAGTCTACAAACCGCACTTTCCCAACTACCACAACGTGCAGAGGAGAAAACAGAGTCTCATTGGTCCGCAATCCCATCTGCGACCCGATCAGATTCTCTGGGGTCCCGGCGAAGGAGGCGGCGTTCGCGATGTCAGTGTGCGCTTCCGCATGGTGATCAAGGTCGACGCCGGCATAGAGAGTGCTCTCGCCCTTGACGACGAGCTGGTTGTTGCGACGAGGAAGCCTGCTGCGGTGCAGTGCATCCGCTGGACCCCCGACAGCAACGGAAACCAGACACGGACGGAGATTCTGAGTCGCATGGGCTGGGTTGAGAAGAAGGCGTCCATTGTGGAAATGACCCACGACCGGCCGATGAATCTGGCCACCTGGATCACAAGCGACGGGCGGGCATATGCCGTTCAGCGCCAGCAACGCAAGAATGGCACCGAGGAGGAGTCCGACGGCGCCGAATCGAAGCGGCTCTTCAAGGGACACTGCTTCCACATCCCTCAGGACTCAAGAGGAAAGGCTGTGCGCGCCGTCATCAACGCCCGATTCTCGCTCATTGCCGTCGGCTGCTCGGACGGCGTGATCCATGTTTACTCTGTCAGGGACTACGAGGGCAACATTGTGCATTCTCACTCCCACCGCATGCCCTTTTCAGCGGCAACGACGGGCTCCTTTACGACTCTGACGTACTCGCCCGACGGATACTGTCTCTTTGCGGGATTCGAAAAGGGCTGGTCAACATGGAGCATGTTTGGGAAGCTGGGGAGCAACAGCTTTGGAGCAGAACCCAGCATCTCGGCCCTCAATGGCGAGCAGTGGCTTTTGGGAGTGAGGGGCGCCGTCTGGTCCGGCGGCGGCTCCGAGATTCTCCTGATAGGGCACAAGCACGAAGCAATATGGTCGCTTGAGATGGCCAAGAATGCCATTACGGGCTGCTACAACGAGGCAAATGTCTTCCGCACAGTTCTACAGACACCAACGAGCGTCATGATATACCGGGGCTATGATCTGCCCGACTTGACGAGTATATCGGCCGAGCCATTCTTGTGGCACACTTCCCGGATCCCGTCATCATACCTGCTGAATCAGTGGCCCATCCGCCAGACGGTTATTTCACCAGACGGACGCTACGTTGCCGTCGCCGGCCGCCGGGGATTGGCTCATTACAGCGTCAACAGCGGGCGCTGGAAGACGTTTACCGACGAGGTCATGGAGAACTCCTTCTCGGTCCGGGGAGGCATGTGCTGGTATCAGCATATCCTGGTTGCGGCGGTGGAAGACAGCCGGACGTTTGAGCTGCGGCTCTACTCCCGCGAGTCGGCGTTGGACAACTCGCATGTGCTGCACACGGAGCGTCTGCCCGCCCCCGTCGTTTTGGTCACGGCCTCTGGCGAGGATTCCCTGCTCGTCTATACTTACGAGAACCTCCTGTACCACTACATCTTCGTGCCAACCGCTAGCTCGGTCCGTCTCATCCAGGTAGGCCAGATTGCGTTCCACGGAATCGTGAGATCCCCCGCCAGAGTCCGAGGACTCAGCTGGATCTTGCCGGACAGCCAGCTGAGCGACGGCGACCCTTCCCAGGACGTGGCCGTTGCGTCTGTGCTCTTCCTCGTCGACGGCAAGCTGGTGTTGCTGAGCCCGTCTCTCAACGACGAGGGTCAGTTGAAGTATGATATGCGCATCATTGCGCAAAACGTAGAGTACCATGTGAGCATGCGAGACCAGCCCCCTCTCAACGTCAGCCACTCCCCCGAAGAGACTCAAGTGCGGTATGGACCGCCGGCTCTCCGCGACTCCCTGTGGCTGTTTGACGGGATGGAGATTAAGGCGTGGACCGATATCCACGACCTGTTGACGGCAGCAAACGGAGATGGTGGCACGAGAGAGCTGCCAACGCCGGTCTCGGTAGACGTTGACTTTTACCCCTTGTCTATCCTCCTTGAAAAAGGCATTGTTCTTGGCGTTGAGTCGGACTTGGTGCAGCGACGCGATGTGAGCTTTTCCTTTTTCCACTTCGCAATCAGGGTAAGTTGCTTGAAACTGCTATATTCGATGAGGCCCTTCATTTACCTGTTCATACAGACGCACCTCGTTCTGCCGGATGTGCTACGGTTCTACCTTGTCAACAACATGACGGTGGAGGCAGCGAATCTCTCCCAGCAATACGAAGGACTGGAATACTTTGCTCATGGACTCGAAGTGCTCCTTCATCGTGTGCTGGACGAGGAAGCAGACACATCGCCGAAGCCGGAAGACGCTGTCCTGCCGCGTGTCTTGTCTCTGCTGTCATCTTCTAAGGAGTATCTTGACATTGTGTTGCAGTGCACGAGAAAGACGGAAGTCCGGCAGTGGAAGACGCTGTTTGCCTATCTCCCTCCAGCGCAGGAGCTGTTTGAGGAGTCGTTGCAACGAGGCTCGCTCAAGACGGCGGGCGGGTATCTCATCATTTTGCATACACTAGATGAGCTGGATGCTTCCCTGGAACAGTCGGTTCGGGTTCTCTCAAGAGCAATCAGAGAAGGCGACTGGGAGCTATGCAAAGAACTCGCCAGGTTTCTGGCAGCCATGGACGAGACGGGAGAGATTCTCAAAGAAGCGCTGAAGATGGCCAACGTGGGCTTGACGCAGGTGTCTAGCCAAGATAACATTTCCAGCAGGCTCGAGCTTCCTGTGACGGGGCTGGGGTTCATTACCAACGGGCGAAACAAGAACGGAAGTGATGACGGGACGGGATCCGACGTGCGGTCTCACAGCGATGCCAGCAGTATGGGCTCGACGGTAAGCCCCCTGGACGGATGAGGAGAAGATGGGAATGGGGAGCGCAAAAGAGCGAAGCAACGGTCCAAGTGTTATGCGATGAATATCGAGGGGCGCGGGTCTCTTATCCTCTATTTATGTTTCTTTTATTACTCTTCTAGATGGATGTTGTCTTGTTCCATGGGGGTTTTTGACTTGGCGAAACGGATGAGATGCGGGATCGATTTTGGGTACAACGCAGCAATCTGGCGAGATGCATAAAGGATATACATTCCAAGTATATATAGGTATATTGCTACTTGGCAAACAGAGCGGTACTTGTGTATATTTACATCGCGGCTACGAACATTATCCCTTTGTATGACTTGGTTGATGGCCTTTCTTTTCTAATCCGAAGCCAGGATGCCCCTTGTCTCTCTGGGAGCCGTTCATGCTGTGTCATGGCGGTTACAGCAGTCACGCATACAGTAGTAGTAGTAGGATTTCACAGCTGCATGCATTAGCAAAAGACTCAAAACATCAGTATCACATCTGCATCTCTCATGATCTCGCATCCTCGCCAAAAAGCATCAAGGAGAGGAACAGCGCGTGTGTTGTTCAATCTGATAATCAAGAGCCGTCAAAACTGCTGTTATCGCGGCCACACAGATGGCTGCCACGCACTAACAGCTCCCTGAACCACTTCCCTCCCTTCCCGCCTTAGTCACGTTATCGCCCAAGGAAACCCCACCATCACTCAACTTCCCATCTTCTCAACTCCCGCCTTATCACCAACCCTCGACGACAACGACTCTCTTTGGGGGGATTTCGCGTCAACAGCCACTCGATCCCGCGCTCTACCAAAACCCCCCCGATACCCCTCGAAAAGCCTCTCCCTCTTTCGCAACAGAGGTCATCGCGATCCGACTTCTGCCCACCTCCTTCCGCCCCGCCAGCGTCTCTCCGCTCGGTCTTTAGGCAGCCCTCGTTCTTCTTCTGCCTTGCGCCCTTCTTGGCCATTTCTTCTCCTTCTCCTTCTTCTTCTTCTTCTCCTTCATTTGCCCTTTGATTAGTTGCGCGCTTCAATCTTGACCTCCCGACGCGTCTACGATGGATGACTATGTTAGCGAGTCCGACAGTGACTACACCAGCTATTGGCGGGACTGGGTACGCTTCTTTTCCCTGACTATATGTTATCTGCTCTCGCCCTTCATGCTGCTTTCATTTTCCCATGGCCTTCATCTCATCTTCACTCACGGCCGCGTTGCTGTCTTGAACCAACTACCTATCGCTCGTGTCTCAACAAATGGCAAACGTGACATGACAAGCAAAAATTGAAAAAACCGAAAGAAAGAGAAGAAGAAGACAAAAAAGAAAACCTCCAACCAAAACAGAGTTTCAAACTACGAAAAGGTGAACAATGTCCCAGCTAAACAAATCTCTCTCAGTTCATCTCATCGCGCGGCAACGAGTACTTTTGCGAAATCGACGAGGACTACCTGACGGACCGCTTCAACCTGACGGGCCTCAACACCGAGGTGCAGTACTACCAGTATGCGCTCGACCTGGTGACGGACGTGTTCGACCTCGACTGCGACGATGACATGCGAGAGACTATCGAGAGCTCGGCTAGACATCTCTACGGCCTGGTGCACGCGCGATACATTGTAACGACGCGCGGCCTGACAAAAATGGTAAGAAAAACCAAAACAGCATCTCTCTGCCCGAGCTCGCTCGTCCAGCCCAAAAGCCCAAAAAATCACACACACACACATACACACACAAAGGTTGCTAACTTGTGATGTTTTTTTTACAACAAAACAGCTCGACAAGTACAAAAAGGCCGAATTCGGCAAATGCCCTCGCGTCAACTGCCACTCCCACCCCCTCCTCCCCATGGGCCTCTCCGACATCCCCAACCTCAAGCCCGTCAAGCTCTACTGCGCCCGCTGCGAGGACCTCTACAACCCGAAATCCTCGCGCCACGCCTCCATCGACGGCGCCTACTTTGGCACCTCGTTCCACAACATCATCTTCCAGGTCTACCCGGCCCTCATCCCCTCCAAGAGCATCGAGCGCTACGTCCCGCGCGTCTACGGCTTCAAGGTGCACGCCGCCGCCGCGCTCGTCCGGTGGCAGGATCTTAAGCGGGACGACATGCGGAGGCGGCTGCGCAAGCTCGAGATCGAGTCCGGCTTCAGGGAGGAGCAGATTGAGGATGACGACGACGAGGAAGAGGACGATGTCGAGTTTGAGGGCGTAGAGGCCAACAATGCCGCCAACAATGTGAGATTGATCGAGGGACCAATGTGAGAAGCAAGCAAGGGGGATGATAAGAAGCGAAAAGAAAAACATATATCACAAATTATACCTGGGAAAACAGAAGATAAGACTGATGAGGAATAATGCCTGTTTGGGGGACACATGAACAACGACTGAGAAAAACAACCAACTTTCGAAGAAAGGCCAGAAAAAAGTAAGAGAGAGCCACGATGAGCATTCTATTGACACGAGTGTGCTCAGGCTTCTCCGCCAAGAAATACACCAAAATCATGTCAGAACTCCACCCTCAAATTTATTCTACATAACGCATCTTTCTTTTCTTCTCTCTTTTGCTTCCGTTTGCACGGATAAGGCGTTTGGCAACAGCGGCTGGAGGGGGGGAAAGATGGAATGGGAGGGGAAAGCAAGGAGGGGAGCGCACAATGTTTTGTATGAAAGTTGTATTTTTTACTTGTTTTCCATTTGCTCTGTTCATGTTCATGTTCTGTGAATGCGTATCGTTAGTCTAATATTGTTACTCGGTTTCTTCACCATCACCAACTGTTGCTCGTTTGTGCTACAACCCCAAAGTGGTGTATGTAGCATGAATGGTAGATACCAAAGTACATCTATGGCCTCTACCTGTCTTCTTCTACATAGCTTGATAAAATAACGAAACTTGCAGCATCTAGTTTGCTCCTTATGATATTGTACAGCACTTCCTCAGCTAAGCCGCTTGGAATAGAAAGGTTATAGTAGTAAAGCCAGATACGCATATATTCTACACAACTCCGACGTTACCGTGATATACAATACCAATGAAACGGTACATCGGCTTTGTATGTAATAAGATACCTAAGGTACCTATGGACAATCAAATGAAGTCTATGCTGATAACAAAACACATAACTATTTCCAGACATGCTGCCGGCCTCTCCCAAGGCAAATATCTCAAAAACCATTATTCTCCCTCAACCAAGATCCCCCAATGCTTTTTCAGTGCAATCTCCCGCGGAGGAGATGGGTATCATCGTCAAGACTCCCCTTTCAAGTGCTTCGTTGCGCCCCTTGGCTCGGCCCCCCTTGCAAGTTCTGCAGCTCTACATCCTGGTACGGATCACCCCTAGAGACTGGCGACCGATAGCTCATAGCTGCGGGTATCGACAGAGAAGCGCCGCGGGCCTCGACATCCGTAGACTCTCCAAAGGTCGGAGCACGCGGCGTTGCGCGTTCAACGTCATTGTCGGCAACATAGCCCAACCGGCCGACACCAGCCCAGTATGCCCTGTCCGGACTGCGAGGGCCCCACGCCCAACCAGCTCCCACGGTGATAGGCAAGTGATAGAATCTGAAGCTGAAGATGGCAGTGAAGATGCCGATGAGGAAACCAAAGAGAATGTCGAAGCCGTGGTGGCGGAAGTCGAACCAGCGGGAAGCTGCGATGAAAATGGCCAGGCAAAAGGGCGCCACGGTGATGACGAGAAGGTAGACGGGAGGAGCGGCCGCCTGGCGACGTAAAGCCTGGATGCTGGAGTTGTACGCAATGGTCGGGTTTGCGCCTTTGCCCGTCATGGGCACAGTGGCGTCGTCGTCGTACTGCTCGACTGCGGACCCCAAGCGGGAGGGAAACGCGGCATGGACCTCTTGGTTGTGCGAATGCGTTCCTGTGGCCACGAAGGGCATGGTCACAGCAAACTTGCTGGCAAGGAACAGCGACAGGTACAGGAGGCCGCCCGCAGAGGCAGCAGAGTGGCCACTGGGATAGCTTCGGAAGCCATCATTGAGCTTGGCCTTGTCGGTTTGCTGGCAAATGTCCGCGGAATAGAGCTGACCGATGCTGTTGCCCAGCTGGGCCTCGCCCCGAAAGCCGCCGATGAGGTACTTGGCCGCATTCTCGAGATCTGGCTGGCATCGAGAGAGAAGATCGGGTCGGGGTTTGCCGCACATGTTCTTGATGCCACTAATAAAGAAGAAGCCGCAAGCAACGGACATGAGGAGTCCCAGCAGGCCAATGTGAAGCTCCCATAGCTTCCGCCTCCATATCAGCGAAGCAGGGGTGTTCTTGGGGACTGTGGCCCCGGGCACGAAGATGATGGAGACGATGATGATGATGACGACAGGGACACCGACGCTCAAGACAAAGAGCAGCCAGTCGGGCACAGTCTCGTGCTCTGTAAAGGGAAAGCTGGGGAGCCAGTGTCAGTGGTTTAGGTCAAGACAAGCCTTGGTCGACGACCCTCTCTGTGCAGATGTAGCACGGCACTCACGAGATGTTTGGATCAACCAGAGAAAAGGGCCGCTTATTGGGCGTGATGACTCCGAGGACATAGCCGACGGCAGCAACGACGAGGAGGATGACCCAGTCGAAGATGTACGACGTGATGAGGCGGATCGAGGGTCGTCCCCGTTTGGCGTCAGACCCGGAGCGGGCCATTTTCTGATATGGGCGCATCAGCTTCCGTCAAGACAAGAATATGATAGCAGCACAGGAAACTATAAGAGGCCAGGGAGAGGAGGGTATAAAGGGAGAGTCGGGGCTAACGGTGGGTATGGACGAGACGGGCGTCTAAGGGGGCAGCTCAGAACGGAGCGCAAAGGATTAAAGTTGAGAGCCCGAGCCGGGGTTTGGCGAGGTGTGGACAAGACAAGCTCAGATCTGCTCCCGTCCAGTGGATGCGGCGCCCACTCTAATGTAGTCGTTGCCCAGCTCGGTTCTCGGTTTTATCGAGGCCAAGATGGTTTCCACTGTGGTGTCGATCCATAGGGGCCGCGCGGCAAAGCAGATGCACAGCCTTTCTTCGTCGGTCGCTCGACGTGGCTAGTAGCAGCAGCAGCAGTATGAAATAATAATGATAATAATATTAATAGCACTCGCGGCAGTCTGCTGTTCTCTGCTTGCAGGTTCTCACACGGTGGGTGACTGCAGGGGTTGGGCGATTTGCATGGGGAATGAATGAAAGGTCGTTGTCTACTAGCAAGCAGCAAGTCATGCTTATGCTAGGAGGAGAAGCTGCTGCATTGCATGCCGGCATGGGCGAGGGACCAAGGATGGAGCAGATGGACAGAGAGAGAGAGATTAAGAAGAGGGAGAGGGATGAAGATGGAGCGAGAACAGGAATCATAGTCACCTTTGCATGCTCCATTTCTGCCGTTTGATGCAGTTCGACGTCGAGTTGCCTGCAGGGCGAGGTTCTTGTCAGGAGGTGAAGCCAGTCGGGTGAGTGAAAGGGCAGGCATGCAGGGTTGGCCTGGTAGGTACTCACGGTACTGCCTGTATTATTGGATGGCAATGGATTGAAGAGCACACAAGGCCTGGAGCCCTACCAGGTAGTACCTACCTACTGTACCAGCAGGACGGGGCAGGTGACAGAGCACCCCGTCCAGTTACAAGGGGAACACGGGGTTGCAGCTGGTACACCGGAGTCACCTACGATAGTACTACTAAATCCCAGTACTTACAGGTACCTAAGGTAGAGGTACCGGAAGCGCTTCGCGGCTGCAGTGAAACGAGGGCAGGTGCCTTCCAGTTGTGGTGAGTGATCTGTAGGTAGGTAAGGTAAGGAACAAATTGGAATCTGGCGGGTTGTACCTTCCTACTAGTAGTAATACTAGTATCAGGACGTCGAGGAGGGCGAAAAGCTACGCGGACAAGCGTCCATGTTTCGATCTGGATGAGGAAGTGGGTCGTGTGCCCTGCGCCTTCCCAGCGGCGGTTTGGCAGCAGTGCAAGGAGCATTAGAGAAATCTTGGCAGGCGTCACCCTTGTCACATTCGCTGTCTGCCGCCGACTCTTGGCTCCTTGGCATCTCTGAAACGCGTAGCAAATCTGCTTCTCCGTGCGTTACACACGTAATATGCTGCCGCACAATGAGTTTTTTCTTGCAAATCACAAGGTAGCGTTAACCATTAAGCATAATATAAGCAGCCTCCTCCTTTATTCCATCCACCAGAATTAGTAGGTATACATACAGTGAGCTTCAAGTGGCGAGTCTTCTACAGTTACACTATTCCTGTACTGTGGTCTCGGTACTGCCGTGACAGGTGCTGCTATTTGGGTAATAGCAGGTACCTTACTTGCACGGCTGAGCCATCCTTGCTCGAGAAGACTTAGATTCATCATGACGGCGATTGGTCAATCGAAGAAAAGCCCCAAATTCTATACCCTGTCTTGCTGGTCCCATGAATGGTATTCAGATTCTTTTTTCTTACTGCCCAATCCAGCACCTGTCCAATCTCTCCTCACTGCAAGGGCGCCAAGGGTACAATACAGGAGATGCTGCTTCTCCTTAATAAGCGGAGATATCTCGTATATACGACATGGGCTGGTTTAGCTCACTTTCATGCTGCCAGAACGTGCCAGGAATCAAGGAATAGGAGAAATAGATCGCAAGATGGTGCCTTTTTGAATGGTGGAGATTCTTCATGGGCCATCTCAGTGGCTTGCTTTCATCTTTGAGTACCTTATACGAATAAAGCAACCCTAGCCTCACTTTGACATATTGCAAAATGCAGACGCGATGACACTAGGTAGGTAACTAGGGCCAAGAGTAACGCTAGCACACCTGTTACAACTGATGTAGGTAGGTATGCTCGTCATGAACATCATGAACATCAAATAAATCATCATCTCGACCATTGGTACAGCTTATTGAGATGATTTCAGTGGTCATTAGGTAGTCCCAATGCGGCGGCCACGGCAGTGCTTAGCCGTGTTGGCGAAGCCAGGTAAGTAGCGAGATTTGGTCCTACCTAAGCAGGGAGAGAGGCTTCCCGCCAGGAGGCATCTCCAGCAAGGAACAACCTCCCACTGCAGACCATTGATCGTTCAATCACACAGAGTGCGAGCTCATTGCAATATCGACCGGTCTGGGAGTCGAAACGGCACGAGTATTGTCGTCAAAGGTGTTCGCCCTCAAGGCATGTCGATAATAGCACATAATATACAATTGCGCAGAGCTACATCATGCTTGCTGCCGGCGCATATACATAGCTTCATGTCAATTTCCCTCCCCCACAGCGTCTACGAGACTGTCCTAGAATCACTCCTTGGACGACCTCTTGTCTCTCCGCTTGCCGTGGTTGCGTGGCCGGGGCGTCACAACCCACTTGTTGACATTGTGCACACGGCGAGTCTTGTAACCGCTCTTGGTCTGTGGTCATATCCTCATTAGCACCACCCCTTTCCATCTTCGCAGCCAGGTGGAGGAGTATGAAACTTACCGGTCGGCCCCAGGGAGTCACGGGATGGCGGTTACCCTTTGACTTTCCTCGACCACCACCGTGAGGGTGATCAACTATCGACAGTTGTCAGCGATTTTGTACTTGTACTTGTAAAAGCGTTGTATGGATCGTTACCCTTGTTCATGGCCACACCACGGACGGTAGGCCGAATGTTCAGCCATCGGCTTCGACCAGCCTTACCAAGCTGTCGGTAATGGTGGTGGATATTGCTGGCAACTCCAATGGTGGCACATGCATCCTTGCTCACCCGGCGGACCTCGCCGCTCTGGAGCCGAATTTCGACGTACTTGCCCGTCATGATCTTGGTGCCGTCGTCCTTTGTCTCCTCGTTCTTGTTCACCACTGTGGCGGAAGTGCCCGCACTTCGGCAGAAGACGGCACCTCTCTTGGCTGCTGAGCCAACGCAAAACACCTGCGTTCCGACGGGGATCATGTGCATCGGCAGGCAGTTTCCTCGGAACGCCGTCTTGGCCGCAAGGATACCCGGGTCGATGACACCGCCCATGCTATCCAGCAGATCCTGTGGGATTCCGGCGCGGTAGCTGTGAACAATGTCACCCGCCCTCAGCCCATCGGCGGCAATGATGTATGATTTTTGCCCGGTGGCCTGCTCCGTGACCAGAGCAATATGAGCACTGCGTCCGGGGTCATATTCGATCCGCTCGACCAGGTGCGGCCCGGGGCGCCATCTGATAAAGTCCACCGTTCGTATCCTCCTCTTGGCACCACCTCCTCGGTGTCTGACGGTGATTCTACCGTAGACATTGCGTCCACCCTTTCCTTGGCCCTTCTTCGGAATGGTCAGAGGGAGAAACGGCCGGCCCTTCCAGAGATGGTCGTTTATGGGTCGCCGCAAATGTCGAACACCGGGTGTCCTGGGTTTGTAGGTGCGCAGCATGACGGACTGGGTTGAGCGTCGCTCGGTGGTGGCCACCGGCTCGCTGGCGGTCTTTGCCTTGGTGGCATAACCCCTCAGCGACAGATTGTTGAACGCTGCGAGGAGGAGGTGGCGGCTGCTGAGCGCCGGAGCGATGGAGAGCCTCGGCTGCAGCATTTTGAAGGCGGTCCTCGAAATTGCGAGGATGAGGATGTCGATGATGCGAGGTTATAAGTTCCCAATGCCGTCGACCAGCATGTGCGGTGGTGGTGGGGGGGAGGAAGATCTTTGTATGCTCGACGTCTCACAGACCCCAGCAATTGGCCCAGAGCAGCCTCGCAAACTGCAGATCCGAATTCCCCGGAAGCTGCACAGGACAATCTCCAACCGCTCACAGGTCTGCAGGCGCCGAGTCGGTTGTCGTCGAGCAATTCGGCGTGGAGTCGCAAATCGAACGACTCGGCCGTCGTCTTTTCGATGTCCCTCGTTGAAATTTCAACGGAGCGCTGAAAAACATTGTGCCGAGAGAGCGAGTCGCTTACCTAAGCATTTGAGCTCCCCCAGCTTGCAGTTGTGCCAGCCCAAGCCAGCCTCGCGGGGGGAGAAGAGAGCTAGCTATGGCTCTGCTGACTCAGCCCATGCCACGCTTCCACTCGTCAGAGGCGTTCCAGCCACTCACTGGGCAGGTAAAAAAAGGGCTTCGCGCGACTTGAGCTGCCAGGCGCGTCCGGCCAATCACAGCCCCGTTGCCCGGCGGTTGCCGCTGTTGACATTCGGCCGTTTTAAGCATCCAGGCCCCGCCCCGCGAAAGCCCGCCAAAACGTCGCGTTGTGAGTCGTTGCTTGAGCCTCCACTCGTCGCCCGCCCGCTTCTGGCTGCAGTACCTGTACAATCCATCACAGCCCAGGATCTGCTCCATTCTGGAAGCCCGTCTCTTAGTCTTGTTTTTTTTCTTCTCGTTTCTCTCTCTGCCGAGTATCGTATCGTATCAACTCTGTCTCTATACCGGTATCTCCATCCCCCAGTCCACTCGTTGAGCCTCGATTTCCACCCGGAAGCAGCGCAGTTGCCGCCTGTCCTCGCCCTTTGGTCCAGTCCAGCAGCATTGGCTCCCCTCGCCTCGACTCGACTCAGTTCAGATCCCGATCCAGGCCCTCGCCAGCCTCCTCACCGCTGTCCCGAGACGCAATCGACAGCTCGCCCTCCTCAGCATCAACCCCCAGACTGCAGACTGCCTGCCTGACTGTGCATGCCTATCGACCTCATTGTACCCCCCAGCCCTGGCCGCCACTAGTCCCAGGCTTTCTTTCACCCACAAAGAAAGCGAAACGGTGCATTGTGAAGCCGCCATCTTTGTTACTTGCCTGCCTGGCAATCGCCAAAAATCGCGAGCCGCGCCCAAGCTCTGTCCAGGTACAAGCACCAGGTACCGGTACGAGCTCACACCTCACACGAGGCACACCTCAGGTACGTACCTACTGCACTTTACCTTAGTACCTCTTGGGCACCTTCCATGGCCGCGCTGGCCCACTCCGCGCTCCCTTGTCCGTTTTCTCCTCAAAACACCGCTCGCCCTCACCACCATCCTCTTTCGACATACCACAGTTTGCATCATCCCCAATCGTGCTCGTTTGATACCCTTTTTCTGCCGCCTTTCCTTTAAACTTACCCATAGTCGTGCTACGGCGCTCCAGCCTGTTCATTTCAAATACCCTTAGGCCAGTCATTGACTCTACCGCGAAGCAGCAGCATTCCTGCCAGACAGCTAGACGTGCCGGTTCCTGGATTTGAACCGGCCGTTCAGAGGTCAGTCACATTCCCAACCCCTTGTCTAGAGACGAATGTCTCAGGAGAGCTTCACTCGATCTCTCTTAACCCCGGTTGATCCATCTTTCGTTTGTTGCATGCACTCTTCTTTTCCCTCTCTTGTTATACCTTGCCTGACGCGTTCTGTGCTTGCTGACATGTCGGCAACTACAGTACCAAGCCTTGACGCTATCTACACAGCCACTAGTCCTTCATCTCAGTTCATCCTTTCGAATATGCCTCCTGTGAGTTACCTTCTATTCTACCGTGGCCCAACGCGAAGTCGCCTTTTGGTCTTGGGAGTGCTGACGCGATACCCAGGGACGACCCCGTACTCGCGTCGTCTCCAACGAGAATGACGAAAACAGCACCACAACGCGTATGACACGGGCCAAGTCGGCGGCCCTTAACGTGGCCGATTCAGCAGTGCCATCGAAGGCTGGCCTTCAGACAAAGAGGACCGTCGGCGTCACCACTAGCAACGGACTTAGAAAACGCGCTGCTCTCGGCGATGTCAGCAATGTCAGCAAAACGGAAGCCGTCGAGGCAAAGAAGGTGACGACGGCATCCAAGGGCCTGGTATCCAAGGCCGCGGCGCCTACAGGCATTCAAAAGAGCACTCGCCCTACCGCGGGTCGGACGGCTTTGAGCAGCAAGGAGCTCAAGAAGCCAGAGACAAAGAAGTCAGGAGCCGGTACCATTGGACCCAAGAGGAAGGTTCCCACAGCTGCCCCCAAGGAGGAAGTCGTGCCTGAAGCGGCGGAACCGGCTCGCAAGAAGGCCCATCTCGATGCCGAGAAGCGTGCTCGCGCCGAGGTCGTCGACGCTGAGAACAAGGCTCCCCAACCTGCTGCCACCAAATCCGCGCCCGTCAAATCTGCACCTGTCAAGGCCGCCTCCGCCAAAGCTGCCCCAGCCAAGGCCGCTCCGCCTCAGCTGGACCCCAAGGAGGCTGCGAAAGCCGAACTGCTGGCTAACATCAAGAGCCTCGACGAGGAGGACCTGGACGACCCTCTTATGGTTGCCGAGTATGCCAACGACATTTTCGACTACTTGAGAGAACTCGAGGTTCAATCAATTCCCAACCCCGACTACATGTCACACCAGGACGACCTCGAGTGGAAGACGCGTGGAATCCTCATTGACTGGCTCATCGAGGTCCACACCCGATTTCACCTTCTCCCCGAAACCCTGTTCCTGGCCGTCAACATCATCGATCGGTTCCTCTCCGAAAAGGTTGTCCAGCTCGACCGCCTGCAGCTGGTCGGCATCACCGCCATGTTCATCGCCTCAAAGTACGAAGAGGTCCTGTCACCTCACGTCGAGAACTTCAAGAAGATTGCCGACGATGGCTTCAGCGAGGCTGAGATCTTGAGCGCGGAGCGTTTCATTCTTAGCACCCTCAACTATGACCTCAGCTATCCCAACCCCATGAACTTCCTTCGTCGGGTTTCCAAGGCAGACAACTACGATATCCAGTCACGTACCATTGGCAAGTATCTTACGGAGATCAGCTTGCTGGACCACCGGTTCATGGTCTACCGCCCCAGCCACGTCGCCGCCGCTTCCATGTACCTGGCGCGACTGATGCTTGACCGCGGCGAGTGGGTGAGTGAAGGACCAGCAACTTTTACGCTATGAACGTTGAGCGTTGCTAACAGTGTGGGCAATAGGACCCGACTATTGCGTATTATGCAGGCTACACGGAGGATGAGGTTGAGCCTGTTGTCAACCTCATGGTTGACTATCTGGCGCGCCCTCCCATCCACGAAGCATTCTTCAAGAAGTATGCTAGCAAGAAGTTCCTCAAAGGTACGCTTTATAGCCAGACATTGATTGTGTTTTGTTTTTTGTTGGGGCCCCATTGCTAATACCCTTGGCAGCTTCCATCCTTTCCCGCCAATGGGCCAAGAAGAACGCGCCGTTGTTTGGCATCGAAGATCTCCATCTTTCTTTGGACCAGATTTCATGATTCTGACCAAGTTGGCCGTCGCCCGCATTGTTTTTCTCCCGCTTGGTTGTCTTGAACTATGCGAGTCTCGTTCGTCATTTGGCATACGACCATTCCTTGTTGGACACTTTTATGACCCAATTGTTCAACAGCAGTGAGCATGACCTCGCCCTAATGTCGCGTTACTTGTGTACGGCACGCGAAAGTGTTAGTCCTTGCATTGTTAATTGCGACTATGAAGCATCAGGTCTGGAAGCCGCTCTGTTTCGGCTACATTGCATTGCCATTCTCATTGTTTGATATCTAGCAGGTTATGTCTGCAATTGTCTGGTTTTTCAATATCTCAGCATGGAATCCCGCTTCGCGTTTTCTGTTTTCTTTCTTTCTTGTCTTCTGTCGTTTCTTCTTTCTTTCTTACGATACAGGCGCCTTGGAGTCATGGGGGAGGAAAGGGTAACGGTATCGGTTTGCCAATCTTGGAGTCGGCTTGCTGCGGTGGTCTGGTACAGGGTGACTCAACATTCGGAGGACGGGTTGGTCGCGGCATCTGCTGCTCTCGGTCGGAGCTGCGCTTTGATCCTGTTGGACAAGCTTCATGAGCTGTCGCCGTTTGCAATCGCAAAAGTCCGCGCTGATGCAGCCCGGCCCATGTTGACGGGCAGGGTCCGAGATAGAAAAAGTGTACACATATCATGATTGGTTTACGGGAAGGCTTTCGAACCGGAATGAGAATTGACTTGTATGAGACTTTTAATTTTGTTGTTGCTGGCTTTGTTGTTTCATGCCCTTTCACTGCGTTTATCTCTTTGTGTTTCACCTTGACTTATCTAGTATATGTTACCATGACTTGGCAGTTCTTTTGTCGCCTCCCATAAAACTTGAGTATTTGTAATGCCGCTGCTAGATCACAGATCCATTGTTACCCATGAAAGATGGTGGGCAATCTACACGATTGAAGACGGACTGTGATGAAAGGTGTAGATGAAACCGAGGCGCGGTACGCCTGTCAGTTTCGGAGCGGCTAGTGGTGATTGTTGGGGCTCCCGCCTTCCATGAATCTTGCACAAGATGCTGTGTTGTTTACTAAGAATTAGATGGCTGAGCAATTACTCTGAATCCCTACTGCATCTACCTGTGAATATGAGTCTGGTGATAGGTACAAATGCAGTTACAGTCTCCCAGACCAGACGCGTCTTAGGTCAGGTCTGTGCTGCTGCGCCACACTAGTCGTGGGTCACCAGCCACACACTGATACTGTCACAGTGGCTCTTCATTGCCTTCAACCTCAATAACTCGACAACCTGCTCTCTTCACCACCCAGATCTTGAAAACACATATTCGACACCGCTTCGGCATCGCTGCGTTGAAAGTGTGTCGTTTTTTCTGAGCTTGTTACACGTGTATATCAAGTTTTACAGTTTCCAATCGCCGCACGTTCTTCCCAGGAGAGGGAGAAAGCAGGGTCTTGACGCGCGCGAGTCCCTGTTGAAACTGTGAGAAGAAGGCAGAGAGCACAGTCAACGCGGCCATGGCGCCGATATTGAGACCTCGGCTGAGCCTGTCCAAGGAGAGGTTCCCGGGCTACTTCAACAGCCTCAGGAGTCAGCCATATACGGATCCCAATTCATCACGGGCTGCCGGACCCTTGAAGTGGGTGATTGCCAGACTGATCCTTGAGGAAGCCTGTTGAGAGAGTCAAGGACTGATGCGGTTACCATAGTTTGCGATCGATTGCATGGAATCCCCCAGGCACTCTTGTTGCAACTGGCTCAGCTGACAGGACACTTCGAGTCTGTAAGTGCCCTCGACTGAGAAGTGAAGGTGATGAGCGAAGGGAAGGCGGCTAACTTAGGATTGACGCGCGCGGTGTAGGGAACCCAGAAAAGCCCAATGTCAAATTCTCAACAGAGCTCAAGGGCCATGCGGCGGGCATTGAGAAGGTAGCCTTCAATCCCACAAAGGACGCCGAGCTGTGCAGTCTAAGCAGTGACGGAGTGGTCCGGTTCTGGGACGTACGGACCAAGGCTTGTTTCAACGAGGTCACGGGTCTGGGCGATGCGATGACGCTCGTTTGGGCCCCTGATGGGCAGACTCTACTTGTCGGAAACAGGGTATGTCTCGTTTCTTTCTCATCTCTCTGTCTTATTCTGCATCGTGTTGGTCGTGCTTTCGCAGGAACGTGAATGGCTTACAGTTTCACCAGTCGGATAACATCTTTGTCCTCTCGCCAACACAATCAACCCCCCTAGCGTCACACCAGCAAACTGTGCAGACAAACCAAATTGCCTTTTGCTGGAGCGGGAAGAAGATTTTCGTCACCACGTCGGAGGGCCAGATACGGATCCTGTCGTACCCCGAGTTCCAGCCGGTGCTGCGCATGGGCGAGGGCGACGATGCGCCAGAGTTTACTCTCAAGGGCCACACGGCCGCATGCCTGACAGCCGAGCTGCAGCCCACGGGCAGATACTTGGCCACGGGGGGAGCCAATTCGATCATTGCGCTGTGGGACACGACGGACTGGCTGTGTCACAGGACGGTTACGAGGATGACGGGCCCGGTGAGGAGCATAAGTGAGTTTTTCCTCTTTAACACCGCGAGGCTCAGGGACCTTGTCGTGTCCAGTGAGCCTTTTCATAAACTTGGCTCAAGGTTAACCACGTCGTTACTCTGCAGGCTTCACATTCGATGGCAGCTACGTCGTCGGCGGTAGCGACGAAGGTGAGTCAAGCCAGATGGCATCCCGGCGGTTCAGATATCCCGGTCTCGAGGCCCGATTTCTGCAGCATTGGCTGTATCAACTTGCAACTTGCTTCCCGGGAAAAGTCCATGCTGACGCATTAATCACAGGCAACGGACTGGAGGTGACACACGTCGAGACCGGGGAGCACGTCCACACATTCAAGACGGCGGGATCGTGCCCGGTGGTGGCATGGGCGCCAACTCGATACTGTCTGGCGTATAGCGATCTCGGTGTCCTTCGAATTGTGGGGGTAGATCTCGACAGGAAGTAAGCAGCCACACTTTGAGAGGAAACGGGAGCCGGTAATAAATGGTCCATTGTTCCCCTTTTCGCCCTTTTTCCCTCTCTGTCTGGTCTTGTTACTCTCACTCAGTCTTTGATCCTTTCCGAGTCATCGACATAAAGGGGGGGGGGGGGGCAGGTGAGGGTGAAGGCGAGCCAGCTCACTAGCACTTTGCTGAGCCACCTTGGATTACATGGCCTCGCGTTATAGCACGGAGTCATCGGCAAGGAGATTTTCTTGTCTGTATGTGATAAAGATGGATGGATGGATGTATGGTCGACCTGTCTCTAGTGTCTCGGTGGCACCTGAGCCATCTTAGCCGACACGTTTCTTGGCGCCCCCCCTCGGATAAAGCATCCCGATGGTGTGGGAGGAGGGGGAGGAGGAGGCATGCTTGTTTCCCTTTGTCCTGTTTATTCCCAGGACGAAAGTAAGCAATGAGTGAGGGCTATGCTATGCCATTGTTTCTGTTGGGCTGATGTATGTATGTAATACGCGCCAAATAATGATAAGAGAGAAAAAGAAAGAGGGCTGAGAACTAAGGGAATAATTCGGCATTGCTGGGACTACTTAGGTTGCTCCTACGTGAGGTGAGGTGAGGTCAATGCGAATACGTGGGATGGATGCATGGGGGAAAGGAATTGGGTTTGGATCGTGAGAGACGCAGCCGATGTGCCGACGCGGGTTTGAAAGTGTGATGTGATGAATGCCTTTGGATGTCTGGGAAATAGTGTCGAATTCAAGGGTTTCCCATTTTTTCTTTTGTCTCTTCCTTGCTTTATCTGTCGATTGAATTCTATAGTCCGAAAGATCGACTCTCTGAGTGGCTCGTTGGTAGCACAGTTGGCATTTCACGCACAGCAAGGCACCTGCATAATAACCTACGGCGGCCATCAACGCGCCGACTTGAGACGACTACCTAGCAACTATCGAGGCCACCATAAAGCAATTACTACGCCACACATCACGGCTAGAACTACTCTGGAACCCTTTTTTGTTCCCTTTGCGTCTACTATAAAGTATAGGTAGTCAATTATCGGAGAAGGCATGTCACTTGATTACCTTCAGGGTAGGGTACCTAAGTAGGCAAAAGCCACGGAGGGAACACAAAAAGTTGTCCGCGGAATACTCCGTCCTTTTGCTTTCTCACTCCCGTCAGTCGCTTTTTTTTTTTTTTTTTCCCCCAATGTGTTGCATGGGATTTTCCGCCGTTTGAAAGCCTGGTCAGACTCGGCTTGTAGTATTACTCTTCTCGTACGGGATCTTCCGTGGTTTGCGTGTATGTACCTACGTAGGTATGAATGAGATGATACTGCATGTACATGTGTACTGGAGGGAAGTCATGTAGGTAGATACTTGTTAGTAGTACCTAGGTATGCAGACGGTAAGACGGGCTGCGTCTTTTGCCGCTGATGACCACGTCAGAATTGTTGGGCTTTCGTCGGGAAGGGATCTGTTTATTATTCGGGGGGGGGGGGGGGTGAGATGGACATTTTCTGGTCATCACCTAGGGTTCACTTGTTTGACTTGTAAGTGTTTGATAGTCAAAGACATCGTGGGCCTGGCCGATATTCGATTTGTTCTTCTTGTTTATCTAGATGGAACAGAGAACATGCATTTGCGCAGTCATGGCTTGCTCGATATCTGTAGTTGGGCTAGGGAAGTGCCCTAGAGAGACAGGTTCTTGCTGGTCGTGGGCTTTGTCACTCAAGGGTTACAAAGTAATAAGGGTAAGGTAAGGACTCCTATCCAAAGGCATCAAGAAGGAAGCTATTTATAGAAGATTCAAGGTTCTGATATAACGCCACCGGAGAGCCAAACCGGCAGTTCGAGGTGCTCAAGTCCACAGTACAAGCTCCAATCATGTCTCCTCCTTGGCAAGCCGGGGTTGATGACACTATCGCATTCTTCCTCTCCTCTGCTCTCTTGTCTCTGTCGAGACTTAAAAAACACTGCATCACATGGATGGTAGATTCCATGGGCGCACGGAACATGCTCAGGACCAACTGGGAGTTATCTTTTCCCTTGTTTTCTTTGGGGGAGCGTCATCAGCACAGCACGGCACGGCTGCTCTTTCTTACCAGCTCTCTCGTTCCGACAACGTGGGCTCCATGTACATATATGTGCAAAAGCATGAAGTACAAAGGTAGGTATGTAAGAGTACCTAGGAAAAGACCAAGTACATAGGACCTGCAACGAGGGCTCTGTAACCTGTTTGATGCTCGAGCAACTGATGGAGAAGAACAAGAGCCGCGAACGGAGACAGCGGAGATCAACGGGGCATGTTGACAAGGTTGGGGTCAAAAAGGCCGGACACACAAGGCTGGGCGTGACCATCAATCGATCCACGACGGAAACAAGCTTGAAGACAAAAGTGTGTGTGTGTGATTGTATCAGTGTGTGCTGCTATTACTCCTCGTGCCTAATGCTAAGAAAGCTCGCAGACAATGAGGAATGCGAATACGCTTGTGCATAAGGGCTCTACGACGGCGAAGCCAGCAAGAAGAAGGGCTTCTTGGGCTGTGCCATCTCACTTTGCTCGTCCAGCCTCAACCCTCACTCTTCGGTTACTCTTCGTTGTCATTGGCTGCTGGTACTAGGTGATACTCCGTAGGGATAGATAAGAGGAGGTCCGGGGACTTGTTGTGTTGTGTTGGAGGGGCTAGAGACAGAGCACACAGCTTATATCCGGCCCATTGATGGCTTCTCATGTCCTCATAAGAAGCCATGGAACTCACCTGTGAAGACCCGGGGATCTACGAAGAGCCCGAGAAACATCATGACTGCTCCGGCACTTGCACTAGAACGGTAATGAGATACATACTGTTTCGAGGTACTAGCAGTGTAAGAAGGAAAAAGTAGCTTCGCATTATGGAGCAACACCCGAAAAAGATCCATCACCAGGAAAATGTTGAGTCTTGGCAGAACCACCAAAGCTTGCGATAAAGCCGGGCTGGAGGAGCCGGAAGAGGTAGGTGACTTTTTTTTTTTTCTGGCGGGCCTTTGTTTTTTTATGTCTTTTCTGTTGCTTTTATCCAGTATTGTGATGTGCATGCGTCTTCCTCATTGCGTGCTCTTGTCGTTGTCAACCGTACATTGTAAATGTCGAGCGATTCCGAGATCTCAAAAGGAAAAGAAAAGAAGGGCGATCAATAAGATAAAATACAGCACAAAAAGGAGCCGGAAAAAGACGATGATCACGGCGGAAAAGCAGACAAAATAATTCGGAAAAGCGCCGGACGGGGGCAAGGCTCCCAAGTGGCTCTCTGCCGTGGCAGACAGGTGCCTTTCTCCGGCCGGTTCTCCTGCAGACAGAAGCAGCTTTGGAACGCCATGAGCCCCAAAGCAGTTCACAAGTACCGTAACCGAGCCCACAGCGGATGTCAGAAAAACATTCAAGGCACTGGAGAACTGACCGGCTGCTGTACAGTAGAAGAGAAAGATTGGGACTGGCACTTGGACTCGATGTCAGGGTGATCCGTCGTCCCCTGTCCCTGCCCCTACCCCTGTCATTTGTCGACTCCCTTGTTTTGACTGTCGAGGGTCTCTAGGCCTGTACAAGTAGGATTGCGAGGACGGGAGCTCGATACTTACATACTATTGCTGAATAAATAGTTGTATAACTGTGACAACTGGACTTGGTTATGATACTGGCGACAAAGACTTGATGTCTCCCCCTTTGTGTTCGGGGCTGGTCGTGCACAGAGAATAGAGGAGCAGCAACAGCAGCTGAGTGCGGCACGTTCCACCTCCCAAGCCTTTACAAAGCTTTGACACAGCAGGACTATACTAGTATTAGTCCCATAGCGCGTCCATCATGTGTGGTGGTGGTGGTGGTGGGGGAAATTGGAGGAGGAAGAGGGCTAAGAATTTGAAATAACTGACCTCCCCTGCATTCTGGCTCTTCGTTTCTGGAGACCCTGCTGCAGAAATGCTGGATCCATCCGGCACGAGGGTTGTATTTGGCACTAGCACCGAACTCGATGGGGAAGCAGTCGATGCGGCAAAGCTGGGCGATCGCAAAGTCCTTCCTCGGGAGGCGTTATCGGACACGCTTGAGTGGCATCATGTGGCGCCAGGGTGGAGGGCGGGAGGATCGCTGGCTGTATGTACTCGTACGTGGTAGCCTGACATTTTCGGTAGACCTGTGAACATTAATACTATTTTGAAGAACGCAGCTTTGATAGTAGAGTATGCAGACTCACTTTGTGAATAGTAATAAAAGAGTCAAAGAGGAGGAACACGAGCCAAACTCAGGATCCGGACCCGGTGCATTGCTTCATGCAGCAACTGGCCCCAGGACAAGTCGCGAATCTTGGCTCGCAACTCACACAGCGGCAATGGCTCTCAGAGAGCGCGAATGACATGTAGGTGTCATGCAAGTATGTACGTGTACGACCTTTAAGCAGCCACGCTATTGTATAACCACGAGTACGATCCCTTTGATCAATGCATCGAGCCCCTGGTCCCGGCAGCTGTTGGGACTCGCCTTCAACTCTATAATCCGCTACTACTTGTACATCCAAAGCGAACACGAACCGAGTTTCTTCTGCTTGTCATCGATCGCAGATGAATGCTATCGAACATGCTGATTCCAGCGTACGCGTATGGAATCGCTCTCAAGGTTTTGTCCGTCGGTGCTTGTAAAGCGGCCGCATGACGACGGCAACGCGGACGCGCCACCAGCCAAACTGCATCGCCACTCGCACGATGCGACGACTAACAGAGACGGTCGATCTCGAAAGCCATCGCATTCACCTCGTGGGAGGACCTACCTTGGTTGGTACTGATGCCTGCGTAGTAGTAGAAGTATGGGGTACCTACATAGCTCAGCCACTCAGATAACCCAAGCTTCACCTGGTCCCAAGACGGGAGTTGAAGTAAGAAACAGCCACCACGAGGCAAGTAAGAAGCAACTGAACGAAGAAAAGAGGAGAGAGCCCAATGCGATGGAAACGAAAGCTGGCAGCGTCGTCACTTCGTCCGCCAAGTAACCAGGCATGCGTCCATCCCGGCAGAGCAAACGACAGCATGAGCACCTCCACAAACCTAGGAGCGTCGCGTATATAAGTAGCGGCCCAAGCAGGCTGTAAGTGACGAGCGTGACGAGCAAGGGGACCTCGAGCATCGTCGGGCTTGGCTGGAGATGAGGGGCGACCAAAAGCCAGGGCCCTCACCACGATGAAGAACAAGGGGGGGCGCCTTCGCAAGCTATCCCACGGAGAGTGTCACCTCCTTGGCCTCGATCTTGAGCTCGACATGGACTTGACTCGATTCGACTCGTGGTCTCGGGACGCTATTAGCGAAGAATCGGACAATCAATGCTCAAGGCCCCCGGCGCCTGTTCGGCAGCAGCCCCTCCAGCGCCCTCTCAGTGATGTCGGGTGTCTATCCACTGCCGTCCGTCCACTGCCGTTCAGCATCAGCCCAGTGATGGATAGGCTGTACCCGCTGCGATCCAGTGCCTCTAGGGCGAAGCAAAAGAGCGAAACGAACCATGGAAGCGGCATAGCTGGCAAGCCATGTCAAGCCCGGGATGAGTCGAAGCGTGCAGGTCACCGTCTGGAATGAATGGATTGGACAGGTGAGGGTGAGTGGGAGGAGACGGGATGGAGGGGAGGGGAAGAGAACCTGGAAGGCAAGGCAAAGGAAGAGGAGGGGGGCCAAAGCCAGTCATTTTAGCGTGTCTGTCCGCTGAGTTTCGGCGAGGTGGATGCCGGTGCTGACGGGATTGCACGGCTGTGATTGACGGACAATGTCTGTAGAGTCTTACTGATTGTGCAATAGAGGTTGAGGCTGCTTGGTTGGCTTGGCTTGACCAACTGAAGTTCAAGTCCATCTGACAATCAGTTCATACCTACATGAGAGACTGAGTAAGCATGTATGCTTGATTCCATTCAAAACTATCGAGTTTCTACTAGGTACAGTGCTACCTTATTACTGAGGCTGTCAAGAGTATAGCACAGGTATCTAGTAGGTGCTCAAAAACATCCATTCTTTCCGCTGCTGTAATCACGGGATAGCGTCTGTAGCGCCTGTAGCGCGCCTGCCAGTGTCCGTCGTCCGGAGTGGCTCCGTCTCGGCACCCTTGTAGCTGGTACCTGGCCAGCACCGAGCCTCACCGTTGCTGCACTGGCGTGCCCCACGGCCTGCCCGCACATGCAGGCTAAATATAGCAGCGACCGTCCATTAGAAATGCAGGCTGCAACGTAGCCCGGCGGTACAGGGTACAACCGTCCCTGGCACCTGCCTCGCGCAATCCACTTCGATGATGCCTCGCGGCCAGTGCTACCCACTCCTAGTAGTTTCCCCAAACAGCCAGCCAGCCAGCCAGCCAGCCAGCCCTGGCGGAAGGAACATTGAAACCAGACAGGCTTGAGCTTGTACCCGTACGTGCGATGCTGCATGTACCTACACCTAAAGAACGGTTAGTAGGTAACCTTACAGCGGGCTCGCCTCACTGCCCGGCTGCCCGCATCCACAGCCTCCGGCAGTCTCAGCTGTGCATTGCACCACCACTGCAGTACCCTTGAGTACCTTCTTCAACAGCCGTCATCTCTCTGTTGCCTTTCCTCCTCCTCCTCCTCCTCCTCCTCCTTCATCCCACTGCCGCGTCGGACCCTCGATCTGCTGGCTCCCGACTTATCTGATCTGTTGACTCATCTCCCCGTTCCTCTCACCCTTCCCTTTACCCTCTTTCTCTTCGCCTTGCATCTTTTATTTCAATCATTTTACAGCTGCTTCGACCAATCATCCCGTTTCCCTCGTGGACGGCGACCCCCCCAAGGCGATCTTTGTTGCAGAAGCTGGGATTCAGCAAGGGGGAAACGAACCACCACGCACACGTTCGAACACCACCAGCAGAGACATTCGGACCAAACTCATCCATCACCCGCGCCCAGCTGCAGCGCTTCTAGTGCGCCGTCGCCCATCACCGACCAGCACCATGCCCGGCTCCTCGGACAACGGCTCATCGAGCAATGGCGGCAACCACTCGGGCCCCAGCCCTTCTCACGACGACTCCATGGCGCCTCGCGATGCGCATCCCGACAACTCCAGCGTCCCCAAGCCAAAGCGCCTCGCTTGCATGATCTGCAGGAAGCGCAAGCTCAAGTGCGACGGCATCAGGCCCAGCTGCAGCACCTGCTCGCGCCTGGGACACAACTGTGCCTACGACGAGCAGCGGAGGAAGAGCGGGCCCAAGCGTGGCTACGTCAAGGCCCTGGAGGAGCGACTCAGTGAGATTCCCCGCCAAGTCTCCCTATCGTGATGTTACTCTCTTATGTCAATCGTTTGCTTCTTTATTTCGTTGCTGCGCTGCCGGTCGGTCTCTCTGAGGTTGCGCGGGGAGAAAGGGGGGAGGTAGTGGGGGAAATGAACGGAGAGGAGAGCAGACGACGATGCAATCATTGCGATCCTTTTTATCATTATATCGGCAACCAATGGGGGCGACATTTCATCATGCGGAAATGCTAACCTGGTTTTGCAGAACAAGTCGAGACGCTACTAAAGACCCAGGAGCCGCCGGCAAAGAGCCCAACAAAGGGTGTTGGCATGCAAATGCCAGCCGCCCACAATCAGACCAATCCTCCTGCGGCTATGCCTATGCCCAACCCCAATATGGGCATGAATGGAGACGAACGCTGGCAATTCAACAATGGCGAATCGCCTCAAGGAGCGCCTCTCGACGACTTTGGCTTCAATGCCAACATGGGCATGCCCGTCAACAACATGCCCGGAAACTTCACCTGGGAGATGATCGGCCTGGGATTGGAGGAGCCGCTACCGCCACAAGAAACCATTGATGAACTCCATCAGATTTACTTTGAAAAAGTTCATCCGTCGATGCCCATGATTCACAGATACCGGTACCTGGCCGCGATGAACCTGTATGTCACCCTTTTCCCTAACCTTGGCCCATCATTCGCGACACAAAGTCGCACTTACTCTCGTTGCTTTGAGAAGATTCTACGGGTTGAAGTGGCTTACATATCGTATAGGGCACCAAGTGCGCGACCTCCAGTCTGTTTACGATACGCCATGTGGACATTGGCCTGCTCCATCTCAGACAAATACACAGATCTCAAAGATCTCTTTTACCAGAGGGCACGCAAGTATGTCGAGGCTGATTACATGAAGGGGTTCGGGGAGCACATGATATCCGTCGCACATTGTCAGACGCACATCCTACTGGCAAGCTACGAGATGAAGATGATGTACTTTCCTAGGGCCTGGATCAACACCGGCTCTGCCGTCCGCCTAGCACAAATGTAAGCCTTGCCTACTCTGCTGCCAGCTACGGACGTCGTGGACTGACAATTTACAGGATTGGACTGCACCGTATGGATGGCAGTGGCTTGGACGTCAAACAGTGCCTGCCGCCGCCAAAGGATTGGACCGAGAGGGAGGAGAGAAGAAGAACGTTCTGGATGGCCTTTTGCGAGGATCGCTATGCCAGCATCGGCACCGGTTGGCCCATGACGATCGACGAAAAGGACATCAAGACCAACATGCCTTCGTCGGACGAAGCTTTCGACATGAGTCGTCCGGAGCAGACGCTTACTCTGGAGGAATGTACGAGCCCATCTGGGGCCGGCAAGCTCTCGTCCTTTGGCGGCATCATCCTCATGGCCTGTCTGTTCGGCCGCAACCTGATTCATCTACACCGGCCCGACGACGACGACCTCGACCACGACATCAACGGCCCGTTCTGGAAGCGCCATCGACAAATGGACCACATTCTCCTCAACACATCTCTCTGCCTTCCCTCCCACCTCAAGCTTCCCGCCGGCCTGGCCAACCCCAACGTTGTATTTACCAACATGAGCATCCACACGTCAACGATCTGCCTTCACCAGGCAGCCATCTTCAAAGCGGAGGCGAACAAGCTTCCGGCCTCTGTCAGTTCGGAAAGCAAAGTCCGATGTATCACTGCTGCAAACGAGATTGCCAGCATAATGCGGACAATATCGCACATGGATCTATCTGCAGTAAGTCCGTCCCGGACGCATATTGTTCAACGTGACCCGGTGGCAACTGCTAACGTGAGAGTCTCAGATGAACCCATTCATTGCCTTCTGCCTCTATGTCTCTGCCCGGGTCTTCATACAGTACCTCAAGAGCAAGCCTGATGATGCGCAGACGATTGATTCGCTACGATTCCTGATCTCGGCCATGAACGCCCTGAAGCGGCGGAACCCTCTGACCGAGTCCTTCCTTGTGCAACTCGATGTAGACTTTGAAACTCTAGCACAAAAGATTCCCAGGCTGAGAGGCGCGTTCCCTCGCCCTGGCGATAGTGTAAGCCCCAATCCCTCTCTTCTGCTTTCTGCCTTTTCAGACTAACCATTTGGTGTAGCCTGCCGAAGCTCCCAAGGGACTCCCTGTACGCGCCGGAGCTGTTTGCGATGATCCGGAGGGTGTCAAGGGCATCTTGTCCTACCGAAACGAATGCCACTTTATGAAGACGACGGGCGATAACGGCAACGCAGCCACAGCCCCCGACATCACTGAACCCTCCACCGATTCCCAGAGCATGTCGACGTCAAACTCCAACAATTTCGGAAACGGGGCGTGGCTTACGGCCGAGCAGCAAATGCACGTGTTGACGCCAAACTCTAGTAGCATGTACGAGAAGAACATGGGCGGCGGCGGCGGCGGGTTAACTGGCTTTGGCGACCATCTCGATCAAGATGCCTCCGGATCTCCCGACGTGCAATCTGCTGGACGGACCCCCAACTCGAGCGGCGGCGCATCGGACACGCGACCTCACCTAGTACCGGGCCAACTTTCCGGTGGTGCGTCGGGACACGAATCGTACCGTGCGAGCCCCATATCGCCGCAGCAAACGATGATGAACCACGGTGGCATGGACAACGGTGCTGCTCAAGGGTTCTACAACGACCCCAATGGCTTCTCGATGGCTACGGGCATGGGAATGCCACAAGCACCTTACGGCATGTCCAATGGGTGGGGAGGACTCAATGGCCCAACGGCTGGGATGCAACCAGTCGGCGGTGAGGGTGTCCTGAGAGCATTGATGAACATGGGGCCCATGGACGCAATGGATCTGTCATCGTGGGACTCTGGCAACCCTCATTAGTGAGCCATCTTTCCACAGGCATCTGCCGCACACACTTACCAGCATATGAAAGCGGAGGCAAGCCGCGTGGAAAAGCATAGTCTCGGCTAGACTGGACTTTGAAAGGGAGGAAAGATTCTTTTTTTGGGCTTTCTTTTACTTGGTATTTCTGCGTTGCACGAGGAACACGTTTCAACGGGTATATACGGACTTTCTTACTCTCGCTCTACGGCTACACGTTGTCTGGATGATGATTGGACGATTCTATGGCGTGTAAGGGACTGGGCGATATCGGTTGCTTTCCTTGGCTTTCTCCGGGTTTATACTTTGCGGGAATTCACATCTTTCTTCATATATTCACATGTTCTTGGCAGTTTCTTGTCCTTCTCAAATCTTCTTCCAATCCATGCTTCACGTTATTACCGTCCACTTATTGCAACTGTGCAACGGCATGAGGAGACATGCCAGTTGAGAATTTGTGGCGGCCAGACGATGATGGAACTGGACAACTGTTTGTTTTATACCCAGCAATGAAGTATGTATCTTGAATCAGGCAACGAATTCACTTGCCAGTGTGTATCAGCCAGACACATCTGCTTTTGTGGACAATACTATGAGTGGTCTCCTGACAGACGCCTTGTGGCAAACTTGAGGCTTGCAAGACCTTGAGCAAGAGAAACCGAGGTGCAGCAGTGTTCTAAACAAGGCAGGTGGCCCGTGCACGCATTGCCGCCCTGCAATGCTCCTTCCTTGTGTCACTGCTTACTGTCCCCGCCCTGACCTCGTCTATTGGACGGGAAACTGGGAAGTTGCGATTCTCTTCTTAGAGCAGCGACCGGGGAAAGTCAGACCAAACAGACAGCGGCAGCAGCAGCAGCATCACATATCACCATCCTCCACATCAATCGATATGACGGCGGATACTGAAAATCTGCATCTATGATCCTAGACAGCAGTTGATAGCCTTTTACAAGGATGATGCCGTCATGCTGTACCGCAATTTTTGCCCATTGATTCGTTTCGGCCCGTAAGTGCCCATTGCCCAGGATGGCGGCCCCGGGGAGCTCCTTTGGCGCCTCGTCGACAGGCCATTATCTAAGCGTTGGATTGGACTTTGAAGCCGTCGGCATTGCTGCTTATTCAAACTTGGAGAACGCGTATCATGGGGATATTCACACCGCTGGCGGTGATGGGGTTGATGAAGGCGACGATGAAGGTCGCGGGGACGCGAATGGCAGCAGGGACAACACCCGGAACGGCGATGAAAGCAGCAACGCCAATGTCAATGGAGGTGTGAAGGACGGGGGTTCGGCAATCCTGTTGAATAAGGAGAGAGTGAGGGGGGTAGAAGGCGGATTTGGAGGATATCCAGGTTCGAGGCATGGGACGGCCATGGCTGTACAGCAGCAACGTCAACAACACCAGCATCAACGGTTTCAATATCATCATCAGCAGCAGCAGCAGCAACAGCAGCATCGTCTTCCAGCAGTTTCAGTCCATCACCAAGGATACCATCACAACTCCCACCAACAACATAGACAAGAGTCAGCAGGGCAGTTTGGCATCCTCGAGCTGACTCCCATGTCAGCCGGCATTCCAGCCCACAATGGCTCTGAAGTGCAGCATCGAGACCAGTATCCCACCTATCATGGCCAAGGGAATTACCGAAACATTGCAGAGACACTTGATTCTACAGCCGTGCCTTACAAGCTCGGCCAAGCCAAGCTGGTCGTCGACCCTCCCGATCTCCAAGCGTGGCGCCAAAAGCTCTTCGATGTGGACGGCCTCATCATCCTCACGCACGAGCAATTCGAGACATACTTCCCTCACATCGACAACGTCTACTCCCACCGCTCCACCCAAAAGTACAAGCGGAAGCCCTTCATCTCGCACTACTGGGACTGCCGCATGAAGGGCCGGCCGCCGGGGACGCCCAAGTCGGACGACCCGAGCAAGAAGAAGCGCAAGCGCAGCGCCCGGGAGCGCGACCTGTGCGACGTCAAGATCAAAATCACCGAGTACCTTCCCGACGCCGGCGCCGAGGCCGCGCTGGATCGGGACGTTGCCGCTGCCATTGCCGCCGGCACGGCTGCCGCCTCGGTTGTAAGTGCCGGGAGGCGCTTCTGGACGATCCAGCGGGTCAACGGCAACGGCGGCAACGGCAAGGGAGACGGAGTGGCCGGGCCGCATCGGCATACGCTGGAGAGGAGCGACGAGATTAAGAAGAGCAGCGTGCAGCGTTTGGTGGCGACGAGGCTCAAAGAAGGCAAGAAGACGCAGGTAAGTCGATCGCAAGTGGGCTGAACATGACGGTACAATATATAGAAAGACTGACATGCGGCTTGCTTTTCGCATCCGCAGGGAGCACCTCAGGTGAAGGCTTCTGGAGCTGCCCAGGAGACGGCTCGGATGCACGGCAAAGAGGCTGATCTGAGGCTACATGCCGCATGCTATTGGTACGCAGTTTCAACCTTTTCTTGCCTTTACATCTCTTGGCTTCTGACCGCGGATTGCAGCCCCTTTTCGCAGCGCGTCTGGATTGCTCTCGAGGCCAAAGGCCAGCCATACCAATACATTGAAACGGATCCCCCGAAGGGGCCTGCTTCAACACCTCTTCTCGAAGCTAATCCTCGAGGCCGTGTCCCTGCCATCCATCAGGGGGACTGGGCATGTTCCGAGAGTGCCGTTATTCTAGAATATGTATGACTGACGAACAACCACCCACGCGCAATCGATCATGCTAACAGGAAGCTTCAATATTTCGGATTCAGCTGGAAGACATCTACCCCGACATACCGTTGCTCCCTTCTGACCAGCGGCTGAAAGCCAACTGCCGCCTCTGGATCCATCACGTAGACCACGCCCCTTCTTCTTTACCATCCTCATGATGTTGTCTACGACACTAACAGTCTTTGAAAGATCAACACCCGCCTCGTCCCAACATTCTTCGCCTTACTTCAACCACAAGCATTCTCCACAGATCCTCCTCGAACCGCCATTGACAACCCGACAACGACAACGACAACGACAACGACAACGACGACACAGACTATATCATCCGCGTCTACCTCCTCTCTCTCCCTCCTGCAGTCCCACCTGACGGCCCTCGTCCTCGCCGCTGATCAACAAGGACCCTACTTTCTCGGCCCGTCCCTGTCCCTCGTCGACATCCACTTTGCCCCCTTTGCCCTCCGTCTCAGGCGCATCCTCCAGCATCGATATCCGGGATTTCTTGTGGCTGATGCCACGCCCGGGACGCGCTGGCATCGATGGCTGGACGCGTTGGAACGGGATCCTCATGTCAAAGCGACAACGAGTACAGATGAGTTTTATCTGGATACACTCGACTTGCTAACTCAAACCTCAAAAGAGTGTAGCTGATGGAACTACTGGACGGTTCATGTATTCTGCAATCCATCTTACATGAAAGATGTATGAAGGGAAAGAGACCGGCACCCAATAATACCCGTACCTCATTACCTTATTGGATAATCTTCCAGTACATACCAGACCGAAAGAATGGTATTCAAACGAAGCCGTGTAAAGCCGCCTATGGCAATCTGTGTATAAACATCTCCAACATGGCTGAATCTAGCCAATAAACCCAACATTTTCCGCCCCAGAGATGGCAAGAGAAATAATTACAGTAATCCAACACAAGTAATGGATATCAAGAAGATGTGCGGCGAAACTGGGCCGTATCTCTTCTCCGCCTCCTAATGTCGGCCCATTTCTCGCTAAAGGTGACGACGTCGCCGCTCTGCCGCGCCCGGACGCGACCCTCGCCCAGCTCCTCGAGGTCCTTCGTCTCGAGGTACTTCTTGCCTTCTCCATCGTCCACCCACCGCTGTGGATCGGGCAGATACGCCCAAGAAAAGACGGCACCAAAGGCTGCAACCGAGCCAAAGAGAAGAAAGATGAGGCCCTGGCGGCTGTCGCTATTGTACGCCTGGTTTATGCCATAAACGATAAGCAAAGAGAAGATGCTGCCAGCCTTGCCGGCTGCTGCTGAAATACCATGGCAAGTCGATCGGTAGCACGTCGGGAAGATTTCAGCCGGTATGATGAATGTTAGTGTATTTGCCCCTGAAATGCGACAGTTAGCTTTGAGCTGGTGGAGAAAGCTTGAAGCCGTCCTCATGAGACTTCTCACCCATGTTAAACATGAAATGGCAAATAGCCACAAACACGACAGTGGCGGGCGCGGCCGACTCTTGGTGGACGCCATAGTAAACGCCTCCGGTGATGATGAAAAGAATGGCCAGGACAAAAAAGGAATTCGTTAGCCATCGTTTTCGTGGAATGCGATTCGCAAAAAAGATGAAGCAGACGCTGCCAGCAATCGAGGCCAAGGAGACAGTCAGCAGATACTGCTTGGTCTGCTGTATCAGCACGTCGTAAATGGTATTACAAGGCTCCGTCTTGTCCGTCTGCCATACGGGGATTCCCGCCGTTACCCAACTAGGCACCGTTGAGTTTCCTCCCGGCAGAGACGAGTCCCAGCACGACAGTGAGCTGTTTATGGGCGTCGGCTTCGACGTAGCCCACATATCAGCCAAAGTGCCACGGTTATCGAGCGAGAGGCCATAGAAGCTGACGTCGAGAAAGAACCATGCCGCTGATGTTCCGAGGAGGTAGTACCAGTTCCCGTCCCGTATAAAGTAATTGTAAAGGTCCTCCCTGGAGAACTGGATTGGCATCGGCCCAGAAGAACTTTCTGGATGTATGATACCGCGGGTAGGATTCATCTGGACACTGTTTGAGTTAGTGCCGGGAGGGGCACCGTAGACACGCTGCGTATTCATAATGGCAACAGCAGGCTTATTCTTGACTTCGAGACTGTAGAGACCGCAGTCAAACAAGAAGAATCGAAAGATGATGGCGAGGAGCGCGGGCACGGCGCCAGAGCCAATGACAATGCGCCAGATACCGTCAACAGCTCTGCGACAATCCTCTTCATGCAAGGTATCGAGCCCGCACCGCTTCGCCTTGAGTCCATGGGTGTTGTTGAACCCGATCAGAACCAACAAGCCAATGATCTGGGCCAGGGCTTGCCCAACGGGTTGCATGAGGAAGACGCTGGCAAGCATGCTTGATCTAGACTGAGTGCTAGACCATTCAGTAGTAATCGTGGCGCTTAAAGGATATTCAGCTCCAATGCCTGCCGGAAACTGGTCAGTCCAAGGTCCAAAACTGCGGGCATAAAGGAGGGGCTCTGGGAGTCGTGCTGGGGACTGAAGCATACCAATGCCCATAACAAATCGCCACCAGATGAACAAGCCGAGGAAGGACATGTCGCCGTATCCATGGCTGCTGGTAGCTACTCCAATGGTTGAGACAATAACAAGAACGAGCTCGATTCCATAGAGGCGGGTACGGCCAAAGCGATCAGCGAGGTAGCCAAATAGCACCTGTCCGACGATGGAGCCAAGGAGGGTAAAGAAGTTGATAAGGAGGCTAGTCCATTCGCCTCCATGTGGCCAGTACACAAATGCGACAGAAGCCAGAATGACATTGGTCGAGAAGAGGTTGTACCTTTAAGACGGCACATGTCAATACGAGGAGGATCAGGTCGTATATATGCGCAATGCTGCCGAGTATGCAGAGGGTAAGGAACAACAGAAGGTGTTGAAGAGGGCAAGACGAGCAGGAGGAAAGGGGGGTACTAGAAAGATACAAGGCCGGCAACTCACGAGTCGGTGAGAAATCCCGAGGCGGCAACAGCCCAAATGCGGAAGTTCCAAGAGTTGAGGTCAAGCTCGTAGCGCAGCTGATGGCGATCCTAAACCAGGCAAAGACAAGCAAGCCAAAGTGTTAGCAGGCCGCAGCTCCGGGGGGGCAGAGGTGAAGAATCCGGTTCGCGCGCGGCAGTGGGGCGAAGCCCCGTCTTACGATTGACATCCGCAGATGCAGATGCAGTCGCAACGAGAATGGAGAAGCAGAGGCAGCAGGACGCGGGATGTGGCGATGTAGTGCAGAGTCGCGTAGTCGGGCCACGGGGTAAAGGCAGGGATGGGGATGAGGCGATAGGGGTCGAGCGATGGCGTACCTGAACGTCTTGAGATGACAAGGCAGAGCTGTCGGCGCCGAGAAAACCTCGATTCCTCCGCCCTGAGCTGGTCCCCAGTTCCCAAGGCATCGGCCACGAGACACGCTGCTCAAGCGTTGCGCCCAAGCGAACAGACGGGCGGAGGAGGGTAGCAGCAGCTGATGGTGTGCTTTCTGTGCTGAGACGGAGAGAATACTGAGCTACTGCCTCGTCTCTTCGGTTCCGAGTCTCTTTTCTCTGCTTTTGATCCCCTTTGCTGTTTGAGCGGCTTCAGTCAAGACGACGGGGCCCTCAGGGGAAGGCGGGAAAGACAAGAGCTGGCTGTTGCTGCGGCACGGGGCGCGAGAGGCAGAATCGAGCGCAATGCCGGCGGCTGGCTCATCACGAAAGACACAATTCGGCGTTAGCATTCATGACGGCCCAGCAGGATGGAGAGTGCGTGGGTGAGTGAACGTAGCGGCGAGAGGGAGAGCAATAAGGAGAGAGGCTAAAGGAGGATAGGGTGGAAAGACGGGGAAACAGAGCGAGATAAAGACTGAGAGAGGAGAATTCGACAGAGCAGCGGCAAGGCAGAGAAATGATGAAGAGGAGACGAAACGAGGCGTTTCTAGGACGAGCGGACAGATCGTGAGGTGGAGGGCCGAGAAGCAGTAGAAGCCATCGCAGCCTGTGTTAGAGAGCTACGCGGTTTGCAGCAGCAGCGCCAGGCGTGGCCCAGGTATTGCAGCATCAATTACCTAAGGTAGGCAGGTACTGGGTTGTGGCAGGCAAAGTATCAAGGCAGTATCTTGCCAAGCTCGCGATTGCCTTCTGAGGCTGAGGACAGGCAGGGAAGGCACAGCGTCTGGCAACTTCCAGCTTGTAATAAAGCACTTGTACGCTTTGGATGCTCGGTAATACGACATCCTGCACCAAGGGAAGGGGTGGAGGGGGATGATGGGAGGCGTGCTAGGACGGTCCGTGGGTGGTGATTGCCTGATACCTGGCTCTGCTGCCACTGCGACCTCGCACTTTGAGTAGCACTTGATAGAGACTGGCGTACCTTGATATGTCTCTGGCATGTGTCCACTGCAGCATTGAATTGCAGATCAGACTGGCAATGGTGAGAGAGCTTCAATCTGCTATCCTTGATCACCATCTGCTGAGATCGAACAAAAAGGGTCCTTCTTGCTTCCTGCTAGCAATGCTACCCTGCCTTACTCTATGGAGTGGCCCACTCTCGCTTTAATTCACCAGCCGCGCACGATTCCAGACTCGGGGACGAACCATGGCCGACCCGGACGGGCTAGGCAGTGGATGGCAGCAAGAGCTGATGCTGCGACGAATACGGAGGACGGGTCCATTGGCTTCAATTTGGTTGGAAAATAGCAATTGTCACCCCAACCCTCAACGGCCCTGGGGGGGAACTCCAGAGTCACCGGGATGGAACCGCATGCTGACCAGCTGAGCTGAGCCGGATGGCCCTCGGCGGTTTACAGAGGAAGAAGCTTTGGCAACGCATGCCTACCCGACTGGCTTGATGGGGCCATTGCTCGAATCACTTGAAGCATCGTTCATCAACCAAGGTAGTGAATCCGTGGCTCCCAACGCCGTCACAGCCGCCACCCACGCTAAAGCATGGGCAAACACACGACCGGCCAGAGGTGTCAGGGAGAGCACGTGGAGGCCGGCGCTGAGGACGGTTCCTGAAGACAAGTGGGGAGAGCCGAAAGGTGGCTGTCGAGAAGTCGATAATCCCTGGACTGCCGTACCATCATAACGGCGCCAGCCCGCCAGCCGCTAAGCACTTGCTCGTGGCCCCAGCAGTGGCCATTAACAACAGCCGGCCGTCCTCTGTTGCGCTAGTACTCGCCGACCTGCTTGGCTGCCGCTGTCGATGGCCTCGCCTAGGCCTTGACCGGAGTGTGTGATCTTCTCGACTCGAGAATCACGTTATGGGAGGGGTTCTTGGGGGAGAGCTGGAGTGAAGAGGCACTCTGGTCGCACCACACCGTCGCATTCGAGCGCTGTTGAGGGATGATAGGTGGGAAAGTAGGTAGACGAGGACGGATGGGAAAGACGTCGCAGCAATGGTGGTATGTGAATGGCACACGGCGCACACAGCTGAACTCCAGATCCCAGAGCCATGCTCGGCCACTGCGACTCTGGAGTGCTGCAACAGCCCTCCATTCCGGATGGATACGGCCTGCTGCACGCTTGCTCTCTCGCTGCCTGCTCCCGTTGTCCCCTCTTCAACCCTCGCTTCTCCGAGCTGCGCTTCCGCTACTAAGAGATAGGAGACTGCAGACCTGGGCTCGCCTCTTCGGCAATACTGTACACCTCGTGCGATATCACGGACGCCATTCCGAGAGCTTGGCCCCCAATGCGCAAGACTTTCTGGTACGGCATGACGGCGGCTCACCGGCCAATCAGAACACCGGATGGCTCCCCGTGCACGCTACGTTCGCTTCCAGTGGAGCGGATCTTCAGCCTCTTCCGGGAGAGAGACAAGCGGCTAGTGCTAGCAGCATATTCAGCAACAACTCGACGTCGATGGTTTCTTTTCGTGTTTTCCTTACTACGACTAGAGAAGTGCTTGAGGTGTTGAACCGCCTTGCGCCGCATCGCGCCAAAGATGTCGGGTCGCAAAGGAAGATACTAGATAGGCGCCTAGTCGTCTTATACAGACACCTCACCCGCCGGTTCGCGGGGTCACGCCGCAAAGGCTCTGGTGCTGCTCGCCGGATTGCCCAGCCCAAGTTCACCATGGATTCGAGGTACCTCGTTTGGTGCCAACCTCAAGTCCCCAGCTTTGCGTCGGATTCCGGACGGCCATGAACCGAGCAACGTAGTGTCTGAATATGGGGGGTTGGCTGCTGGGCCGCGGCCTTGTACCGAGCACAGCACAGACTGCAGTCCCCCAACTCCGGTTCCCCCATCTTCAAGCAATGCAGTGTCACCACCTGTTGGCAGCTTCACCACAACACTCGTGCATTGGGTTTGCAGGCGAGCTCTACCAAATGGGCTCTCTGCATCTTCGCGGCTGTGGGCCGGGACAAGGGGGGGTCCATGAAGGAATACAGGTAGTTCTGAGTGAGTTCGCCCCCAGCAGGCCAAATATTAGATTGTGCCGCTGTGTTGCTTGTCATTGGAGAGGCAGGTCCTTGCAGTCGTGGGTACTCGTATGTCTACACTGTCTCATACAAGCTGTGCAGAAGCCGGACCGTTGCTCGAGCTGCGAGTGACGACGCATCAGCAGCAGCCCCGCGAGATACTGACGGTATAGGCGTATGGCCTAAGGGTCATCTTTCTCCCATCACCTGTTCCCTTCTTTGTCCATCATCATTGACTCCCCCGCTCAACCCACGGGAACGGCATATCAATAGCATGAATCAAGTATCGAGTATTACAGTACGAGTGCGCCTCCTGTAGTCCAGCTCAATTCTCGCTGTGAACAGCAATCTGCCAGACGGCAAATATCTGGTGCTAGCAATGGCTTTCAGTAGGTAGCTTGAACCTTGTCTTATCCACCTGCAGCGGGACGCGGGACTTGACCCAGAGCTAAGTCAGTTCGTACATGTACGGCAGAGATTCCGGTCCTCGACCCAATGCCCTACCTCGCCTGCCACATTGCCCGTACCTAGTACTTGTCCCGAGTGTCCAGAGAGTCGCCCACAGCAGCAGCAGCGGTTAGTTAGAGGTACTCCGTACTAACTTCCAGACCTTAGCACTCCAGGCTTGAAGCCGGGAGGCAGGAACATGCTCCTAAACCTGTTGCTTCTTTTTTTTTCTTCTGCTTCCTCTACATATTCTGGAAAACCCTCTTCTTGCACTTCCTCCAATTTGTCTATCAGCAGCATTGCCATCGTCGTTCTGCTGCCCTTCCCCTGTCTCTGTCGTCTCCTTTTGTCTTATTTCATCTTTCCCCCCGTCCGGAGCTGGGGCATGGCGATAACGACTCCTCGCACCCGTCCAGACTCAGCCCGTGACGGCGCCGTGAGCTATACCGTGCCGCCAGCCTCTCCTCGCTTTGTGGCCAATGTCATGATAGCTTCGCCAGCGTCGCACCAGCTCGCGGATAGCAGTCGTCTCCGGTGACTCTGAGCGCCCGTTCGCCCCTCGTTAGGCTGCCCGCACCATCCCAGCAATGGCCGCTTCGTCCTCGTCCGGCTCCTCCTTCACTTCCTCCTCTCTCGGCCGGCCGCCCACCTACAGCCGCTCCTACGTCAGCCCTGTGGACTCGACCTGGACGCAGACGTCGGAAATCTCCACGATTTCAGCCACTTCCACCAGCGAGTCGGTCGCGCCCGCGGCCTCGCTCCGGCCTCTGGACCTCGGCCCTCCGGGCTATACTGCCACAATGTACGATGAGCTCTTCCGTCATGCCCCTCGCTTGCTGGGGCTTCCTCCGCTTCGTCTCCGTTACAAGTCCAGTCTGACAGTGTCTGTCTTCTTTTCTGCCTTGTCCTTGATATAGAACCCTATTCCAAGACACTCCCAACGAGCGGACTGTGTATCTTGGACCCTGGGAGGTGGTTGGGTCCGAGCAGCGACGTATCCGCTGGCAATGCAGTTACCAAAGCGAGCTGCTTGAACATTTTTGTAAGTGCCAGGCAGAAGCCCGCCGTTACCGTTTGCTGTTGAGCTCGCTTGGTTATTCACTTGTTTATGTCCGCATGCTTCCCACCCTTCGCCCCTTATTCCAGAACCCCCCCCCCCCCTACCGCGACCGTGCCCAGCCCGAGCTCATCATGCCATCAAGTGCCGTCAGATGTACCTTCAGATATTCACCCTCACACCCTTCACTCTCGACATCGCCAGTTCAATGATCCGCCGGACATGGAACGCTTCCTGTCCTTCAACGACCATCACCGCATCAGGTATACCACAGGTGACAGCATCTGCGTTCACGACCAGTTCATCCCAGTCAGGTACGAGTTTACCACCGTCGAGGCTTCCATCCAGTTCCAGGGCGACTTGCGCAGGAAAGATCTCGTCGACTTTTTTGACGTCGACGTGGTTTGGTCCAACCTCCAAAGCCGCACCGACAGCTTCGGCAAGGTCAAGGGAATTGGAGCAATTCAGAGGCTCAAGCTTTGGAGGGACCGATATACCACCTTCCACTCCCTGACTGTGTTGGCCAACAAGACGGACCACCAGTACCGTGAGTATGACATTCATCACTTCGAGGGCGAGCTCCGGAACCGAGATGACCGCGCAAAAACCCTCCGCCTCAACGTCCACAGCCGCCGAGGAAGCGTTCCCGATGAAGCTCCATCACGCCGAACCCTTCGAATCCGACACCGGGTCCGGTCCGCCGGCCAGGCTAGTCAGACCAGTCCTGAGCTGGGCCCGTCACATACAGCCACCGCCCTGGATATTCGCTACCTCTCTATTCAGTTCACGCACAAGCGAGGTAAGATGGGATCTTGAAAGTTGCAGAAGCTCGGGGTCGTTGCATGAAGCAGACATCTAACGCAGAGCACGGCAGACTACAAGCGATTCATCGAGACGTGGGTCCACGCCCACAGCTCCGACCGCGAATTCAACGGCGTCCCGTTTCCCCCGAATCACTTCGAACTGCCTTCGCCGGAAATCCTCCCCGGCTGAAGTGCCGATACAGGCTGAGCCATGAGCTCCTGGCAAGCTCGCATCCTGTTACATCTCGCCCAGCCGGTATGTGTGACGCGGCTGTACGCTCTAGGACCGGCCGCCGGCATTGGCTCTGCAAAGTCGGCTTTACATCCATGGATTCCTCCAAAGGGAGAAATTATAGACCATTTCTTCGCCTTGTCCCTCCTCCCAAATCTGGTCCCGTTCCCGTTCAGGGCTTCCCAGCGCCTCCTCTTTGTCAGCCGAGCGCCACTTTCAGATCCGGCTGAATTGAGGACGTCACCCAGGGCCGATTTGCATGGCGTGGCATGAGCCCCGTCTATCATTGGCCCCCCCACCACACCACCAAAAGCCCCCGCGATCATCAGGCCATCACTTATCGTCAGTGTCGTCATGAGCTCCCTCACCCGTTCTGCAGCTGTCGGTCGATAATTTCTTACCATACTTGCCCCTCTGGTTGCCCCTGGTGTACCTTGACAAGTTGGCGGGCACGAAGCCGTCGAATGAAAGGAACGTAAATAGAGCAGAGAAGCTCCAGTCTCTCTTGGAGACGTTGACACTCCAGGTTTTCTTACTGCCCACAACCACTGCACAATCACCTCTTTCCTTACGCGAGATTGGGCACAAGAAGCAGACGAGCGGTACTACGCAATCACTGTCGCTTCTAGACTTTCAATTGCTTCTTCCCTCTAATCTACCTCACAAACACAAAAATTGTCTGCCATGAAGGTCATCCTCGCCATCAACGCCGGCTCCAGCTCCGTCAAGATATCCGTCTATCTGGCCGACAAGAGGACGGCGCCGCGCCAGATTGCCGAGTCTCAAGTGAGCGGCCTCACAGCTCCGCCAGCTAAGCTGAAATACTCGCGGGGTGGTGAGACCGTTATCAAAGAGCAAAATGTGGACAATGCCGTCAACAGCCAGGACGATGCCTTTGCCTTGCTGCTCAAGACACTGGAAGATGATGCTCAGTTGAAAGAGATCAGCTCCAAGTCAGACGTGGCCATTGCATGCCACCGCATCGTCCATGGAGGCGACTATAAAGAGTCCCAACTCATCACCCCAGACACGTACCACCATCTAGAGGTCCTCAGCGACCTTGCTCCCTTGCACAACGGTGCCGCGCTGGGCATCGTGGACTCGTGCATAAAGCAGCTCCCCGGCGCCATCAACGTTGCCTGCTTCGACTCCCAGTTCCACTCGACAATACCGCCGCACATCTCCACGTACCCGATCGACCCGACAATAGCCAAGAAGAACCGGCTGCGCAAGTACGGTTTCCATGGCATCAGCTACGCCTTCATCTCCAGGTCGGTTGCCGACTACCTCGGCAAGAGCCTGGACGAGCTCAACATCATTGCTTTGCATCTCGGCAGCGGAGCCAGCGTCTGTGCGATCAAGGGCGGCAAGAGCTGGGACACCAGTATGGGCTTGACTCCGTTGGCCGGGCTTCCTGGCGCCACCCGCAGTGGCAGCGTAGATCCTAGGTGAGCAAACCTTGTCTGCCGTGACAAAGCACGAACGAAGCTGACAAGGATGGCTATCCAAATAGCTTAGTATTTCACTATGCCAGCGACGTGGGCAAACTCTCGCCCGCTGCCACTGAAAAGCTGCACATCTCCAAGGCCGAAGAAATCCTCAACAAGCAGAGCGGCTGGAAGTCTCTGACGGGCACCACAAACTTTGGCATCATTGCTTCCTCGGACGAGCCTCAGCACCGCCTCGCCTTTGACCTGTTCGTAGACCGCATTTGCGGCTTCTTGGGGAGCTACTACGTCTCTCTGAGAGGTCAGGTGGACGCAATCGTGTTCGCGGGAGGCATTGGCGAGAAGAGCGCCCGACTTCGCAGCGCCGTGGTGGATCAGGCCAGCTGCCTGGGCTTTGCGATTGATGATGCGAAGAACAATGCTGAGGGCGATGCAACGGTGTGGGATGTGGGCAGCAAGGACTCGAAGCAACGCGTCCTCGTATGCCAGACGGATGAGCAGTTTGAGATGGCCAGAGACTGCACAGAAATGGACGCGCTTTGGCAATAAACTGATTTGAGTTTCGAAGCGGTTTCCCCTCGGATGGTGGTAGATGGCTAGAGATAGAACAGGGTGTATATAGGTGCATGAAGATGCAGCGTTTGCTAGCGCAATGACATTTTCCATTGGCAAGTTGATTGCTTTTCAACAGGAACAGAGAAACCGGCAGCTGAGAAGCCATTTGAATGGAAAGCCATTGAGGTGGGAAATCATTCGGATACAGATACATAGGTACTAAGTACTCCATGAAGATTGGCCGAGGAGGAAACTCTTTCGAGGTGATTAGTTTTCTTCGACACCTTTGCATAACACACACATGGCAAGTCACAAGACAAGAAGCTTAAGTCAGGAACAAGGTGTACCAAGAAGAAAGTCAAGTGGTATCAATTAGCATCCCAACCCATCCATCCCAAGATCCCCAGAAAATAAGAGACACAAGCGAGCTGCCGTTTGTAACATATACCTTGAATATATATACAGCCATTAGCACGCCTCACGCGCACGATCCAACCAAACCTCCCCCTTCCACAGGATCTCGTCCCTTTTTTTGGTTCGTCCCAATGTGCGCAATCACGTCTAGTGGGGGAAAAGACATTCGAACCGCCCAAACGCCTTGAGATATATATAAGATGGAGCCTCTCTTTCCTTGTTGGATAACCACCCCCCGACTTTCGAACAAGAACCAGGACCCGTCCAAACCGCCCCCGAGGCCGCAGATGATACTGCACAGCGCCTCCCTTCCAAATCTCAGCAGAGACGTTCATGTGCATGAAAGCATGGGATATCAAGAAGCATAAGGTAGAAGAAAGCAGATACCCTGACCCAAGGAGAAGAAGACCAGTAAGAGCCCAGATAGTAGGTAAAGGAAAAAGGGTAGGAAGTGGTGGAGTAGAGAAGAAAAAGAAAATAAAGACAACCCAAGGCGCCACTCGTGTATCTTGCGACCTTTTTTTCATATAAGATGCCTCCCGTATGCCCGCCCAGCCGTAGCTTCATAGGTGCTCCATGTTTCCGAATGAGAATATTGTGGGGGATACCACAAGGAGTGGATATGTGAGGTGATCACATGAATGATGAATAAGAAGGAAAGGAGAACGAAAGAAAAGAAAAGAAACGAAAATTCACCCAGAACACGGCAATGCCATACATAATGCAAACCGCATACAAACGCCATTGACGCCAAGCCGAGGGCGCAGCCGCCGGTGCCCCGCTGCCCCTGATCGTATATGTTGTACCAAGGGTGCCCCGTTGGTTCCCTGGCGGAGAGATTCATGAGGTGATTTTGTACCGTGAAAATAACCAAAATTTAGGCCTCGTTGTGGCCTCCTTTTCTGATGTATCGTGGTAGAAGTTGGCGGGGTCATTAGATATTATGGTACTCTCTCTCGCTTCTTTGTATGATGTGATTGTCTGTGACGCCTGTGTGTGTTCATTCTTGTTTTCTCCTCCCTTTTCAGAATCCTCGACCTTCACGGCAATCCATCTCCACGGCCATGGCCAGAGTGTCGAGGCCGCTGGGCATGCGACCGACGCCGGAGGGGCGATTGAGCAACGGAAGTTCGATAGCGCCCATGCCAGACTCCCAGTCGCGGGTCGGCTGCGAAAGCGGAGACGTCGGCGAGAGGCTCTGCTTCTGGCGAAGCTCACTCTCGTCCCAGAAAACAAAGGAGTCGGGCCCCGTGGTGGAGGACATGCTCCGGCTAGATGCAGTCGAGCTGCGTCGCGCATTGGAGGCCAGAGAGGCCTTGCTGGCGCGCTGGCTGCCCGATGAGCTTCGGGTCTTGTCCTTGTAGTGGGTTTCCAGATGCTGCTTCATGTTGTCTGCTCTGGTAAACTTCTTGTGGCATCCCGGATATTGGCAATGGACCGCCTTTTCCGCAGTGTGGATCTTGGAGTGGCGAGAAGCGTGCCCCGAGGTGGTGAAGGTCTTTTCGCACCCATGAAGGTCACGGTAGCGGCAGGGGTAGCGCTTGACGGGGCGCTCGGGGGCACAAGATGCAGCGGAGCTGTCCTCTTCGCCAGAGGCCGGGGGGCTGCAAGGCCCGTAGGCAGGGCGCTTAGTGGGAGGACCTTCAGCGTACTCGCGCCCGAAGGCATAAGTCAGAGGCCGAACGCTTCCGTAGTAGCTGTCGCCGGGGGGCGTCAAGGGCGAGATGGCGGCTTCGCTGAGCTGAGAGTCGAAAGAGTCCGAACGGAGGAGCGCAGGGGTGTTTGGTAGCGAAGAGTCACTGCCGTAGTGCTGAGATTGCGCGGACGGCCAGGTGAAGGCTGGGGGGCGAGCAATCACTCTGGTGACCTCGTCATCGTTGAGCAGCGAGACTCTGCGGCCGCTGGCGTCGCTGCCGTGCATGTTGACGATGGATTTGTCGAGCTTTGAAATAGTAAAAGATGAGGAATCGAAGGGCACGGCGTCTGCTTTATGCCGCGCGCAGTCGGATTGTGGCGTCGAGGCACCGAGATTGTAGAAGCCAGAAGCCTGAACAATGCGATGGGAAGCTCGGGGCTAGAGTGACGAATTGGCGTCGATCAGGAACCACGCAGCTTCGATTCGCTGGTGGAGAGACTGAGGCCTCAAAATAAGAAGCTGGAGAGAAAGATGATGGGTGCAGGATAAAAAGGTCAAGATTGGCCTCGGATTGCAATTTTGTGTTTGTCTGAGGCTTCGCTTAATGTCGTTAATGACGAGGGTAGGAGCGTTTGGGGCTGCAGCAGGCGCAATGCGGAAAGAGAGACGGCAGCTGCACACAAATTGGGGTCGCAAGACTCAGACAACAGGCCTGTTGAGAGAAGATAGAACCGCTGTGAACTGGACGTTTTTTGGTTGCTCTCGCTTGTTTGCTTGTGATCTTTTTTTTTCGCGTCTTTTTTCCTCCGTTTCTTTGCTCGCTATAGATATGCAGCGCTGAGAATCAAGGCAACGTAAATGGTGACGGCTTCTTGCGATGCGCGCTAAGCCTTGGGCCAACGGGGAGTGTAATTGCTGCGGAGGCCGACTTGCAAGATGGAATATGCACGCTTGCCGCTGGTGGTTCTCGCCAAAGCAGTGGCTGGCAAACGAGAGACGGGAAGACGGGCGGAAGAGACAGACGCTATGCTGAGATCTGGCGCAAGGCAGAAGCAGCAGCAGGAACAAGTTGGATGATGATGGTGGTGGTGGTGGTGGTGGATTGTAAGAGATGCCGCCTTGGTGCTAAGACAATAAGGTAGCTTTCTGAGGCAGGCAGGGCGAGATAAGAGGAAGAATGGCGTATAGCGAGGTGGGAGAAGATGGGAGAGGCTTCAAGGTAAGCGGGAGAAGGAAGCTGAAGAGGTCGGAGGGGAAGAAGAAGGACGGGCGCAAAGAGGGAGGACCTGGAGGTTTTGTTCAGAGCCGGAGAGGCGCAACGGGAGCATCCATGCCATCCCATCGATCGAGGGATCGAGAAAGTACAAAGCCGACAAGCCCACTTTGCTCCGTAATCTGTGCCCGTCCTGGTACCGCGCAGACTGCCTTAGCCTTGCTTGGGGCCCAGTAAGGCAAGGTACTTTGTAGGTACACGCCAGACACCCATGGCGGCGGCCCCCAGGGGACTCCATACCTCGAGAGTGCTAAGGGACCGCTTGCGAACTCTACTGCACATGTAAGGTACTGTACAGGGCTGCTGGGGTGAAGAGAGGAAGGATAGGTAGGAGAAATATGATGCTATTACAGAGAATATTTCCATACTTCATATCTTCTTTGCGTGTTGTGGTTTCTTTTTGTTCTCTTGCATTCTCTCCGTCTCTTCGTGAGCCCTGCACGCTGCATGGAGAAGCAAGTTGCAGTGGGCGCTGGAAGCTGCGGCGACAGGGGGGAGGGGGGTCCCATTAGAGGCTCCAGAGGGGCTCTCTTGGTGCTCCCAGCGCTTTGCTGCGTGGTACCGTAGGGCCACAGAGGGCCACAGGCTGCTGGAGCTGGTGCTGGTGCTGGTGCCGGGCAGGGAACCAGGGTCCGGCAGGGGAAGGAGAGAGGGCGGGGCCTCAGGCTGGGAGGGGGGTGTGGAGCTGCGCTGTTGGAGGAGAAAGAGGGGAGCGACATGCGGTCACCCTGGAGTACCGCGATGTGGGCGGCCATGTACCTGTCGGAGCAGTGACTGGGAAAGGTACATACGTACTCGTACTGTCATGTCTCTGAGGCACAAGTGTGAGGCACAAGTGCGAGCCTCGTGTGGCTTGACGCGCAATGCTTGATGACAGGCCTTTTGCCTGGATGTGTGATGCCAGTTGTGATGCGAGCCTGGAGTGAGATGCAAGGTAGTAGTAGCTATCATTCTGCTCTACTACCTTATCTCTCTAATATTCCTGCTCTAGAGAGTCACTCAACACTGTATCTACTTTGCTCTGTCGCTTCGAGTTGGATTGGGCCAGTCTCTGGCCATGCTCGCGCCGCTGCGCCGCTATCAACCACTTGGGGCTTGATCTTTGAACTTTAACAGGTGGTACTCGTACGACGGCGATATGCGCATGTACATGGTGTGTACAGTACCTAGGTACCTTACATTCCTCCTCCAGTAACCTCTTTCCAGTTCGCTGCTCGGTTCCTCTTCTTCTGCCTCTTCCATTCAACTTCTCTACAGTACTACCCAGTCTCTCTCCTCCAATCTGCATCTCCATGCTTGGCCCGACCACACGTGCATGGGCGTCGAGGTGCAGCCGGTGAAGATCCTGCCTCATTAGCGCCTCATTGGAGTTACATACGTCGAGGCACACGCGGGAGAAGATGCGGGCAGATGCAGACAGACAGCGGAGGTGGAATCAGGGACTGCTCCAGTGAGGCACGATACAAGAGACAGAAGCAGCATGCAGGTGTCGATGGGTCAGGTAACTGTCTCTCGCTTCTTTACTTCGTCTCTCCTTTCTTTCTCACCTTTGCCCTCATCTCTTTTAAACTCAGTCACTTCGCCTCGTTCTCTCTCTGGACCCGTGTTTCGCAGTCAGCGCCGAAATGGCAAGCCACCTCAGATCCGATGTCCCTGCGCGCGCTTCAGCCACGATACTTTGGCACCAGGCTCATCGCTTTCGCCCTAGCACCGGTTGACGTCGAGAACCAGAGCCTCGATGTGGGCCTCTTTCTGCTCCCGATGGGGGGGGGGCCTATTTTCTCCTTCGTTTCTTTCTCGTCCTTGTCCCCTGGCGTCCGACCAAGGGCTGCGGCCGGAGGGCTGGCCGAGACAGGCCAAAGACAACACGTTCCTTGGCTGCTGCGGCACTTGTACACACAAGCAGCGAATCCACGCTCCAGGAGGACCCTCAGCAGCGAAATCTCGATTGCAGGACTCTTTACCTACGACACAACCCGGTGGGTCACAGGGCCCTTGTGCTCCCCTACACACAGACGGACGGACAAGGTACGAGTACAAGGAACGCTTGTGTTGAACGGACGGCCCTCTGAATGGTTGACGTCACAATGGTAAGCCGAGGGTCACGTCAACCCGACTGTTTCGACCCTGGGACCAATTAAGCGTCTCGCGGGTTCCATCAATCTAGAGGACCAGCGCCGCTCCCCTTCTAAGCGCAATTTCGACATGGAAGCAACAGAAGCCAGGCGGAACATGACAGGGTAGCAAAGCTCGACGGGGAAAGAGAAAAGAAGGCGATGGAGAGACATTGGCGTTACACGGGAGTATCATGCAGCTCTTTCACCCCCATCTGGTGATGCGTACGATTCGCATATATCACGACTGGTACAGCATTGTTTACGGACAGTGAACCAGTCCACGGAAAGAAAAGGGGGACGCATACTGCCATCAGCAGATAAGCAGAAGCATTTCTCCGTTGACTGCTCTGATACAGACCGGGTGCACGATGGCCGTTTTGAAGGCACGGCAAAGTACGCGCATAAGCTTGAAACAGGGCAAAGGCGGAAGCACCCCCAGACATTGTCCACGCGCTTACAACCTTGATGTAAATGCCAAGGCTAACCTTCAGCTCTTGCTGACACTGCGAGTACGAGTTGTATGTGCAGTAGGGGATACATGTCAGAAGTACTCGTGCTAACAGGCAACAGCCCTGCTTCAACATTGCGATGACCAGCTGCGCAACTTACACGCACTTCAGCCAGCTATCAAAACGGCATCCCCCTTCCGCACCCGAATTTTTTTTTGTCGAGCAGTTTTGCAATCTAGTCGCGACGCCGCGGATAGAAGCTTGCAAATCTTGTCCCAAATCATCTCCATCGGGGACCATGCGCATTTGCAAAACGCGGTGTTTCTGGCCAGAAAGCGCATCGTCAAGGCATCGCTCGGCCAGCTTGACCTCATGGTGTCGTCATTGCATCTGTGGATAGGCCCTGAAGGATCCCACAGGGGACCGGAGCAACAGGACCAACTGGAAGGTCGGCGCCAGAGTAATAATACTTGTGCCCACAGCAGCTTCGAATCCCATCTTTGGCAGGGGTGCGGTGACAGCCGGCTCGAGGTCAAATGGAGGAAGAGACGGACGGACCTTGGGGGAGCCCAGGGACAGGGGTCTTGGGGGGACGCCCTCAGCAGGTTTTCTGTACTCGTGAACTCGTGAGTACCGGCATGGCACGGTGCTTGGGTTTGAGGTCGCAAGAGACCCTTCGAGAAGATGGAGAGCCCCCAAGTTCCTACAAGTTCATTCCAGGTCCCCAGTACGAACAGCAGGGTGCCCATGTCCTGGAAAGGGGAGCGGGGACCGGCGCAAGGGTAGGCAGAGCGCTAGCGCCATCCAGGGTCGTTCGCATTGCAACGGAGGCACCACAGCCAGAGCCAATGATCGGGCAGATCGAGCAACTGTCCAGCACAGGCTGCATGGCTGCGGATCTCCTGGGACGTCCGGAGAAGGGTTCCCAGCAACCCTGAAGGTATCTGTGGACACAAGCTCCAGCACACCCCGCTATGCGAGAACTTTCAGGTATCGGCCTTTGCGACTGGGCTCTGGAGCAGGTATGAAGCTCCGGCTCCAAGCGTATATACATACGCTGATGTTTTCAAGGATCCCTCAAGGCTTCTCCGCAGAGTCCGAAATCGTTGCTTTCGCCGAGCTCTCTGCTTTGATTCGGAGGCTTTCCGCCCAGAGTTGGGATTGCGACGTGCGAAGGATGGAGAGATGAAGACTTTGACGATGGACCCCGCGGAGGGCCAAGGCACCCAAGCCACAAATCTTGGGGCGAAAAAGTGAGGTTGTGCCGCACGCAGAACACCAACGCCAGCTCAGCAATCGGGTCACCCGTGTTGGGACACGAACGATGGCGACCCTAATTCTACGGATGGTGAGCTCGATACTTGAGATGACTACCACGCAGCAGGTAGGATGCCGACGGCGCAGCACGACATGAGCCATACGAGTACTTGCGATGCTACTTCATCGATACTTGACGTCCCCCTCTTCCGCTTGCGCTTCGCAGCGCATCCGTGCGCTAACGCTTTAGATCCGTTAGGATGAGCAAGAGATGCGATTCTTGGGAGGAACATGCGGATTCTCGTTGGCGCCAGATTTGCCCCCTCTCGAGAGCTCCAGAAGTTTTTACAAGCTGTTACTTGCTGCGCCCTACTGGGTAGAGTTGCAGTGCATTGGCGCATCTCACTCTCCGTCCGTCTGCCCGTGCCATTTTTCAGTTTTCGAGTATGTACATCTTACGAGTTTTGCCTGCCCACATGGGAAGTGAGAAATTTCGGAGCTGACGAGGCGATCAAGGGGTTCTTTTGATTCTGGTAGAAGAGCAAAGGCACAGTGTTGACACGCACCAGCCTTTATTTTTAGGAGCAATCATCAGGGTCCTGCCGGTTTGCTTGTCCCCTTCCGGGACTGCGGGCTGGTACAAGGGCTTACGGGTTTCTCCAACTTTGCGCGTTGCAGACACACAGGCATCTTCAGGGCGTCGCCTATACAAGTATGGGAATGGTTGGTACCTTGACCCTCCCTGGTGGTGACGCCTCGTTTGCAGATGCGGAAGGACCTCTCCGGGCCAGCGCCCGGCAAGGGTTTTCGGTTTCTGTCGTGTGGCTTGCACCAGGCTTGCACCCAGGCAATAGTCGACCACGGTTCCGGAGCAGAGGGCGGACGTCGTGTGATTGGATGCTGGAGGTAATTAATGGACATTGCGAAGACGGGCAAGGGCTGGAAAGTATATTCGCGATCATGACAAACCACCAAGGATCAGGCTCCGACGAACGAGGAGAAGCGGCGGTTCGAGAGAGAAGGGAAGGCCGGAGAAGGGAGACGACGGACAGAGAACCGAGTGAAAGGGAAGAGGCTAATAACAAACGTCACCAGAACATCAAGACCTGCAGAGAGGCCCTGGTCCTGACCTCAAGTCGACGCGGCGGATATGATGGGCATGAGAGAATGGTGACATTATGGACAACACAGAGCGGCATCTAATAGCCGTTTAACCAAGGGGCAGCGGCGCGGCCAGTGGCACTCTCGTGGCCACGCACGCCGGCGGCGATTTGCTAGCGGGCTTTGATTCAGCATTGATTACTGGGTAGCATCAGCTGTTCGTCGGCAGACAAGTACGGGCGCCTTCGATAGTGCGGGTTCCGTGGTGATACCGCCTTCCAGCAAGTCGCACAACATGTTGAGTTGCACGAGTCCGTCTGCAAGTCCTTGCGCATGTACCAGGGGCCACGAGGGTTTGGGTTTGGGTTTGGGTTTGGGCTTTGGCTTGGATTTGGAGAGCTGTGGCTGATGAGGGGTGAAGCTGTTTAGTGCGCACCTTCTTGCAAGAGGCGGCGGCGGCGAACACGTTTCTGTTCCTACGAGTACTATAAAAACTCGCGAAATTCGCAATCTCAGATCTTAGAACTAGAGGCCTGGCCCTGCAAGTTATCTTTTTATAGTAATGCACCTTTTTATTATAAGATAGATAAATAAAGGTACTTTTATAAGCTAGTATATTATTTTAATTAAAATTTTCCTAAATTTTTAACTTTTTTAATATACTATAAAAAAATATATATAATACCTTTAAATATTAATAAGGCTAGCTTTATTAATATTATTTATATATACTTTAGTAATTAGTTATATATATATTATATTAATTTATATATATTAAATATAATTAATAACTTTAATATATTATCCTGCTTTTAAGTTAAATACTTTTATACTTTTTAATACTATAATCTTTTAAGCCTAAATATAAAAATAGGTATTTTCTTTATATTAAAAGGTATTTACTATAATTAAGTTAAGGAAGTAAGTAAAAAGGATATAAAAGGAGTTTTATAAAAAGGCTTAATATATTTTTACTATATTAAGGTATAAGGGAAGTATTAAGAGTAGTATAATAAGTGCTTTAAGGTCTACTATAAGTAATAAAAAGGTTAGGCTTTTTACTAAGTTAATAAATAAAATATATTATTTTATATAATATTTATAGCTATAAGTAAAGTATTTACTTTTATTAAATAGTAAATAAGGTCCTGCTTTTTTTTAAAAACTAGTATACTTTATAACTTATAAATAACCTAGTATACTAATAAATAGTATAAAAAGGTTAATTCCTTTATCTACTACTATATAAAGAGATAGGCTTTTATACTTATAAACTAACTAACTAAGTAAGGCTAATATACTATATATACTATAAGGCTAATATATAGAACCTAAGGCTTATAGCCTTTTAAGTGCCCCCTTAAAAAAAAAGGAAAATTATCTTAATTTTTTTAAATGCCTTAGTTTATTACTAATAATTGCCTTTCTAGCTTTATAATTCCTTTATATTCTCTATTTTACACTTACACTTATACTTATTATCCCTCTTTTAAGCTTTAATACTATCTGCAATACCTTTATTAATCTTTAATTAATTCTATTCCTCTATAGCTATAAGACTATCTTAAATACCTTAAGTAATTATTTCTTAAGCCTGCTAAAAAGCTTTAGCTTTAGCCTATTATTAGTGTTTCTTCTTAATCTAGTTAATATAATCTTTAATTCTATATATAATCCCTTTTATATAAATAGTAAGGTAGCTTTTAATTATTTTATTATTAACTAGCTTAAGAAGTTTATTAATTAGATTATTTACTAGCTTTAATAACTATTTTAGAATGCCTAGGAGTTTATAAATATCTTTTTAAGTTATTACTATTAAGTCTTTATTTTTATATATCTTTAGTAGCTGTAGGGTGTTTTTAAAGCCTGCTTATATAGCCTAAGTCTTAATCTTAGCCCTAGTTTCTTTTAATAAGACTACTATTAGTTTATTTACTAGCTTATAATATAACTAACTATTAGTAATAAGGCTTTATTTCTTTATAAGTATTTTATAAAGGAATAAGGTAATAAACTATTCTGCTTTTATATAGTCTAGCTTTTATAAAATATACTAAATAATAACTAGGGGTAGTATTAGTTTATAAGGTTTAGCCTAAATTACCTAGAACTATTAGTAATATTTTATTAAATCTGCTATATTTTAGATTATTATATTTACTATAACCTTATTATTAAAAATAGTTAATATATTACTATTACTAATAGTAGTTAGGTAAGGTTAAACTACCTTATAAATTTAATTAGTTAGCTTAATTAGGTAATTATTAGGCTTTTAGTTTATAATAAATATATAGGCAAACTTAAATACTTTATATTTAATAATATAGTTAGTAGTGCTATTATTTTTATTAGGTTTTAGGAGGTAGAACTTATAAATAATAATAGCATAAATAACAGTTAGTATATTAATAATATAGTAGTTGCCCTTTACCTTTATTAAGTTATAAACTTTCTTTAGTTTTTTCTTATATACCTTATAGCTGCCTTATTTTAATTAAATAGTAGCTAGTAAAATACTAGAATTAATATACTTATTAATATATATATTATAGCAGTTTATATAGGCTTTAGGCTTAAGTTATAAAAGTTTAAAAGCATATTTAATAAGTTTTTTTAAGTGGAGGTAAAGGTTAGTGTTTAATAGTAAGACAGGCATATAGTTATTAATATAGCCTTTTTAATATTTTCTATATCCCTTTTATGCCTTTTTAAGTTACTAGGTAGTTTAACTTATAGGCAGTAATACCTAAATAACTAGGTTTAGTGCATTTCTCCTGCCTTATAGCATCTTATTAATAGTTCTTAAAGTGTTAATAGTTCTTAAGTAAGTAGGTTATATATAGGATTATAGTTAGGATAACTAGTCCCTAGATTAAGGAAATAATATTATAAGGGAAAGGAAAAGAAAAAAAAAGAAGGAAAAGTAAGAAAGAAAGAAAAGATAGAAAAAAGCTAATAAATATATACTTAGCTAAGGCAGTAAGTATTTAGGTATATAATAGTATGCCTTATATATAGCTAGCTAGTAGCTGCCTAGTTATTTTACTATCCTTTTATTAAGAATTTATACTTAAATATTTATTTTAAGGATTTACTGTACTTTTATGCCTTAAAGGTTTAGGAGGAGCTTTCTAAAAGGCTTTTATTACTTATACTCTTATACTAAGTCCTTAACTATTTAAATAAGTTCCCTTTATTTAATTTATTAGTCTTTATAAGGACTATAGTTCTTTTACTTTACTAAATATTTAATTTAGTAATTCTTTCCTTACTTATTAAGGCATTAGTTAATAATTTTATTTACTTTATATTACTCCTTACTATTAACTATAATTCTTTTTAAGGGCAGTGCCTATTTATTAAATAGATCTAGTGTAGTTAAAGCTAGAAAGAGATAGGTAATTAATATTATATTATAAACCTTTTAATAAAAAGGGAGCTTTAGTTAGTAGGCTAGTGGATTAACTTATTAAAGAACCTTAAATAGGCCTGCCTACTAATTTAACTATTTATATAGCAGTTTCCTTAAAAGGTAGTATCCCTTATATAGTTTAAGAAATACCTTATCTTTAACTTTAAACTTAATTAGATTATGCTATTAATTATATACTTATTTAGTAAGTATTACTGCCCTTTTTATTAAGTGCTTAGCCTCCTTTATATATAATAGCTAGAGGGTATTTACTGCCTTTTAGTTAAGTTATTAGTTTTTCTTTAAGATATTTAGTAGTTTATTAAGCCTAAATCCTATTACTAACTTATTAAAAGACTAATTAACTAGTATACTAACTGTATTATTAAAATAAAATTATAGCGCTAGTATAACTTCTAGCTATAGGATATTACTAGTTATAGTATAATATTAAAAGGCAATTTTAACTATCTGATTTTTAGCTTTTAATATTTTATTTATTTAGGGATAATATGCAGTTTTAATAGCTAGTATAACTCCTAGTACTATAAAAAGTTACTTTTAGAAATTAAATATAAACTTTAGGTCTTTATTACTAATAATAACTTTAGGCATACCTTAATTATAAAAAAATAAAGTATAAAGAAAGATAGTAGCCTATTATTAAGCTATATACTTTATTAAGCCTAGGATTAAAAGTATTTTTTAGCTTTATTTATAAGTAACTGTAAGTATAGCATTTAGTAAGTAGTTATATTTATTAATCTTTTAAAAGAATCTAGGTTCTTTTAATAATATCCTTATAATAAAGTTTATTATTATTATATAGAATAGTTAAGCTAGTGTTTAAATAGGTTATAATTTACTAAAGGGTTTAGCTATATCTTTTTAATTTATAAAGCAGGTTAAATAGTAAGTAATATACTATTATAATTATTTAGCTAGCCTTAAAATGCTAAATTTATTTAATGCTATAAGCGTTTTTTTAAGTTTAGGATAGAACTAAGTATTATACGCTAGCTAGAAGATATTCTTAATGCAGTTAGATAAAATGCATAAATAGGCCTAGCTATACTTATCCTTCTTATATAATAAGCTGTTTTTATAAAAGAATAGTATATAAACTAGCTATTACTTTTAGTCTTTATATAATATTACCTTTTATTACTCTTTTTTAATAAATTCTAGCAGTTTATTCTATTTCTTTTTATTTTTATTAACTATATTCTTAATAGTATTAAAATAATAATTAGTTTTATATCCCTTTTAAATCTTTATTTTTAGCTTATTTATAATAAGTAGTTCTATTAATATATAAAAAGCATCTAGATCTTATATATTATCTAGTTTATTAATCTCCTTATTTACTAATTAAGGAGTATTTAAATTAGCTAGTAGTTAGAATAATATATCTAGTATTAAATTAGTCTTGCTAAGAATATAGTAAATATTTAACTAAAACTAGCTAAGGTATATTAAAGCTCTTATTAGCTATTAATTTACTTTAATAAAGTTAGATATTAATATTATAATATAATTAATAATTCCTTTTATAGCTTAGTAGTTAGTTAGGATAGTAATTAGCTGTTAGCAGGATTAAATTAGCATTTATATCTTTTTTACTGCTTAAATAAGATAGGCGACTTTAAGCTTAGTTAGTTTATATTAGCGTTCTGCTTTATAAAGAAGACAGCTAAGGAATATAATTAGTTAGATTTAGTTAACTAGTATAGTTAGCGCTATTTAATAGTCTTGCTTAAGATAAAAGATAAACACTTTTATGCCTTAATTACTAGCATCTAGTTTAAAAAATATTTATCTTACTAGGTTATAATAGTAAAGATGTATACTAAATATAAGCCTATTTTAAAAAAGTTAAAAGGATTCTTATTTATATAGTATAAGTATAAAAATAACTTACTATAGCTTAAAGTGTTATACTTTTTTATTAATATTTATTATCTTTTATTCTTTTTTTTAAAGTTTAGTAAGTAAGTTTATCTTTCTCCTCTTTAATAGTTCTGCTTTTACTTAGAATTTATAAATAAACTTATATAAAAAAGTCACTATTTTTAAATAAGTCTTTAAGTTAGTAAAATTAAGTAGTATTTAAATCTTTTAAATTATATTTATCTACTCTTAAGTAGTTAACAGTCCTAAAGCATTAACCTTAAAGCCTAGCAGCTAGATTAATAAATAATTATAAAAGGACTTTTATAATTAGATTGCTAACTAGATATTAAAAAATAGCTTAAAAATAGTTTATAAATATTAACAGTGCTATTTAAAGATATTATTAAAAATAACTATATTATTAATATAAGTATAAGCAAAGTACCTAAATAAATAAAGTCTTTAGTTTATAAACCTTTAGGTAAATAGCAGTAAGTTCTTATAACTTATTAATATAATATATAATATTTTTAACCCTTATAGGCTAATTAAGACTATATAGTCCTTATATTTAGTATAAACAGGCAGTTAATAAAAAAAAGCTAATGCATCTAGTACTATAATATACCTCTTACCTTTTAAACTAGTAATAATTTCTTTTTATAAAGGTATAGGGTATATATTTAATACTGTAATTTTATTAAAAGCTTTTAGGTTTATAACTATATATCCCTTTTTCTTCTTATTAACTATCTGCTAAATAATAAAAATTAAAAATACTAAGGGAGTAGGTTAATATATTTATAAAGCTTATCCTTATATATGCAGATTATCTAGCATGCTATTAATAAACTTACAGTCTTTTACACTTAAGGGGTATAGTTAGGTAAGCGTTTTAAATATCTACTAGTTATTAATAAGCAGTATTTTTATTTTTTCCTCTTTTAGTAATAAAATAATGCTATAATTACACTATATATTATAATCCTTAATAATTTTCTAAAGCTAATTAGCTTCCTGCTTATTTTTTATATAAACTTAAACTTTATTTATTAAGATGCATTTATAAATATTTATAGGTTTTTTTATTTATCCTTACTTCTTTTATATAGCTTTTAGTAGTAAATTAGCAGGTTAACCTTATATTTCTTTATTAATTATAGTAAAGATATATTTAAACATACTATTTATATCTATTTTTAATAATTATCTATCTGCTTAATATTCCTATAAGGCATATGCCTAAGTATATAAAATTATTAAATATACTACTATATTATAGTTTATTATTATACTAACTTTCTACTTATAGTAAAAAGTTAGTAAAGCCTTTATTATATTTATAACTAGGACCTAACTGTTTAAATTATCTAAGTAAGTAATAAATATAGTACTAATATAATTAATAATACTAGAAGCTATAGCAGTAAAATAATATATTTATATATTTTTATATTTATTTATTTAAACTAACAGCTTATAATAAACTAGTATATATACTAGCGCTTATAATAGGATTATAAGTTATTTACTAGTAATTACTTATTATATAATCTAGTTTTATTTATAATAACTTTAAATTAATATATAGGCATTATAAGCTGCCCTTACTATTATATAGTTATTAGCTATTAATAAATTAATTTTATATTA